AATTCTGCTGAATTTTTTGATTGGCTCGCCAATCCTGCCATACCCAGTCTGAGAACTGAGACAACATTTTTGTGTCTTTTTTAGTTGACTCTGCTTCCGGTCCTCTTCTGCATCCCCCCTGGCTCTCCACGGTCTCCTCCGACTCTGCTACCTCAACTACGAAGTGGTCCATTCATGTCTCGGCCTGCCGAGCGCGATCTTAGCTCTCGACTGCCGCACCCTTCAGCCCTCACTGCAGCTGTCGTCTTTCCTGCCTCCGCCGTTGTTACCTCACGATCGGCGGGCGTTGAGCCTCCCTTCTACGACGACCATGGGCTGGCAAAATGTCATAATGGACGAACTATGGGCTAGAAGCCAACGGTTACAAGAGAGGAGCACACTGCGAAATGCGCAAATCTGTGACACGGAGGTGGAGTGGAGCGATCCTCGTTGGAGCTGAACACACGCCGTTTTGTGATTCGGTGCCGTCCAAAGAGGTTCGGAGACAGTCAGGGCCAACTCTGTGTCCGTCGAGCCAGTCCCTCCCGACACCGAAGTCGCTTTTCGTGCCGGGAACGGCACTCGCATCCGACTACGAGTCACCCTACCAAAGATCACGCTTCGTCTCAATGTTCTAGAAAGCGACCGTCGTACCAAAGTCAACGGGAAGGGAGTCGAGAGGCGGTTAGCTCGGTAGGTTACACATTTCTACCTATGGCTCTTCGACTACCTCTTCGACGCACCATCTTCGTTCTTCACCCAGCCAGCTGTGTCTCAAGTTGATCGCTTGTACCAAAGAGAAAGCCGTCGAAATCAAAGTTGATATCAGCAAAAATATCGTCAGATAAGACGTCTGAAGCCCCTTGCGTGCGTGGTCCATCTCCATTGCCGTGGCCGCCGTCTGTATTGGGATATCGTGTGTCCAGGATCCTTGTGGAGAGCATCTCAAATGTCCGGATGCACTGTTGGACATATGAACTCAGGTGCTCATGGGCACGGAGGGCCGACAACGTGTTGTTCCAGGATTGCAACACACTGTCAGTGTACAGGTCTGACCTAAACATGGCAGCCAAAAGGTGGGTGCCCGCAATGTGTAGACAGTAAATCCGGAGCCACCAAGGTAAGAGGCCTATTGACTTGTCCGGCTCGAGTGTCTCGATGACCAACGACGTCATATTTTGCGCTGCCTCGATACACATTCTGGCACCTTCTCGGACAAGCCGATCCCCCAGGCTGGGAATGCTGGAAGTTGCCGTGTCGGATCTCATCGCGCAGAAGCATGCAAGCATGGGCCTGTACAAAAAAATTCGGTAATGAAGTAGCCTGGTTCTCTGGGATCAGCAAGACTGAGGATCAATTGAAAAGTCTGTGTCCTCTACTTTCGCAAATCTGCGGTTTGGAGAATGCTTGCTTACCGAACATGAAGCACATATCGCCTTGATCGAGAAGTCCGGTCAACGACTTTCTGAAGGCTCTCCAACTTCCAGTCAATAGGTAGGCCATGTTCCCACCTATTGAGGCAGTGATCTAGCTGCACCGCCGTCACATGGTACTCGGCTTGTTGATACGGACGGGGCAGACCCAACCTCTCACCCGGACTATTCTGAGTCTGTATCTGTGCCAAGTGAATCTGGTTGCCGATTTCGTGAAGTTCCGCCGACCTCAGAAAGTCATCGGTATCTTCCCCACTGAAAGATATCGAATCGGGCGTGTTGGGCAAGATGTTTAGGAACGGTGCTGATGCCCTACCGAGTGACCATGAAATGCATCTAGACTTGACTTAGCAATCATCAACAGGGATGGTGTTTCATTGCTGTCGGTCGTGGAGCTTACCGGTCCATGGCAACGCAGGTGGCCCAGACTTGGTGTTTCAACTGCCTTTCTTTGCGAGAAGAGGTCTCGGGAGCATGAAAGTACATACTCTGGCAGATTCGCAACGCCAAACCCGCCGTCAGCCATGTCTTTTGTGGATTGTTGGTGCAGTGGAGAAACCGGTTCATAATGATCAAGCACTGAACCAGCTCTGGCGACCCAGGCTTCCATAAAATTGTTTCCGGACGGAGGAGAGCTCTGGCACGCTGGAAACAACAAGTTCCTTATTGATTTCGCTGTTGCATGGGGATAGATTCCTGTCTGTGCACTGCTAATGCAAAAACAAGATTGATTATACTTAGCCAAACCTCGCGATCCCCGAGAAACGACGCGCCCTGTCGGGAAAACGCTGCTGTATAGTTGTTAAAAGAGCGTTCCCGGTCCAAGATGGGCTCCACAGGATCCACGTATCCCCAGTATATATCGACAAGGGTACCAGCCTGTGCCTGGGGAGGCAAATAAACAGCATGATCGAGAGCACTGAACGGGGAATCCAGGTCGATCTCTCCAAACAGAGGTGCATTGATAAACGGGATAAGGCTCGAAGTTGTAGCTGGGACGACACCTGCTCTCGCATCTATCGCGGCGGCGACTTGATCAGCAAATTGCCCGTGTGCCGTGTAGTATGTAGGACTATGGTCATGAGCCGAATTAGGGTTCTGTTCGAGATTCTGGTCCTGTTCATGATCCGAGTCATTCGACCTTGTGGAAGACTCGATTGGCAATGGAGTCTCGACCGAGTGAGCTTTCTGAGCGTCAACATTTGACCGCAATCTGGGCACAGGGCGGATGAGCTGTGGCTGTCTGTTATTCGGAGCTCCTCTCTGGGATTGTTGCTTGTCGATGAAGCTATCCTGGGTGTAGGTACATGTCTTTTGTCCTTCATGGCACCGGGCACACGCTGCAGATATAACACACATCAATCCCATGTGACCTTGAAACAAAGATGGTGATTGGACTAGTAGAGACAAGCATACCAGGGCGTCCACCGTCACATTTCACCTTTTTGGAGCGACAATACCCGCACGCCCTAGGGATTCTTAATCGCTCCCTGCGTAGTGGCTTCGACACGTTGACTTGATCCTCATCAAGCTGGAAATTCGCGGTCATCATTCCGATTAAGCTGTTCGTGAAAATGTTTCCACCATAACATTCAGGAAATCGAATTTGTCACCTTCCTCCTGGATACTCGGGATGAATGTTACAAGCCAGTCATATTGTGCTCCGGCCGAAATTGGTCGGAAAGGTCCGTGATTGGCTATGCGGGAAGAAACAGTGGGCTTGATCCTATCAGAACAACACTCGGCTCGTTGGTGTATCCTCCCAAAGCCCCTTCTTCTTACCCTCCTAACGGTTTCTCCGGGTTGATTTGCCCATAGAATACTTGTCACCAGCAACCTCGGTCTTAGTGGCGAATGAAATACAATGCCGTCCTCGACCATTGCTGATTCCCCAATACATTCTTCCGAATTGGAAGCAATACTTAAATCGCAGGGAATTCTGGTAGACTGCGCGATGGATGTCACATTCGATATCTCTTCCAAAAGGATTGCCAGGACCCTAAACGAGTCATCTACCACTACGAGTCGTCAAAAACATGTCTCTACATGCCGAAGCCAAGGCAGAAGCCGACACGGGAGTTGAGGAAAGTCATGTCTATGATGGTCAAGGCACAGAGGAAGACCCGTTTGTGGTTGAGTTTTGAAAAAACGATCCTGGCAACCCGATGAACTGGTCTCACCTCCGGAAATGTTTTATCACAGCCATTGCGACTTTGTCCGTCTTCGCCGTCACCCTCACGTCTTCAGCATACTCAGAGTCCTCCAACGAGGTTATGCGAGACTTTGATATCAGCGCCGAGGTCTTTATAGTGGGCGTTTCCCTCTATGTACTGGGATTCGCCGTCGGCCCAGCTTTGTGGGGTCCTCTGGTAAGTACTTGTCAAGACCACTTTTCAGAGCAACCGGCTAATGATTCCTGTTAGTGAGTCTCCTTTTCCCAGGCATATGCAGATAAGATTGGAATGCTGACCGCCAGCGATGCTTCGAAGATGCGAACTCTACGGAAGACAGCTTCTCTGGGTCGTCTCTCATGTAGCCATGGTGGCCTTCATCGGAGGTTCTGCCGGAAGTCAAAACATCACTACACTCCTCATACTGCGATTTCTTGCGGGCACCTTTGGAGGATCACCTCTTGTTAACTCCGGGGGCGCCATTGCGGACTTGTTTTCTCCGGCTCAGAGGGGTCTCGCCATGGTGATTTACTGCGTCGCACCCTTTCTTGGGCCTGTTGTTGGCCCCGTGATGGGCGGGTTCATCTCCGAGAATGTTGGGTGGAGGTGGGTCCAAGGGGTATGCTGTATTCTAGTAGGAATCATAGGTATTTTGGGAAGCATCTTTCTTAGGAACATTTGCCAGTACTGACCGGGAATGATAGGTATTGTGGGTGCCATCTTCATCCCTGAGACATATGGACCAGTGCTGCTTATGAGGAGAGCAAAGCACCTATCAAAAGCCGACGGCAAGATTTATATCAGCGTTCTTGAAAAAAGCCAGGGCAAGAAGAAACCATCCGAAGTCTTTAAGAGAGCTCTAGTACGACCTTGGGTTTTGCTTTTCCTGGAACCTATTGTGTTTGTGGCCTCGACCTACATGGCAATTATCTACGGCACTGTCTATCTTTTCATGGGTGCCATGCCTGTCGTCTACAATCAAGACCGGCATTGGAGCGAAGGGATCGGAGGCCTCGCATTCCTGGGTATTGCTGTTGGGTTCTTACTGGGAGTGGTGTATTCCATCTACGACAATGATCGACGTTACATGAAGTTATTCTTGTCTCAGAAAGCTACCGCCGAAGCTCGATTGCCACCGGCCATCGTCGGTGCTATTGCCTTACCTGTCGGCATGTTCGCTTTTGCATGGACCAACTACCCCAGCATTCACTGGTCTGTTGGCATCATCCTCACGGCCCCCTTTGGTGCTGGCTGTGTCCTTGTCATCATGCCGCTTATCAACTATCTCATCGATTCATACACCATCTACGCAGCCTCCGTTCTCGCGGCTGCAGCAATCTTCCGCGCCATCGTCGGTGCCGCGTTTCCACTTTTCACCAACCAGCTTTACAAGGCCATTGGTATCCATTGGGCGAGCTCCATACCAGCATTTCTGACATTGCTTTGCATGCCCTTCCCACTGATCATGCATCGCTACGGTGAGGCGCTGAGGATGAAATGTAAGTATTCTTTCGAAGCTGCTGAAATGATGAAAAGGATGCAGTCAAAATAAGTGGATTCCCCAGCCAGTATGAAGGTTTTATTTTCTGCCAGGAAAGGAGGCATCCCATCGAGTTTGGAGTGTACATAAAAGGGGGGTGGAGTCTTGACGGGCACTACGGGTGAGGTTGGTCGAGGAGAATCGGTATTGCGAATTGATATGGTCTAATTTCATGCTAAAGAGTCGGTTCAGTCGATGCTACTTTAGGATCTTCCTACCTTATAGATATATAGTTTCGAAATCATACTTCGATTTGGGTCACTTCAGGCGGAGTAGTATGGGGGTGAGTAAGGGCGGCATCACCCTGTTTCCCGATCAGTATGGAGGTTAGAGTAGATTTACCACACCATTTGGTGTATCGCCGCTCCCCAAAATAAATTTCCGGCGGAACTCGCAGTATCAACACACCGTGCGCCTCCTTCACCTTGCCGGTTGTCCTATGCATGCGTGACCTCGACAGACCATCTCGCTCAGAATGAAACTCCTAACGACAAACTTTCTCACCTGCGCGGTCAAAGCGTGCAAATCCTCCCCGCAGTCCTTCCCATTACACTTCAAGGATGTGACCCTCGAGCGCACCGAGATCGAGTACAATCCGCTATTCATGCGCAACATCCTCCCACGAGTCAACTGGGACGCGCTGACTACGACATCCACAGAACTCGGGCTGCAAGCACTCGTGCCTGCAACGAACCCAGTGGACGTGGCGGGCGGAGAAGCGGACGATTCGAAAGACGACCAAGCTGATGAAGAGGTTCTGAAGAAACTACACAACCTCCTGCTCGAGACGGGTGTTGTCGAGGGCAAACTCGTTTGCGGGAACTGCGGCTTCGAGTATCCCATAAAAGAGGGTGTGGGAAACTTCTTGCTGCCGGCGCATTTGGTGTGATGGGAATGCGACAGAAAAAGCGAGAGAGATATGAGATCAAAACACACCCTACAACTCAGCTTGGCTCAAACAACCCTAAGCACCACGAGTCCGAAGCCTCGGCAAGAAAGCTAGAGACAGAAACGACTTGAGTTTTGCTGCATCTGAAGGCGAGGACTACTTTGCCGACATCAAGGCGTGTCGAACGAGATGCTACTACCAGGGCCGATTCGGGCCACGAGGATATTGAAAATTTCAGTAGATAAAGGCACGACGAACCATGGCCTTTGTAAAGGAGCCTGCTTGTTCACAATCTGGAGAACGATGCACATGGGGAGGTATCGAGTCATAACCTCGACAATGCCTGACTCCAAAAGCCAATCTCGTCATATCTTGTCAAATCCTGCAAGCAGGACATTAACACTATGTACGCAACCACTGTCTCGGGCAGGCAAGGTTGTCCAACCCACGCTGCCCTAGAGTGTTGCCGTTTATAAACGTACACTGGAAAGAATCTCAATCATTCGTGCTGGGGCATGCCATCGTCCTCTCCTCCCCCATGCCCGTCCTCTATGGCCCCCTCAAATTGTTGAATAGAGATGCCCCTTTGCTCCGCGCACGATTTTCACTCGCCCTCAAGCGACGCTACCCGAATCCAACCCTTCCATCCATCTTGAATGCAAAGATTTGGTTTGAAACCCATGCTGGTGCTTTTTCCTTTCAAGAAACCCCCCCAAATTCATGCACAGGTGGAAACGCCGACCAAGATGCTCTTCTTATCGTCACATGCACTTACAAAAAAAGGGAAAATTGATGCCTCTGCGCTTTGTCTGCGCGAGTTGCTGGTACGTCGCGTGGAATGTTTCATCTCGACGTACCAAACGCCAAACGATGTTAGTTGAGGAAGCCCTTGCACATCGCCGAGCCACAGAGACACGGTATACGATCGTCACTATCGATTTCACGCTCGAACTTGTAATCGTAAGTCAACTCCTCGTCTAGTACCGGTTAGTAGAGCTCCAGTAAATGCAACAGCACAGTGTTCTCACCTTTCTCGATATCTCGCAATGCGTAGATGACGATTCGTTTGGTGCCGCCAACCCTGATGATCTTGGCAGTGCAGTTCGGCGAACAGCTGTGGTTGATGAATCGCGCGATGCCACCTTTCTTCGTTGCGTCGACAACGGTGCCTTCATCAATTCGGAAAAGATAGCTGCTGCCGATGCCACTTTCCGTATACTTGATCTCCCGCAGATCTGCGATTTCCTGTCTGATCTTCTCTCCCACGTATTCGATGATCATTTCGCTCGCTTGGATGCGTTCGAGCGAGTACAAGCCCCAGTTGTGAATGGCGGATCGGGCAAATTTGACCGGCTTCTTGCGCTTTTGTAGCTGGTTGAACCGAAGCACGTCGGCATCATCACCCATTGCCTGCAGCATCTCTCTCTGCCTGTCCAGGTCTTTGACTGTACGTCGGTCATCGGCACGTTTGCCACGGGAAGATGCTTTGGGAAGTTCGACGGTCGGTTTCTGAGCGTTTGGATTTTTCTTTGCTTCAGCTTCGCGCCTCTCCCTTGCCTTCTGCACCTTTATGCGATGAGGAAGATATTTCGACTTCTCCGACTCGAGAATCTTTCGAATGGGCTCTGTTCGTGCGGAACCTGTCGGGTTCGGCACATAGTAACCGCTGATTGGAGGCTCCGTCCGCAAGCCTCCTGGCTGAGATCCGGGTTTGAGATTGCGGATCTTTTCCTGCTTCCAGGCCCATGCCATAGGATCACCAATGTCCATCGCCATTTTTGACTTCAACGCTGACGCCAAGTATTCTAAATCTTCGTCGTCGAAGATGCTGGCCTGCCAGCCACGAAGATCGGGCACGATATCCTCGTCATCATCAACAGTAGGAAGCGGCTCCTCTGCCGAGACGCCCCATTCGACCTCGGGTCGCCAATCAGCTGCTTCCGCGAGCGCTTCTTCCTCTTCGGCATATTCGAGGACGTTATCCACAACCTCGGTTGCTTCTGCTTCTGCCTGCGCTTGTCGAAGCGCCTCCTGTTCCTCACGGATCTGTTTCTTGGTCTTCTTCTTCGTTTTGGGCTTCTTGATCACTGGCTTGGGCACGTCAGACTCGACATCCGGAGTGCCCTCGAGTGGGGTTTCGAGATCCTGCATCTTCACGTCTTCAGATTCCTCACGCTCAAGATCAGTACGGGCGACACCGAAGAGCTCATCATCGGCCTTCTGACGTTTTCGCGCCTCCAATTCTTTGACGAGCCGCTTGCGCTTGCGGGAAGATGGAGACATCTCATAGATGCTCCTCTCCAGCTTTGCAATGACCAAGTCTTCTGCGGTGGCACCCTTGCTGTCAGCCTCATCTTTGATGACGCCGTCTCCCATCTCGGATTCCTCGCGTGCATGTAGTCGACGTTTAGTTGCCTTTCGTAGAAGTTCATCGTCATCGTCAGACACGGAGGTCATACTCATACGACTGGCAGGACGACTGTCCAGATCTTCGGTATCTCGGGTAATGGTTGTCCGTTGCTCGTCATCGGAATCTTCCTCATCATGGAATTGGGCAAGCTGATGGTATAAAGAGCGCACATTATGTCTTGCTGGTGGAGCCTTTCTCCTCTCATCACGAAATCCGATCATTCCGCGGTCCGTTCCAGGCTTCTTCCCTATCTTGGGCAACGAGAGGATATTGAGGTTCTTGCTCATTAGGGGCCGCCTGCTGATCGAGCCTATGCCCAAGCGAGAATCTGGTGTCCGGGAGCCTTCGTCGGTCAACGCTGGTTTCCAAGTTCCCCCGGGCTCGTCCAATCCGAGCGCCTTCCGCCTTTCAGTATGTCTGGTCGGATCAAGATAGTCGTAAAGGACTGGCGCAGCTATCCGTGATTTGACATCTTCGAGCAGCTTGTCCCTTAATTCTTGTATGACGAGCTGGATCACAGCGCGAGATGGGTCCAGATCCCTGGCACGCTGCCTTTTCTCTTCCTCGAGATCTAGATCATGTTCCTTGCGTAGCCTATAAGCCTGCTTTGAGTATACAAAGTCAACCGGTCCCGTCGGTACTGCTGGTTCAGTCGGGGTAGTGGTGCTGAGAGCCTTCGGATGACCGTTCAGATGGAGCTCCAGATTCATCACATATGTGAACAACGGTTGCATGTGACATCCGTGAAAGACCTTTTTCGCTTCCATCTGTCCGTTCCGCGATTGCTCGAAGGTGATGAAGTATCCAGTTTCATCGCAACGAACATCACGCCAGTCGTACATTTTCAATCTCTTCTTCAGATGTGGTACGGTACTGTTCATGACAGGGACATAGCAATGCGCTATGAACAGGTAGGGCACCTTCAACGTTTCAGCAATGGGCGTTGTTTCGACAAGAGTCGGGCCTGTAGGCTTGGCAGGCGGTGGTCGTTCGGCCTTAACGATGGGCGAGAATGGCGTAGCTGTGAAAGGTGTAGGGGTGAAGGGGGTAGGTGCGAAAGGCGTGTGTGCATGGAAAGCGGATTGTGGACGCATTGGAGGTTTCAAAGACGGACCCTTAGGCGCAGTCGGTGGTGGTCCAGTCGATTTGACAAATGCAGACGGTGTGCCGACAGGTGTGGAAGGAGAAGGTGACGGCTGGGTTCGTGATTGGGATTGATTCGTAAATCCACTCTCTTTTCGATGCAGAGCAATCGCCCTTTCAACCAGCTTCTCTGTGACAGAGCCATCGCGATCAACGGCTATCTGGACAGTTTTGAGACCTATTCTTTGTCCGCGCTTGCCTTCGAGATAGGCAGTCTTGGCTGCAACGACTGCAGAGATAGGTCCTCCGCCCTGGAATGAAAGACAGTCCCGGTAGTCGATGCTGCATATCCCTAAAAAGCGGCCGGTAACGGGATCGGTCTTATTGTCCATATCCCCAATTTCGCCAAAGCTGGAAAACAGTGCGCTGATTTGGGACAGAGGTGTCATCGGGTCAAAACCTGTAACGACCACTGTGGTCGCAGGCGATGAGGTGACTGCGCTGGTAGCATCGGGTGTCCACGACTTGAGATTGTACGGAGCAGGGCGAAATTTCGCTTTTCCTTTACCGATGCCGCCTTTTATGTAGTTTGGTATCGATAGACGGGGATCGTTCGAACGCGAATTGTCCTCAGCCTTGACTCCAAAACTCTCGAACTGCGCCTTCATCTTGCGTTTGTCCTTAGAGTTCAAGTTTTTATCCAGTTCGGGGTCATAGGTGCATTTGCTACCTTTGGGCTGGAAGCTTGGATCACGCGCCGTTCTTCGATGCGCTGGCGGTGTATGCAGCGGCGTCATGGAACCGCCGTTCAAGGAGGAGGTAGCGGTGATGCTATTCATGGTGGCATGAGCGTTCTCGGTGATCGGGCTGATCGACTTCCCGTTCGAAGGGGAATCAGAGTTTGTGAGAGGCGTAAGGATAGGATGATTTGTGCCCGACATCGCGATTGGGTTCGTGAGAGGAGCGCTGAAGACCGATGAAGCGGTGCTTGACGAACTTGCCGATCCGACACCATTGAGAAGATCGGCTGAAAATCGATCGTTGTCTTCTTGTGTCAGCTTGTCGCTGCTAAGCTTGGCCGAGTCGCCCTGTTGCGTCGCCGATGACGATTCGGAGGCTGGGAGATTCAGTGCAGCGTGGTTAAAAGTTGTTTTCGCGTGCGCATCTTCGGCGCGGTCGTCAGTACAGCGAGGCAGGGTTTTGTCGATGTCGAGTAGCTTTGAAGGTTTCCTCTGGGTAATGACGCTGGGTGCAGTTGGGAAAAAATCAGCGAATTTACTCCCCGGCGGTCGCGACATATCCCGGATCAACAATCCAAGTGCGAAGTCATCTTCGCAAACACCATCCCACGTGTGTTATGACGAGAGTATAGTTTTCTGAACCATATAGCGCAGAGAGTTGGCGATTGCAGAGGATTGGCTGGGGCTGGTCACCAACGCGTCTGGATGATTGCGGCCCGCGAAGGGGGATTTGCAGGACTGCGCAGATGGTCTTTATGGGGGCAAAATCAAGCGAAGTTTGTCGCAAAACTTCTCAAATCGGCCCTCGAGGTCTCTTTTCGTACTGCTGGGCTGATTTTGGGGGTCAAAGGGCAAAAAGTTGCAATCTGGACACAAGCTGCGGTCGTTGTCGTCCTGAATGCCTTGACAGCACTCGGTTGCAGTCGAACCATACCACGATCTGATTAGAGCCTTGGCATTTCTAACGCGCTGAAAGAGAACTGCGCAGGCAGATACGCTGCTGTCTTACACATTCCTGCTGCAGGATTCATTGCAACAAGAGCGTCACAAATCAGGGGCGTTCGCATTTATGACCTCTGTGTCGCTCGTCATGCTCACATGTAACTCATATCCTGATACGATAATCCGCGCGATTTGCAGTCACCTCAACGAAGATACCGGTGCTATTCAAAAATGCCCACGCAAAGCAAGTAATGGACAGATAAAAGCACAAGTTATGAAAATGATCTTGGAGAGATGCGACTCTGATGAGCCCACTCGGTATCTAGCCAGAAGAATATCTACAATCTCTTTCAAGTTCTGCCTTATGCCTTGACCTAGCCGAACACGACCGCTCAGACAAGACATGAAAAGATAGTACCTCTACAAGGATTCCAATTGGGGGTGCAGGGAGTGTGCAGGGAAGAGGCGCAAAGCAGAAAATATATTGTTAAATCAACGACAAGCTGACCCGAGAGGAACCGGGCGATGTGACTTCATAAAGCTCTGCCCAGGACGTCCCGACTCGTTCACTTGTTGGATTCCCGAAATCGACTGAGATAATCGTCGCTTGGGACCTCTGTAGGAGCCTAGGTGATGCGTTTCGTGAAATCACTGACCTTATGGCTTTGGTAGGTACGGCTGGGAGTGCATATCGCATCGTGGATGGCCAAGGGATCTTCATGACTCAAAAAGCATTTCCACTGCAACGAATTTTGTCTCTCGAGATGCCGAAGATGGAGCAAATGATCTTATCAGGCGCTGCTGGTGGGATGCCGAGATATGAATGTGCTTGTGATGGCTTCTACCTCGTAGGGGAGAGATGGCTGCATCAAAATCCGACACTGAGGACCGACCCTGAAAAGGCAAAATGTGCGTGGCGCATCCAGGCATTTCTTGATAGCATCGGCAGCCACACTGCATCACAAAATGCTTGGATCCAAATCGTCCTTCGCGATGGTCTGCAGTTGGCCATTGTCGTGATGTCATGCATCGTCAACACTCGAATATTGGCATGTACTTGTGTGTATTACATATTCTCGGAACCTCAAAGATAACTCCGTGAACTTTTGCCTACCTCCGGATCGACAACATATCGAAGTAGGGATATCTCTGTGTCGGCTCCTGTCGCACAGCGTATATAAACAGTCTCGATCCCAAAAGCGAGGTAAATAATCACCAGCACAGTCTCCTCGAACCAAAGTGGAACTTTGTCTGTTACATCAACAACATGCCTTCACCTTATCGAAAAGTATTGGTGATTGGGGCCACAAGCGGTATCTTACCCCAAGATCTGGATGACTAAAACACCAAAGTGACTAATATCTGACTGACAGGCATTGGCAAGGCTTTGGCTGAACGCCTGATCCAAGAAGGGTCCTTCGTGATCGCTGTTGGCCGCCGCAGGGAAAACCTCGAGGCTTTGGTACAACAGCATGGACACGACAAGTGTCAAGCTGTGCCTTTCGACATTACCAAACTCGAGTCAATTCCACACTTTGTCACTAACATTACTGGTACCCATAATGATCTCGACTGTGTCATTCTCAACTCCGGGATCCAGCGAAAGACGGATTGGAGCGACTCCGACTCAATCGACCTGGATACGATCCAGCTCGAGATGACCACGAACTACATTTCCCAAATAGCCTTGACAAAGGCATTTCTTCCGTTCTTGAGAAAGAAGGATTCAGAATCTTCCTTGGTATATGTTACATCGGGCCTGGCCCTGGTTCCCATCCCTCGATGCAGCAATTACTGTGCTTCAAAAGCGGCGCTGCACCATTTTATCCTTTGCCTGCGTCAATCATTGAAGGACACCAAAGTCAAAGTGGTGGAGCTGTTGCCTCCAGCAGTACAGACCGAGCTTCATGACGAAAAGCATCAACCTGACATCAAAAACGGTTCTTCCATGGGCATGCCTCTAGACCAGTTCACGGACCAGGTATGTGGCCCCGCGATGTAGCAAGGCTGGCACTGACCTCGTCTTCTTGCTAGGCATACGCCGGATTGGCAAATGGCTCGGAGCAGATACCCGTGGGCATGGCACAGCAGTCTTTTGACAACTTTGAGATCAAGCGACAAGAAGGATTTGCTAAGATGGTGAAAATGATGAGCGGCCATCCGTAGGAAGAGTAGTTTCACCACGCCACAAGTAATAAACTTGTTTCCTTAATTCTGGATTTGAGGAGGATATCGTGAAGTGGTGACTATGAATGATATAAAGAGACACATTGTATGTATCTCACTCTTTTTCCCCTACTGCACAGTACGAGTAGGAAGCCGGCATTTTTCAACCCGCATACAAGTAGCCTCCGATGGAGATTATATTGCTTGGAGCAGGTGGGCCGATCACTGAAACAGGAAGCCATCAATGTTGGGGGCCAGTTGTCTCAGACCACATTTTATAACGGACCAGGCTGACTGAGCCCTGCTTTTATTTTTGGACTCAGCCACAAGTCAGAACATCAACCTGAATAGTTTTGTGGAGAGGATGAGATCTGACCGTAATCAATTATCCATGGATGTGGTGATGGTTCTTTTCTGGCCAGCTGCAGAAAAGTAGGCCGTATTGGACTCCTGATTATACTGAGTGAACAGAAGGAATGCTGGACCTGAATGTGGCACAAGGCGGAGAGTGTGTTTCAGCATCGGGCCCTCTCATGATCGACGTGATCTGAAGGGGAAGATGCTGATTGGAGGCCGGATTAGTCGCTTGAGTACAGAGTCCGGTAGTAGATGCTCATATTGCCATATCGCGCTGCCATAGCGCTCAAACAACTAATATATCGTGTACTATATGGCTTGTAGAAGCTGGGACCAGTCGGTTAAAATGTGGTCCAAAAGAGGCTATGTACACAAAAGACTTCGGATTTGAGGCAGCTTAGCCCCGGGAGCGTTCCTGCCAAGTGGTCCGAGTGGAGCGGGTGGCCGTTGCTGTGCAGCACCAAATGGACGCCTGGCGACCGCCAATTGGACCATGCTCAATTATTCGTGTCCCCGCATGCGTTCGTTCGCTCTTACCGTGTCAAACACACGTCTCAGCCCAAGGGCTAAAGTTGTCAGCACCAAAAAGTAAACCGTTGCTGCAACTGCGCAAGTCCATCATAACAGCCTCCGCCTCCCTTGCTCTTTTACAAGAGCCGGTAGCTGTTCCTTTCTTGCTCTTGATATCTATAGAGTCCAACGGCTCACCCATCGACTTACATTTCGCATCCAACCTCCCACTCCTTCGTTCATTTACCCCAAGCGGCTATCCCTTGCTATCCTTTGTTCGAAGCTGAGCGACCAGCACCACTTCCGATCTTACAGTCAGGCAAGCAAGGCCTTGTTCGAATCTTCTCGCCTGAGCGCCCGTCGCCGTCCAACTGCTGCAGTATAGACTCTCAAGATGTGGTAAGAGAACACCCGTCCGGGGATCGGCACAGCCTCAGGTTCTAATCCTTCCCAGTGGCATCTTTGGCTACATCAACTACCTGGTGGACAAAGACCGCAAGTTCATTGTTGATACGTTGCTTAATGGTAAGTTCACACCTCATTCTTGTGCCAGTCTATGTCGTTGACCATTGGCACTTGCAGGTCTTTCTCGCCTAGAATACAGAGGATACGACTCGGCCGGTCTAGCAATCGACGGCGACAAGAGAAATGAAGTCTTCGCGTTCAAAGAGGTGGGCAAGGTTGTCAAACTTCGGGAGTTGATTGCAAGTTCCGGTGTCGACATGACCCAAATCTTTGACTGCCACGCTGGCATTGCTCACACTCGATGGGCCACCCACGGTCAACCGTCAAGACTCAACTGCCATCCTCACAGGTGAGAGAAGAAGGGGAAGTTGCTGGACTGGGATATACTGACAATGTGCAAGATCTGATCCCAAATGGGAGTTTGCAGTTGTCCACAATGGTATCATCACCAACTACAAGGAGCTGCGCGCCCTGCTCGAGGGCAAGGGGTTCAAATTCGAGACTGAGACGGACACCGAGTGCATTGCAAAATTGGCCAAGTTCCTCTACGACTCTCATCCGGACATTGATTTCACCACTCTGGGAAAAGCCGTCATCAAAGAACTCCAGGGCGCGTTTGGTCTCCTCCTGAAGTCTGTACATTTCCCTGCCGAGGTTGTTGCAGCCCGCAAAGGTTCCCCTTTGGTTGTCGGTGTGAAGACACAAAAGAAGATGAAGGTAGATTTCGTGGATGTCGAATACTCTGAAGAAGGTGGTGCTTTGACTGCGGAAAGAGCAAACCACAATCTCGCCATCAAGAAGTCGGCTGCTGGTCTGCTGGCTCCGAACGGCTTACTTGCTCCACCTGACAAGTCATTGTTGCACAGATCGCAGTCGCGTGCGTTCTTGTCGGATGATGGTATGCCTCAACCTGCAGAGTTTTTCCTGTCTTCTGATGCGTCGGCACTTGTGGAGCACACCAAGAAAGTGCTATACCTTGAAGATGACGATATCGCCCATATTCACGACGGCCAGCTCAATATCCACAGACTGAAGAAGGATGATGGCACTAGTAATGTCCGTGCTATCCAGACCATCGAGTTGGAACTTCAGGAGATTATGAAGGGCAACTTCGACCACTTCATGCAGAAGGAAATCTTCGAACAGCCCGAATCAGTCGTGAACACGATGCGTGGTCGTTTGGACGTTGCGAACAGAAGCGTCACCCTTGGCGGCCTCAGACAGTACATCAACACCATTCGGAGATGCAGAAGACTTATCTTCATTGCGTGTGGTACCAGTTATCACTCGTGCATGGCAGTCCGAGGTGCCTTTGAGGAACTCACCGAGATTCCGATTGCCGTCGAGCTGGCCAGTGACTTCCTGGACAGACAAGCACCCGTATTCAGAGACGACACTTGCGTGTTCGTCTCGCAGTCTGGCGAGACCGCTGATTCACTATTGGCGTTGCGATACTGCCTTGAGCGTGGTGCGTTGACTGTCGGTATCGTCAATGTTGTCGGTTCTTCCATCTCCATGCTCACCCACTGTGGTGTGCATATCAATGCTGGACCCGAAATCGGTGTTGCTTCCACCAAAGCCTACACATCACAGTTCGTCGCCATGATCATGTTCGCATTGTCTCTCAGTGAAGACCGCGCTTCCAAGATGAACCGTCGTCATGAGATCATTGATGGCTTGGGCAAGGTCAGCGAGCAGTTCCGACAAATCCTCAAATTGAATGACGCAATCAAGGAAATGTGCGCGAAATTCCTCCAGAACCAGAAGTCACTGCTATTGCTTGGTCGTGGCAGCCAATATTCGACTGCTTTGGAAGGTGCTTTAAAGATCAAGGAAATCTCCTATCTGCACTGCGAAGCCGTCATGTCTGGAGAACTCAAGCACGGTGTTTTGGCACTTGTTGACGAAAACCTTCCTATCATCATGATCCTCACTCGAGACGACATCTTTGCGAAGTCATTGAACGCATATCAACAAGGTAAGCTACCGATCCATCGAGTGCGCCAGCGCAGCTAATGTCATCGCAGTCATTGCCCGAGGTGGCCGACCTATTGTCATCTGTAACAAGGATGATCCAGAATTTCCTCCGGACAAGACCGAACGTATTGAGGTGCCAAAGACGGTCGACTGCTTGCAAGGTCTGCTAAACGTTATTCCGTTGCAATTGATTGCCTACTGGCTAGCAGTGGCTGAAGGACTCAACGTCGACTTCCCACGTAACTTGGCCAAGTCTGTGACTGTCGAATAATCGAAATGAGCATTCCGCAGTTGTGGCAACGCCGTATGACCTGGAGATGCGTTTGTCGTTGGTATCTACTCACAGCGTGGTTTGGAACACTGGGCGTCCGGGAAATTGATTGTAGAAGTTAGCTGGGTCACCTACAGAGCGGAGGATAACTGCGGTGCCTTCAGGCGTACCCTATGGAAGAAAATGACTATTGTTTCCTGTCATTGAATTCCACTTCTTCGCTCGTCAAAGTGACACAGGATGTAAATCACAGACTATGCTGGACCTGTGGGACTACCCACGAGCTTACGTGATAAGTTACGTGTAAGCTGCGCGAGGCTGTGACTGACTTACAGGTTGAGTTGGAGTATTTTGGGGAGATCGCGCCCAAAGTGCCTCACCAACTGTTTGTACCGTGACAAGGTTGCACCCTCTTTTTCGTAGTGTTGTGGTAACCTCAGGCCATGTCCTGAAACGGAGTGTCATGTCAACGACGGAGTCCGCTACCTCTCAAATACCCAGCCAGACGCATCCAGCCCAATCTGCCTCGAATGATGCCTCCCAAAAGCCACCTCCAGCAACCTTCGCGCTGGAACCTCACAGCGTCCTTCTCTTCCTTGTTGGACTACGGCTGCTCAACGCTCTGACTGATCGGACATTCTTCCAACCAGATGAGTACTTTCAAGCGTTGGAGCCGGCCTGGCAATGGGCTTTTGGAGAACGATCTGGGGCATGGATTACATGGGTGCGATAAAGTAGACGGCCTGTGACTACTAGAAGCTCATCGAGAATAACAGGAGTGGAAGAGTTACCTTCGATCTGCTATACACCCCATGATATTTGGCCTCTGTTACCGCACAGCAAGCGCCATTGCTCAGACTCTAAACCTGAGTACATATTCGCGATCAGAACTCCTTCTGGCCGCACCCCCAACATTGCAAGCAGTCTTTGCAGCCATTGACGACTACTATACTTGGAGATTGGCATCAAGCGTGTATGGTGCAAATACTGTGGCTTCTCTCATGGTGCTGGGCTTGACAATCGTCAGTCCATGGCAATGGTTCTGTTCTACCAGGACCTTTTCCAATTCCCTCGAAACCACTCTGACCGTCGTTGCGCTTCACAATTGGCCGTGGCACTGGACACTTACAGTGGGCGGCGAGGGGCAGTCCAGTTCCAGGGTGTCTCTTCGTGTCCGTGATGGTGGTGACCAAGGACGAAAGACCACTGACGACCTTACAAGGCTAAGAAGAGCCTTGCTTTGCGCAGCAGTTGCAACGGTCTTACGCCCTACAAACGTCCTGATTTGGGCGAGCCTAACCTTCATGACATTTATTGGGGGTCTGAGGAAGATCGGTGCAAGCCAAGTGGAAGCTGTGACATTTGCGCGGGAGACAGCCCTCTGCGGTGGCATCGTGCTTCTTCTATCCACAATACTTGATCGGATCTTCTACGGCGCATGGGTCTTCCCGCCTCTCAACTTCCTGCATGTCAACGTGGTGCAGTCCCTAGCTACTTTCTACGGGAGCAATGACTGGCATTACTACCTCTCGCAAGGATATCCGCTGCTCCTTACGACCGCGTTACCTTTTTCGATTGTCAGCATGTTTCGCATCCTGAGCTCGCAGACTTCACCAACAGATGCAACCCCGGTCGGCCGAAGCGCATTACGGCTTCTTTGTATCACCTGCTTGCTTGTACCGGCGGCCTTTTCCAACATTGCCCACAAAGAGGTCCGCTTCATCTCCCCTTTGCTCCCGGCTCTTCATGTCATTACTGGTCTTCCCCTCGCCTCATTCTTCGGATCGCTCGTGACTCGAAGAGCACCATCTTCGTTCTTTAAAAAAATCCTACTTCTCCTTCTGCTCGCTGCAAATGCTTCGATAGCATACTACACCACGCAAGTCCATAATTCCGGCATTATCAATCTCACACACTACCTCCGTCACGAATTCGAAGATGCATACAGGACTTCATCACCACCATCAAACATGACCGTCGGCATGTTCATGCCATGCCACTCCACACCTTGGCGCTCGCATTTTCAATATCCGCCGTCATCAGAACAGCCAGGTATAAGAGCCTGGGCACTGACCTGTGAACCGCCACTTGACATGAACGCCACTGAAAATGCCACATACATGGACGAAGCGGACCAATTCTATGCGGACCCCTCGCTATGGCTGAAAAAGCACATGTCGCGCCAGCCTCCGCAACGCAAAGACGGGACACAAGCAACAGGGTTGTCCTCGGGCGTATTCGCGCCGGATAGCCGCTCCCAACGCGCGCTCATCGGGGATATTGACACCGGGCGCGATGAAGCATACTGGACCACTGGCCACGGCCGTCATCCCTGGCCTGATTATCTTGCCTTTTTCGCCCAGCTGGAACCTACGCTGCAAGTCTCGCTCCGTGGGACCGGTTATGTCGAGTGTAAGCGCTTGTTCAACAGTCACTGGCATGACGACTCGCGCAGGACCGGTGATGTGATCGTGTGGTGTCTGGACGCAAGCCGGAGTGAGTCCAACGTCGCCGGATCTGAGAACAACGTCGTGCTGCAGCAAATCGAGGAGGCGGTGCATGATCCAAATGCAGCTGGGCGGCAGGAAATACTGGGCGTGAAGGAGAGTAGAGCGACTTCGAGCAGGAAGGTCCCTGTCACAAGAGTGGTTGAAAGGCCATTCTGGAAGATCAGAGATTCAGAGGAGGAGGAATAATGTTTGGGGACAACACAGTAAAGCTAGTTTGATCAGATGTCCTAAGAAGCCTCTTGGACTTCTATGCTGCCAGTCATGGAAACGCTGGCTCATGAAGATGTCGGGCTATGGGGACAATGACAAAAGCCTTTTTGAAGACAACTTGATAGTTTTGCACTTGTTCCAAATTCGTAGAGCTTTGAAACAACAGCGCTATGAGCCTAGTTGCTCTCGTGGTGCCAACCTTCGCGCCCAAATTATGTACATGGCACACTCTCTTTCATGGCTGAGAAGAAGATGCTGACCCAAAGAGATTCGTGATAACTATTTCCCACTATGCTTACCTGCGCGAGAAAATCATCCCAGCACATTTGGTGCACTTGTGGCGCGACTGGAGTACGTGCTGGTTCAACCACATGCTGTTATGTGACATCCCTCGTTTTCGAGGATAGTTCGAGATTGATAATACCAAGACTCTGCCTTTCTGTCAGGATAACACCGTTTCATGTGCGTCTGGCATAAGCGGGAAGAGAATTGCTGATCACGCAATTGGGCAGATACAGACAGCGCTGCCTCCCAGGCTGCTCCAAACCGCTTCACTGCGAGATGTAGCTAGCACAACATGTCCAGATAGACACATGATGTGGCTAGCAGCTTCGGTGGTGCCTACAGTCCTGTAGGAGAAGCGTCTTGTTCTCAGCACACCTCTCATCGATACCGCGCACTCAAGTTGGCAAAAGCATCGGGACTGTGCCGGCCGCTTTCTAGACCACTGATCAGCATGCTTTCTCTACTGGCATGTCTTGCAGCAATGCCTTGCTGAGTTTGTCCTTGTCCAGAAGGTGGAGAAGCCACGCCGACATTCGCATTGGCATTTGTGCTCGCGGTGTTTGTCAAGAAGGGATTTCGGCTTCCACCTCCGCCTGAAGAGTGCATGTGAGATAATGAAACCGGCATCGTAGCGCTGCGCTTCGTGGGAGTCAGACCCTGTCCGTAAATGTCGCCTGATGGAGTTGGCGAGACCACCTGCTGATTTGCTGTATCAGTGGGTTCAGGAATGGAAGCTAGTTGTTGTGGAGCCAATTGAGGATAGTTGTAGAGAGCCATGATGGAATTTTTATCATAGCGACCTGTTTGCTGGGGCATGAGTTGTTGAGGCTGCTGACTGAACTGAGGTTGATATGAGGTTTGGTGCTGTTGAAGATGCGGTGGCTGCGACTGGGTTTGAGGCTGGCCGTACTGAAAGTTTGGGAAGCCTGTGGGTGTTTGTGAAGCTGGATTTTGCATCTGTGGCCGTTGCTGCTGGGGTTGGAAGGGGTTGTTTTGATTTGCAAACGGGTCTGACTGAATGGTACCAAAGATATCCTGACCTTGGGACGCGGCCTGTGCTGCAAAGGGCTGCTGCGCCGGTTGAGGGGCTGATTGTGAGGGTGGTATTCCAAAAGGATTCAGACTTGCTGGAAGTGAACTCTGTCGCTGCTGAGTCTGTGGTGCCTGTGCTGGCTGAAAGCCAAAAAAGGGATTCATGGATGGAGATGAGGGAGCAGGTTGAGGAAGGAAAGGGTTGTTCCCCGTAGATTGGGTAGAGACGGGCGCCGACTGGAAAAAAGGATTGGTAGGCATAGGTACGGCAGCTGGGGATGCGGTGTAACCCTGTTGGAAATGCGTCGAAGGCACTGGGGGAGTCATCGAGTATTGAGAACGGGGATCCTGCAAAGGGGCATATTGACTTGGGTATCCTCCAGTGCTGTGAGGAAAGAGTGGTTGAGCAAGCTGCATGGATTGGAAAGACTGCTCCAGTTCTGACTCGGTCGGAGCTCGGTTGGCTTGGCCGTATGGGTTGTTGCTGCCATAATTGGGTTCCTGAGGTTTTGACATGGAAAGGCCAACAGTCTGTTGATTGGTCATCTGAGTGAAGGGGTTGTAAGAAGGTTCTGCAGGCCTTTGAGCAGCTGGTTCGGTCGTAGACGCGCCAGTAGCTGCTTGAATGGATTCAGAAGTACTCCTTTCTAGTCTTTGGGTGCCACGGGTGCTTGGGGGCTTGGTGTTCTCACTTGACCCCAGTTGAATCAGTGTAGCAATAGTCCTCTCGACGTTGCCATTCAGTTTCTTCAGTAAACTTGTGTTACGCTCCACGTCTGGAAACCCCATGTCTAGTAGAGCATTCAACTTCTTCTGCAAGTCTGCATCTGTCATCTCAAAGCGTGCGTCAGCCATTCTCGACATTGAGTTGTAACCATCATCAGGAACATGGAAATCCCTATCAACGCGAGCCTGGGCCCCCTTAGTCGCTTTTTTCTTGCTCGACAATTGAAGAGATGAAGCCGATGTCCGCAGACTGAAGCCGAAGAGTTTGCCCTTTTTAGGCGGCAGAGGGGGGGGAGGAGACTCTTCTCGTTGGGGCCTCGAGTAACTTGTTGTTGAATGGTCGTCACGTTGAGGAGGTTGAGGTTTTCCATCCGACAGACTCTTTTCTTGGTACTTCTTTCTTATGAATCTTTCCATCGCCGAGTCCACCTCATCTGCATCGAGCGGCATGTCAGGTCGTTTGTTCTTAGGATTGTACGTCTTATTCACTGCATTGTTGCCGTTGCGTTTCATGTTCTGTCTTTATTAGTGAATGACGCTGTGAGCATATTGCCATATATCACCTCAACTTGTTCCGTGTTCCACGTGTCCATGCTCAATGACTTGACCTTGCTGATATGTGTACCCAACTTCCGGTGCAGTGAAGCGCATCGCATACAAAGGAAGACGCCCAAGTTCCAGCTTGCCCATGCTGGATTCCTTGCGCCACAGTCGGCGCATTGTGAGTTACCGGGCAAATTGAGTAACTCGTGCAGCTCTCTCTCATTTCGAGCCTGTGTTCTTTTGCTCATCGAAGCCATCGTGAGGCCTGTTGCGCCTATTGCGCCCGGCGTAGGGTGGAGGTAAAGGTGACGTCCGGATCCCGAGCTGCATGCGACCGTGACAGGCAAGGATCTAAATCATAGGGTTTCAAAGTAGCAAGATGATCATGCTGCTCATGTCGACTCAGTCTACACCTTCACTGTCCTTCACTTTGGTGGAGGGTTTTCGGAACGCTTGCAGTTATTTGGGTGGGTGGGAAGCGGATTTGTGGTTCTTGGTTGTCCATTCCTCTTCGCCGCATTTTCGCGAACCCCCATTTCGGCTAACGAACGGGCGAATAAACAGCCTGTGTGATGACGGAGGAGGACATGAACACACTTTTCTACCATCGAGTTGTCATTCCTCTTCCAAGGCGATAGATTTGGTCGCTGCGTCAGACTGTGCCGGGTTTCATAAGCTGAAGAAGATCATGAGCAGTATGTACCATTGTCATTAAACAAAGAGAAGTAGATTCCGTGATGGACAATCTATGCAGTCAATATCCGATGATCTAGAACCTCAAAACACCACGCAGCCATGCTGATGAGCCTTTAGGACATTTCTGCATCTCCATCATTTCTTTTCCCTGCTGGCGAATAATCGAAACCATACCCCCACATTTGCTGAAGCATGCCATATTGATGCTCCATAGGTTCTTCAGCCGACAAATGCCACCATTCACGACTATTGTACGCTGGATCATTCGATGGTTTGTACTCCATATCCCTCGTGGGGGTGCTGTCATCATCCATCGTAGTATAGCCATGCACCATGTAAGGTTCAGCTGCTCGTTTTTCATATCCAGGTAAGACAGGCAAGTTCTTCAGCCTCTCTTGTTCAGCAATTTGCAGGCAGTTCCTTGCAATCATCTCTTCCTTTTCCATGCTAGTCTGAGGCAAATTCCCAAATTCATCTGGCTGCATTTGTGGTCCCCAGCTTGGAGGCGCTATACGCCATAGCTCTATCAGTCTTGATCTTTTCTCGGAATCTGCATCCTTGAACAACTGCAACTGAGACGGAAACAGTGCTGAAGCATTGATTCCTAACTGCTCGAGAGCTGTCGATACCGCGATATCGTGTGACTGTACCTGATGTGAAGAATGGTGATAATGCTGGGTAATGTACGCGATTGGTGGCGACTGCGGGATGACCTGAGGAGTAGGCGGCGTGGACATGTCGGGTTGGGGCGGCAAAGAGCTAAGCTGAAGGTTTCTGGTCATCATATTGATCAGGTCGTCCTGCATCTTGATGTCGCTCTCGGATGCCGATAGTCCGCACTAGAAGCAACGAATCAGAAGGTCATGCACAGGGATGGGATTGAACAGACCTGTCTGCAGTGTGGGTCCTCCTCAAACACTGCCAGATTCCCAGAGAGATCCGTCTCGTAGCCACAGTACTGGCATCGGTGAAATGCCGACGCCATGTTTCTGAAGCCTTGCAGATGTACGCCAATACCAGCCGTCACAGATGCCGAACGCAGCAACGAGAACCAGCAAGAGGGAGAAGCAAAAATTCGAGATTCAGGCTTCGAAATCGTATTGTACTAACTAATCAGACTGAACTGCTATAAGAGCTCCAGAAGTCCGGGAATGTCCGGATCCGGTGTCCAGGAGGCCTTCCTCAGGTCCCAGGGTCCAGAACAAAGCCGTCGGGCGGAAGTCCAAAATCCAGTCCAGGGTATGAAAATCAGATCTGGAAGGGGTGCCAAATGGTAGATTGCTTGCTCTGTGATGAGATACGACGGTCAAGGTGGATGATAGGAGAACAGTGGGGTAAGGAGGTTTTTGCAAGGGAATCGATGGTTGATGACTCCAATACCAAGTCAGACTCAGCTCAGCATCAAAGCATGAGAGGGATCTTGTAGTCAAAGCTTCGATGAGATGAGATAGATGATATAACTGATGGAAGGATCGAAAAGTTAAGAGTGAAGAAGGAAGGGATGTCGTTGATTTCGGCATCCGCTCTCGCCGCGTGACAACATGACTCCCCATCCATGAGCTAAACCGTTTCAGGCAGACTGCTCTTGACTGCGCTTAGGAAAGTTGAGGACGCGCATTGCGGAGGCCTACAGGTGTTTGTTCTGGAGAAGAGCGACCGCATTAACACAACCAAACCATCTACCAACTTACTCGACGTGAGTTCTACGAGGAGCTACTTTGCTTTCATCACTTGTTGGCACCTTGCACAATCAGAAACGTTCATATTCGCGATGGTATACCACACTTCCTGGGCACCTTTCCGCCTGTACTGACCGCATCGTGGTAGACCTCAATAGGCACGGGTTACGATCTCTCAAATTCCGTCTTTTCTCCCGATGGTCGAAATTTCCAGGTCGAATATGCTGTCAAAGCCGTCGAAAATGGCAATACTTGTATCGGCATAAGAACAAAGCATGGTGTCGTTCTGGCTTGCGAGAAGATAATCACGTCGAAGCTCCTCAAACCCGGTTGCAACAAGAGGATATCAACGGTAGATCGCAATGCAGGCGTTGTATGCTCGGGCTTATTACCTGATGCTCGACACCTTACAAGCAGAGCAAGAGACGAGGCCAGCAGTTGGCGGCAAACATATAAAGCACCGATACCTGTCAGCGCTCTGGCATCAAGAATGGGAGGCTACGTCCAGGCATACACTCTCTATTCTAGCGTGCGGCCTTTCGGTGTCACTGCAATCTTGGGAGGCTGGGACTCTGAAGCCGAGCTTGGTGTGGATGGACAGGTTGGAATGGGGCCCTCAGTCGGTGGTGGGGGAAAGTCTGAAGAGGAGGCTGCGAAAAGAGGTGGTCCAGGTCTCTACATGATCGAGCCCAGTGGACTGTATTGGGTATGTTTCAAGTCAAGCAAGTGCACTTTCTGTATACTGACTGGTTGTTTAGGGCTACTATGGAGCTGCGACTGGCAAAGGACGGCAGGCTGCGAAAGGGGAACTCGAGAAGCTCGAGCTGGCCTCGCCAACTTGCTCTCTTACACTCAAGGATGCTGTGATGGAGGCTGCCCGGATCATCTACGTGGCCCACGAAGACTCAAAGGACAAAGAGTTCGAGCTGGAAATGACCTGGATCTCAAGTTTAGATGGTCCTACCAAAGGCCGACATCAACCTGTCCCACAAGACCTGTTTGAGGAAGCGGAGAAAGCGGCGAAGAAGAGCCTGGAAGGCGATGATGACGAAGATGAGGAAGGAGGAGACGCCATGCAAGAGTGATTGCTTGTTTCCAAGGTCCTGTAGCATTACCGGCGTCTGAGAGGGTTATGGTCATAGTGGTCATGGTGGTCAATAGCTTGAAGCAAAAGTGCCGTTGTCCTTCAAGATAGATCAGTCCAGGTCGTCCGACCCAATTGCAGTCCATTGCTTATCAATTCGACTTGAGATGAGTTGCAATGAATTGTGGTATGCTGAGATGGTATATCTTTTTGGATTCAATCATGATGCTGCAATCTTTCCCTGACTCCAGCCTTTCCTCTTTACACCAAGCTCGACCGCAGCGTTGCCCCAGTCTTCTCCGTGGTTGTGGCCCGTGGCTTCTTTGCCACTGCCTCCATCAAGACCAGCTCTTGCCAGACCCTGGCCCTGGTTGAGCACTGTAAGAAGGCCAAAGATGACAGGAATTTGGCTGTCAAGTTGCACCTTCATCAACCCATGGCTCACGGCGTCTGCAATGTATTCAAAGTGCATCGTTTCTCCTTTGATCAGCACGCCAATGGCTATTACCGCGTCGAAGGCATGTTGCAGTGAATTGTCCTCTTTCTTGTCCGCCTCGGGGGGACCGGGTTGGAGGCTTCCTTGCAAATCTGTTGTGGAGTTACTGCCACCGAGTAGATCTCCAATGCCGCTCGCCAGATTGCCCATACCACCAGCTACCGTGCTGGCAGTGCTTTGTATTTGTGACGCAGCATAAACTCGTTGGACTGCCAGCGGCAGCTCGTATGAGCCAGGTACGGATTCGACGACGATGTTCTCTTCTTTGACCCCCGAGGCCAACATAGCTTTCTTCGCACCACCGACCAAGGCCTCGATGATGGTCTCGTTCCAGCGCGCGTGGACAATGGCAACCCGTAAGCCTGAGCCATCATGTTTCTGAGCGGCGCCGGGGCCTTTCACGGCTGCCATCCTAGGAATTTGGAATTCGAGTTGATGTATGCTGCTTGACAACAAGGACAGATACAATTGTGTACAGGTGAATGCTACACCCTATGACAGTCGAAAGTGAGAATGAAATGAACGGAGCATGTGTAGAGTGTGCCGCAATTAACCGCACAATGACATCGACTGTACTCCAATAATGGTGCCGCGCAGACAAGGTGAGTTGATTTGCCCGTTGGGCCCCTCCTTCGAGGTCTCGGACTCTTGCCCTTGCATTTCTGCCCAGGCTCTCCCCCAACGACCAACCCTATCACCTTTGTCTGTGCGGGCCACAATACTGGTGCGCTTAGGCTTGCTTTTAGCGATCGACCTCCTTCCATTAGGGATACACCTGCACTTAGGGGTATAGCAAACAATTCAGTTTCTGTTTGAAATCTCTGCACATGACTTGCTGGTCCACAGAGGCAACGCAGTACATAATCTGACCCTCCGGCAACGTCCTAGTTCATGAAAACTTATTATTTCATTGCTGAGATAACATAAATTCAAAGAAGCCCAGGTCTGCGCTCTTTGTGTGAATATCCGCTTGTGGCCAATAGAACGTCATTTATTTGTGTATCAAAGTCGCATCCATAGGACAACCTTCTTACATCTGTATCCCAAAATGGCACCATCAGCAGTTAACGGCGATGGCGTCAACGGTGTTACGCAGGTCAATGGGCACAGTACCGGCACTCAATTGAAAGCAACAGCACCGGCATTTCACCCTGCTGGCACTCCGGATCCCTCAAAGTACCACGCTTCCTCGTCAGAAGAGGCCATCCACGCCGAACATGAATATGCTGCTCACAACTACCACCCTCTACCCATTGTCTTCGCCAGAGCACTGGGAACGACAGTATGGGACCCCGAGGGCAAACAATATCTCGATTTTCTTTCCGCATATTCTGCCGTCAATCAAGGTCATTGCCACCCAGAACTGGTCAAAGCACTAGTAGAACAGGCGTCGACCCTCACGCTGAGTTCAAGAGCCTTCTACAACGATGTCTTCCCCCGGTTTGCTGAGTTCATTACAAAGTATTTCCACTTCGATATGGTGATGCCCATGAATACTGGTGCTGAAGCAGTCGAGACGGCCATCAAGATTGCCAGAAAATGGGGCTACAAGTCGAAAGGCATTCCCCAGGGAGAAGCACTTGTCCTTAGTGTGGCCGAGAATTTTCACGGACGGACAGTAAGTCATGACTACTCTTACCGCTGCGATATACTCACATTCATTCAAGTTTTCCGCCATTTCCATGTCGACCGATCCCGAATCAAGAGACAACTACGGCCCGTACCTTCCTGGTGTCGGCAGCGTCAACCCCGCTACAGGCAAGGTCATTCCCTATAACGACGTCTCGGCTGTTCGCGAGGTCTTCGAGTCTCATGGTGACAAGATCGCCGGTTTCCTTGTGGAGCCTATCCAAGGCGAGGCCGGCATTGTCGTTCCCAGCGACAACTATCTCAGCGAGATCCGCGCACTGTGCGACAAATACAACGTCCTTCTGATCTGCGACGAAATCCAGACCGGTATTGCACGAACTGGCAAACTCCTCTGCCACGAATGGGCGGGCATCAAGCCTGACATGGTCCTCCTCGGCAAGGCTATTTCAGGCGGCATGTATCCTGTTTCGTGTGTCTTGGGTCGCAAAGATGTCATGCTCACCGTCGAGCCTGGCACACATGGTTCGACGTACGGCGGCAATCCTTTGGGGTGTGCTGTCGCCATCCGTGCACTCGAAGTAGTGCGTGAGGAGAAGATGGTCGAACGTGCTGAGAAGCTCGGACAGATCTTTCGCGACGGTCTGCGTGATCTGAACTCTCCTTTGATTACCACGATCCGTGGCAAGGGCCTGCTCAACGCCATTGTCATCGATGAGTCGAAAACAAATGGCCACAGCGCCTGGGATTTGTGTATGTTGATGAAAGAAAAGGGACTCTTGGTAAGTTATATGAGTATCGCTGCCGTGGATCAAAGTGCTAACAATTAGCAGGCCAAGCCTACACATGAGAATATCATCCGACTTGCACCGCCCCTGGTGATAACCGAGGAGGAGATCCAGCGCGCCTTGGCCATCATTGGCGAAGCTGCCGCTGAATTGCCGACCCTCAAGGGCCAGAAGGAGGATGAGATCATCCCACCGGCTGAGAAGAATGTCACTATCAAGGTGGATAACTGAAGTCGATCACCAGTTGAACAATCTCGATCATTGAAATAGCCTTGGTACGAAAGCAACGTCCTATGCACGTTTGGTATGGGGTGGTGTGCTTCCTCGAGCATAACAGCTTCAAATAGGGGTCGGCGACTATTGGAGGGCGCTGTAGGGTTATGACTAGGAAAAACAGGCCAGCAAGGTTCTGCTCGAAGACATCTCCTAATCCTCGCGCCTTCAATGTCCGATGAGATGATATTATACCCATACCCCAAGCATTGAACCATGACTAGCATGTCTATGATCCAAAGCTGTATCCAACACGAATGGAAACACGAATACAATTGCCTTCCTTGTCCCGTGAAGATCTTAGGACAATGTCTTCAGCGTCTTTCGCACTGAGCACCCTTCGCACTGCTTTTTGTTGATGTAGCTTCGAAGAGCGATCCGATGTACCTGATATAATGTCCCGTGGACACTGGTCCGTCGCACTTCTTCGCTATGCCGCTCCTCTGGCTATGGATTGCTGTACCTTCAATGGAGCGCCCGGTGTTGCTGGAGTGTCGATCCTTCTCGCGTTTCTTCGTCCACGACTCGGATGATGCAAGGGTGGCCGAGATGCTCTCATGGCGAGCCTCGTTACCGACAGAAGTATCCGGCCTGATGCTGGTAGTAAGATGGGTCGAGATGGCGTGGGATTGGAGATACAAACCATGCCATGGTTGATGATAGGGCTCCTCCTTCAGCCATTGACACAAGGATGGTTGCTGGCCATGCCTTGCAGCCCTGTCATGAGTCGTCGCTGCATGGCCATGAACAGTATTCTGCCTCAAGGGCGGCTTTTGAGAGACGTGATGGCTCCGAGCTTCTGTGGTGATGTCCATGCTGTAATGAGAAAGAGAGAGAGAGAACGAGAATGTGAAGACACTGGATCTCAAGATAGGGGTTTGCAAGATTCAAGCGGTGTCTGGCCACGGAGAATGCATCGCCATTCTCGGTCCAGTGCTTCTGTGGGCTTTATATCTTCCACTCCTGGAGTACATCCTTCGCGTCACGGTAGGTGATAGATGCGTACGCTACTCACCGAGTCTATCAATTCGTGGCCTCGCGGATGACAAAGGCCTTTCAGGGGGGCCCGACACTGGCCTCGTCGGCTCCTTCATCTTCTGCTGCTCCGTAGTCATCCAACGGAGGTGTGATCAGTGGATGGCCCCAAGTTCTCGTCTGCCGGTAACCTTGCTCGAATCAGGGCCGACATGACCCACCAATAGCAGTCTCTGGAAACGGAACCGGCCTCGACTGGGTTACAAGGACTGGAACAAGCCCGTTGTACAACGTGCGTCTATCAATTGGCCACCCCAATAAACATTGCCTGGCTGAATGCATGAGTTTGTGGCAATGCGGTTAGACCAGTGAACAGCCCAGCAGGAGCACCGGCACGAAGAACAGCAGGATGTTGTCCGCCAAATTGCAGAGAGGCCACCAATTACGAACACGCTGTGCGGATGAACAATATCTCTTGCTTGAGATGCGGGCGGACTGCCAGTGAACAGCGCTGAAGCCAAACACGGAGTCAGGCTGATGAGGCCTCGACTGACTGCGTATAAGATGCAACAGGTCCCCCATTCGCCCCTTGAAAATGGGTTACTGGACGACATCACCACTCTCATGAATAGCTTCAATGCCGCACATGAAAGAGCTACGAAAGTGTTGAGGATCGTTTTCCAGTGGGCGCAGGCTGGAATAGTGGTGTCTTGCAAGGAATGGAAGAAGATGCATCTTGCGAAAGCGAAGGTGTTTTGACCTCCTGATTAATGATTAGTGAATTATCTACCCTTCCCTATGTGATTCATGGCGATCATCCAGGTTCAAAACCGTCGACCACGTACAGGTCCGTAGACCGTGTACAACTCGTAGACTATTTACCGCTCGTCAGAACCATTTTCCAAACCCGTAGACCATGTACCGATCTGTAGACCGTCCAAACCCAATAGAAATAAGTTCCCATACGCCTGATGATGCCGCTCAAACAAGAGTGCCGGTGCCCAATGCTCATAACCAAAATCCAGAAACAATACATGTCATAACAATAGTGAGCAGTGTCCAAGGCTTGACAGTGAAGCCGCCATCACTACCAATTGAGGTCGTAATGGTATTCGAAGCACCGCTCGAAGCGATACTAGACGCAGAATTTTTACTGGAGGTCGTAGATGTGCTGTTGCTCGAGGTCGTGCCGTTGTGAGAGCTGGACTTGGCTGAAAGTTCGATGTTGTGGTAGTTGCGAATAATCGTGCTTGCCTGCTCCGCCAGGCCGTATGTGGCGCTCATGAGATGAGCAGAGAAAGCGATCGGAGGTACGCTGGCATCAGCAACGCGAACGTTGGAAAGACCGTAAACACGCAGGTTGGCGTCGACCACGCCGCCTTGGTCCAAGGGCAGCATTGCACACGACGAGGAGGGGTGGTATTCGGTGAAGGCCACCTCGCGGAGCCAGTCGTCCCACTCGTCGTCGGTTTGCACATCGGAGCCTGGGTATGTTTCTCCGGTCAAGCTGCCTGACAGAGGGTCAGCCTGGCCCAGCGCACGAGCCAGCTTGATCCCTTCACGGAGGATCTGAATGTCTACAGAGTGTGTCAGCTAAATCGCATGGTGATCACGATGAATTACTTACCAGCTGGGTGGTTCAGGTAGTTGGGGTTGATCACGGGATAGTCCATGGGATTAGAAGAGTTAATGTAGACCTGACCGTGACTGTATGGATGCTGGAGTGATGCCCCGATGTTGATAGTGCCGTTAAGATTGTTTCCAATCAGCATTTCGACCTGACCGATGGGACTTGTGAGGATAGTGTTGACTGTTGTGTTGTAGATGGCTTTGTAGCCGGCGACGACAGTGGCATCCGTGCCGGCGCTTGCGGCATAAGTGTCTAATTCTCCAATGATGCTGGATTGCAAGTTGCTGAGGCTGGTACCAAACATGTTGGTTGCGTTGACGTAGGCGACGGCAGAGTTCACATATGATAGGAAGGCTGCGTTGGTCTGAAGTAATTAGTATTTCGCCACTGAAGTTAAGGACTGCGACATACCGTCTCAGATCCATTGGATGCATATATCGAGCCAGCCGTGGCTTCATCGGTGCCAAACTGCACTGTAGCGCTCTGTCTTCGTTAGCATGGGATAGTTGTACACGCAAGGCCGCCAACTTACGAGATGATCTTGGAGATGGTGGCCGACACCAGGAAGCTCGGATACTACCGTCACTCCGGCCCCGTTGAGAACATTCGTCGGACCGACACCACTGTAGAGCAGGACTGCAGGACTGCCGACGGAGCCACCTGCCAGGATGACCTCCTTGTTGACCTTAACAGTCAGTTTGGTTGCCCCATCATCTGGTGAGTATTCGACGGAGTCTGCTGTCAAGTTGCCTGCTGGAGAGGAAGAATTGAAGATGAGTCGGGTGACATAGGCATTTGCCAGCACGTCGTAATTCGAGCGCGGCGGCAGTGGGTCGAGATATCCAGATCGACTATAGGAACGTGTCCAATTTGTTGGGTTGATCGCAGATGTTGAGACATAGGCGCCCCAGTTCTCCCCACCGTACGTGTCTTGAGAGACAGGGACACCAACGGTTTGCATGGCATCCGACCATTCCCCGACTAACGGAAACGTGCTACAGTGTGGTTAGCAGCGTGACAGGTTAGGGCAGACTTTGTGACATACTATCCAGGGTAAGACATGTGTATCGGCCCACTGGTACCATGGCTCGAGGCGTCATATTTGATACCTGCCTCTTGTGCAATACTGCTTGATGCAGGAGTGAAAGTCTCGCTCGTCTTCATCGCAGCGTAGAGGGAGTCCCAAGACCAATTGTCTGCGCCATCCATGCCTGCAAGCAGGTCTTTCCAAGCGTTGACTTCGATTTCGCCCGGTCGGTTCATGTACATTCCATTGATGGCGGAACTGCCTTTATGCGCGTAAACGTTAGCTTCTCCTTCTTCCTCCTGTATGGCTAGCAGTCATACCTCCTAACACCTTGCCTCGAGGCCATTCCATCTGTGTGTTGTTCATGCCGGCCTGGGGCGTGGTGTTGAATGCCCAATTGAGTGGCGTGGGCCATAAGGAATTGTAATATGCATCTCCGGGAGTATCTACACGACTGTCAGCCGCCGGAGAAGAAGCGTCGTAGACACTGGAATAGGCCGTCTGCGCACCTATACGTTCTCGATAGTCGTCACCGTCACCGCCCGCTTCGAGGACAAGCACTGTATGGTTGGAATCTTCTGATAGACGTGCACCGAGGACGAGACCAGCCAAGCCGCCACCGATAATGACAAAGTCGTAGGAATCCGAGATTGTGTCTACGATGTTGCGGGTGCGGAGGAGATGCGGTTCTGAGGCATCGCCCGCGAAGGGAGCAGCAGTGGCAATGCCAGCGCTAATTGCGAGCGCTGTGCACAGATTGCGTCTCATGGTTGTGGCAGATATGATGGGAAGTAAAGAGATGAGTCTGGGGTAAGAGAAGGAAAAGCACGCGACTCACATACAGATGTTGAGTGTAGCGTATACAGAGCATCAGTTATCCAGGGTCTACAGGATTTTTTTGACGCGCGAACGGCGCTGTCATGTTTGCGGATCGACAAGCAGTTGATCTGTGTTATCGAGATTGCCTGAAACTTCGTATCCACCTGTAGTCTGGTGAACATATTGGTGTATCAAGATGAACGAGTGAGGTGTTACGGTGCCTGACTAGAAGAATGGTGGACCGATCCACGTTGCATTAGAGTGAACTCTATACCCCGGTAAGGGTCCATACGCCACCAACCGCTGTTCTTTACCGGCTCACTGCCGGCTTTTACTGACCCTGCGCGCGTCGTGACTCCTAAGAATAGCGGAAGATTCTTCCAAATGGTCCTAGCTCCGGGGGTCATCCGTTGGCCATTGCACAGAACCCAGTTTCAAGCGTTTCAAGCAACTCCAAGAACAAGTCAACGTCGCCGCAGTCATAGGGCAAATCCGGCTTTTTCGAGACAACGAATGTGAAGTCGGAGTCGATGATGCAGTCTTTGACAAAGGGGCAACATGGTTCTCCCCTTTACCTGTTGGAACTGTCAAGAAACAGGGCGAGGTTGAGAAAGGAGAAGGGGTTCCTTTTTCTACAGGTGACAACCTTAATTGGCTGGCATAAACGGTGCCTATAAGGGGCACATGAAGGGGAAGCTCACTAGCCGCGGGCATAATTGACTAAGCACGTGATTCCCCCTCCCCATGTCCCGCCAAGACAGCTTGGACAGACGGCCGACCGCGTGCTTTGCCGTAGTTTCTCCGCAGCTCAATATTTTCGGAATGAGGCAGGCAGGTCAATCACTACAACCACTGGACAAGCACCAATAAGTCCTGTAGTTGACACCGAGCAATCAGACGCAATGGCTTCAAACAACCCTACTCAAATCTTCGCCGACGATGTACAAGAGGAAAAAGGTGAAAATGCCCGTCTCTCCGCGTTCGTGGGAGCCATTGCGGTGGGCGACCTGGTCAAATCTACCCTGGGTCCCAAAGGAATGGACAAGATCCTTCAGAGCGCCAGCACTGGCGACATCATGGTGACGAACGATGGAGCAACAATTCTGAAGTCAATAGCCCTTGACAACGCCGCTGCAAAAGTGCTCGTCAACATTTCCAAGGTCCAAGATGACGAAGTCGGAGACGGGACTACCTCTGTTACAGTCCTCGCCGCAGAATTATTGCGAGAAGCAGAACAACTTGTCAATCGCCATATACACCCACAGACAATCATCGAAGGATACCGATTAGCTTCCCAAGCTGCCCTGCAAGCCCTAGAACGAACCGCAGTCGACAACAGCAAAGACCCTCAAGCCTTCCGACGAGACCTTCAAGCCATTGCCCGGACCACCCTCTCATCCAAAGTCCTAAGTCAAGATCGCAATAAATTCGCCGATCTGGCTTGTGATGCCGTCCTACGCCTCGGGGGATCAATTGACCTAAATCATATCCAGATCATCAAAAAGCATGGTGGGAAGTTAAGCGACAGCTATCTGGACGAAGGATTTATTCTGGACAAGAAGATCGGCGTCAATCAACCAAAGAGATTGGAAAATGCAAAGATCCTCGTTGCTAATACGGCCATGGACACTGACAAGGTCAAGATTTGGGCGTCGAGAATGAAGGTCGGATCGCCCAAAGAACTTGCTGAGCTGGAGAAGGCCGAAAAAGAAAAGATGAAACAAAAAGTGGAACGCATCAAAGCACACGGAATCAACTGTTTCATCAACAGACAACTCATCTATAATTGGCCCGAGCAGCTCTTCACCGAAGCTGGGATAGTGAGCATTGAGCATGCCGACTTTGACGGCATCGAACGTCTTGCCCTCGTTACTGGCGGAGAGATTGCGTCTACATTTGACCATCCGGACCAGGTAAAACTCGGTCATTGCGACTTGATCGAGGAGGTCATCATCGGCGAGGACACATTGATCAAGTTCTCCGGCGTAGCGGCCGGCGAAGCCTGCACCATCGTCCTTCGTGGCGCAACAGAACAACTTCTTGATGAGGCAGAGCGGTCGTTGCACGATGCTTTGGCCGTGCTATCACAGACAGTCAAAGAACCTCGCGTCACTCTTGGTGGCGGATGTGCCGAAATGGTCATGGCCAAAGCTGTGGACTCACTGGCGCAGAAAGTTGGCGGCAAGAAACGCATCGCCATTGACTCGTTCGCCACGGCGCTGAGACAACTACCTACCATCCTTGCAGATAATGCTGGGTTGGACTCGTCGGCGCTTGTATCGGAGCTAAGAAGTGAGGTGTACCGTGGCATGACGAGTAGCGGGCTCGACCTGCTTACGCCCGGCGGCGGCATTGCCGACATGCGCGAACTCGGCGTCATCGAGAGCTACAAGCTGAAACGTGCGGTCGTCAATTCCGCAAGTGAAGCTGCTGAGCTGTTGCTGAGAGTCGATAACATCATTCGTGCGGCCCCGAGGAGGAGAGAACGCATGTGAAGCCCTCACCCAATGTTGTGATGACTGTAACATCACATAGCTGGGCGTACTTCCTCGGTGCTCGACCCATCGCCTGCGGCTGCGACGCTTTGCACCAAGCTGTCGCCCTCGCTCCGCATGTTTCGATCGTCTGCTGATCGTGTGGGACTGATCGGAGGACACCACTGAACACGACAGAACAAATGCATGTCTTGGGGATGAAATGTGCGTGCATCTGGTGGTCCCTCCTTGAAGGGAGATATGCGAGTATGTGCTGTGCTGTTGTTGTGATTGACCTGGCTAGCACGGAGCATCGGCTGGTGATGGTGAACCGAACGAGCACTGAGTTGTGCTCATCCAAGAGGTCGTATGGGCCGCAGATCCCGAGACTGAGTGCAGGACCGGAACGATGCGCATGATCATGATTATTCTGACCACGCCAGCACAGTGTCAGGTGTCTGTGTTAGTCCAGCATGTCTACCAGAATCATCGTCTTGTGGTGACGCAGAGAGTTTAATCCTGTGTCCCGTGAGCAAGTTTCTGAAATTCTGCCTCCGCACGTCCTCCACGGTGTCTATGTTTGTATGACTGAGGATGCCACGTGAGAAACACATGTCTAACTAGAACCAGAATCGTTGAACCCCTAAAAATTACAAATCAATCGTGTGTCAGGATCATGTGGACGATGAACGGATTTTACTTGTCTACATTTGCTCAAAGTATCTTTCCAGCCTGAATCGCTCGACCAAACCCTTCTCCAGCAGCAGACAATGGCAATTGATCAACAAGCTCGGGAAGCGCTTGGCCCAGAACTCGTAATAACCCTTAGTGCTACCCCCAAGCATCAGCTCCTTGACATCGTCAGGCAGATCATGGAAATGGTTCTTCTTGTTCCTAATCACCCGCAATAGATCAATCATCTTGGATCCCATGTACTTGCGCTGCTTACCCATCTCGCTGATAAAACTCTTGGGCAAAGCCCGATGGAAGTCCTTGGACAGTCCGATGACATTGGGCGCCAGTGCTTCGAGGGCGGCGAGTCGTTCGAGAGACACCTTTTCCGCAGGAGTGCGGACCGCATTCTCGTCGAATATGTTGTTGATCGAGGTCTTCTCACGCTCGAAGCAGTCCGACACTTCGCACAGGAACTCTAGCTTGTCCGCCACGTCCCAGAAGTACGGGTGGCGGAGAATCTCGGTCGTGTCGGGGCGCTCTCGGGGATTGTGCTTGAGCATTTGCAGGACCAGGTCGTCGGCATCGTATTCGTACTCGTGCAGCCGTAGATCTTCGGTGCTAAAGTTGTTTTCCTTGATGTTCAGGTCACGACCGAGACTTGTGCCGCCTACGTCAAAGGGATGGTGGCCCTGAGTCATAACATAGTAGAAGACACAGCCCAGCGAGAAAATGTCGATGGCTTTGGTTGCACGACGGCCAGATGGGGGATCAAGGACGGTTCCATCGCTTGAATGCGTTGTCGACTTGGACGCAGTGGACGCTGCGTTTGGTGCTGCAACAGCCGCGCGAGAATGTACCAGCAGCTCTGGCGCTCTCCAGCCTGTGGTGCCAGCGGCTGTGTGATTTGCCGTCGGTGCAAATGTCGACTCGGGGCCTTCCTCCAACGGCTTACAAAGCCCAAAATCGGAGATGACGAACTGCAACTTGGGCAAGCCGGTCGCGGGACGCTGGCTTTTGACCGCCTTGACAAGAACGTTTTGAGGCTTGATATCCCGGTGAACAAGCTTGAGCGAATGCAGATGGGCAACGCCATCCGTAATTTGACGAAGGCAGTCCTTGACATCGAACCCCTCGGGCAACTTAACCAGGTTGGGGTACTGAAGCGGACGTTCGATGAACTGGTCAAGTGATGTCGTGAACAGCTCCAGGGCGATGTAAGTAAAGTGCTGTGACTCTTCCTTTCCGAAATACCTGATGACATGCGGATTCTCATCGCTGGAAAGGAGATGCTTGATTTCCTTTGCAGCGAGACTGTTCGAAGTCCGAATCAACCGCTTGACAGCAATCTCGCGGCCGTCCAGGGATCCAGGAAAGACAGCAGTACCATTACTACCGCGGCCTAGACATCGTTCCTCACTTGTATTGATCTTCAAGCGACCAACTTGTAACAGACCATCCTTGGTGGGAACTTCGCTTGTGAGCAGTACGTTCTCGTCCATGGCTTCAGGATCCATGGTCTTCTTTGCTTTCTTGTTTTTCTTGCCACCTCGTTTCCCGCGCTTGGCAAATCTACGACGAGGCTGAGATCCATTCTCGGCAGTCTCATTTGACTCGGGTTCTTGCTTGCTCTTATCATCCTCAGACTCAGCTTCCGAACTCTCTTCATGAGATTCTGTCGTTTTCACGTTCCTAGGTGTGCTGGTGAACGAGACGACACTGCTTTGTGCACGGCTTCTAGCAGGCGTCACGGTAGTGTCTTCGAGTATGTCGGACACAGCTTTCGCAATGTTGTCTTTATTCTTGACCTGAACGACCGAAATTCTTGATTCGACGGGTAGGTCCAGACCTGGGCTTGGGCTTTGAACAAAAGGCTTCTCCAACGCCACTTCCACACCAGATCTGCGAAGGAATTGCTGAACCTTCAGCATGATCGGAAGCTTCAATTGTAGTCCGACGACAAAAAGGAGCACACTGGCTACGATGAAACCGAACACCGAAGGCCACTGCTTGCTCATCACCGGGAACAGAGAGGGAGTAGGTTTGGGATCAAGAGATGCCATAGCCTTTTCTGCCTCTAGCGCTAAGTCTGTGACTGGCGGCGGAGCTGATATTGTGAGGCGTAGGGGAGTATCGCTCTCCTCGGTGGAGAGCACATGAACTCCAACAATTTCTTCCATGTCGCCAGTAAGATCGAGCGGACGATTGTCATAGTTCCAATGAGAGCTTGCGGGTGCGGCACCACTAGTGACGCCCGGATATGAAAGTTCGGACATGGCGTACCATACTCCGGCCTCTGTTCGATTTACGAAGACCCTTTCGGCTCTTTGCATTTCGTTTCGCCATACTTGGGGCGAGGCCACCAGTGGTGAATCGGTCGGACGACTTAGCAAAACCAGATTGGCCGAACCTTCTCGATTATGTTGTGGGCGAACCACGTCGAAAACTCGAGCTACAGGGGTGTCCAATCTCTGAGTGAATCTTTGGACATGGGCGGATTCTTGTGTGCTGTCGACTCCAACGACCCGCCCATTGTAGAAGCTCTGAATGTGGTAGTTGTCAAGTGGTGCAACATATTGGTCTTGAAGGTCACTGTCGGCTTTGTTGGGAATCCACTCAGCGAATTTAATGGTGCACAAAGCCTGGTTGGTAAGCTTGTGCGCTATCTGCACAGTGTACTCGACGCGTCCAAGGTTGATCGTACCCAGTGGTTCGAAGGCAGGGTCATCCAACTCGAAGCCGCTCAACTTCCGACAGCTTCGGCTTTGATCGTCATTGGCAAATCCGTGATACTTGTCGAACTGCTGCAGAATGTTTCCCGTAGCGGCATCGACCACATATGCCGTTGTCTCCTGGGAGGATATCGTGACCAAAGGGGGATCGTCCACAAATTGGGGAGTAGATTCTGCAAGAGATCTGACAGTCACTTTCAGCCGTTGCAGGCCAATTCTCGGGTCTCGGTGCTGAATGTAAAGATTTCCATCCTTGCTGGGCTCAACGATAAACATGTAATCATCTTCAATTTGTGAGCAGTCCTCCAGATCACTTCGGTTCAGCTTGTGATGGATCGTCTCAACCATGGGACTATTTGGAATCCCAAGAGACCATCTTTCTTTCCCACTTGTTCTATCAAGGGCGTGTATGTTGCCATCAATTGTGGCTAGGAGGACAATATTCTCCACCTCCCAATCTTGCAGCAGCCGCGCTGAAAGAAGCGCTAAGAGTCGAGAGGACTCGGCAGACTGAACAAGAGGTGCTCTAACAGCGCTATTGCTATCATAGGCTGGAGCCAAGGCACGGAGTTTGTGATTGTCGATATTTTCGTCGGTGCTTCTGAACTTGACGGTGCTAATGTCGTGGTTCAATAGAGGAATCTCGGCTGGGCTGCGGCCAGGCTGAGGACGTCGGTTCGAGTCAGAGCGAACACTCGGTGTGGATGCTACCAGGCGTTGAACTGATTCGGGATGATGGATCGATTGAGGGCGAGCGGCGGCTATGATCAGGAAGAGTAAGGCCCAGGTGAGCATTGATTTGGATCCTCCACGTCGGCCTCCTGGTGGCCGAAGCGGAGGTTTGGTCATGTTGGGCCAGAGGTGACTCCAGTAAGATGGTCCGTGATACTCTTTTATATTGTCATAACCATACTCTCGTGTGGAAGGGTGTGTGTTGAGAGAAGGAAAGGCTGTCGTTGTGGTTTGGAAGAAAAGAAGTCAGCTTACAAGTGGTGGTAGTACAACGGAAGGGGGGAACTGAAACTCTTGGGAGTGCGCGGACAGAATGAAATGGTTGGGTACGGCAGTGCAGCAGGTTCCAACATTCCCACTATTATCACCTGGGCTTTGCTACGGAGTCCGCCCTTGATCCTTTTTGGGGGAGGGAGCCTCCTCCGCTCGATCGCTTCGGTTAGGCTTTGTTCGTGCCCCTGCAGCCACTCAGCCACTGGCACTTTTTCTGGTGCCTTCGAGCTAAAAACCCACTGATGAGTAGGTACGTTCCAGGCACGAAAAATGAACCTCGTCTGACAAGACGTCCATTTTTATCCTGGGGAAATCTTCACAACTGGAGAAGAAAACAACCTGTTACAGTCACATATTATGAGTATTTATTACGGAGTAGAGCCACTTAATCCATTGGCGAATTTTCTGAGTGACTGCCTGGACAAGCTCCCGAACAGAAGGATATGGTTTCACGAGAGAGGGATTGATGTCGATATAAAAAGGCATACACGTTTGACCCTTGAAGTGGCAGCGTCAGGCGAAACCATTCTTTTTCGCATCCACGACCTGAATCAGCCCACTGTCTTTTGCTGATTTGTTCGTGTGTCTTTCAGGCAATACTTAAATTTACACATGCTCCTCGAATTGAACATTTATGATGCATTCCCACGTCCTTTTGTCCCATTCTGCTCTTCTGACCATGCTACATCCTGGAACGCAAGCAAACACATTGAAATGTATGAAGCTGAGTCTTTAGTCATGCTTTCCCGTGAGACGCCGAAACCCTTTCTCTCCTGAATGCTGCATCGGTTGACATCCTTCAAAGTCTGGTTGACATTTCGATCGTCGACTTTTGTTCTCCAGTCCGGTAAGATGCTCGGACCAGACCAGCTTTCATACCTCACAATCTTCTTTTTTCGCTCTGCACTAATCGTCATCATGCAACTTTGCTTCCAGCATGCTATTCGTTCCGAAGTTTTGACCCGGATTGGAGATAGAGCACATTTTGAAAATCTCGACAAAGTCCTTCAGGGAAGCTTGAACTCATCATTGTGCAAGAGGAGCTGAGTGCTCGTGACTATCATTCACCTCAAGCAGATAGCATGGTGAGCCGACCACTCCACCAATCTTCATATCCATGTCATGGTACCGGCACAGACAATTCCATTGCTCAAGCTGCCCATAAGACAGTGAGTCTCCTAGTCATACCTCATCACTCGTCAATATATCGCATTTTCGGAGCGCGTATTTGTACAGTTATGCAGACCTCAGTCTCTTTCACTACCTAAGTGGTGAAAACGACCCTCATTCATGCCATTGTTGACCAGTAAGCCGCATGCTCCTGACGAACACATATCCATGGAGCCGAGGAACTGTCCGAGGTGACGCCAGACACGTGAAACGCACAGACAAAAAGGGCGAGCTTCCAAAACGTCACATAGAGTGTTCTGAGGACCAAAGTAGAGCGCTGGATCACCGTTAGAAGAAGACGACATACTGGCCCTTCTCGTTCCTCCTGACCCGCAAAGACCTCCACAACTCATCCTCCTCTTCCGCCTTGCCCGACCCACTCCGAACATCATTATTCTTATGCCATCGCTTGAGCATCTTGTGGATCGAATAGCCCTTGTCAGACTCCATTCCCGGAGCATTGGCAAGAAAACTGCGGCATGATCGTTTCATCTTTTCCTCCGCCCCAAAGACGACCATTGCGCCGTTGGAGCCTTTGCGTTTGTCGCCTGTTCGTCGAGTACCTTCTGAATCAGTATCCGAGGCGGAGTCGTCGTGCTTGTGGTACTCAATAGCCTTCATCTTCCGCCCGGTGCCTTGCACTTGAGAATGTGATGGTGAACCGTCATCATCGGTCCGGTGCCGTGACTTATGCTCCTGGCGTACATTTGCTGACGCTGTACCATTGTGGCGCTGGGCTTTGTGTTTCTTTCTCTCGCGCTTTTCTCCCTCACGAATTCGGACCAGACTTGAGGTTTGATCAGAAGAGCTTGCTCGCCTCCGCGTGCGATTGGTGCCTTGTTGACTATCGTATTGAGACCCAGGAAGAAGAGCTCCCCCAACCATGGACAGAGCTTTGACAGCACGACCTTTAATTGAAATGCCCAAGCCGTTCGGATCCTCCTTGGTATGACGAGTTCGCTTGAGTGGTGAAGTAGGATCTTCTGATTTTTGGGGTCGGCGGCTGCTATGGGTTTTATCGCTAGTCCGTCGTCTGTCCTCGGTATCAGGCGATCGGCTGGATGGGTACTCATCCACCTCGGTCAGCATCCGATTCAAGCCTCCTGTGAGGCCTGAATGAACGATACCGTGTGCATCGGCTTTCACGGTGTCTACCATCAAGGTGTCTCTTTCCAATTCGTGAAATTGGTCATCGGTAGGTCGCTTCCGCTTCTTCTCACTTCCGCTGTTAGTCCGACTGTGTACGCGAGGGCGCTCTTTTTTGTCCAGCTTGGATTTAGCTTCCTTTGCCGCTGGTGTCATGAATTCAAGTGACAACGCGCTTCCATTCATGTCCAATGCCCCACGAGGCTTGACGGGCTCTGTACCCCAAGTGTAGCCCTTCTCTTCATACTCCTGATTATGACTTTGCTCTTCCGAGTTTCGATATCCATTCTGGCTCGGAGCGCGACTCTCGGAAAAAATAGACGGCGCACTGTTCTTCATAGACATTTCCCCCTTGTCCTTTACTGTATAACTTTTTTGCGGTGTACCCGGTTGACTTTCGTCCACCATATAATCGAAGACACTGTCTTGGGAGGGGTCGGTGACTGCTGGAGGAGGTGTAGGTGCGTGAGGAGGTGTGTCAACATCGAGGGCGTCTTCGACGTATGCGGGACGCGGCACAAGAGCTTTGCTATTGTCCGGTTCCACGATAGAGACAGACTTTCTCTTTGCAGCCTTAGAAGGCTTCTCACGGTACAGAGCGCCCTGATATTTTTGATCTTCTGTTATGCATGACTGTTACGGCATTAGCCTGCGCGATCCTTCGCGATGGGGCGCAACCCCATTTTCTTGACACACCGTATGTGACTTGTAACTTGTGCCTTGGAAAGTCGTCATGCAATCCAAGCAGGTGAATGGGGCTCGACATTGGTTGCGGTGTGAATCAAGTTTCTTCTTGGTGAGGACATCACCACACCCCTACGCGAGGAAGGTCAACGCATGTCCCGGGTCCATATTGCGCCCAAGGTACTAACCTCGCATTGGAAGGAAACCATATTGGGTAGCTGTTTGTGACTGGCGGAAGTACTAAGTGGTTATGTCGTATTCAGCGTGTCTTGTTTTGGCGCAACTGAGTGTCAGGAGCGGGCCAGTTGGGCAGCAACAACTGGAAGGTTGCACAGAAGGCCACCACTCGACTTTGCGACGCACAATCAGGCGTCAGATGGGGTCAAGAGGAAAATATCATTGCCGGGCATCAGAGGGGCAAGAAGACGTTGGAAGGGGCGTGGCATGGGTTGTATCAACATACCCCCCTTGGCAAGATTCGCGCCAAATATAAAAAATTTAAGTTGATATGCCTCCAAAAGAAACTTGGAGTCCGAGCGGAACAAACACACCTTACCCGACATCGCCTAGTCCACATAATCCACACGACCGTGACGCCTATCTTTCCAGCAGATTGTTCAGGGGTTGCGAACAGATGAGGCCTTGTTCAGCACCTCTTTCACAGAAACAGACGACGCGCCTGATCACAATTCCGCGCGTAGAGTGGTCACGAGACGCAATCAGCGACAAGTGCACTACAGTTTGATCTTGATGTCTACGTCCTAAAGGCGAAATTTTTGAGTTTGGAAGGCAGCGTAAACAAGTCGACGTCAACACACATATTGTGTGTACTTGTGCCACACCTTTACGATGCAGTTTCAACCATGATGTAGGTCGGCAGATCAGGGCATGGGGCAATGGTGAAACCACCTCTCACACCCACTTGATCCAATTAATGGCTGCAAGCCTACTGCTGATGCTTCAACCAACTCCGCAGTGAGTATCGCGCATAATGTCTGCATTCGCAATTGTGGACCACCAACTTCTGTGCCCGAGGTTCCCTGCTCGGCAATTGGCTGCTCAGACTGCCATTGGGTGTTCGATATATCCAGAACTCGGTTTCAATCAGACATCGAAGAAAACTTGGAGCCCAGCTTCTGGGGGTCATTTCAGATCTTCGTTGCTTTCCATAAGTCGAAATTAAGTGTGCAATCAAAATTCAATGAATGAGCTGTGTTCCGGACTGTCCATTATTCTCGGTCATGCAGAGTGCACTACCGCTTTGAGGGGATTTGAGGATGCCGAATGGTTCTACCATCAGCTTCCTAATCAATTAATATACAGCTGCCGCCTGGAATATTCAGGCTGTAACGAGGCCAGCCAGGTAGTCAATGTGACACCGGATCTCAACGACTGCAGAAAGGATCTTTGGTCACAATCGCAGCCTCCTACCAATCGCTCCAAAGCAGATGCTCGTGCAGAAAAGAATACTCGCCAACCAAGTATATACGCCAAACTTTTCCGAGGCCATCGGCTGATGGATTGCCGGGACTGGGACGAAGTTGGGATCCACCAACAGCAGGAGCAGCGTACCAATGAGGCTGACTGCTGCGGAAAAGGCGAAGCCAGGCAACGATCGATCAATCAGGTACCACAAGACAGGATTTGCCAATGCCAAGGTCAGAGCAACTTGTAGCGTTGACTGCCAGGGAAGACGACGCTATCAAGGCAGCATGTCAGTACAAATGGACACGCACGGAGAGACTGAAACCATACCATAGCAAAGGCAATGCCGACAAAGACACCTATGCTTCTCACCGCGGAGTACCACATAGGGCCCAGACCACTATCTGGAGCCGAGTTGGCGTTGGTACTGTCATGATTCGACGCCTTCGTGGCACCTGATGTTGACCGCTGAGTGGCTCGACCACCATTTATAGCAGGCGAGATAGTCGTTTCCCACAGCGAGTCCACTATTGGTAGCGCATTGCCCAACAAGATTCCAAATACACCCCAAGAAAGCTGGTAGTAGAGAGTGTTGCGTTCGATGTGTGGTACTGGAATTGGAGTTATATGTTGTGTTCGATGCAGGTGGGTGATGAGTGATCCATAACCAATCCCGGACCCGAACAAGAGCATTGTCTGTAGGAAAAGAGGCAGGATAAAGCCACGCAATCCCTTTCTCTTCTGTGGCAGCACAGGCTTCGCACTATCCCCAGTCCAAGTCAGGGGAGACAGTTGTGGTGTATGATCTACGCTTCCTCTCTGGGTCGGCGTTTGGGCGCCGGTCCCCCATGGTGTCGAGGACTCTTCACGTCCCGCGTCTGACCCTATAGGCGAATATATGCCCAGCAAAGTAGACGAAGTGAGATTGAGGATGGATCGAGTTCGGCTAGGCATTGTGTCAACCCTGTGACTAGAATTCTGTTCCTGGCCGATCGGCTCGGTAGCTGGGGACGGAGGATGTGAGGAGTCGGCCGAAGCAGGCGTTATCTCGAAGCCTCGCCGGGGAATTGGGCGGTAGATCTGGGGCATTTCCATGACGGGCAATGGCAGCTGTGCGAAGGTACAGAACAACACAGAAGCAATGAGGCGATGCCGGCAACAAAGAGCTATCGACTGCTCGATCGTCCACTGTGCACCACTTCAATCAGCGAGGGCTAAGTCAGAAGTCGTGGACGTGCAGGACGAGCATCTCAACCATGACGAATGGTTGGGAGGATGGAGTAAAAACGGGAAATGCAGTCAGAGTGAGGTTGGTGGAGACAACGGAAGGTGCAGGACGAGGAGAACCGCTTTCTGCTTGGGACCAACGCACACGACCTGGTTGAGTTTGTGAAAGGGCCTCGGATTTTTTCACATGTTAATCTGTATGCATGTCGGAGAAGCTGCACAAAACATTGCGAGGACTTTGTGCCTGCGCTCGGCTGGCTTGCAGATCGAGTGAAAATGATTCGAGGCCGACGTCAACATCTGCAGCAGAGCGCCAAGAGCGTTGTGTGGGAATCCGTTAAGACCATTTGGCGAACTCACGTGGGCATCATTTCTTCAGTTCTAACCTACCTCATCAGTCACTTGACAAATTCATACATCAACTTTTGATCAAGCGATTCTTGTGCACTTTTGCCGGCGAGCCTAGGCTAGATCACAGGCTATTGGCGTGACATAGAGGAGAATTCCCACAATAGCCGACGGGCTGAGCCAGACTGAAATTGAGGTCCTCACGCTCGGTTTTCCAACATGTCTCTCACGAAACACATAGACCCCGAAAATGTTCCAAATTATGAAGATATGGAGAAGCAGTTCGCTGTTAAAGCTGTTCAGCAAATGACCGTCTACTGGTCGCTTCTCGAAAAGATACCAGGTTCAAAGCTTCGACTCACCAGGTTGGACGACGAGATACTGGAGCATTTCAAACGTGAATTTCCAGATTTTGATCCTGCCGACGAGATCAACGAAGATCAAATGAAGAGCAAGGAGGGGAAGGAAAAATGGCGTAACTTTGCCATGGCGTATGAAAAGGGCGACAACAAGATCGAAGACTACAATTTTGGCACTATGTTGAGAAAGAGTCCTAGAACCGAGTATGGGGAGAAGGAAACCATGTTTGCCGTTCGAATGCAATTCTACGCGGTCGAGATTGCTCGAAATCGAGCTGGTCTCAACGACTGGGTCTACGAACATGCTCAGGACGAGGCTGCCCAAAAGGGCAACAAGAAATCCTAAGGGAATGTGAAGGCGACACTCAACAGAATTTCGGATGACAGATCTCGCAATTACCCTGGGCCTTTGGAACTGGGCCAGACCAGATTTTTCGGAAAGATGGATATGCATGATGAAAGGCATGCAGCCAGTCAGGGGAGAAAGAACATAGGGAATCTCTCTGGGTCAAACTACCGCCCGATGCTTCATCAATGCTTGCAGCATGTGGTGAGGTCCCCACTAGATGAAAGATTGCATTCCAAGAGAACAATATCAACCTGAGCCGCAGCCTTGGCGTGCAAGTAGAGCCGGCGATGATGAACGCGGGTTGGACTTTGGCTGGAAAACGGTGCAGACTTGTGAAAGCCAATGGATGAATGAGATGTCTTTTTCGAACGTCGTAGAACTCTTCAGCTACAAAACACCTGACCATTGTGTTACCTTCGCCACTGCCACGATATGGAATCAGATACTCACGAGCCTCGACACGAGCCAGACACTTTACGAAGAGACGGGGGGAGTGCTCAGGACAAAAGCAATTGGAAGGGAATTTTTGCATTTACGAAAACGCCTCATCTATACGCACTTATTCCTGCTGTGACCTTTTCAGTCGCGGCCGGGCTGTTACAACCAACTATGGCAATTGTCTTGGGCAAATTCTTCAACAATTTCTCAGAGTATGCTGCAGGCCGCATCGACGGAGCAACTCTGATGAAAGACTGTCTGATAGGTGTATATGCATTGCTAGGTCTCGGGCCGTGCACGTTACTACTGAAAGGAGGCATGTTCGTGTGCTGGGTCAAGTTTGGTGAGATGCAGGCAAAGTCCGTCCGAGAGTTGCTATTCTCTTCCTTGTTAGCCCGAGATATTGAGTGGTTCGACGTTCAGAGCACGGGAATGCCAACGTCGCTCTCTCAAATGCACATGTACGACAGAGTTCCTCAGCATATTCCAGTCTAACACTATCAGACACATTCAAGCAGTGCGCCTGGGCACTTCACAGCCTCTTGGCCTGTCCGTTTCTGCCCTGTTTCAAGCCTTATCTTCCGTTGGACTCGCCTTCCACACGAATTGGAGATTGACATTAGTCGTGCTATCCACTATTCCGGTCATGTGTATTGGGATGGCCTTGCTGTCGCGTCCTCTACAGAAATACATCGACTACCACAATGAAAAGCTTACCGCCGCAACGAGACTGGCGAATAACTTCATCTCAAACATCCTTCTGGTCAAGTGTTTCAACACACATGTCCAAGAAGGCCAAAGTTACGCTGTGGCGGTCGAAGAAGCAGCTCAACTCTGTCACAAGGCCTCCTTCTTCAGAGCAACACAAGTTGGCTATGTTCGGTTCATCAGCACCGTCATGTTCCTCCAGGGCATGTATCCCGACTCAATTGGGATGTATTCTGGCTTATGACATGACGTTAGGTTTCTGGTATGGTGGAGCTCAGATCCACTCTGGCAAGACCAATACCGGAAGGGTCATTACGACTTTCTGGGGATGTCTGATTGCAGCCAAATCGTTCGAGGACATCCTCCCTCACAGTGTCGTTCTCCATCAAGGTCAGACCGCAGCGCAGGCACTTGCATCAGTCCTCGAAACAATTGATAAAGGAAAACCACAGATCCGCAAAGTGGACGGCTTATCACCGCGATTCTGCGAAGGAAGCATTGAAATGTGTTCCGTAGGTGATCGCGACCCTTTGGGGAATGACAACTAAGTCTCAGAAAGATATCTTTTGCCCATCCATCAAGATCCGATAAGCTTGTACTCCAGGAGTGTTCTTTCTCATTCCCTGCCGGACAAACCACTTTCATCGTCGGCCAGAGCGGCTCAGGCAAAAGCACGGTTGGGAACCTGCTGATGCGATTTTATGCAGCTCAAAAGGGAACAATCACTATCGACGGAAATCACATTCAAGACATTGACACGATCTGGCTTCGAAATAACATTACATTCATCCAACAACATTGCACGTTGTTCAACGAGACCATATATACGAATGTCGCCCTGGGAAGCCAAGAGCACGAGCGTGTCACAGATGCTCAAGTGACCAAATGCTTGGAATTCGCCGCTTTGCAAAGCACCATATCAGACTTAGCAAACGGCTACGATACTTGTGTGGGTTCTGGTGGCTCTGCCTTATCTGGTGGTCAGACGCAACGTGTTGCCATTGCACGGGCGCGCTTGAGAAACGCTCCAATCCTGATTCTTGACGAAGCAACAAGCGCTCTTGATAACCTGAGCAAGTCTTCGGTCATGACGGCAATCCGTACATGGCGGTGTGGCAAGACAACCATCATCATCACCCACGATCTGGATTCTATCCGGAAAGACGATTACATGTATGTCATGGGTGCTGGGCGGATTGTACAACAAGGACGTCGTGATACGCTTGCGGACTTAGGCGGTGACCTAGCAGCCAACAGTCTGAGAGCGAATCCTGGGCAATCTTCACCACGGAGATCCAAGCCACAAGTCTTAACAGATCAGCTGCCATCGTCCCGTGCAGGACGTTGGTCGCACATGTCAGCTACTACCATCAGAGCTGATTCAGATCTGGCTATCCTTCAACTCTCCCAAACTGTTTTGGCAATCGGCAACGTTGGCGACCGACTGGGGAAGGGGATCTCAGCCAGTACTGGAGCTGCGTTGCAAAATCTGAGACGAGAATCTTTGTGTCGTGCTAAAGCCATCTACTCTATTGGGCCGGCGCAGCCTTTTGCAGATATGTTTCAGGAAACTTTGGTTGAGGCATCACTCAACACACGCAATTCGCGCAACGCCGGATCAACCTGGACGGTCGAAATTTCAACAGCGACAGATAATAAGCCGCTCCCCGTACCACCATTTGCAATTGAGCTATGGGACACTGCGGCACCGTCGGCCACTGTGGCAAGAGCATCGAGCACTTCCATGCGAGCTATACTGGTCAGTGTATGGCCTGCTAACGACACAGCCAGTCAATCCAAGCTCTTCCTGGGATTTCTGGCAGTACTCGTTCACGCGGCCTCGCCACCAGCATTTTCTTACGCTATCATCCAAATTTTTGGCACCTTCTCCATGACTGCCGGCTATCGTCAGAGGGTGCTCTTGTATTCGTTGGTTGTGCTTGGTATCGCAGCTGTTGATGGACTTGCATGTTTCGCCATGCATCATTTGCTAGAGTCTGTAAGCCAAATATGGGTGGATAGGCTGAGGAAGGAGGCAGTGAGGCGCATATTACAGCAACCCAAGGGCTGGTTCGACGACATCAGAAACAGGCCATCTTTACTTCTAGCTTCGCTTGATCACAACGCCGAGAATGTGAAGACCATTCTCGATCGTTTTTCCGCGCAGATTGTGGTTGTGGTTGCGATGATGGCTGCGGCTCTCCTGTGGTCCTTTGTTACCTGTTGGAAGATGACCCTGGCCAGTCTGGCGGCTTCACCCATTCTTTACGCCGTCACCAAGAGTTTTCAGCTAGTTTCCTCTCACTGGGAGAGACGCATGGATCCAGCAAATGCCAAAATTAATGATATCCTTCTGGAAACATTCTCAGACATCAGAACGACTCGGTCACTCACATTGGAGTCTCATTTTCACAAAAAGTATTCCGCCGCTATCAACGAGGCATTCTATCTCGGAAGTCGGAGAGCGATGTTCAGTGGCATGTTTTTCGGCATATCCGACTCAGCGGTTACCCTCTTCACCTCGATGATTTTTTGGTATGGTGCATACCTTGTCAAGCACGAAGAATGGCCGGTCAAGTCGATATTGACAGTATTCGCCCTGCTGTTGTTCTGTACGGCAAGTGCCACTGCCGTTGCAACGTACATACCACAAACCAGCGCAGCTACAGCTACTGCGGATCGACTACTTCGATTGGCTCGGATGCCTATTATCTCACATGAAGATGCTGGGCTGTTCAACTTGGACAGGCACGACACAAGCATACTTTCTGGGCCAATACACTTCATCAATCAGACATTCTATTACCCCAGTCGACCGGAGGTGGCAGTTCTTCGTCGGTTGAATCTCACTATACCTTCTGGAAAATGTACTGCCATAGTTGGTGCATCGGGCTCCGGCAAATCTACCATTGCAGCTCTCATTCTGGGCCTGTACCCTCCGTCAACCGACAATTTCGGTATCTCAGACAGTCCACCTTCTCTCACCATTTCTGGCCGAGATATCCGAACGTTGAATCTTGCTACGCTTCGATCTCTAATTGCGATTGTGCCACAGCCGCCTGTTCTCCTTCCAGCCACCGTTCGTGAGAATATCATCTACGGCTTGGAACCTGGTTCAGACCTGGCGTCGGCATCCCGCGTTGAGGCTAGCGCATGCGCCGCTGGAATCCACGAATTTATCCAGTCTCTACCCCAAGGATATGCAACTATCATTGGTGATGGGGGTTTGGGCATTTCGGGTGGACAAGCACAGCGCATCGTGATTGCAAGAGCTTTGAGTCGAGACCCGAAGATCCTTATCCTTGACGAGGCAACTAGTGCATTAGACCATGAGAGTGCTGAAACTGTTCAAAAGAGCATCATCGACCTGACCAGAAGGGAAGGTGGCAAGCTGACTGTGATTGTTGTGACCCACGCACAGGAGATGATGAGCTTTGCTGATCATGTGGTTGTTTTGGACAAGGGTAGCATGATTGAAGAAGGGTCTTTTCAAGACTTGGTGAACAGAAAAGGAAAACTCTGGGAGCTGCTTAAGACTCAGAAGCGACCTCAGAACCTCGGCAGAGCAGAATAAATGATGCTGTAGGGATCTTCCAACATGCAACACAGTCTTCGTTCCTGCAGCAAAGATGACCGGCACATGTCACCTATAGGCAAGGGTGTTGGAAGAAAGACCGAGGCAAATCGAGTTGTCATGAGGGGTCAATGACACCTGTGTGCAGACGTTTAGATGTCTTTCTCCATGATATGGAAACCTCTTTGCCTTACCCAGCATCTACGCCCGACCTCGGCTTCCAGCTTCCCGGTTGGGATACCCTTTTAACCCCAGATTCCACGCTTTTGGCCCACCACACCGCACAAACGCCACGAATGACAGCGACATATGCGGGTAACTACTGCTTCAGGGTCCTTAACGCCTTCCCCTGAACGGCCAGGCCTGTACCACTCACACAGTCCACCTGGTGTTGTCATGCAATCAGTGCTACCTATGTCGCCGCTTGCGCATATGCTTCGATTTGTGGGTTCGAAGCTCCTGTACAGGATGCACCCACCCTCTCCGCATATGCATGGCTCTGCGATGGTCATGTTGACTGCATCAATGACGCTGAGTGGGGAAGAACTTCGAATTGTGCTGAAGAACGTAGTTTTCAATGAGCAATGTGAAGTTTTCACACGATCTCCTTCATTACCGTCGACCTTTTGTTGGGTTTGTGTCTTTCAGCCACAATGCATCCGTTGCTGCATCTCTTGGTGACCGTCATCGGTCTTTCCGGCGTCGGTGATGCTGCTCCTGCTACCTCATCCAGCTCTGCCCCAACTGTGACAATAGACTCTGGAGCTGTTGTCGGAACTACGACAGTGCTCGCTGGGGCTCAGGTCACGGTTGAGCAATATCTGGGCATACCGTTCGCTGCATCCCCTACACGTTTCGCACCGCCAGCCGAACCGACGTCGTGGCAATCACCTTACCAGGCTACCAAATATGGCCCAGCCTGCATTCAGCAGTTCAACTACCCCGAGGCCTCGCGCAATGCATCGATAGCATGGTTTGACACTCCACCTCCTCCGGCGGGAGAAAGTGAAGACTGTCTGAATCTGAATGTCTATGTTCCCGCAACACCAGGGAAAAACAAAACAGTCATGGCTTGGATATATGTGCGCAGCTTGTTTGATGAAGGCACTGGACATTTTCCTGACCGTTCTTAGGGTGGTAGTTTGCAATTCGGATACAACTCTGCCATATACTATGATGGCTCATCGTTCGCAACAAACCAAGATGTCATCATAGTGACCTTGAACTATCGAACGAATGGTGAATGCATGTCCCGCCATGCCCAAACAGTCTGCTAATGCGTTGATACTCCAGTCTTTGGTTTTCCAAACTCGCCAGAGCTACCTTTAACCAAACGCAACCTGGGATTCTTGGATCAACGTATGTACTGTCGCAAATCGTGTGTGCAACACGTTCTGAACGCCTTGCAGGATTCGCTCTTGACTGGATACAAAGAAACATTGCGGCCTTCGGTGGTGACCCCCAAAAGGTCACGATTTTTGGTGAAAGTGCCGGTGCTGCCAGGTTCGAACGGTCCACTTGCTTCTCAACCTTCTGCACTAATGCTAACGTCAACGTTCAGCGTAGATATCCTGGTTACAAGCACACCACAAAATCCGCCGTTCCGCGCAGCGATCATGGAATCCGGCCAGTCATCCTTCTACATCAACCCAACGAACGCGCCTACCTCCTGGCTCACCCTCGCCGCGGCCTTGAATTGCACTCAAGCGTACCCACAGTCCAATTTGACTTGTCTACGCGCGGCTAATGCATCCATCATCAAATCGACGATCGAGCACCTTGCGTTGGCATTCACTCCGGTATCCGACAATGTTACAATGCTTCGTTACCCTGAGGCGGCGCGAGTGAACAAGAGCATCGCACCCGTTCCCATTTTGAGCGGCACTAACGCCAATGAAGGCACAATTTTCACTGTCGGCATGAGCGATGCTTCGGCTTACCTCGTTTCAACCCTCGGAAACCAGACGGCGCTCATCCAGGACATTCTCGCTGCGTATCCGCTTGCCCCAGCAGCCCAGCTCGCGGCCATTGTGACGGATTTCGCCTTCACGTGTCCTGCGGGCGTTCTATCCAACGATTCGCACGCCGTTGATTTCCCTACGTGGCGATACTACTTCAACGCAACGTTCGCAAATACACAAGCTCAATTCTTTCCAGGGGCTGGGGCGTACCACTCCTCAGAGATTCCTATTGTTTGGGGTACGTATCCGCGCGTCAATGCCACGGCCGAGGAAGCAGGGCTCAGTCAATACATGCAGACCTCGTGGGCGACATTTGCGCGAAATCCGAGTGGAGGACCTGGTTGGACGGGCGTGCCGAATGTTGCGGCATTGAGCAACGGGTCTGTATTGATTGAGCCGATTGCTGCAGGTGTTGTGGATCGAAATTGCCAGTTCTACCGGCCATATTACAATGCGGTCGGTATCGCTGTGCAGGGCGCAGGAAGTGGGTGATCTAGAAGAATAACGAACACCTATCAGGGCTACTATGTTTCCTGTTGCGAAGATGGTGAAAGCCACTTCAGGACCAAGAATGATTGTGTAGTCAACCTTGCCTCGGATAAGTACATTTCAAACATGTAATGCGAAACATCTTCTCGAACAGGAACAATGCACCATGGCTGGGAACCTGTAAGCAAAAGGGACCATTTATGTATAATACGCCCGGAGGAGCAGTCTTCGTGCATTTCTATTCTTGAATGTTCTGGTGGGTGAGGTGTTTCAGAAATCAGAAGAGAGAAAAACATCGAATTGGTCCAATCAAACCACGTTGAACTGCCAAGATATTTTTCTTCCGGCAATTAAGCGGGCCATGTTTCTTCTGTACTATCATTCCAAATCTTCAACACTCAGCCTTGTCTACACCTTGAATACTCCTCGACGATCACGCATTAGCAGTCATGTCGGATGGGCAATCCAAGAAAAGATCACGAAGCCCAGATGCTGAACTTGGCAGCGACTCCTCCGATGACGATTTTGGACCGGCCTTGCCCTCTTCAGTTCCTCCCAAGAAGAAACGAAGACTTCCATATGAATCGTTGTATGTGGCTGCATTGCCCAAGGGTCCGAGATACTCCAAGTCGTTAATGCACAAAGACCAGGTCTCTACCGTGACCATTGCCCCGAGCCCCGCAGACTTTGTCATCACGACCTCGATAGATGGAGTCGTGAAATTCTGGAAGAAGATTGCTAGCGGCATCGAGTTCGCCAAAGAGTATCGGGCACATGAAAGCCGCATCATCACCTCAAGTATCAGTGTTGATGGATCATTCTTTGCCACCGCTGGCGACGACGACGACAAGACGATCAAAATTTTCGATGTCATCACCTTCGATTTGTTGTCGATTCTCAACCTTGAAGAAGCACCGACCTGCATCTGCTGGGTACACCGACGCGGGAAATCGCCCGTACTTGCAATAGGCACGGGCAAGCACATCCAGATCTACGACGGCCGTGGTGAATCGCAGACACCCATGCATACGCTTTCATCTCTTCACCGAGCACCTGTCGTGGCTATGGCTTACAACCCGGCCTTCGACTGTGTGATATCGGCAGACTCCAGTGGCATGATCGAGTATTGGCAACCTGGAGACAACTACGAAAAGCCTGACACCGTCTTCAAGATGAAGTCTACCACCAATCTATTCGATTTCAGAAAGGCCAAGTCTGCCCCATGCTCTATCACGATATCACCATCCGGTCATCAATTCGCGACAATATCATTTCCGGATCGGAACATTCGCGTCTTCGACTTTGCTTCGGGCAGACTCTACCGCTCGTACGATGAATCTATCGAAACGATCGTGGCCATGCAACAAGCTGGTACTGCGCTTCAGAAGCTCGAAGAGGTCGAGTTCGGACGGAGACTGGCAGTGGAACGCGAACTCGACGATCCGGTCATAAGGTCCCGCGTCAATGTGGTGTTCGATGAGTCCGGCCACTTTATTGCTTATGGATCTTTGCTGGGTATCAAAGTCGTCAACACTCTGACCAACCGTGTGGTCAAGGCATATGGCAAGGATGAACCATTCCGTGCGCTTAACGTAGCTCTGTATCAGGGAGCTCCTCAGAAGAAAGATGTGGTAACGGTGTCAATGGCCGCTAGCGCAAATCCACTCTTGGATGAAGCTGAACAAAGAGATCCCATGCTATTCGCGACAGGGTACGGCAAGGTTCGCTTTTACATGTTCACGAACGAAGAGGAGGTCGGCAAGTCGACGCGAGATGTCCAGAACGAGAAACCTCGGATGCTGGGTGGGAAGAGGAAAGAAGCTAAGCAGGCTCAGACGGGAACTTCGGCGATTCTTCATACAAACTACGGCGACGTTCATATTAGGCTGTTTCCTGACAAGGCGCCGAAAGCAGTCGAGAACTTTGTCACCCACGCCCGCAACGGCTACTACAACAGCACGATTTTCCACAGAGTCATCAGGAAATTCATGATCCAGGGTGGAGATCCTTTGGGCGATGGCACAGGTGGTGAGAGCATATGGGGTAAAGAGTTCGAGGATGAGTTCTCCGATCTGAGGCACGACAAGCCGTACACTGTGAGTATGGCAAATGCAGGGCCGAGTACCAATGGGTCACAGTTCTTTATCACGACCGAGAAGACGCCGTGGTTGGATGGCAAGCATACTATCTTCGGCCGAGCATACCAGGGGCTGGATGTGATCCATCAGATTGAGAATGTGAAAGTCAAGAAGGAGAAACCTGAGGATGACATCAAGATCATTAACATCTCCGTTAGTTAGACAGGTGCCATTGGTTTTGAATCTGGTGTCCTCCGGTATCTCAATGTCCTCTTAACAAAGGCTTACGGACCAGGGGTGTTCCAGTAGCATTGTTTGTCATGTAGGTGGTTCTCATATGCGCACTCGACCATATAACTTCGGTCTCTGATAGGTTGAAGGCAGTTGGCGGCACAACAGCAAACAGCAGACTGAGATTGATACAGCAGGTGGCCTCATCCAACGTCAACGGCCAATGCTATCACAACATATGCGAAGCACTCCGGGTACAAAACGACCAATGACATCCACTTGTACCTGGAGAGCGACAGCGGCCAGACGATGCCATTTCTGCCCCTGCAAACGGCCTCACCCTCGTCTGACCGCCCACAGAAAAGTAAAATGTTCACGTCTTGGCGACCCACCTTCTCCGCATTTCAAAAACCTTTTCTTCTCCCAAAGAGCGTCTCAGTTTCTCCGCTGACATACGCGCCATGGTCAAATCAGAAGTGGCCGTTCGGGCCGACGATGACTCGATTGCTGACAAGGCGCGCATACAGTCGAAACACGATAAGGCTCTATCTCGCCGCGAACGCAAGCGTGAGCGCAAGCGCGAGCGCAACAAGTCTTGGAGAAGAATGATACGGGAATCTCGACGTGTACCGACCGATACTCTAGCCAAAAATTCTACTATCATTACTACGCCTACGAAACTTAGTACTACTAGGCTTACGGAACCTACTACTACGACGACTTCGAAACCTACTATCACTACGGCTACTAAAACTTCTACTACGGCTACGAAACCTACTACTACTACTACTACTACTACTACTAAGATTAATCCAAAGAGTTCCCCTACGCCTGCAGCTACAAATCGAACTACCACGACGATCAAGAGCCCTACTTTACAGACAGCCAGGACTCTCAAAGAAGTATTCATTGTCATGGAAAAACAGTGGGCGGCCGACGAACAAAAAGCTGCAGCTGATGCACGGGCTCGAGAGGCCGCGAAATCAGCACCCAGACCAACCAGCATTTTTGATCTGGAGGACTCATCGGAGTCCGAGAGCGACAGCGAATGACCGGGACATAGGTCTAGTGATCATTGGAGAGCAGCTTGTGCGGTGACAGTTGACTACGGCGAACATTGAGGACAGAACTGGTGGTGATGGAACAGAGACCGTGCTATGACAGTTTTTTCCAGGCAGCCAACTGTGCTGGCTAAGCAACTCAGGTGCATTGCTTCTGTACCTGTATCGTAATTCCTGGACAATCGAGTTGCTGAAAACCCCCATCGAAAAGTTTCTCAACTTGCTCGATTATTTCATTTGATGTCTATTTCGTGCTTTGGCTCTGTGCTATCTCGTGACAGACCTGCTTCGGCATGAGGACAAGGACATGCCCATTGAACCGTGTCATACTAAGGTTGTTACAACACTAGACCACTGCCTCGCTCAATAGCCTTGCACCATCCTCGGACCGCGCAAGTCTGGTCATCTGCAATCACATCGCATGGCCAAGATGGAGCTCAGCGCATCCCCGAACAGTCATAGAGAAAGCGCCAGAACATCAGCATTCTCTATGACTGTCCGCTTCGTGTAAGGCGAACTCCACCCACGACGCTCTTACAGCATCTTTGCTCTTACTTCAAGTGCTGGAGGGAATGCCGCATCCTAGCAAAGTCTATTCACATCCTCGCCAGAAGCGGCGCCGTACGCCTGCTCCTTCCATACCATCTCTCTTCGTCTCTTCAAACCTCGATCTGCGTGACAGTAACCATCGGTTCGATCAGGACTCCCTCCTAAGAAGACTCGGGTTCAATGGTGTTCCCTGCAACGATGTTTGCCCAACCAATCAGGCGCCAATGCTTTTCTATTCTTCGACTCAGCGCGATCTTCTCGCCGATGGCAGTACAGGCAGGGTTGGTGAGCGTCAGCTTCGCGGCATCAGCCTTGACGCCCATAACCTTTGCACCCGTTGCCGTGCTGCCGATGTTGACCATAAGCACTTCGTTCTTGGCCAACTTGGCCACCTTGGCTTGCTTGCCATCTGCAGTCTTGACGCCGAGCAGCCTTCGGAGCAGGAAGTAGTTGACTTCAAGTTCCATATAGATTTCAGGCAGATTGCCCCTCAGACCCAATACGTGGCCAACAAGACGATCTGCTCTGCAGAGAGTTGGGTCGACTCGTGTACCGACACCGATCAGACCTCCAGGAACGGCGAATTTCAAGTCATTGTGTTCGGCAAACAAACTGACCACGCGGGACATGATGGGGCGGCATATTGTTTGACCCATGGCGTCTTTCGTGATAATACCAGGACGAATTTCGATCTCATCGCCGAGTTTGAGGACACCCGTCAGGATGGAACCACCAGCAACACCACCTTTGAGGTCTTCGATCTCCGCGCCAGGCTTGTTGACGTCAAATGATCGGATGACGATCATGTGGGGAGCGGTGGTGAAGTTCCTGATGGGAACGGGGATTTTGGTGACCAGGTACTCGTTGATGGCGTCAATGTTGTATTTTAGTTGAGCGGAGATGGGAATGATGGGCGATCCATCAGCGACAGTGCCCTTGATGAACTTGAGGATAGACTCGTAGTGCTGCTGGGCACCCTCTTCCCGCATAAGGTCCACCTTGTTCTGCAGGATGATGATGTGGTTGAGTTTCATGATTTCGATGGCTGCAAGATGTTCCGAGGTCTGCGGTTGAGGACAGCTTTCGTTACCAGCAATGAGAAGCAGAGCAGCGTCCATGACTGCAGCGCCTGATAACATTGTACTCATGAGAATGTCGTGGCCGGGGCAGTCGACGAAGGACACATGCCGGAGCAAACGGTATGTGCCGCCACATCCTTCTCTTTCGCAAGAAGGGTCAACCTCCTTTTCACTCTTGTAACTCTTGTAGCATGTTGGCCGGGGGCATTCTGCATTGTCACACTTGTAGATTTTGGCATTCGCATAACCTAGCTTGATGGTGATATTCCGTTCCAGTTCGTTCTTGAATCTGACAGTTTGCACTCCCGAGATGGCTTTTACCACAGTCGACTTTCCGTGAGCGACATGGCCTATCGTTCCGATGTTTATTGTGGCTTGTCTGGCGATGATCTCGGGAGACAGGGGAGTCAGTTTGGAGACGTCGAGGTCTTTTGGGTCTGGTTGTTCGGGCAGAGTAGGTCGGGCGGCTTGAGGTTCTGGAATGGGTGCTGAGGTTCCCTTCTTCAAAGCGGATTTGGGAGGCTGATTCGTCTCTTCAATTTCGTCGACATCGTTCTCATCACCAGGAGGAGTTCCGGGCTGGGAAAATTCATCATCGGAGGGAAGGTCGCCGTTAGTAGCCATGGTTGTGGCGGCCGTTGAGTCACCAACGCAGACAGATCTGATCGGAGAATTCGACTTGCGAGGCTGGGGTTGGGCAGTCGAGGAGTTCTTCTAAGGAACTTGTGCACCGTATAGTGAACTGGCAGGGAAGGCTACTAGAATGTAACCGATGTCGACTTCCTGACGGCAAATGAAGCAGTTGAAACGACGTTGCGGCGGGATGGAAATTTGTGGCATTTGCTTTCTTCGATGGTCACGTGAACGTGTTCGGAAGCAAGGCCAAGACTTGATATAAGTTCACCAGCCTCCACACCATCCTCTCCATCTACCAGGCACGTAGACGGTGACGGCGTTTTTCTCACTGTCTAAAGCAATGAGCGAAGCTGACGCCATGCTTGTTCTTCCATACTCATCTGTAAGTACGCATGTCGAGAAGATCGAAGGCTGTATTCCAGTCTAGAATCTATCGAAGTCTACCGTGTTCAGGTAACCAGTTCAATTGGCCGATCTAATTTTCGTCCATTTTATCCTCATTCCCATCAACAATCTCAAAACCCTCACTTCCTTCAACATCCTCAGACTCATCATCTTGCTCATCGTCCTCCTCATCCTCACCATCGTCTTCATCATCATCAATAGTCTTTAAACCATAGTCGTCCTGAAAGTGATTCAGATCATGGATTTCCGGCAAGAATCCAGCACCTTTCAGGCCCTCCGCGATAGCCTAAAACTACAGTCAGTCACCATTCAATGAACAAGAGCACACGGACTCACCTCCTTCAATCCAGGCGCGCACGTGATGAAGATATCCGCCGTACCCGGCGTGAACATATCATACACCACGCTCTTTAAGGCATCTTTGATATCCTCCACCTCCACGGCCCTGACCTTCTTGAGTAATCTCTCCATATGATCCTCTGGCAAGCCCTTCATTACCGCTCGGACGAAGCTCGCTCCCGCCGCACTAGCCAACGTCTGTTGCTCGTTCGCAAAGGCCACGACGATGCTGCTGATGGCTCCTTCGAGCATTAAAGGATCAAACTCAATCTCTCCCATCATGTGCCCACGCACCACTTTCTGGCTTGCTTCGAAGGCCTTGTACGCGTCCGGCGATCGGTACACGTCCAAATGGATATACCCGGAATCAATATCATAGCCCATGTTCGTGCCGTAAGCAAGACCAGTGCCGCGTACTGCAACCCAAAGAGGACCCTCGACTGCATTCATATACGCCATTGCAACCATGACTGCAGGCATTTTCGGGTCGTCATAGGAAGTCGGCCCTCGTGCTGCCGCATACGCGAACGAGGAATCGATCGTTGGCATCGGCACCACGTAAGCGAGGCTCCCTGGGGTCTTGCCGGCCGCGCTTAATCGATCAATACGTTTGCCAACAGGCGCGAGCTTTTTGTTCGTCTCCATGCCTTCCAGAAACGAGTCCCAGGCGCTGACTGGCTCTTGCACCTGGTCAAGATCCGTAATGACTAGAACTCGGTAGTTCTCAAAACGGCAGAGATGCCCGCGCAACCGCTCCAGTTGACGCACCACCTGATCCGGGTCAGTGGCCAAGAGCTGCTTGATGCGTCTAAGATAAAGCGCCTTCACCAGTGTGCTCCGGGCACGACCGATCGATTTTGGAGCCAGATGGGTCATCACACGGACGGCTGTCATCATATCATCACCACTGCGCTTCGCATCGGGCACGTCGGCAAGCAGTCTTGTGTTGATTGCCTTTAGCCGCTCCACATCGAAGATCGACTTGTACAAAAGCTCGCTCAACCACTTGATGGCGACCTTGTACTTTTCCAGTTCAACTTGGAAGCTCACTCGGATGCCTTCGCTGTTTCCTAGACTGCCGGCAGAGTCGATGTTATAGCCGACCGTATCTCGCTCGAGCTCGACCACGACTTGCTCAAAGTCAATGATATTTGATCCACGCTTGACAGGCAGATTAAAGAATGCTTCCATGTAGATCGAAAGGAGCGGCCGAAGCTCGTCCGGAAGCGTCTCGGTAGAGATGATCATATTCACCCGGGCGAAGTTTGTGGGAATGTGTTCGAAATCCAGGAAAAGCGCAACATTCCCAGCGTCCTTGTCAATGACATTCTGATATCTGTTGTTTGGCTTACCGATCTCGAGAGCAAGACCTGCTCGAGCGCCGGAAGTTGTAACAAAATGAATCGAGTCGGTTGATGGCACTTTGAATTGTCCAAGTAATTCCCGAGGAATCTCGAGGTCGTTCTCAGCCTTGGCTTGATCAAGCTTCTTCTGCATCTTCTTCAAACCATCAGGACCCAGGCTGGTCTTCTGCTGCTCGATTCGCCGGGCTTCATCTGTCTTGAGTTTCTCGGACAAGCGTGCTGACGGTACCCCCAGGATTGACACATGAGGGGCGTCAGAAATGTACTGCTTGAGGAAGTCCTTCCACTGCTGCTCGCTCCAGGAAACTAGCGTTGTGGTGTACTGCTTCAATGACTGTAGGGATTCCAGTGTTGAGCCGTCTCGTTTACCGAAAAGATAGTCTGAGATAATGGCGTCAGCGAATGCTGTTGGCGTGGCCTCGGCGTTGAACTTGTATGTTCTAACCTGCCGGTCGATGCAGTCTCTCATGAACTTCATATCCAATGACTTCTCCACAGCCTCTTTCAAGACTTCAAAAAATCGCTTTTCCACCTCTTCCAGACGGCCAGTCTCAACACCCGACATCGAGAAGGCAATCTCGGTACGAGGTCGACTATCCACGGTAAAGTAGACGCCACTTGCCAACTGCTCTTTTTCTACCAGTGCGTTGTCGAGGACCGCAGCCGAGGAGCCAGCCAGATACAGGAGGGCAACGCTCAAAGCGGCTGTAGGTAGAGCGTCCGAACAATCAGGCCCAAGAAATCGGATATCGACCTCTCCGAATGATTCATCCTCTTCGGGAAACTCGACCCTCTCTAACGTTGATTCAGTCAATGCGGGAGTCTGCTTGGAGTTGATCCATGGTCGCTTGAAAGGGGCATCAGGACTAGGTATGTCAGAGATGATTGATGATTCGAAGTCGTCCAGAATGGCCAATAACTCCTCGTAATTGACTTCCCCAAATAATGCCAGACACAGGTTTCTAGGTTGGTACATGTCGCGGTGAAATTCTCGTATGCGGTCGCTGGTAAGGACGCGAAGTTGTTCCATCATGCCCCCAGTTTCGTAACGGAAGCCGACGCCTTCTGGATAGAGGATTCTTTTTGACCGTAGCTCAATCAGTTCTGCTGCCATGTTTTGAACCCCCTGCATCTCGGAGTAGACGACACCGGCGTCGTTACCATTTCCGTCAATATGATGTACTTCCGTGGTGCAACCTGAGTCAGTCAGTGTGGGCAAGACCACATGTTCTAGATAAACCGGCAATATTTGTGCGAATCCCGCCCAGCCTGCCGTCTCGAGTGTGTAGGCCGTGTGGTCGGTGGCAGTCCAAGCGTTGGTATTAGAATAGGCTCGAGTGGCAAGCTTGTCCAAAAAGCCCTTGTACTTGTAGTTCTTTGAACCCATGAAACAGAGATGTTCCAATGTGTGCGGTGCTCCAGAGTCGTCGTGAATTTCAGTGGCCAACACGAAGTAACCATGCAATTTAGGTCCCTCCTGGTCCACCACGACTACCCTCATACCAGTGCGTTCAGACTCATATTGAGTAATTGTGCTCGGTGAATAATCTGGTGAGATTTTCTGGAGGCGTCGAAAGCGTGGGTTGGCTCTGGATGCCACCATTGTGGAAATAGACGATATGGTAAAGGACGCTTTCTTGCTGGCCAAGTCTGATTCTGATAATCTTGAATTAGTTTCACACTTCTGTCTGCGGGTAAAGCTCATCAGATGTTTCTTGGGGCTGACAAGGTTAGAAGGAGAGACAATCGGATAATCAAATCAGACCGGACTCATAAGCCATAACAGGACAAACGACCAGGATTGCAACAACGCAGAGGCTCGAATAGTCCTCGATTGCTTGCCAGACTTACTTGAGATCACGCAGGTCCGTATTGGAGCTCCCGTGCTAGAGTCTGGTTCTGTCGACGTGACTCCGTGGTACGAATGGAATAACAAATCTCGATGTGGACGTAAGCGTAACGAACGACTTGTCCCAACAACGTAACGACTCCCGATCTTTGCAAACGAGGAAGTGGAATGCTCGGAACCCCAACAGCGACCGAAAAGTAGATAGTCGGTCCGAGAGATATTCCGTCTCGTTCGTTGCCTATGCTCTTAACAAAAACGAGTCTTTCTTTATCCTCGGTAGGAGGCTAGAAAGCAAGGCAATATGGTCATTCATCTGCCACAATTGGCCTCCGCTTTTTAAAAGCTTGGCAGGCGATGCAGGATGCACATCCAGTGGATGAGGTCGTCTTTGACGGTAATACTGAGATTCTACTTCTTAGGCAGAGTGATTGATTATCTTACATCTATATGAGTATGAGCCAATCCTCCATGGGTACTCGCCTCCATGCATCCAATTTTATGCCTCAGTCATATTATCCCAGAAAAGTGTCAGCTTGTCCATCCATTGTGCGCATGCTCCGTGTCAAACATCAAATAATAAAGAAGGCGCTCATAACTCGCTCGCACGTGTCTGAAACGGTGTGGAATCTGCTCAGCATCGTCAATTTAGGCCGACGCATTGTTGTACAATTCCTGCAAAGCATTGTCACCCTTACGTAAAGCCCGACTCTTCTGCTTCTTGTCTTTCATCATCTTCATCTCAGCCCACCCTCGCTCATCGTCTTCGTCGTCCTGATTGGTATAGGTTGATTTGCGATGTTGAAGATTGGCAGAGGGCTTCCCAGTGTGTGTCGAGGCTTCAGCACCAATGTTCAACTGAGCCCACGGCCGAGTAGTAGAAGATGTGAAGGTCGAAGCTCGGCGGGTGGCATTAATGTCTGGCTCCGGAGCAATCGAGACAGGCCTGTACCTAGAGGCTAGGCCGACATTGCTACGTTCCGACGGCGCTATCGAAGGCGCGTATTGCCCATTGACATTTATGGAGGGCACGAAGGATTGATTTGTGTTCCATGGAGCCAAGCTGGGGTTGAGGGCGCTCATGGTCCTCTGACCAGCCTGTTGAGTGGGTGGATCCTGCATATGCATGGAATACGGCCTCTGCATCCCATGCTGGGGGGCCATAGGCGAAGTCGCATTCGTTTGGCCACTCATCATTTGCTGCATCTGCTGCATCCACTGCATTTGCATATGCATCATTTGTGCCATTTGCTGTGACACCTGGATCTGAGCTTGATCACCAGGAGTCAGCATTGAGGGCATTCCCGGCAAGCCCATGGCAGGGTACCCCGTGGGTGCGAATGTACCTGTTGTTTGTGAGCGAACCATTGCCGGATGGGAAGCCATCTCGTAATTTCCAGAAGCATTTGGGCTACCTCTCCTGGCAGCACGAGCTCTCTCTTCACCAGCAATGACACCAACCAGCCCAGCTGGATGAAGCGGGTGCGCCGTTGAAGCTCGCGCTCCTAATGAGGGAGGACTGCCATGGATCGCCAAAGATTCACGATTTGACGGATTGACGAGGCTGGCTCCATAGTAAGGATCCTGTGGGAGATTGCGAGCAAACGGCGGGAGATTACCACCCTTCGAAGCCTGGCCGATCACAGACGGTGCGGCTTGCGCCTGGCTAACGGCTCGAATGTTGGAGTTAGAAGGTGAGGTTTCCAGTCGTGTGGGCGGCCGGTTCTTGTTGGGAAACCCATGTGCTGCCAGTATACCGAGAGGGATATCTTCATCTTCTTCGTCGTCCTCTGCACTGTTCCTGCCAGACTGTTTGGAGCCTATACTGAGGTCCGAAAGGCGGTTGTCCAATTCATTGGAACTTGAATTTCGTGGCTGTAGTACGCTTAAGCTGCTTGCTGGTCGGGACGGTGACTTTTCGCCGGTGACCTTCATCATCTGCTGTCGATACACAGCCAAGTGCGCCTCCTGTTTCCGCCTCTGCTTTGTAGCTTGTCGATCTCTTTCCAGCTCGTCCTCATCATCATATTCATCGCTCCGGTCTGAACCACTATCATCGGACAGAGCACCTAACCGGCGGTCCATCTCTTTCTGTTGTTTGTACCTCTCCCATTGAGCCGGAGTCATGACCTTATTCTTAATGATCGGCTTCGGAGGCTCGACCTTTGTCTCTTGATACATATTGGCCACTTCAGCGTCAGCCATTATAGACGGGTCAAAGGTTGTGCTGTGCGTCGACCTCGGTGACAGACTCCCCTCCATACTCTCTGCCGGAGTTTTGGGTGGAGTGGCGGAAAGTGATTTGGTGCCAGCAGGATTGGGTTGGAGTGAGGGTCCTGCGGTTTGTTCGAACCGGTCTTGAGTTGGTAATCTCTGTCCTACAGGGCGCTTAGTTGGATATCGCGCGTTCGGCGAGGCGTTGCTAGTTTTTCTTTCGAGCCCAGCAGACTTCCCCGGACTGCCGTGTGCAATAGTTCTGGATGGGCCGAGTGACTGAATTAAGCCATCTTGAGAGGTCCATGAGTAGGGAGACGACTCGACGACTTGGGTACGATCGATGTGTATTGGCCTCGGCGCTGACGCTCTTTTCGGGTATGTCGAAGATACGCCTGGAAAGCTCATAGCAGGATAGCTTGTCGGAGATGACGGGAAATCCTAAACTGTGTCAGAAGAATGACAGAGTGAATGAATCTTGAGAGTGTGTACCTCTTGTCGTATAAGCCGGACAGGGGCTGGGTCAGGACTAGACCCAATATGGTCAAACATGTTGCCGAAGCCATCCAACTCGGAGTTTTCGAGAACCAGGTCCGAGTCAAATAACCTCGGCGGCGTAGCGGTGCTCGCAGTGCTAGCTGTCGCGGTTCTCGTTCTGTTCCTGTGACTTCCGGGTTGCGGAGGCAGCTCCCCCTGAGGGGAGGTTGGTGTCGACTGATCACCCTTGCTCGTACCGAAGGATAGGGCTTGAGGCGGACTGCGCAGGTACCCGGATCTCGCGGGCGGCGGAGCTTGAACAGGAACGTCGTTCGGGGGTCGGAAAATGGAATTTTGTATATTATGTTCTGATCGCGTATCAATAGACGAAGGATTGGTCGAGGAAGTGCTTATACGAGCGGAAGATGCAGCACTGTCGTTTGGCGCTGTGGAAAGAGAGCGTTCGGTACCGGCACTACCTCTGGGTCTCTGTCAATTTGCCGTTCTCCTCTGCATGGTGACCTTTGCCTACCGATTGCCTGCATCAAGTCGTCTAGTGGTGAATACATCCCCTGCTTCACGATCACGTCGGTCTTTCGTTGACGGTTTCGGGGCCATGGGCCCAGCCATCTTCAAGGACACGCCGCCATCGAATGATTTTCCTTCACTTGGAGTTCTGCTTAAGACCTTGAATGACGATATAGGAGGATTTTGCACCTCATCCAAGGCATTGCCCGAAGATTTTCTTCTTTGAAAGCCCTTTGGCAGCTTAATTGGCATGAAGATGGTTTCGGCCGGTCGTAGTACCCAACCGGGGTGACAAGAGGAGAAGTGATTATGTCGGTCTGCCTGCACTACGAGCGGCACTCGACCGTGAATCAATAAGCCACAGCCGCTGCGTATGGCAAAAGGTTGTGTGAGGGCGAGTTCATGGGAGGGGACTCGGACGCAGACGGCAACCTACATAGCGAGGTGATCAGCCAACATCGCTCGATGAACCTGTGTGCGATACTTACAGCGTCTCCAGAAATTATCTCCTCAACGACGAAAATAGGAGTGATCCCTACACCGCCTGAATTAATCCCAATCGACTGATGTCCGTGGCTGCTCAATCGTTTATATCAAATCGCAAGAGGTTATCGACCTCGAATGATGAAGGGTTCTGAGGTGTCCAGGAGGAACAGAACAGTTATAGTGAAAAGGGTGTGTTAGATCGCAGGCATTGCAAAAAAAGGTTGAAAGTGGTAGAAATACTTCGAGAATCAGAGCTCGTGGCAAATAGCGAGAGTGACAAGTGAACAATAATTGTATCCAAATACAAAAAGTTGTCGAGAGAGATGGCAGGGCGTTGCAGACAAGACAGATCAAGAACAAGCGGGCGCAGGGAGGAAAGTCTATGGTGGTCCTGCGGTCCTTGTGGACGAACGTGCATTAGCGCATCTGAAGTCGGGCTCTATTTGTGGTGCTTGGGGAGAACTTTAAGACATGCAAAAGACACGTATGGGGAGGACCCATAAGGGCCATAACAAGTCGTGAAAGTAAACAAGGACCCCCGGTCCTGTTTGAGCCGAGTAAACAGCCACAAGTATATCCAAGTCGAGCCCAGAAGAACACGGGGCCGGGGGATCATTTTGTGGTTGTGAAACAGAAGTCTGCCATGTCTGCAAATCAAGCTGACTCTTCGTCCTTGTAACCTTATAGAGATAGTTGAACATGATTACTTTTACAGTGGTATGGAGACTGTCTGTCACTCCATACGGATGGTGCCGGCCAGCAAAATCTGCCCGTCTCCACCCACAAACTGTTCCTAACACTCAGAGTCCCTACCTAGCAAGCCTATTTCCAGAAAAAGTCGCACACCGTCTGACGGGGAATACATCAACGACATAAATTCATGGTCCAGCAAGTTCGCGACAGCGCGTACTTTGACTCCAGGCTGTGAGGACTGTACAGTAGAGCTGACGACCTTCCCACTGTCAAGAGCTGATGCTATAGCGTTGTGTGCGAAAGACTCGGCCATGGCAACAAGGAATGGTATCTATTCAAAGCTGACGAGCAACAACCGTCAGACAGTGCCACTTTTTCTGGAAATAGGCTTGCTAGGTAGCATGATGGAGGCACAAAAGCTCAACCTCCAGCTGCCCATATATTGGCCTCAGCTCATCTCCGGGTGCGCCGAGATCTTGGACGTGCTGTCATCAGTCCCTGATGCTCATTGTGGCACCTGTGATCGCTTGCAGGCTCGGTCTGATCCCATCCAATGCCTGCTGGAGCCTTGGCCTTCCGATTCTTCAATGTTCATACTGTTGTGCCTGGGCCTTCAGCTGCGCCACTACCACGGCCACCGCACCTGACTAAACGTGCATTTCATCTCTGCTGTACAGACATCCGTAGTGACCATTGCTCGCAAGCAGAAACGACCATCTATGGTTGCCTCGTCAAGTGACCGAACAACAAGCATGACGTTGTCGGACGAAAACGTGTCTGCCATGGCGTTGCCGCGGGAAGGGCGAAAGCCGCGCGCCGTGGCTTGCCCGGAGTGCAGTTGGTCCGCAGACAGAGATCTGGGCAGTTGCAATTAGATGACTTTCACATAACCTAATGTGCAACAGACATTCAAACTCGTTGCGGCTGCTCAGTGTTCATGCATCTTTGAGCTTCTCAAGTCTGGCCGTCACTGTTGTTGATCTGGACCATTTTGTCCTCGCCAGCACTAAGAATGCCCACATCCCTATCCCAGCAAACAGCGAATACCTTGACGCCGTCTCCAACCACTAAATTGGAACCATTTTGGACGTTTGCTCGTGGTATCGTGTACAGACTGGACACGACGGCGCCTTCTTTCTCCTGCCGGGTGCTTCGAACATCCCAAACTCTACAGGTACCATCATGACTGCCACTCACAATCGTATATTCGTTACTAGGGTCCCGCGCAAGGCTTACCACAGAGTTTTTGTGGCCTTTCAGTGTCATGGCAATTACCGATGCAGCGGAAACGCGTGGATCCACCATCTTGACAACACGACTGACAGAACCTGCAGCAATGAGCTGGAGAGAAGGCATATGTTCTACACAAAAAAGCGCGGTCGATGTCGTCCGGGTGTCCACAAGCGACGCAGTAACCAAATCCCAAGTTCGCACAGTTTGGTCCCACGAGGTGGAGTAGCCCACTGTAGGGTCATTGATGTCGAACACAACGCCGGAAACCTGTCCAGTATGTTGTTGCATTAGAGCCAGTGGACCTCTCTGCGATAAGGTCACATCGGAGTTGAGCCTTCTTCTCTTGCCATCCTTAGCCCTGGATCGTGGGACAAGACTTTCGGGTGCACTAGGTGCATCTCCTTTGCGCGTCGACCACAGTCCGACCGCATGATCAGCAGAAGCAGACAAGATTCGTCCTGATGCAGAATGAGCACAAACAGAGTCTACCGAAGACTTATGACCGTAGAGCTCCAGTTGTGGTGTCAATGTCGCCGAAACCCCCTCTTGCTGCTCGATGTACTTCCACAACCGCAGCGTTCTGTCAAATCCACCGGAGACAACTTTGTCCGGCGAAATGAATTTTGCAGATTTTATGAATGATCCATGACCACCTTTTGACGCATTGGGTGAGGATACAAGGACTTGTGACGAGGTGTTCCATACTCTTAGTAGCCCATCGTAGCTAGCCGAAAGGATTCTCGGAGAGTCGCCAGACAAGACATCAACATCGCTGACCCAGTCATCGTGTTCGAAGGAGGCAACGTATTGAGGTGGGATTCGTGCTCGCAGATATTCGACAGTCAGAGTTGTTTCGGTGGAGATCCCGTTATTGGAAAGATACTCGTCGAGAGAGGTGCGTAGATATGTTCCATTTATGAGAAATTCAAAGGGTATGGGTTTATCGCCCTTCAAAAGACTGTTGACAAGTGTAGAGAGTGTGAAACGGCGGAAAGAGGTAGGTATTAGAATTGGCGCAATTTCTTCGAGTGCAAGATTTGCATCTCGTGTTGTAAGTCGGACGCGAATCTGGGTAGCTGGAGAATCTTCCAAAGCAGTCGCCATGCTAGAAGTAGACCTATGGCGCCAACTTTTCACGCTCGACCTGCGTACGATAGTCACTGATGTTGCGGCAACAGCATTGTCCGCTGGAAAAGTGACTCTCAACTTTTTCTAGTCGGTAAAGAAGGGATTTTGCCGAAGTTTTAGCGACATGTGGGTGATGATCTACATTCCTGATAAGACACTAAATACCCTGCTTGCTAGATACTGTTCCGTTATGGGCCTCTGTGAATGCAACCACCAAGCGACAGATACCTACATAGTCTTACTGCCAAAGAACAATCCGTCATGAATTCCAGCACTCCCACTCGTGTTGGGCCTGTCGTCCTCCCCGAAGAAGAAATCGCGTCTTGTGCGCCTGAGAAATTTGACGGAGTTTCACGCGGTGACCTCAGCTGGAACACCTTGTTTTCTTCTTCGATAACTCCTACGAATACACTCAGTGCAGGGATTGCAGTATGTCCTCCAAAGACTGGTCATCTATGTGCTCACAGGCACGACCAAGCTGAAATTTATTACGTCGTGGAAGGTCAGGGCATTGTTACGATTGACGGCAAGGAAAGTGAGGTGAGGAAGGGTACTGCGGTATTCATCCCGAGCAACGCTGAGCATGGCATTAAAAACACGGGAGATGATGCTCTCAAATGGTTCTATGCTTTCGCGACAGATGCTTTCGAGGATGTCGTGTACAGATTTTCCTAGACCTCGAAGGTGTTCGTAGAGTAATATTATTCACAGCCTCCGCGCTGAACATCAGCGTGGCTCCACGCTCTGGAGCCGAGCGAACCCTTGCAGATTTGTGGCAATCTCAAGATGCCAACGTATCATCCTGGACGTTCAACGTGAGAAATAGAGCGCGATGCAGGTGATAGAGTACAGGGGGGCATCAATGCATCAGCTTTTTCGCATGGCAGCGACGAGACTTGGCAGGGAGCCTTGCCAGCGAATTGAATAGAGTACTGAGTGCCTTGATGTCATTTCCTCGCTCCGCGTGCTTCTGAATTATCTTGACGAAGACACATCAACATTCTACCCGCGCCATACGACATCTGTGCACCATCGCCTCGAGATATGCCCAATGAATCCGATGCTTACGCGCTGCTCTGCGATGCTATCACGAAAGGCTCATACCCACAGTCGGAAGAACTCCTGACTTCTGATCTGTCCGCAGAACTCGTTCCTCAACTGATCATAAAGATCGCCGAAACTCAACGTGAGCTTAAAGAGGAGATCAAAAGCACAAGCAAGGATGGCGTGGGAGATGTAGATGAGTGGATATCGCAGGCCAAACAGGTCCAAGAGGACATCGCAAGATGTAGAGAGGAATCCAAACGCATAGTCGAGGAACATCGGCGCGTCCAAGCCCTGCGAGAGGACGCCTTCGACTATCAGCGAAAAGTCGAGCTTTTGAACACGGAGATTGAGTTTACAGAATTGCTGAAGAACGAGCTGGATAATGCAAACATCACGGCAAAGGCACTACGAGGTGTGGAGGATTGTTTGCTCAAGGACGATCCTTGTGCAGCCGCCACGAGGATAGAAGAACTGGACAACAGGACGACTGACATACCGGGATCCCGCACTTCCACCATAATTCGGGATTTGAGGGACGAATTTCGGCTCAAGACGCGTGTTCGGCTCGAGGCGAAGCTCACTGCTCAGATCTCCATCGTCAGAGAGCAACAGGAGGCTAGAATCGATGTGCGGCCAGATAGGCTTGGTTCAAATGCTATGCACTCCGATGCCCTCGTACGAGCTCTAGATCAGCTTGGTGACTTTCAGGATTCCGTCGAGCCATTGATGGACAAGATCAAAGCCTTTGTGTTGCAACCTCTGCGGCATTCGTCTCGTCTGAAAATGACAGCTTACACGGTGGAGGAGAACAGCATAAGCCTAGAGCTCGGAAGAAAAACACCCACGGTTGAATTGGTGCTCGACTTCGCGCTCGACTTCATTAGGTTTCTGCACGCGTCCTTTGGTAGCACACTCCGTGCAATGGCGGCCAAAGCAGTCCTGGCAGACTTGATGATTGTTTTGGTGAATGATTGGCTCAACCCTGGGCTGCCTACACAGCTTCCAATGCTCGACGGTCTCGATGAACTTCAGAATCGTGTAACGCGCATCCAGAAAGAACTGCAAAGATTGCAGTGGGACGGGCATAGGCAGTTGCAGGAGTGGCTAGAAGATATCCCCCGAGCGTGGCTTAACAAGCGAAAGGCTGCAAGTTTAGATGCTGTGCGGAAGGCTTTCACAGTATCCAAGGGGAATCTCCGCCAGGTCGAGAGAATTGAACGACAGTCTATGGCAAGGACAACCGAAGATCATGGGGTTGTCAAAAAAGACGCCGATGCCTGGGATGCAGGTTGGGACGAAGATGCTCACGATCAACTGAACACAAATGAACCGCCAACAACGGGTGACGAGGAAGATGCCAATGCATGGGGCTTTGAAGAAGAGGAGGACGAGGACACACCAGCCGATGCTCCTCAGGATAGGACTGATATTAGACGTGATGATCATGCCGCAGACGACACGGGGGATGCATGGGGCTGGGACGACGACAGCCCTGTCAGGACTAGATCCGAACCGGCTAACAACCAAGGTCAAAGCCATCTCGACGGATTCCAACCAGATTCCCAGGATGAGCAAGAAGTCACTCTGACCGAAGTCTACAGCATCAGCGAAATCCCAGACCACATCATCGAGATCATCGGCAAAGACATATCCGACGCACAAACACTAAGCGACACGCTACACAAGGGTCTCGACTCGTCCGCATCTAGAGGCCTTCTAGCCCTGCCCACCCTTGCCCTCGCTATGTTCCGCGCCACCGCGCCCAGCTGTTACGGCGCCTCACCCGCCCTGGGGGACATTCATCGGTACAACGACTCACTGTACATTGCGGAGCGGCTGCGCCACTTGAGCGTCCCAGCTGGCATGTTGTTGCCACACGTCGACATGGACGTCAAAGCGATGGAGAAATTCGCCCGCCTTGCCTACTCCAAGGAGATGGAAACTCAGCGTCTCATCATTTGGGATCTACTGGAGGGGGCACAGGGTTTCACCTCGTGCACGCAATTCCCGTACTCGCAGGAGATCGAGAACGCCGTATCTTCAGTGGTTGACCATATCCGTGCACTCCACCAACACTGGAAACCTGTGCTCTCAACCTCCGCGCTGATGCAGAGCATCGGCTCACTCGTCACAATGGTCATCGCCAAGGTGATTTCCTCCATCGAGGAGATGGATGACATTTCGGAGCCTGAGTCGCGTCGTCTCACTGACTATTGTCAACAAATTGCCTCATTGGAAGTATTGTTCCTGTCGACGGCGCCGCCGCCGCCGCAGCGGCAGTCCAGCTCGCAGCACAATCACGAGCATGAGGCCGTCCCTATGAGCGCCGTGTACGTTGCCAATTGGCTCAAGTTTCAATACTTGATCAACATCTTGGACAGCTCGCTCGTAGATATTAAGTACTTGTGGACGGAGGGTGAGTTGAGTCTGGAGTTTCGCGCAGATGAGGTGGTCGACCTGATCCGGGCGCTGTTTGCAGAAAGCGCGCATAGGAGAAGCGCGATTGCGGCGATCAAGGGAAGCAGAACTTCGAGGTAGCCTAGACTCCGGACTCGACTTAGTAAAGTAGCATTTAAGGTGCCTCCCAATCCCCTATACAGTTGCTCTCCACATAATATCGTTTACGATCTCGCTCATTCACGGCGCAGTGATTCGTAAAGAAAGTTGGTATTTAGTACATCGAATCTTCCTGTGAATCAGCAAAAGAATTTGTAAACCCTCTTCCATGTAGGCCAATGCATCCGATCGGCCTTCTCTTCAGCAAGGAGAGTCTTGATGTTCATCTCGCGCTTGCCCGTGAACAGATCCATGTCTCTCGTCCTGACAATCCTCGTTCTCACAAAAGCTTTGTACCCGATGTACATAATAACAACGACCGGCGCGGCAAGATACGCCTGGAAGAAGTTGATCACCAACTCTCTCGCCGAATCCTGCCGGAATCCAACAGGACTGAATCCGGTCCAAAACTGCGCAATCAGCACAAGGACATTGAAACCCACGCCAATCCACGAACCCCAGACGCCGACGGGCGAACGGAACGCGAGTTCGTCTAGTGTGTGGCCCTGCAAAGCCCAAGCTTTCCGGAACCGGATGTGCGCCAGACAGATGCTGCCCCAGGTGAAGATGGAACTCAATCCGGACAGGGCGAGCATCCAGTTGAAGGCGTCTTGCTGGTTGCTGGACGCTGCGAGGAAGGCCAACAGGCCGAAAACAGAGGCGATGATGATGGCGTACAGTGGGCGGCCTTTGCGGTCAATATACGCTAGGAAAGAAGGGGCCTGGCGCTGTTCGGCCAACGCGGCGAGAGTGCGTGAGGACCCGTAGATGGACGAGTTGCCGACGGACAGTACGGAAATCATAATCACGACGTTCATGACCGACGGCAGAACTTCAATGCCCGCATTTTGGATCGAGATGACGAAGGGGGAGGCCCTGCCATGAAGGTTAGAACGAAGAGGGCGATGGAAGTCATGATACGCACTTTGCGTCGGCGCTGCTTTTGCCGTTGAGGAGCCGTGAGTCGTCGTAGGGGACCAGAGTGCCAACGAGCAGTAGACTGACGACGTAGAAGAGAGTGATGCGCCAGAAGACCTGATAACAAGATTATAAGCAAAGGACGAACAGAAGGAAAGGAAGAACATCGCACCTGCTTGATCGCAGTAGGTAAAGTCTTTCTAGGGTTCTCTGTTTCTGCTGCAGCCAGACCAACGAGTTCTGTACCAGCAAACGCGAAGGCTGCTGTGACAAAGGTGCTGCATAGGCCTTTGAAACCGTTGTGGAAAGCGCCTGGATGATGCCACAGGCGGAAGCCCATGTAGCTTCCGTTGGGACGTTCTTGACTGTCAGACCCGCCCATAATATTCATCAAAACTGCCAGCAAGCTATCACTCTGTCAGCACTCACCGCGCGACCAAGGCGATGTGAAGGACATACATATACCCTATCACAGCCGAAACTTTGACAATGGAAAAGACGAACTCGGCCTCTCCATAACCTTTGACGCCAAAGAAATTGATCATTACGATCAAGATCAAGAATACCGCAACCCATGCGGCGTTGAGTCCTACTTCGTGGTCCTGTTTCGAAGTGTCAGAAAGAGCAAACGTTTACATGAAATCCTTAGGATATACCCAAAAATCCACTGTGATCGAAGCAGAGACGATTTCCAGAGGCAAAACGACAAGCCATTGCATGGCATAGTTCCATCCCATGGCAAAACCCCAGGCAGGATCGAGGAACCGAGTCGAGTATGCGGCAAAAGATCCTGCTACGGGAAACAAGACGGCAAGTTCCCCTAAGGCTTGCACCGTACAGTAGAGCATCACGCCAGTCAGACTAAATGCGAGTAGGACAGATGCTGGTCCTCCATAGGCCAGCGCCTTCCCGCTTCCAACGAACAAGCCTGTTCCGATGCTACCTCCTATTGCTATCATTTGTAAATGTCGGCCTTTGAGTCGGCGCAGCAGAGGCGATGAAGCTGTTGCTTGCGCTGCGGCTTCAGCATCGTAGCCATGTGAGTCTGCGGCGCTGAAAGATGACCTTGTGACACTCGCATTCGGATCCCGTTTGAAGCTCTCGGTGAGCCGTCTTGTAAAGTTTCGTCTTACGTGGTGCATGTCGCCTTCGTAGGCCGAGGGATCTGAAGACGACTCGGGACTCCAGGTTTTCTTATCGTCCATGTCAATACGGATTGTAGGAGGATTCATGCTCGTGGATGTGGTCGTGGTTACCCGGCATGAGAGAGCTTGATCGCGCGTGATTAATATGGTTCATAGATGCTCACATGCAGGGCGCAAATGCGAGGCGCAAGGGGAGTATGCTGTGTAATAGCGCATGGTCGAGTTTGCCTGCGAGAGGGAATGCGCAGAAGAAATAACATTGCGCAAGTGGTGAGATGCAGGCGAGAGAGACTTTGTCCAGGTACAGATAGGCGAGTCTCCACAACCGGATCCAGTATGATAAGCACAGGGAAGTCCATGGTCAATCTCGTCCAAGCACATTTTCCAGGGGTGCTCCAACCCCAACTAAAAGTACATAGCTGTACAGTGACTACAGTCCGAGTATGACTACATCTCGCTTGTCAAGATGCAAAATCAGAAACAGCGTCTTGATTTCATCATTATGTGGCCGTGTGATAGCGTAGACCACGAGTGTCAGACTTTCATATCCTTTCATGCCTTTTGTATTACAGGTGCCATGCGAATGCAGAATCATCTGGGTCCTCTAGTTTTGAAATGATCAATGACGAATGTGGGGGTCATTCAGGTCGGATCTTTCCCATCATCGACAGGCGCAGAATATTCTGTTTCTGCTGTTGATGTTGACTGTAAGTCAGCCGCTGTCGAGGCATATTCTTCTTCTGCATGGGTCTGAGGTTCATCGCTTCCATCTACTTCAGTGCTTGCGGTCTCAAAATCTGCTTCGGGGCTTGCTAGAGCCTTCACATCGGCCGAGCTCATTCCTCGCCGCACAGCAAGCCGATGAGCAGCCGCTCGTCTCCGTTGGATTTCCAACTCTTCTTCCCTTTCAAGTTCTTGTTCTTGCAATCTGAGATCCATAATCGTCGGTGTCTTTAGATGATCTCTGACGGGACTCGGCGAGAGAGGTGTCAGGCTCCTCTGTGACGCTGATTTTTGACTTTGGCTGGCAGGACTTTTGAGCGATTTTGATGAAGTTGTCCGCGTCGACCTCCGAGATCGTTCGGGACGTTTTGTGGGTGTCCTCGACTTCCCACTGCTCTGATCTTCACTTAGACCTTGGTTCGTACTGCGTCGTGCCAGCATGACGGCGAATTCGTCATCGAGTGGTACCGCGTCTTCCTCCTCATCGCTCATGATCAAGTCTCCTCTCGAGCTGAGTGAGTTCGTCGTGGACCTCGAGGCGTTCGTGTCGCTCCTCGACCGGCCATGACTCCTCTTCCACCTGTCGTCAACTCCATCGTGCTCTTCAATCAATGGCTCTGTTTCCACATCTCGTATCCGCGTCCCACCGGGATTCTCTTGCAGGTCGGCCGCCGAAGGTTTATACCGTAATTTGCGGGAGCCTATATTCCACGGTAGCCGTTCCAAGAATCCCAAATATGACGAGCCGGGTATAATAGTAGGCTCTGTATGCGAACCTCCTTGTGCTGCGGTTGGTTTGCGTCGATTTCGGGAGCCATAACTCATCGCTCGTTGTCTCGTAGGCTGAATTGACTGCGGTCCATGCCCAGCCAGCAGACTGTCCAACTCATCATTTCCCCATGCCGCAGAATTCTCCGCAAGCGCTTCGTCGTCCTCCCAGGCATCATAAAAATCAAAGTTGGATTCGGCTCTGCCACGCGACCGTCCTCTCTTTCGGCGCAAGTTGTCTTCTCGATTGGGAAAGCATGGGCCCGTGCAAGCGTCGATGGAAGACTTTATTCCAGCCAAGCAAGGGTCGATATAGCGCTGCGTGAAGGTGTAGATGTTCTCTTGAGCCGCCTGGTTCGCAGTTTCGAGATTATGGGATATGTTCTGCAGGGTTTGGCGGAATTCGGGGTTGTTCATCTTGGAACGTCGAAGAGGAGGATCGGGGTCGCGATGAGCTGACAAGAAGATCTGAGCTGGCGCGCTGGATCACTGCGCTTCAGAATCTCAATGTCCATGCTTAGGAGGATCTGTTGTCGTGTTGGTCTCGCGGTTGATGTCGTGAGCAACGATTTTCGGTGGAGTGGTCGCGACTTGCAATGAATGGTATGAGGCGGGAATGTCGTCCGTGCCGGTAATGGCTCCTCCCGCTAATAATCTGGAAGCCGTACACGCGCCTCAATACTTATCCGCGTCTGACATGGAGATTTGCTTGACGGTTGGGTAGGAAACGTGGAAAGCGTGGGGAGATCTAAGTACGGAGTACGGCGACCTTCTCTCCCTTCGTCGTCAATTCTTGTCAGACTGCCAACGTCATCGCCCTCCTACCCCTACACATACTGTACCCACTGCGAAACCACCCCAAATCGAAGACGGATGGGCTTCCCCATCGCCCAGAGAATATAGGCTGCACGCGAAAGCAAAGCATTTTAGACCTCCCGAGGTTTATTTTGGGCACCAAGAGATATGCACTCGCCAAATGTATATCCATACCTAGGTACAATGGAAATGGTTCATATCCATGACCACAGTAGCAGCAGCTTGACATTGGCTACTCGGCAGGTTCGCGCATGCGCTCCATCAAGCTAAAGAGCAGATCATGACCAGACACCCATAGGATCTATACAGATCTCTTGCCACAATGTTGTTTCCGTTCGGGCATCCTCTGTGGCTCACCCCAATGCTGCCAGGGTCGTTCCAAGATACTCAATATCATTGTCAACTTCATTTTCTTAGCACCAAGTCTCCCAGCCTGGCAGTCTTCGTTCGCGCACAGATTTCTGATCGTTTGCATTCAGGCTTTCTCATTATATTGTTCAACTGCTGCTTTCTATTGTTATTTGCAACCGCCATTGGGGTGCTGCCATCATGGTCGAAACCGCAGCTCCGGCTACTCCCAAATCTCCGATCTTTCCTGATACTCTCACGTCAGTCACAGCGCTGGCTCGCTTCGAGTTTGAACCAGGTAAGGGTAATGAAGGCACAAAAGTTATGATGGTGGAATGGCAAGATGACGACAAGTCACGTTTGATGACAGGGAAATGGCATGTCTCATGGTCCGGCAAACGTACAGTATTTCCAGCGGACGATGACCCCTCCGACAACATTCGCCGAGTATATTTCCTCCTACCACCGAATGCTACCGTGCCACCTCATGTTGTCCTCGCATATCATCCTTCTACAGATCTCGCACATGTGGAACCTGCTCCATCGAGAATGACCGTCAATCCTTTACCAGCAATTTTCACCCCCGAGCTAGGAGCCACTGCCAAAGCTGCTGGCAAGAAGGGTGTGCTGCACACAGTCTGGGCCAAGAAGAGGCTCCAAGTTCTGGAAAAAGAAATAAAGCAGGAACAAGAGCGTAACCTGGAAGGTGTTGCGTTGGAAATGGCCCTCTCAGAGCACCACTGGATCGAAGCCAATTTCGGTGTGGCTTCTAAGCCACCTGCTTTGGATCTCAGCAACGTCGCAAAGTCCCCATATACACTCCCGAGCCCTGTTATACACAGCCCAAAGTCCCCGGGCGGCAGACGCCTGAGTGAGAAGCTCAAGGGGTTGAGTTTGGGTACAAGTGAGAAGGATCTGGCAGGTAGAGGACTGAACACTCCAACTCATGAAGAACATCCTTTGTCACCTGAGGTATCAGACGTGGCCTACTCGTCCTTCGGTGCTTTTAGAAATGAAACGACACTTTTTCCAGTCAAGAAGGTTGTCGCTCAGAATCCCCCTGAGCATATTCGAAAACAGCAAGAACAAGCCCCAGCTTCTTCCATGGACTTTCGACTGGGGCCCTCAAGTGACCCTGAGGTTGATGACCTCTTCGCAAGGGCCCTAAACCCAAGGTCTCCGGATGGACCTAAGAGTCCATTCTCGATCTCGAGTGCTGAGGCTGGCGCATTCGCCAAGATCAAAGGCGAACGATGAACGGTTTGTATCCATCATCGATGAAATCCTCAACACAACTCAGTGGAACACAGCAACTTAAGACCGATGATATGACATAACTCCAAGAGTATACAAACGCCAACCCATCCGGGACACGATTTCTCTCCCTCCTCAGTACTCATACTGACGCAGGCGCGCCCGACATGCTGTGACAATGGGCTACACCTAGGGGAGAGCCTTCGTCGGCCTTCACCTGACACTTAAACCTCCGACTACACTAAAGCCGACCGCAATCTGGGTCATAAGACGAAGAACAACTCCGCATCATGCATCTGCAATAACACAGTTATGCGGGATATATCTATGCCAAAATTGCCATGATCAAACCCACAACAGCCAATCCAGAGCTCATCAGTCTGCCTGCTGAACCGGTGTATGACGCTGCCGGAGCTGCAGAAGCCACAGTCGTTGGGGCATATGGTGTATTCTTCGCCGATGTCGCAGCATTGGGACTCAGTGGTGCAGTGTAATTGGTCCCGGCTGAAGTCGCGGCGGGAGCCATGGCTGTCTTAATGCATCCGCAAGTCTGGTCATACCAAGTATACTGCGTACCGGCAGCATTAGTGGCGCAAGCAGTTGCTGGCACGGTGGAGGTCTTATGGCAGGTGCAGTCAGGATCGAGATAGGTGACAGTTACAAGCGCAGGGCCGATGGACATGGTTGCATTTAGCATGCTTGGAGGGGTTGTTGATCCAGTGGACGTTGATGTTGACATGGTGGCTGACATGCTCGCGGTGGAATCGGCACCTGTAGCAGATCCTGAAGCTGCCAAACCTGAACCGGCAGCTGAGGAATTTGCTGAGGTGCTTCCCGAGCCTGCATCCCCAACGCCAGAAGACCCCAAGCTGACACTGAATGTTGGGGAGAAGGAGTTGGAAGCACCCTGAACAATGACCAAGCCGTAGCCGGATCCGGGGACGAAATCGCCAGGAACAGTCACAGTCCAGTCATACTCTCCCTGAGTAGCGCTCAGGCTTGCTGTTGCGATGGTCAGCTTGCTATGCTTGCAATGATCAAGAAAGCTATGACGACATACGAGCAACAGTCTCCGTCCAGGAAGTGTTCCCAAAGGCGATGGAGATATCAGTCCCATCCCCTGCAGTGTAGAAGATGGGCAAGGTCTGTCCTGTGGCGACATTGTTGAGATTCATGAGTGTCGTGTTGAAAGTGGCAGTTTGAGCCATGGCACAGTAGGCGAAAGCGCCAATGGCAACAGCAGAAACAGGAAGCATGGTTTCGATGTCGAAGTGATGGAAGGTTCACGAGGACAAGCTCGGGGCAAAAGGTTTTTGGGAGAATCAACAAGAATCAAAGGAATGACTTGGAGTTGGAAGAAGAAAGAAAGTTACAGAATTCAGCTCAGCTCTCAGAGCAGGAAGGCACGTAAATGAGGGTGACAGGGCTGGCTTGAGTTGTTTTGTTGTGCTGTGATGGTGAGTATGGTGCATTCCAACCATGAACAGAACGTGGCCAGTGAGATTGAGTATACTGCCACGCACAGACGAGAGGGCAAAAGAGCGACATTCCTAAGTTGGGTTGATCTTATTGTCACCAAAAGCTGAAACCATGATGTCCGGTATATTTCTGCCTCTTGACCAGCCCTCGGAGCTGGTTGTTGGTATTTACGCGACCCAAATACAGATGGCAATTTGGGATTGATCGACTTCGACAAAGTGAGCCATGCACGACCTGGATACACGAGATCGATCTTAACCTAGTCAGGAAGCCACATGGGCAGCGCTTCCCGTGCTGATCAGTAAAAGGTGCTGCTGCTGTTTTCTATGTTTAAGGCCTTCTTCCTCCTAAACTTGCGACACTGTGTTCTGTAGGTCAACTCCCCATCATGATATCCACTTTCCGCGCCTTCTTGCATGCTGCTCGATGGTCTTCTCCAGCTCCGCCTTTAACTTAAGCTCAACCTCTTTTGTCTAGTTGGCTAGATTAGAAGACTACGTCTCTAGGCTCTGCGAATGCTCGGTTCGGATGATGAGGCTTGGACCAGGCTGATACCCCTGAATGTGCAATACTACAAGTTCCTCACCGTTGCATACACATCCATCTGACACATGGTACAGTTGTAGAGATTCGGGAATAGCTAGATCTCTGACCCCGATCTGCCCCTATCATTTACGTGCGTATACAATGCTCTCATCCAGCGATTCATCAACCGAAGCGCCCTCATGCAACATCATTGCCTAATCTACCACAGACTCCATGGTACATGCTGTGAAGAACCCACAACAAGACTTTTTCCGGCATAAAGTCTTGTGGTTATTACGTATGGTACTCATACATCACTAGTGCCATGCAAGCCATAGCACATGCAAGCCCCCGAACGCAACGACCCCCAGCACGACGATGTTCATATGTCCTCCGTGCTGGCATCTAGTGGACTCCTGATGTCTGTTGATCATGATATCGCCGCCAGTCCCAGCACAGCCGCACCCAAAGCACCTACAGCAGGTAGAACAACTCTGTCTACACCATTGCTCGTTTCCGTGTTGCTGGCAGTGGCGGCAGCAGTGACGACACTTGCAGAGGTAGTCACTGATCCTGCAGCACTATCGGCGGAGGCGAGGGCGGAGAAGCAATCGAGGCTGCGGCGCTGGACAAGCTGGTGACGCCTGGTGAATTCAAGAGCGATGCTGCGCTCGAGAGGGCGGATTGTTCTGCGGTGTTGGTGCCAAGAAGGGAGGAGGCTTCGGAAAGCAGAGAGGAGACATCTTGAGCATATGCGCTGGCGGCGAGACAGGCTAGGAGGTATGTGAAGCGCACTGTGCCGGTAGATATGGAGAAGATCAGATTCGAGACTGATTGTGAGTGAAAATGGAGGTCAAGAAGAAAGAATCCGCAGAAGAACACTGCAAAGGAGATTGTCGTCTTGTTTGTTCCAGGTGGAATGGCACGTCAGTTGCAAACACTGGTCGTATTGGAGATGGCAGGAAGAGAACAAAGCAGGAAGCAACGCATGCACGGTCACACATGTGTTCTTGTTCAGACTCATCTCACAGACGCCCGACAGTTTCGGATTTGCCGCCCATATGTTCCACCTACAGTACATAGCGGTATTCAGCTTGGGGATATGAATCTTAATGATTCACACAGATTGACTGGATCTTGGAGGGTCGAAGACGAATTACTGAGGGCCTATCGAGCTACAAGTCGTCGATTTTTGTTATGCAGCAACGACAGTGCTGACCCTTGTAAATGGTCCGTTGAGCTTGATTGGTATATCGAGGTGGTATCTTGGATGTTTCAATGAGTAGACAGGTTGTTCATGATAGACGAGGGATAATACCCGTGCGGAATTATGCGCTGATTCGGTATGTTTTCTGGTTGATTTCCCCGAGGGCTTTTATGAGAGTTCTTGACCGGAATTTGAAATTCTGGATCGCCTTGACCAGGGCTATCAGCCCATGTAAAAACTTTCAATCCCTCTCGATCGTATGCGCTTGCCTTGTGAAAAGCAACGCAAAAACCGGTGGGCACGCAAAACCTGGCTAGATAGGTTACTGTGACCACGTCGTTAAGGTCTTGGTGATCCCACACGCATCGTTATCAGACTTGCCCTATTTGTCAAGGACCGCAAGACAGACACCCACCACTCGCATCAAGCGATGATGATCAAGCATCCGTTCAAATCATGTCCTTACAGGTCAACTTTCGTTGGCCAGTGCGTCTAACAATTCAAACGATATCGTCGAGATTTCTCTGCTAGAATTACCCACGCCGTGGCACCTCCCCGGCGACGCCCACCCTGATGGCTTGCCTTTGGTAAGGAATCTGCCACCCCTTCAACAAGTTACAGTCTTTTCCATTGCTGGGATACGTCTAATTGTAAGCAGCCACAAATAAGTGAACGTCCGGTTCGGACTCAACAAATCAGTCATGTGGTCTTCGCCCGCGTATTCTAGGATGCCTTGAGTGACCCATTGAGAAGATGTAAATTGACGCAAAACGTGTTATGAAAGGTCATACTGTAGTGACCAAGTTGATGACAGGGTATTTGGTCGTCGACAGAAGTTGGATCAAAGAAGGCTGGTATTACTCATCTCCATTCCCTGCGAAATCACCTCTCCGACTCAGTCGATTCACTCTCCGACAAAACCTTTTCTTCATCAGCCGACAAGTCATCATGAGAATCCGTGAAAGAGCCCTGAACGGCAGGAGGTCTAGTCATACCCCCTGTAGGCGAAAACCCCCTTCCCCTCCGCCGTTGCTTCCTCGCATGCCTCTGAGCATCTCTGCCCGCCTTTCGTCCGTCCACCTGACGCTTCTTGTGACCTTCCACCGCTTTCTCCAGGTTGAAGTGCTGGGGCCGTCTCGTGGCCTTGGGTTTGTCAAGCAGGATGCGGTAGTGATGTTGGGCGCCGGCGCCAAGGACGCCCCGGCGGTCCAGGAGCATTAGATTGTGTACTAGTATTGCTTTGTTTGGTTTCGGACCTGGAGAGAACTCGATTTGCCGTTCGACGGTGATCTCACGTTCCAATTCGTCCTTGAGCATCCTTTCGTAATCTTTTTGAGTAGGCAAATTGTGCGTTTGGACACGGGGCATGAAGTTCGCTAGTCGTTGCTGCTCATCCTCGGACAGAAATTCTTGGCTATCTGAAGAGACTTCCCTATCTGACAGTGGTTGGGTGAATCCTTTGACAAGGCAGTGTAGGTCCCCAATAAGTCGGATGAATCTGTTCAATTTGTGACGGAGGCTCAGATTGGTGCGGTCAAGCTTATCGTTCAGCACACCCACAAGTCGAGAGTGCTGCCGCTTGACTTCTTGCCAAGTCTGTTGGACAAGAGCTAGTCTCTTTGCTGGAGATTCTTCGCCGTGTCGTCGGTCGTCGGGATGGACTTGGTCCAGCATCGAGGGCGTGGCCGGGTGCAGTTGGGCCAGGTATGCCGTTCGTAGAAGTTCCGTCTGCACCCGGAGCCGCTCAAGAGTTGCATCAACTTCAGGTCCAGCGAGCTTGATGAGCAGTCGTGGAGCTTCGCCCAATACCATTGTCCCTAGTTCTCTCATTGGTACGTCAATGTCCCTAACGACGCGGTGGAACTCACAACCCGGTGCATAAGTGTCGCGAACCAGAACGCCATCTTGCGGATGGACCACCCTTTGAGTGGGAGAGCTCCGGAGGCCACGTCGACGAGCTGTCTGATCGTTCTGTGTTCGCTGAGGATTTTGGTTCTCACCATGGTCGATGCCTGGAGCTGGACTTTGCTCATCTTCTTCGTTTCCATGATTGTGGGTTGGACCACCGATCACACCGTCGTCTTCGGAAGGAGCAGTGTCCCACGCGATATTGTTCGGATCACATTGACAATTGTGGTGGATATGACCTTTGTACCAAGGACAAGGGTGGCAACGCGTATGCAGACGGTTCTCGGCAAGAACACCATTTACAGCCGAATTCTGGTTCTCCTGGTTGGACGACGGGGAATCATGGATAATATTCGAAGACCACCTGCTATGTCGAGCCTCAAGCTCGACCTGATCCTGATTCTCATTGTCAACGTCATCGTGACCGTCATCAACATCTTCAGGAGGGCTAACAGGGCCTGCCATAAGCTCACCGAGCGGTCGTCGAGCGGGTCCTGCTTGGGGATAGGCATGTCTGCCCCAGCTACCGTATGCTTCTGCTCCGTCTGAATCGACAATACCGTATTCGTTCATGCCACTGTTCGCGGCGGCCGCCGTCACATTGTTTGCGTCCAGTGGTCCTGGTCCCTGCCATGGCGGTGCCTGTGACTGGGGCCGAAAAAGGGTCAATGCAGTCATAACGTCGTACGCCGCCTCTTCCAGAATGCTCAATATTTGGATCTCGTCTGCTTCATGAAATTCAACATGATATCGGTTCAGTTCCTGCCTAAACAACTCCATATGGCGCTTTTTGAACGCATTTGGTAACTGCTTGGGTGGGGTCTTCCGTGCGGGAGGAGTCTCGGGACCTGCACCACCCGCACCACCACGTAATCTCAGCGCTTGGGTTTTGGCTCTTGTTTTTGTGACCCTGCTATTTGGATCAAGTACACGAGCAGCCTCTCTTGAATGCTGTTCTCCATCTGGATTGCGGCGAGCAAGATTGAAATTCGATGTTGCATGCGTTCGACGACCTCTTCTGGGAAGAAATTGCTGCGCAATGAGTCCAAGCCACCCCAACAGACCGAATTTCGTTCTCTTTAAAGCGAAGATCGAATGTTCGGCTGGATCTCGGGCATGCGGAGGAGGCCGATCGATGAGATATTCGGATCGAAGACCTTCGGACATGATTCCAGGTTTCCCCAGATCTCTGCTAATCTGCTCGCTTTGAGCCACTTCATGGGCACGAGTCTCTGGAAACGGGCAGTAGACGTAGTCGTGGTGACATCGCATGTTTATGCCTTGTGGATGAGGGAAGGAACTCTGGATTGGCTCATCGGTCATCTTCGTCAGACGTCGCAGTCCCTCCGTTGCCGCCATCGGTTCGATCTGGCCACAGGATCTGGGTGAAGTGGCCGAGGTCTGACTTCCCATGGGTGACAAAAGGTGAGATGGCGATATGATCCAGTCTCCCAAAGCCTCGCCTTCTCTCCATCTTCTGAAAATGGTAGGCCCACCATTTAGCCCATTTAGTCGTACTACCGCAAAGTGCAACTTGGCCAGAGTGTTTGCCTCGAGCCTTCTGGTCTCGGTGAATCTCTTTAAAGAAGATAACACATGACTTTTCAAAGGTTGATTACGCAACTGGCGTAAGTGGACATGAGCCCCACAAGCAGTATCGGTGCGGCATTTCTCGATAAATCGACAGTATCGGCTGACCATGTCCTCGATGCTTCTCGGATTGGTAGCGTCAGGCAATTGGACCAAGCGTCTCAATTCCGGAGTTACGCCAGCTCTAGTGAAGAAGTTGAGCTCTATGGAGCCGCTGTTATCAAGCTCCTTCGAGCGTCCCTCCTCGGAGATCATGAAAGCAGACTTCAAGCTTCTCCAGATGAGGAGCCATAACGATTGCATCTCAGAAAGGTATGTTTCATCTTGGAACTGGCCATGAACCTCTTCACACTGGAGAATGAGATTCCTCGCATTGTCGGCGGATAGAAGTACCGGGATCTCCTCAATCCCACTAACACGTCCAGTCATGAGCAGAGGACATGGCAAGACAGCCTGGACGTCTGCAATGAAAGAGGTGAAAGCTGACTCCTGAATGCCGGCAGGACGACGGGTAAGATGAGGCTGCAACTCGGAAAGCTTCCTCGACAGTGCCGCTTGGGTTGCTTGACTCCAGACAGTCACGAATTTTGCATAGGATTCTCTGACTTTGTTGCAGCTTTGGCGGACATCAGGTTGTGCCAGAACCTCTACCGGCAGCGACGTGACTTGGAGAGCTTCGCTGATCATCTTCATGTCGTCGAAGAAGCTTGCTGGTGCGCGGAAAATGGTATGGTCCGACCATCTTTCGCAGTACCCTACAATCATTTCGTGTACTTCTTTCACCTCTTCTAATGTGCTACTTTCTCCCAAAAAAGGGAGGTGTAGATCGCTGATGGAGCCATGTTCGGCTGGGATGATACGTTGTTCGCTGTTTGGAATCGTGCGGTGATGGGCTCGATCGTTTGTTGCATTTTGTTGTGGTTTGTTGGATTGAGCTAATAGTCGCAAGTAGCGTGGGCTCGGCGGAGTCGCAATGGAAGCAATGGAAGCGATGTGCTTGTGCTGTAGAGTGGTCACGGTCCTCGCCAACGGCCGGGAGAGAGATATACCCTTTGTCACTGACCTGGGTAGGACTCTGCCAGACGCCTTCGACCGGCGTCGGATAGGGATCTTCATGTCTCTTTTGGGAGACATTGCTACTGTATAACAAGAAGAACGAAAGGAGAATGGAAATGCTGCTGTCACTCACGTATTGCTTTAATAGAACCTACCTGAGACAAAGACGGCCATGCTATTGCTTCTCATGCGATGTTTGCGTGAATCGAGGCATAAGTTCGCATTGAGACCGAACAAAGAAAATCCTCACAATTTGAATGCATGCAGAATGCTATCCCGGTGCGGACATGTTGTGGTCCACAACGTGAAGTGGCCTTATCTGACATTCCTCACCCTCGTGTTGCGCATGGACCACTTTTTTCTCGGATACCGAACCCAGATGTATTTAGGCAGGATTCTCTCTTAGTATGCATGGAAGAAAGAGGTAGCGGGAAGCCGGAAGCTGACAGCATGATATAGCTCATAGTAGGTGCGGCAACGAGAAAGCCGCATCTTGCAACCACAATCTGATATGGTTGTGCACACATCGAAGGTGAAGGGAGGACACATTTAGCCTGAAGTTTTCCTGGTATGCCTATGTTCACGGGGAAGCCACCAACATGATGAATGATGAATGATAAGACATTTGGTCGGGTGTCCAACTGCCGTGGAATGATGTGAACTCCTCATTTCCTCCAGAGGAGAAATGGTGAAGAAAGGCGAGGAGGGAATGAGGAAGCAGAAGGCCGCAGCGCAGACAAGGGACGTAATTACCCCACACTTTGCCAAGAGAACCGAAAAGGTTAAAAGGCTCTTGGTGGATCAAAGTCCCTGAGGCATGCTTAATGTTGGTGGCTTGTGCCCTTGACTTCAGCCAACCGAAGGCGCCGGGTGCTCGCGGGTCTGGAGAGCCTTTCCCCTAACGCGCCCCCGTGCACTCCACTAGCTTGGTGAAATGAGGAAATTCATCTGCTCATCGCTGCGTCCTCAATTATTACGTCTTATGTACTCCGTAAACTCGCCCTCTTCTCTCCTTCTCACTCCCTTCAAACCCCGTGTGTCCAATTCTGCTGAGGTATCCAACACCCTAGTACGAATCGATGCGTTGCGGTCTTGAGCTCGATCTCCAAATTGTAAAGCAGCATTGGAAGTGGTAGCCGTCAGTGGCGGCCATGACGTGACTGAAGCGCTTATTCTGCCTCTCGAAGCTGCTTTGACCTCACACCAAGCAGCAGAAATCAGCACATACACATGACAGACACAGACAACCAGCACGATATGACAGACCAAAGCGCTCCGCCATCTCCTCCTCCTCAACGTCGACGTCGATCCTCCTTTATCGAGATGTTCAATCGTCCCCAGTCTACTAGCGCAGTCTCGTCTTCACCACCATCTACCACTGTCCCACCACATCCGACCTCTTCTCAACATCGAAGAGGCACCTCCATTAGCGGCCTTGGTCTGACTACCAACCCTTCCTCCCAACCCTCGCCTTTCACGGCCTTCCAACGTCAACGACGAGCAAGCATTGCGACTTCAACCACTTCAAACTCACCGGATTTCAAGAACAGCTTCGGAGATGAGCCTGCTGTGCTTGAGGAGGACGAAGCTAATCCTTCATCACCGTCCTTCGCTAGACGGGTCAGCTTTGGAGCACAAGCACTAAGAGATGTCAAATTGGGATCGAGCCCTGGAACTGCTGGCGGTGGTAGGCGCCCCTCGTCTTCCCTTTTCACGCTGGCTGAGAATTCTGAAAACACCACTCCAACACGTCAAGCAACGGAGGGCACGGCCAAGACTGGAGGTAAGAGTCGAGGCCAGTCCTTTCACAGTCCTTGTATGCGCTTATCGTCATCTGTGCTCGATTTGTATTGGCAAGCATGTTCTGACTGTCAGCAGAAGGGTTCAACTGGTCAGAGGCCCTCCGTGACAGATCTAGACGCTCGCCGTCGTTTTCTTCCGGTAATCCATTTACTCAAGGAGCCAACCGGCCACGTGGGGCGAGTATCACAAATCCCGAACCACTCAAAGAAATTACAAAACCTGTTGAATCCATGTCAACTCCCGTCAGGATGAAGAAACCCGACCACCTTGGAGAAAGAATGCTTCGCGGAGATTTCATGATGGATTAAATATACACGAAATGCTGTGCTGTCTTGGTATCAGGTGCTTATTTCGGGTACAGCCTATGTCATGTTCACAATTTGTATGAGTGCTCTTGTCCTCTTCCAGGATCTAAGTGGTATGGTACCAGAACCGATTATGAAACGTGATGGAGTTCGACTCCTTCCCGACGCTGATTTTGATCCACGTTACAAAAGATTATCTTTGACACTCTTATCACTGATTTTGATTGAGCATATGATCTTACTAAGATGCAGCTACTCAAATATGCTGTGCTACTGGCTCGTAGACGCTGTCGCAATTTGCCGCTTCTTTTTTGGCTTGAAAAAACACCCTTACGTCAATACGACATTTTCAAGGTAAGGAGTTGACACTGACTTGAGGCTGAGCAATACCAACAATCGTGCCATGGAGAAGTCGTCAGCTGCTGGGCATGTCCGAATCATCTTCGAGGAAGTTTCACAGACGACATTAGCCGTCATCTATCGGCCGCTCGACAAGCGAGCAGCATGTCCACATCATTTTGGCATCATCACAAGATTTCTTTCACAGAGAATATCGGAATTCGCGATTCTGCACGTCGGTCACGTCCTGAAGTTCATGTCTTCTCCGCCACGTACGCATCGCCTAACTCGGCCTTCTGTTGGTCTCTCTTCTTGTTGCAGTGAACGTAATTGACGCCACTCAGTTGTACTGGTCGCCCAAGATAATGAGCGGATCCTTGAGCCCCGTGAGGCTGGCATACAAGAGGGACGTCTTATCGATGTATCGGAGCAGGTAGACAGTGCAAATCAGCGGCATGATATACAGATCGATTCGTTGCAAAAAGCGACGTGCGCGGAGAGAGTCTGTAGGTTACAGGAAGCCACCGGTCAAGGAAAGCAAACCGAGCGCAGCGTCACCGTTGTTGCGATTCTCTGGGTGATGTTGTCGCACAGCGCTTGGTGTCTGCTCTGACGAGACTGCAATGTTGGTCGTGTCTTCCTTAGTCATTTTGGCCGGCCTGGATGTATATACTAGTTCGCAAGGGTTGGGCTTTTGCTCGTGGTGGTTGGTATGCGACTCTCGATATTGCCAAAGGCATGCCGAGCCGTGAGCATGCTGTGGTTTATCTAGGTAATCGAATGATTCTGTCAAACGGCAAGATTACGCGATGGCTTGCCGCACCATTCAATGGTCTGACAGCGCCTTGTTACACCAGCGTTTAAGGGCGACGACGAGGTCTCGATCAGTGGGTAAATCACGATTGTAGGAAGTGGGTAAATGATACCTCTCTTACCTATAAATACGTGGTAAGTATATAGGTAGTTATAAAAAGGTAGAGAATTCAATATATTATATTATATACACTATTTAATAGTTATGAGCTCGGAATCGCATCTCTTACCAAGATTTGCTAATAACTACTTCTAGCCGAGTATACCCTAATTCTAAACTAATTAGAACGCGTCGTTCAACGAGGCTATTAGGCTAGTATCTTCTAAGTCTACTTATTAAGAATAAGTCTATATAATAATACTATTAATTAACTTATAGTAACTATATCTTATTTAAATAACTCTTCTATAGTGGCTAAGGTCTCTATTATTCTCGATAAGATCTAGAACTAGAACGAATAGTTTTATAAAATACGTAACGAGGTAGTCTCGTACGATATTTAGTAGTATATCGATTCGGTAATTACGCTAAATCTAATATAGCTACTACTATCTCCTCTACTACCGATAGTAGCGATAGTTAGGATTAGGGTAGTAATTTACGGCGAACTTAGTACTAACGAGAAGAAGATATATAAGATATTACGTTAAGATTATTAATACCTCTTAAAGATCTACGAGCGTAAGTATATAGTATTAGAGGCCCTTAATAAGTTAATTAACGATATAGTCGCTAGATATAACTTAGTGTATATTAAGAAGAACTACTTATAGCTATAGTAAAAGCTAACGATACTTCGTTTACGACTATCGCCTATATCCTTCTATAGAGAAGCGAAAGTAATTAAGCGCTATAAAGCTCTATAATAGATACTAAAGGCGAAAGATATTAACGCCTAGCTAATAAAGTAAAAAGTTACTTACGCCGATACCCTAAAAGTAGAAATCTCTAAGGTAAGTCGTAAACAACTAGTTCTCGACTTTCTTAATATCGTTATAAGTATTAAGGAGGCCTAGGCTAAGATCTAAAGGTTAGCTTTACTTATAAACGAGAATAACTACTTTTATAATTTACCTAAGGTTATATAGCTCTTTAAATAGTTACGATTATACGATAAAATAGCTAAAGCGACTCGAGCCTCTTATATCTTATTCGTAATCTTTTAGGGTAGATAATTAAGTTCTTCCGAATACTTTTATAAATAACGATACTAGTATATCGACTATAACTATATAAATAAGGTAAAATAACTATTATATTAAAAGTTAAACGTTACTACTTAATAAAATTTTAAGGATAAGCTTAAAATTAATACTCTCTTCGCCTCTTAAATCTCTAGAGCTAAATAAAAGACTAGTAAAGGGATAATTCGAAAGGATACCTTCGCTAGCGATATTAATAATACTCCGATAAGCGAAAAGTAGTCGTTAAGGACGTTTACGGCGGCGTACTCGATAATAGCGAGATACTCTCTTATCGATAAGTAGATTATCGATTTAGGCTTTAATATTTATCTATATAACGAAAAGAAGATATTGTATTAGGTAATACGCCCTACTTAATCTAACGATAGAGTATAATACGATATCGATATCTATTCTATCGATAGCTACGGTACTATCGTGATTAACGTTTCCACTAATAACGGGCCTAGGACGATAATAATTACGAAAGTTATTTATATACTAGGATATATAACTAATATTATCTCTCTATTACGCTTTATAGTAAAAGGCGTATACTAGGACGGCTTAATAGGAAGCCTATAACGCGATAAAGAGTACCTTTATTACGTTAAATAATAGGAAGAATACTTCGTATTAGGAAATATAACGACTTAAGTTACTTAATTAATTTACTTAGTATTTACCTTAAGTATAGCGCCGTATAATAATAGGACTTATACGACGATAAAATAATATTAAATTATAGGATACTCTAGCGTCGAGACTATTAACTAGCTATTACGAAATATCGAAGAGGTCTAAATCACGGCTAAAAATATCTTAATAACTATCGAGTACTAGACTTATAGTATTTCTAAGACTAAGGAAATTATCTCGCGGAGACTTAAGTACGAAAACACTATAACTTAACTATTTTAACGAGTCTTATATAATTTAGCTATTCTTAACGAAGCCTATAGTGACGATAAGTATATAAGTTACTTTAATAACTATAAGACTCGATTTAATTATATATATACTTATTCGAGTAAAAGGGACTATATTCTAGTTATTCGAGCCTATTTAGCCTTACTTAAGAATCACTATAGAATCGTCCCTTTCTTTATAAGACTCGACGAAGAGACCTCTTTAAGTAAAGCGTTCGATAAACTTATAACTAAGAAAGAAATTATCGTTAAACGATCGGCTTTATATACTCCTATATAAAACGATAACGCTAAACGCTTAGGGAGTATAATTATTTAAAGAGTAAGAGTAATACGTATATATATATAATTATCTATAATACTATAGTCTAAGCTAGTAAAAATAGCTAGATACGTACTTAATTATATACTAATTCGAGTACTAGGATAGAAGATACTATTCGAAGTAGTTAATAAGGAAAAGTTAAGGTTAAATTACTTATATATAGTTAGTTATCGAGCCTACGTCCTAATTAATAAAATACTAAGGAAAGATAAGCTTTATAAGCGAGCCTTTATAAGCTACTATATCGAATATTAATTACGTAATATTTAGTATATTTAGGACCCTATTAACCGCTAAATCATTATATCTAGAAACGTTATCTTCGACGAGTTAATACTATATAACCCTAATAATCTTAATAACGACTAATTAACGTTAAGAGAGATACTAGACGTAGTAAAGGTAATCGATAACTTTATTAGCTTAAAGTCTTACTAGAAGTAATAGAACTTAAAGGATAACGAGGATATAATTATTATTATACGTATAATATCTTATCAATAATAATCGACTAATTAGGAGGTACCTAATAACGCTTAAAATACGGCTTAAAAGGATATTTTAATAACTATAGTAAATTAAGCCCTAAATATATAAGATCTTCTAAGCCCTAAGGTAACCTTAGGACTTAAGATTAATTCCGCTAATTAGGAGCCGCCGAAGAATTTAGCCGATTAATCGAAGAGCCGAATTCTCGGGGAACTTAATACTATACTACGAGCTATAGAGATAATAGCATTACTTTTAGAGAATAATATTATTCCTAAGAGTACTCGTCGTAAACGATAATTAACTCGTCGATAAGCTTACGTAGCGGCTCTTTAATAGGAAAGTAACTCTATTAGTAGTTACTATTATACTTTCGCTATTACTATTAAATAGAAGTAAGGTATATAACGAATATATCGAGATTATCTTTCTTTATTATTTAAATACTAGCGATAAGTACTATAATACCCTTACTATAAGAAATAAATTAAGACTATCTTTACTAAATAGGAGACTATTCTAGCTAATTAAACGATTAAAGAGATTAATCGCTAGAGTACTAAAGATAAATAAGTTCTACTTCTACTATAGGTCTTTACTTATAAATTTAATACTAACGAGTATCTTAATAAATTTAAGGCTCGTATTTATATACGAAGGGACCTTTAAATAAACGAGAAGAACGTCTACGCGGCTACTCTTATACTTAAGACCTTCCGAGCGTTAATAAGTATTATCGCTTACTTTAACCTCGAGATCTATTAAGCTAACGTTATTAACGCCTTTCTAAACTTTAAGATCGATAAGAAAGTATATATCGACTATTTAGAAGAATACGATAACGAAGGTAAGAGTCTACGCTTACTTAAAGCGTTATACGGCTTAAGATAATTACTATTACTATAGTATAATACGTTTATCTTAGCTCTTAAAGAGCTTAATCTCGAAGAAGTATTAAAAGTAAATTATCTACTACGAAATAACTAGTTAATTATCTTCTTTTATATTAACGATATTATAATTCTCTATTAACGTAGTAAATAAGTATAATTCGATAACTTTATTTAATAACTTTAAGAATACTTTACTTTTCGAGTTATTAAAGATACTAACTAGTTTCTAAGTATTAGAATTATTAGGGATAGAGCTAATTATAAGCTATAGTTATACTAGAACTTATATATTAATAAACTTATAAGTCGATTTTATATTATATTTACTTAACGACGATAAATTATATTAATTATTATTAAGTCTCTTTTAATTAACGAGAATAAGGCTACGCTATAGTAAATTTATACTTACTAATAGCGAATAGACTTTATTAACTTTACCGTAGTAGTAACTAAACTAGACGTCTCTTTAATATCCTTAAAGCTTACTTAGTTCCTTATAAACTCGTCTTAAAAGTATCTCAACACCGTTAATAAAGTAATTAAATATCTTAGAGATATACGTACTTTAGTTATTAAGTATTTACTTATACTCTTTAGTAATATCTTCGAATATATATTTAATATATTCTTCGCTAATAATAAAGACTCTCGACGAAGCTTAAACGATTATATTATTACCTTATTTAGCGAAGTAATTAACTAACGAGTCTTTAAGTAAAAGATCGTAATAACCTTTTCTATCGAGACTAAATTACTTACTCTATTAAATACGATAAGTAAAATAATTTAGTAAGAATAACTATTTAACGACGTTAATCTTAACCTCGAGTAAGAGTCCGCTATCTACTCTAATAATCTATAAGCTATTCGTCTCCTAATAAAGTACGGCTATAAGCTTAATACTCGCCTACGATATATCGATATCTATAGATATTGGCTTAGATAGGAAGTATAACACGATAAGATCACGATTAAGTAGATTCTTACTAACTAAATAATTACCGATAGCTTTATTAAGGCGCTTCCTCAATAGCGATTCGAATTATTTATATAATAGCTTAATTTATAGGATATTAAGAATAGACTCCTTAACGCTAACGCTAACGCCTAGTAGTAGCGACGACGATAGCTATAACGGAAGATAATCTTCTTCGTCCGCGGTAGGATAAGAAGAGAAAAAGAAAAGAGCAAAAAGCACGTTTATATAGGGTCTTAGAAAGGTAGGAAAGAATCTCGACGTTACGTAGTACAACACTAAGCTACGGAGGCGACGACGAGGTCTTCCCTAGGGGGGTATATTAAACGGCAAGATTACGCGATAGCTTGCCGCACTATTCAATAGTCTAATAGCGCCTTGTTACACCAGCGTTTAAGGGCGACGACGAGGTCTCGATCAGTGGGTAAATCACGATTGTAGGAAGTGGGTAAATGATGCCTCTCTCACCTATAAATACGTGGTAAGTACACAGGTAGTTGTAAAAAGGTAGAGAATTCAATGTATTATATCATGCACACTGTTTGACAGATTCTGTATTGCGGCCTTTTGTAAGCACGTAATTGTGGAGCCAGAGTCGTGATGAACTGACCCATTTCACCACGACCTCATGGCTGAAAAATATCATGTATGATCGAACATTTAATAGGCAGCCTTGTTAAACTGGTTCATAGGTATCGGCGTGGGGTGGTAAAATCATGTAGAGTCGTTTGAACATGTTCTATTTGGCAGACTATCATCCCGTGTTACATGTCGGCCCATGCCACAAGCGATTGCGTGCCCGTGCTCCGCATGGTGCAGCATTTTGTCCAGGCGTGGAGGATGCCCCATGGCATGATATCATACAGCAACGTGATGCAAAAGGAAAGCAGTGGATGAATCTCGCCTTTCATGGTACACTTATACTATGTACTCCAACGTGACCATTGCTTGCAGGGCAAGTTGCAGCAGGAGACCGCATCCCGTGTCAGTCATCGAGGCGGGGGAAGCTATGCTTACGCTCAGATTGCAAAATGATTCCTCTGTACGGCGCGATTTAGGAAAGCTGATACTGTCACGGAGAAAAAGAAAATTTTGTTCTGTCATTCTGTCTACGTCCATCGCGGCTTGTGGCTATGTCCAGAAAACCACTGCCTACCCTAGTATGAATATCGGTGTGCCTTGTTCTGGCCGTCCGTCAGGTCCTTATCTGTGCTGATAGGGGTGAAATCGGCAGCCTGACCCACGCGATCCCTCTTCCTGTTTTCCAACACGGCCAGGAGCCAGTATATGCCTCCAGTGACGACCATAATCGCGTAGCACACGACAAGGGCCCAGATTCCTAGCGAATAGTACGGCGCTTGGCTGTTGCGGAAGAACTGTGGTCCAAAGATCTCGCTGACGGCTAGGGACACACCCATGGAGGCATTGACAAACGGCCGCTTCGTACTTCGACGGGTATTTGCCGTAGCGATCGCGATGGCCATGACAAAGCCGACATTGTAGAAGCCCATCAGGTAAACACCGCCCAGCGCTACTGTGCGTTGTGTGTTCACGTCAACCGTATGAATGATCACAGCGCCCACGAGGGCGGGCAAAGTGCCAATCATCCACCAGAGACAGCGAGTGTTGGGAATGTAATAGGCGAGGATAGAAAAAATGACCTGGCCAGCAATGCCAACTGCAGCCTGAGGCGCTGCGAGGAGGTTTGTGCGCTGCACCGAGTATCCGAAACCTTTGACAATCAAAGGGTTGAAGTTTGTGATACCAGACGCAGTCACCCCCTTGAGCCATGACGCCAGCGAGGAGGACCCAGTACTTGGCTGAGAGGAGAGCTTCGACACATTGACTGATTTGGAGCTTGGTCGGCTGGTCATTGTTGTTTTTTCTGCTGCGTGTCTGCTAGGCGCGCAATTGCGATTTCTTTTTCGCATGCCGTCTTCGAAACTTTGGTTTATTGAATTTCTCTTGATCATCGCGCTGGGGAAAGCTGTAGTCATCGTCGTCAAGGATCCAACTACTGCGCCGGGCTCAATATGGTTTCAACGTGCAATGTCCATCATGCCTGACTTTGTGCGGCTGCAGCGTGAACCTCATCTGGCCATTCAAGTGTTGTGCCTTGTTGTATTGTATCTGATGTCCGTCGACTGGAAGGAAGCCGCTTACGGATATGTATGTTGCACTGTCCTCTCGTGCTGACCTGCTCTGACATCCGTACCACCCAGATCGGCCAGGCCGTCCGTATCTGCCTGATAGAGGGTATCCACCGAGAAACTCCTCGCCAGATTATGGGCGACAAGATGGCTAATCACCACAGAGATATCTGATGGACGGTATATATCCTCGATCGGCGGTTATCGTCCATGATCGGTGTCCCGAGCTCAGTTCAGGACGCGGATGTTACCTGCCCATTACCCGGTGTGGACGATCATTCTCAACGCGGGACAGTGCTGAATATCAATGTCAAGATATCGAGGCTGATGACACAAATCCTCAATTGTGAGTTTGGTTCATGCAACTAATTGAGCTTTGCTTACCCCGTTTAGCTGTCTACAGTGTAGAGAGGCTGAGTCGGCCCTTCGTCAAAACTGTTCAATCCGTTTTGCGTAATATGGCGGCCATTGCCCCTGAGATGGACTCGGTGGGCAAATCAGCCGCTTATGGCACTGTTGGGGCCGTATCGACTGTGGCTGCCCACATTCAATTGTCCTATCATCAGGTATGCTGTAACCCCACATACCCTGTATCGCAAGGGTTGACACCGCCTAATATCTGTAGTGCATTCTACTCGCAACGCGACCGCTGTTACTTGATCTCATGATCGCCCGTCTCGAAGGTAGCGTGGGTCCAGGAGATCTGGAGAACACACTTTTGCCGCAAACCAAAAATTTGCTTGACACTTGCCTCCAATCTGCGCGAATGTCGCTCAGAATCCTGCTGACACTGTACGAACACCATTTGATCGGTAAGCTAGACTGCTTTTTCTCTCTTCATATGATCTTTCACTAACATTACTCGGATTCGTTCCTTCCTTTTGATCTTGAAAGTGCATTCTCTGCTGCCTTCATTGTAGCGATATCGTCCGCTCTCATTCCTTCTATGATAGCAGATGCTGCTACCTATAGCGCCATAAGCTATCGCATTATAGACTACTTGATCCGCAAAGGTAATGTTCCAGCACAGTTGCGGAAAAAGGAACTCTTATGTCTTGATCAGATGATCCAGCCTCTTCTTGATCATAGCGAACAACAGTCGGTTCAGCCTCCTTACGCCGCCCCGCCAACGAGCAATTCGTTCTCCCCTGACATTGGTGTACTGGGTGGTTGGACAGCAGGTCCCTGAGAGAATGGTTTCAGTCCGTCTCAGATGTTGAACGTTGCAGACCAGCTGGATACTCATGTTCAAGGATCCACAACCATGGATGGAGACTGGGTGACAACAAGCCCATGGATTTGGTGGTTCGAGCAACAAAATGACCCTATCAGCCAGTTTCCATAACTACAGCAGAATCTTCCAGTGACGTTTGGAGGCCCGTCGCTTCGTTGTCGGCAATGGTCTAGCTGGCTCAGCGCGATCCCGTCATGTGCAAGACCGTCTATGTCCGCCCAGGCAGTGAAAGATCTGGCCTGTAATCGGCCTGTTCCTCGACCCGGATTCTGATTCGGATCCTGATTCGGAATCTGACTCGGAGTGACTCGGATTCGTGTCTTGGGACTCTTACAAGGCCCAGTGGAAGACCTAGAAGCTACGCAACAGACCACATGAAGGGACCGGAGCCAGATCTTGACTTCGATAGCAACGCTTGATACACTCGCTTCTCACCAACCGCAGCTCGCCACTCGTGCAAGCAAGCGCGATCCGAGCTGCCACACACCCGTCAGTGGAGATAAATCTATTTCGCCGATTTGCAAGAAAGCCAAGGCCGGTCTCGTGCTTGTTAAGACCACTCTTTTGAGGATCATCTGATCGGCTATGATTACCACATTGTTCGATCTTTGCATCGACTATCATGACTGTCAAGAAAAAGACGTGGTGCTTTGTAAAGGATGACAGTGCTGGAATGGTGTTTCCCGTGGCTACTAGCAGCCTGGTAGCTGCACTCATTCTTGGTATGTCGAGCCGAACAAGACCGTCAGGAAAACCTGGTTCTCCAACGTCAATCAAACAATAAGACTCATAACTTCAACCGGCGTGACTGATGTACGGTCACCCAACTCCTGCCGACGTTACGCGAACGGGAGCGGTATCTCTATGAATATTCTTGTCACGAACGAGAGAACCGAGCAAATGAGACCGGACGCGTGGTGTCTGGTTGTCCTTTGCGAAGCACCGGAACATTAATCTCCAGAAGGCCACTGGGGACATGGAGCCTTAGTTGTATGGCGAAATTCTCCCGTGCACGGAACATGAAATGCCGTGCCCTGTTCGACGCATGCCAGGGGTTCTGGTAGAGCATTTGTAGTGACAACTTCTTCTTTGTGTGTTCAATATAGGCTGTGGAGGATGAACATTGCAGACGGCGACCACCTTTTGAAGCGGTACTCCCAAGAGATCACCATTGCGGAATCTCTTTCCGTCGTGGTATCGGAATAAATCGCATATTTGAATTGCTCTTATCTGCCCCGAAAATAGGTCCCACGGATTCAGCCAGTGTGGAGTTTTCCACTCGAGTAAACATGATCTAGGACGGATGAGACTCCCGCAGGCGGCACACGACTGCAAGGCCACCCTCCGCCCATCATGCAAGGCTACGGCCCCGACCCACCTTCCAAAACGGAGGTCAATGCCTCCTCAGCTTCCCTGCTGCCGCCTTGGCCCTTTGTGGATTATTTCAAATCTCCAACGAGAAGAATCCGCAAGTCACGTCAGTGTCAGACCGACCATGCCGTTAAGCTGAGGTCTAGAGTCAACATGGCAACACAAAAGCATGTCCTCGTACTGGGGTAAGTATTTCTTGAACTGCACACTTAGTAGTCGGCTAACAAGCATCAATGTAGAGCTGGAGTAATTGGCTTACAGACAGCCAGTTCGCTTCTTCAGTCCGGTTACAATGTGACCGTTCTCGCGAAACATTTACCAGGCGACATCTCTGTTGAGTACACTTCGCCATGGTGAGTATTTAGAGTTGAAAAAGCCTTCGAGGCGAACAGTGTTGCACAGTGATCATCAGGATGAGACTAACGCTTACCACAGGGCCGCGGCAATGTGGCGATCCAATGCCCTACCTCATGAGCAAGAGATACAAGATTGGGACAAGGAGAGCTACGAGACTTGGCTTCAGGAGTGTGGTCCATTGTCGAAGAGCCAAAGTTCATGTCTTCGTAAAGGAATCACAGTCAGTATACCCGGAGAACGGGCAATCTGACTCGCTTGTCGGCCTTCACATGGCTAAAGGACAAGGCTGACAATGAGTAGAAAGTGCCGATGAGGTTGCTCTGGTATGTCGTACTTCGACAGTCCTCTCGGGGCACATCCAGGGTCACCAGCTTGACCTCGGAGATTGACGGCTAATCATGGCCTCCCAGGACCGGACCGCATGATGTTATTCCCCACGGTCCAGAGAGCCTATGGTATGCGCCGCATGTCCAGAACTTTCGGACAACCTCTCCTCCAGAGCTTCCTCAAGGGTTCATTCATGGAGCAACACATGATGGGATTGCAATCAACACGACAATCTACCTTACATCTCTCGCCTCGACCGTCCACGCCTTGGGCGGTCAGATAACCAGAGTTGAACTGCCGACAAACAGCGGGCTTAGCGGAGCGATCAGTCACGCCAAGTCAACTCTCCGTGTCATGGGCGCCACTACTTCGATTGACTTGGTCGTCAATGCCACCGGTCTGGAAGCCTACAGGCTCGTGCCAGACGCCTCTGTCTACCCTATCCGCGGACAGACTGTCACGGTCAAAGGGGAAGCAGAGCACATCACCACCATGTTCTACCCAGAGGCCAACGCGTCCATAACGCCACGCATCGGCTCGGGAGTCTCTGTGCTTGGAAGCAGTTACGAGAAGGGCAACTGGGAGCGTACCCCTGACGATGCGGTCACGATGAAGATTCTTGAAAGGTGCAAGCCGCTTGCTCCGGAACTACTCAATGCCGACGGCGAATTTGCGGTCGTTAGTGTGAATGTTGCGTTTCGGCCCGGGCGTAGATGCGGACCGAGGTTGGAGATGGAAGAGGTCGTGACGGACGCAGGAGAAACGGTCGTCGTGTGTCACGAGTATGGACACGCCGGTGGAGGGTAAGTGATTCTTCGCTTTTCTCTGCAAAGATTGCGATTTATCTAGATTGTATAAAGGGTGCTAGTACTGACAAAATGACCATAGATATCAGAATTCCTTTGGCTCGGCTCGAAAGGTAGTGGCACTAGTAGACAAATGGTTTAGGAAAGAGCAGATCTCCCGAGCACGGCTTTGAATGTGAAAATATGGCGCAAAATCACAGAATAGCACACTAGAGAACCAGCTCGAGCGGGACTGCTTTTCTTTCGCGATAATCTTTACTATGTGCTTTCTGGGTCCGTCAGCTATTGCCGCCTGCTAATGAAAAGCCAAAGATAGAAGACAAACTGGAGCACAAGCAGAGGTCCGTACAGGAACACCTTGGGCCTTATACGACTTAGTATTTGCTATCTTTGACAGCGTCGCGAGGCAGATTGAGTGGGAAGACCATGATTCCAGAGAGAAGGTACATCGGAGGCGTCTCCTTTCACGTACCGCTGTTGGCCTCGTCAAGGCATGTGGGCCTCACGAATGATTTCACCGTCTCTGCTTGGCCGCTCAGCATCTCAAAGATTGAATCTGACGCCGCAAATTCGCCAGCGTAGACCTCGGGATCTTTTAGTAATAGCCAGCGTTCACAACGTCATCCTTCCTGGCTGGGATCCAGATCTGCAATGCATGATGACTCAAGCCGTGGTGCAGCATCAGGCGATCTCAATAGCAAGACTTGCACCGATATCGAGGGTTCCTGCACGTCCGTTTTCGCCTTCAACCTCATCCTCAAGATCTCCCACACCAAACTCATCGCATGCCTGACCAAATTCAATGACCGCCTCGTATGATTCGTTCACCGACCCAATGAACGTGCCAAAGTGGATTCCAATAGTGTTTCGCGACTTGACGTCCTTGTGAATAGCGACGGCGTCAGCTGGGGAACCGTGCAACGCCGAGGGTATGTCGTGATGCGATATCCTGAGTCCAATGTAGGATATGAATCCCAGACTGCCGCCGCGCCATATCGGCACAAAAGATAAGTCGAATGGACCGAACCTGTTGCCTATCTCTTTGAAAGCAGGGCAGACAGACTCAGATCCTGTTATTCTGCGATAGCCGGTATCCCCTGCGTGGTATATGGAGCCTTTCCTTGCGAATTGGGATTCGGCTGATTCGTCCTTGGAGCGCAACAATCTCTCTATGACCCATCCACACCAAAGCGTGCCGCCCTGATCGATGGGCCCCCTTCCAGAGTTGTGCTGAGCAGGCACGCAGGTAAATCTGAAGATGGTCTGGCTGTCAGACACCTCGACAGCTTGGTGATGGAAATCTGCTAGACTGTATTCACGATTCTGCCACCAGTCAAGTTCGTAGACTAGTTTGTCCGGGATTCCACAGGACAACATCCATTGCTTGATCCCCAGTGGTACGTAATACCTTGCTTCGGGGAACCGTTGCCCTAGGGCCTTGATGGTTGACAAGTCCAGGTGATCATAATGATTGTGTGAAATGAACACGGCGTCGCAACCCGGCAGATCATCCACCTGGCATGGGCTTTGCTTCATCCTAGCGACTCCGCTGTATTGTGTCGGTCCTGCGCGCGAGGAGAATATTGGATCGATGAGCAGCCATAGACTCTTCTGCTCCTTCTTGTCTAATGACGGAACCTCCACCAGCGCACCAGCGTGGCCGAGCCATGTGCCAATGATGGACTTGGATTTGTCGGCTTTGCACTTTTTCAGACTCGTAATGCCCCAATCGGGGGTGACGACTTTGACATCGCGGGCTTTCCGATGGCTGTGTAGGCCAACTTCGTACCGCCCAAATGGAAATGAAGCTTTGGTGAGCTCTGCCCAGCTGGGCTTACTTGCTGACGGCCACGGATTGATGAAAGAAGTGCCTGCGTTGTTGGCATGATGCGCAGGTCGTGATGGCGTCCGCTTGATGCTCGACATGACTACGATTCATCAATGTCGATCGTGTGGACGGTCCACTAAGTGTTCAAGACGATTGGTTTCATTTTAGGTGAGTATGTAGTGATAATCGTAGTTGCAAGAACGAGAGATGCGTATCCAGTGTGCAGGATTGGGTTGAGATGACGTCGCCAGAGGACAACAAGCGCTGGTCAAAATGTAACTTTAGCCCTGCTTAGTAACTTAAATAGAGGCTGAACTACTGTTCCGGGTACCAAAGTAAGTAAGACAGTAAGTAATTCCGTACTCCCATGCATTTAACGTTTCGGCACCTGTGGCACCAATGCTGGCCTCGCGGCTCCTGCCGTAATCATGAAGGCTTCCTTCAACCTATGCCTAATTCCTACTTTCCTCGATAAGAAAAGGACGTTTGTACAGCAATGTGGCAGACGGCGTCATGTGCTTAAATCAGGAATGACTTGGCAGAGACCTGGGCGGGCATTGGCTGAGAACACCATGTCAATGCGTCAAACGAACCTTTGTGGCTTTGAAAAATGGTCGATTGTCATTGCCGAATTGCCACAATGTCTCCCAAGGTAGGAAACATAGGGCAGGGACATCGTACATGAGAGAACGGAAACGCTGACGGGACAAAATGGTGAAGCAGCACTGAGAGATATTATGTTGATATACATATTAGCTGACGATATCCAGACGCTGAGAAATCACCAGCGCCGTGCTTTTTTGAAGACAATCATTCGCCCTCCAGTCGCCAATGACCATGTCCCATTGATTGTTCTCGTCGATTTCATAATTCGTCATTCATCTCAGTCACATTATACTTGCCACGCGACCAATCCCATGGGTCCCCTCCTGGAACGCATAGCCCCAACCTCCAGAAGTAGTCCCGATGTGCAAAGAACAGTTCCCACAGCTTGTACCGTGTGCCGATACCCCACAAGGCCTTGATCTTCGACTCAGAGATCGGTCTTTGACCTTCGCCGTCAGATTCTGCATCTGTAGATATTCCCTTGGCAATACAAGAAGGATCTTCGTCACCCTGGCAGTGTCGAATATCGGAGCGTGCAGGTGGGAGTGACGGTTTGGAAATATATAGCTCACCCGCATGCATACCGTAGCCCCACTCCTGGAGGGGAAGCAGAGGAACTGGGTCATCGACATGTGTCACCCTACGATATGATGCTTTTTCAAGGTTAGTATCGTTCAGGTTGAAGCGCTTGTCAATGAACTGATTCAGAGCTTTGTTCCCGATGCGCGGCTCGCCAAAGGTGGTGACATGAGGCACCCATCCTCGCGCTTGAAACTCGAGTGCTGCAAGAGCCGCAACAGCGCCTCCGAGCGAATGACCGACCAGGACCAATTCGTAGTCTGGGTGTTCGTTCAAGGCCTTTTCCACGTGAGGGACAATCGTACACCGTGTGTTCTTCCATGATGTCATGAAACCGGCGTGAACAGTGCAGTTGGGACATTCTGGCGGCGACACAGTCCTCTTTGCTGGCGGTTTCAACAACTGCGGTAGTAGAGGCTCCTTATCATTTTGCCGCTCAAGTGATGCGCAGACTGATCCGTTATCGCTTTCAGAGGGAAAAGGTGCATATTCTGCAGGATTCGTGGATAGATCGGCAATCGTGTTGGCGATCGAGTAGGTCCCTCGAAACGCGACAATGACTCGCTTCTGATGGGGAGGATGTGAGACTGCGATGTAGCCGCAGGAATCGGACAGGAGAGGCCCCGTGTTCCATGTTGTAACGAGTTCAAAACCCTCAAAATCGCTGCATCGGCTGAGACATTTGAAAGGTCTGTGAATACCACTAGTGCCGACACAGTAGGAGATATCGACGATTCGAGCGAGCTCTTCCAACGACTCGAAAGTTTCCTGAGAAATTTCATTGTTATTCGCTAGCAATTGCGCCGGCAAGGCGGTCACCACAGTGATCCATGACCACAAGCAAGTGTACAGGTACAAGACGAGCATTTCAAACTCTCCGTTGAGCGGGCACGATGTGAAGCTATCATACCGTGTTAGGGCAGTGGAATGTAGGTCGAGTACCAACGATGGAATTCCTAGGAGGAAGTTGGAGGTTTAAGAGCGGAGGTAACCTGGACATACTGCAGGCCATGCGAAATGTCCCGATGTCACCTGACCAATGACGTCATGAACTGATGTTTCGAACGACGACGACGCGATGACATGAAAATCTATCTTGACCACTACTCAACGATCAGGGTTCTCGTCGAGCAGTAACCTAAGCAAGTGAACTCTTGAGCGACGGGCTAATCTCTCATCAAATGTCTACGGATATCCCCATGCAGACTCTGACTATATGCTGTCCTCTCCTGGGGCTTCTCGACGTGAGCCTCGGCACCTCCTTTGTCTAGAAATGCTCCAGTATTGGCTTGCACATCATGCAACGCCTTCTCCTGGATCTCGGTCCGATATGTGATAAATTCGAAGACTCCAACACGCTTTTCGAACAGCTCGTCCAGCTCTTCCAGCGACCTTCCTTTCATCTGGACGACTTAGTATTTTCGTTGCCACCAAACAGGGGGAACTGACCTCTGGAATGCAGAAGAAGAAGAAGATGGCGCAGACAATGTTGCTGCCGAACCAGATGTATCCATACTTTGGACCTGGACAAGTCAACCCATTAGCGACACATCCAAAGTCCCTCTTAGCTAACTTACCCCAATTTAGGTCTTGCGGATTGATGAAATATGGGGTGCAAAAGCTGGTGAGCCAGGTGAAGACGTATTGGAGAGAGGTGGCAGATCCTATTGTCCATGCTCGAAGACGGGAGCTAACCAACTCTGTGCCTACCGGGTACGTGGCCGCGCCAACACAACCGTTGTAAAAGAATCCCCAGATGGTGACGAAGGCGACGGTGGCTTTACCGGTTGACATGGAGAATGGCGATACACTCTGTGCTATTGCCATGCATAGAAAACACAGGCTCGTCACGATTGAGCCGAAAATGAGGATGAATCGTCGTCCAACCAAGTGTCGCATGGCGTACATGCCGAAATTGACTCCGGCGAAACCAATACAGGTTATCATTATTGAGTACTGAAAGGCCTGCTTTATTCCGGCGATCAGAAAGAAATATGTCTGGTAGGCAATCGGAAACCATGAGCCACTGCCTGCTTGTGTCATGATGGTGCCCCAGCAGAGTAGCGTACGTCTCAAATCCGCGCCTTTGAACGATCAGTCTGTGTGCAACCATTTCCTCTTTTGATACTTACCACGGAACATGTCCAGAATTCCGACGGATTTCGCAGTCCGTCTCTCTTCTTCAACACCTCGGATCATTTCTGCCCATTCGAGTTCAAAATATTCTGGAGGTAAAGACTGCGCTCGAAGGGTCTCCAATGCCCTTCTAGCTTGACCTTCCTTATTATGGTGCAATAGCCATCGTGGAGACTCGGGGCACAAAGAACAATCCAGTTCCAAGAAGCACAGGGACAATGTAAAGGCAGCCAATGGGAATCTGATAAGACCCTTTGTCCAGACGATCCTTGGTATAATTGTCGACGATGGTTCCCAGGATGGCGCCAATATTGACCCAGTATGCGAACAATGCCACCATAACTCCTCGAAGGTGAGCTGGGGCAATTTCCGACGTGTATATGTTGGAGAATGTAACGAGAAAGCCGTTGGAAAATCCCAGAACAAGACGTCCTAGATATACAACGCCTTTGTTCGTTGTGGCGATTTGAATCGCCAGTCCAACACAGTTGAAAGCGCATGCCAACCACAAAGCAGTTTTCCGACTGTAAAATGCGCCGAACAGACCGGCACAGATGGACGAAATAAAGGCACCAAGAGTCAACAGCGAGGTGATCAGTTGCTGTACAGTACTCTGGTGGTAGCGTCAGTACAGATGGGGTATCATGCGAGCTTCACCCACGTCGATTCCATAGCCTAGTGGGCTAGTTGGGTCCGGGTACCCGAATACTTTCAAAAAGCCAGGCATGGCTTGGAGCGCGCCCACAGCGGCACTATCGAATCCTGAAGCCCTCATGTGGTCAATGTAAGTCAAGCATGCAGAACGGTATGCTGACTCACCGTACTGAGTGTTGGCCATGGCCACGACGCATGCTATGAGAAGACATTTCCTGTTCTCCCATAGGGACGTCACTGGAACTGTGATTTGACTGGTGTGTGGAACTTCCGACATGGTGAGCGAAATCAAAACACAGAAGCAATGTGACAGGACCTGCACGCGACGCACATTGTTCTTCGGCATGCTGATCATATATCACTTTCTCGACGAGAGGACACTCGGGGTCGTTCCCCGCACATCGAGAGCGGGATGAGTGATCATGCAGCTACCATCCACAGCCGAGCCTGTCCCAACAAGGATCTCAAGTCGTGGAGCAGCTCTCGCTTACCCTTTTCGAGGGGGTTATGATCCAAGCCAACGCGGTACAGAGATCAACGTGGGACCTTGTGGGTCTGCCGACTCAGAAGTCATTGCTAGCGCAAAAGCATGCATGCCCGTCATGGCTACGAAATCTTCAGGATGCGAAGTCCTATGTATACTGCTACGTATACCGCCATACGTGCGAGGCCCTCGCCAGCGCAGCTCTACGCCGGCTGGGGCCTCACCAGACCGACTCGTGCGAACATCTAGGGGAACGGGACAGCTCAACATGCAAAGACATCACAAGGTCAACAATTGCCGTATCCAGGAGGGGAATCATGTCCCGGCGAATCGCCGTGAAAGTGAAGAAATGTGAATACGCTGGCAGGATCTTTTGCATTGAGAGGTGGAGTATTGCATACGGTGTAGCGCCAATCTGGGGTAGCCGAACCTCCGATGTGTATCAGTTGACTACCCGCAGCCACTAATACCCTTAGCACCGCAAAGACTCCGGAAGCATTTGTCAGATGCCTGTCTCTATCATACATACCCCGGACTCGATTCTGCTCGACCATGTAGCGTGGGGTCAAGTGGGAGGCCCCATATCATGCCCACTTCAATATGTCAATCCGACCTCGATTGAGTATAAGTTGCGGCAGCCTAGCTATGGTCACAGATACAGTCTGCGAGAGTAGCCATAGCCGCAGGCAAATTCAACGACTGTCAGAAAGCCCATCATCCGCTTGCTCTGCTTCTTCATCGCTCTGGGATGGGTTTCGTGGAAATGGTGCAACTCGGACGTTCTTGTGAGACTGCGAATGCATGCTTAGGAGGATATTGCGCATTCCTGCCGAAGCGTGCTAGCCAGCCCTGAGTCCCATATCCACGCTGTGCAGGCCCGGATCGAAACTTTCAGCCACAATGCGAACCTGTCTCTTTGTTGCCCAAACTATCTCTCGTCACGTCAAACCAAGCTTGTTAACGGCATTAGTATGTTCATTTCGTACTCTACGCTAAACAGCAAACGGCCGCTCCCCGGGTAGAGGTGGGATATTTGACGGGATGGCAGCAGGATTAGGGGCTAGGAACTCCGGGATCAGGGAGTTTCGCAGCGTGTTCACACTTTATGCGCTTGACAACGTGTATATAGCAAAGGAGATGTTTGATGTCTGAGAACACTACTAAGAGGAATGCTATAAAAAGGAGGCCAAAAGAAACTTTGGCACAAAAGCAGACCTCAACTCAAGCGAAACATGGCATGCACTCTGTTGACAAGGCTTCCAAGACGGCCGCCACGTCAGAAACCATCCTCCGAAGAGAATGGCGAGCGCTGCTTGATGTACCAAAGCTGTAACAGGCTACTTTCATGGAGAAATTTGCGAAACGCAGAAAGAAGCCTTGACTTAGCAATGGAGCTGGTTTGGACGGAGGACAAGAGCGCAAATGGGGTATGCGGGATGGACTCACAACTGTCGACATTGGAGCCACGTCCTATGGGATCAGGGTGACAACCAAAAGTCTGTGAGATGACTCTTCGCTCATCTGCTCCTCAACAAAGACACACCTGGTCAATTGACAGTCTCCAGCACGGATCACATGAAAATCCCATGTTCAGGAGTCCATCGCTTTGTACAGTTCAATTCGTGTCTGCTTTGACCGCCTCGGATAGTTGGTTGATGTCACGAGAGACACTGGCGTGCACGGTTTTCTTCCGATCCCGAGCGGAATCTTGAGCATATATGGCTTGGATGCGCTGCTGTTTCTGCAGCGTCTTGTCCCAGCAAGACCAGTGTCTTTTAGGATGTGGCTTTGGTGTTTCTCCACCGTTTCCAACTCGCTACAACTTTGTGCTCTTGCAATTTCCTGTTGTATGAATATGACGCTTTGTCAATTCCCTGTGTGCCTCACGCTGTATCTTGTCGTGTTTCAGCAGCTGCTTCGGTCTCTTCGCGTTTCTGGGACGTCCGTCGGTAGGGGTAAACGGCAGGGCATTCCGGAAGACGATGTTTCCATTTCCAACCTTAGGTTGAGCACGCTTTGCGAGGTCAACTCATGTCCAACGGCAATCGACTTCCAGAAAAGCAGTGCAGAAGGGAGTTGCGGCGAACATTCGCAGTTGAGAATAATGCAGCCAGAGTTGAAAGGACTTTGACTCTCAAAAAAAGTTGTAGCCAAGCTCTCACGCCCGATGTTTCCCCATATGGCCTGGCGCCGTATTTGAGGTTCGTCTTTCAATGCTTCGTGAATTTTGTCCATGCCATCACCTGAAGATCGCCTTAAGTCTCGTGCCAGGCTACACGTTTCCGCGACATCAAGGATCTTTTGACGATCGACGAGCTTCGAATACCCATGCCACAATATGGAAAATCTTCCAGCCTCAATATGTAGAGCCTGCCGACTCCGGCTGCTGAAGCCATCATCTCAAACACGAACATTCAGTACATCCTCCACTCGCATGTACATCCCTCCGGAGTCACCAGCTTTCGTCGATGTCCCCGAGCCTCATCAACCAATCCGCGACCAGAAGCCGGTAGTCAAGGGCGTCCTTCCCGTCCCTCGAGAACTCTTCCCGGCCCGACGCCGCGACAAGCCTGGCAAAGAATATCTCGCCAATGTCACGCGCGATCCGCTACCCAAGAACGTCCCGCACCCAGACCAACTCACCGAGGTTGGCAAATACAAGCAGCGGATGGCTGAGATGCGCAAGTCCCATCTGCGCGAGGGCCTAAAGGAGCTGCACGTGCGCAAGACCACGATCGACGCCCAGATTGCGCACCGCAGCGAGACGAGACAGAAGGAGCACGCGAGACTGAAATCCCAGCCACAGAGGGAAGATGAGCGCCTGACCAACGTGTCGATCCCGTCGGCGATGCGGCCGCAAAAAGTTCGCGAGCTGTCCTCTGAGGAGGAGCTGGCGATCTACAATGCCCGCAAGGCGGCGCACGATGCCCGTTTGGCGGCGAAACACGAAGAGCGTCTGGACAAGCTGCATACACTTTACATGAATGCCAGGAACTTTATCACAACTAGAGAACAGCTGACGGCAGCCATCGATGCTACTTTCACGTCGACAAGGAGCATTTGGGACAGTGGCGTACCGGATACCGTGGAGGAGATGATTAAGCGTGGAAGAGACAGGACGACAGACCAGGGCCGCGCTGGTGCGAGGTTCCCTGGAGATGTTAATGAAAGAGCACTTCGGGATCAAGAGCGTATGCAAAGAATAGCGGAGAAGTTGAGCGGCGGAAAGATCTGAGCATGATAAGAGATATCATTATCGAAAGAGGCAGAGTTGTACAAATGCGCAGGCTGTGTGGAGGGAGTCTTGGTTGATATGACGCGGAGCAATGCATGGCCGGCACATGTCATTGTTGCGATTGGGCGAGTGAATACATTGTAGTATTTCTCGTCTACCTAGGTATATATACCTATTGCGCAGTTCGCGGTCCGAGGCAGTCGATCTGTTTGAATAGAGTCAAGTCCACTGTAAGAACTTTTCTCTCATCATGTGTACGTTGACCATGTGACTTTCAGGATCGCAGTTGTATTCCTGTAGCTTGCTTCGGACGGCATCAGGAGTAATCCCGTGGTAGGTTGAACGCGGCGTTGCAACCTGGACTGGCCGTAGATCTTGCACGAAGACCTCACTAGCCACCGTTTTGGCGAAAGAGGCGGCTGACAGTCCTCGGTCACTTTTTTTTGATAGTAGCCTCAGTACAGAACTTGTGTGCTAGCCATATTGTCGTTGCTCACTCCTCGGCGTGTGGCAAATAAGTCCCTCAGTCCAGGTCGATGCACTGTTTGATTGTTTGCCAACATTGCAGAGGTGCATGCCCGTAGGCTGGTCGTTGATTTTGGTCTCAGACTGAACGACGTGAACGCAGTGCTTGATGTCAGAGCCAAATGCGGGTGGGCACGGCATGACCCTCATGGCAGCAGCCACAAGAGGTTCTGGGGAGAACAAACACCATGAGCAAGATCACGTCGCCCGTACACCTAGCCCGACACTTCGAGTCTCGAATAGTTCGATCAAGCCTGCACCAAGGCACTCTTCAAGCACCCAATCAAAGTTTAGACCATACAGGTCTTTCCATTTCTTGGTCTTTGCTGGCATGACCCCAGCAAACTCTCCCCTCAGTCGTTTCGCGGTGGATATGCGATTGTCAGAGTCGACTGCGCCATCCCAGCGCTCTCTCAGTAAATAGAGTGGCCCTTCTTTGTATTTGGACTTGCCCAGCAGTTCTAGTAGGTGTTGTCGACCCGCGTTCAGTAATCTTAGGTACGGACCAAGGTTGGGTACGGACAGAGCAAAGTCAGCTCCTTGAGTATCTTGTGGTGTGCCACTGGGACGCCTTGCATTGCCAACACCACCTAGATTTTCAAATGCAGCATCTCCTCCTACAGCACCCGATGAGCCGGATGCTGCGCGGGAGATTTTCGGCATGGCCACCAGAGAAGAGCCGGCTAGTGATAGGTTGCGAGAACCAGAAAGAGACGTCGACACAAGGAAGCCTGTTCGAGTCAAGGCGATCACATGTGATTGAGGCAGATCATGAGGAGAAATGGACGTAGCTCGAGGCTGACGACGAAGCACATTGCAGAAGTCTGCTACGACATCTGGAGCAACATCACTTCGCTGGAGCAAGACTTCTAGGTCACTGATCGTGATCAATACCTCACTGGTACCGCTGATATCATTGCCACGCCCGGTCACCTTGACCTTTCGCACCTTGCCGACAGCTTGCAATGTAGCAATCTGACGCTCTGTTTTGGACGACGCGGAGATGATGGCATGAACATGTGGTAGAGACACCACGGCTGGCATGTTTCGCTGGAAGTTCAGGATTTCGGAGATACGGACACTGTTCATCCCTGCGCGCTCAGGAATAGCTGCGAACATTGAGTTGCGAGCGTATTGCAGTGCAGACAAGACATCCTTGGCCGAGTCTATTGAGACTGTGGACAGAATCTTGCCATTCGACGCCAGCTTTTCTTCATCGTCGTCGGCGCTATCGCTACACTTGGCATCATCAAGGGCGTCTGAGAGTGATTTCGTCCTTGTGATGGATGATTTTGTGCGCGGGGCATGTGCAAAAGGCGAAGAGGAATGGCGACGGATGTTGTTGACGGATCGCTGTGCCGGCTTACTGACACGCGATGAGTGGGCCGCCGTGAGATAAAGTGGCATGGCGAGAATAAGAAGAGGAGGCAGGAGGCCAGGCAGAGCGGAACTAGAGGGATATGGGTATCGAAACACTGTCCATCAGGAAAGATTGGGTCCGTTCCGCTGCGCTCAACTAGGCATTTGCAAGAACAATAACGAGTGGTTGATGGTTGTTGTTCTCGAAAGACCCAGAAACACGAACACGCAGACAAGATGTTGCCAGTGAGGTCTCCGTACAGAGTCTGGTTGGACCCCGCCGGGAATGTCTTCCGCGTCAGTAAGAAATGCAGCCACCACGGGGTGAGTGGTGGACAGGGTAAGGAATACCTACTGTGAGTAATAGTATAGTACGGAATACCTATTATGTGGAGTAGGGGATAGGCGGTTCTTTTTCCTTCCACCGGCTGTCTCCCGAAAATAGGTTTCTACTGTGGTAGAAAGTAGGGCCTCCTTTACTGCATGAGGCCTAACGGGGTTTCCTCTGGTTAAACTTCATTAGCTGAAAGGTCTCTCAGACATGGATCCTCTAACCTCTCACCACCGACCATCAGCTCCACACACGTGCGTCATTTTGCCCAATGTTGTACGTTCCCTGGGACCTAAAAAAAGTTGGCGTTGGGAGCAGCGCGTACGAGTAGGTGTTTGTCTAACCTACACCAAACTCCTGTGCAAGTGTGTAAGCTATCACAAAATGGCAATAACTGTGTCTGGGGCCTGGGCAATGACGAAAATGGATGCACATGTCTTTTCTCCAATGATTTAGGGCGGATCCCCGTTACAGTACCTGTATCACACCAACATCATTTCTCTGTAAACCGGCATCTCCCTCCGGTGGTTTGATGCAATTCATCTTCGTCGTTCCTACCAACGCTACTACCTCCTACACCAAGTTGCGCTCAATTTGATTTCCTCCCTACTTCATTGCCGACATCCACGCTGTCTGTTTCGACTCGCCGTGGCAACCCTGGCCATTCCTTCTAGGTCCTTGGCCCGCCTCGTCACTAGCACCGTTGCACGTCCTTACTCTGGTCTCGAGAACACCTACCATAACCTACATATCTCCTTGTAAGACGCGTTGGAATCTTCCTCGGACGGTTCATACCGCATGATACAATGACCGTCTTTGTGGCCAGTCTCTTCCTTCCTTACACGGTCAACTTTGACGGACCGCCATCATGGACGGGACCAGCTTCACGGTCTCCGAAGCTGCATCGAGCTGAACCAGGAATACCCGAAGCCATCTCCCCACCCGTCTCTCAAAAGCCATCCCTTGACAATCAGTCAGCCATCAGCTTGTTTGCAACCACCCCGAAACCCGTGGGGGCCCTCACGCAGAGTCCAGGTTCGCTGATTCAGACGCCTGGCGCAACCACAGACCACGAGAAGATCTTCCGTCCTCACATCGAGCGACCGATAGCACTGTCCCTTCCAAGTCACATCAAGGAGAAGAACAATGACATCCAGGTGGATCAACAGGATCTGCAACAGCAGCGTCCTGTCCAGCTGAAAGACCTTCGAGGCATCTCGCGACACGACCTACACTCACCTGGTTGGGGCAAGAGCTTTGTCTGGAACCAGCCACCGTCACGAGCCAAGTCCCCTCCTCCGAGCTCTATCCTGAAACATGCAGCAATCGAACTTAAAGAGAAGGCGGCGGCTGTGGCGTTAGGCGCCCAGAAACAATTAGGGCGCAAGGGACACCGGAGGTCAAGAACGGGTGGTTCTGAAGTTCAGTTCTCAGAATACAATTACACCATCGAGAAGGCGGTCATCGGCAACGGAGGTCTCTTCAACGCCATTGATGCTGCGGCCGACGCTGATCTGCTCGATGAGAAGCTCTGGGTGGGCACTGTGGGCTGTCCGATTGATGTGTTGGAAGATCACATGAGAGAGAACATCGCAGAAAAGCTGGAAAATGATCACGAATCGCTGGCAGTCTACGTCAGTGACAGCGATCTCAACGGCCACTATGAGCATTACTGCAAGACCATCCTCTGGCCAGTCTTCCACTACCAGATCCCAGATCATCCAAAAAGCAAGGCATATGAGGATCACTCCTGGGTGTTCTATGTCAAGGTCAACGAAGCTTTTGCTGATCGCATAGCCAAGAACTGGAAGAAGGGAGATATCATTTGGATTCACGATTATCATCTGCTCCTCGTGCCCGGTCTGTTGCGACAAAAGCTGCCCGATGCTGAGATCGGCTTCTTCCTGCACACTGCGTTCCCATCCTCAGAGATCTTCCGATGTCTTGCTGTCCGACGCGAGCTTTTGGAGGGCATTCTTGGTGCTGACATGATTGGGTTCCAAAATGACGAGTACGGCCACCACTTTCTGCAGACTTGCAGTCGATTGCTGAATGTGGAAGCCACCAAACTCGGCGTTATCCTCGAAAATGGAAGATTCGTCCACGTCAGCACCTGCCCTATTGGCATCGATCCGAAAGCGATTGACCAACAACGTCGCGTGCCTGAAGTGCTAGATTGGGTCAACACTATCACTGACAAGTATCGCGGAAAGCGCATCATCGTTGGTCGAGACAAGCTAGACAACATCCGTGGTGTGCGCCAGAAGATCTTGTCCTATGAGCTGTTCCTCAACAAATATCCAGAATACAGGGATCAGGTGGTTCTCATTCAGATTGCGACTTCGTCCACTGAAGACCCTGAGCTCAGCGCGACCGTTGCGGACATTGTCACCCGAGTCAATTCGACTCACTCTACGCTAGCTCACCAACCCCTGGTATTTCTGAAACAGGACATCGATTTCGCCCAGTATTTGGCCCTTCTCACTGTTGCCGAGTGCCTCATGATCACCAGCTTGCGAGAGGGAATGAACTTGACAAGCCATGAGTTCGTCATGTGCCAAGACGGTCAATTCGCCGAAGCCAAGCATGGTCCCCTGATTCTTAGTGAGTTCACTGGTTCGGCGACCGTCTTTGGACACAATGCCATTCTGGTCAACCCGTGGCATTACACCCAGTGTGCCGACGCCATCAAGCAGGCTCTGGATATGGGCTCTGAGGAGAGAAGCCGACGATGGAAGGCAATGTACGATTATGTCGTCAACCAGAATGCCAACGTCTGGTACGAACAGTATACTAAGGCCCTCAACAATGCTTGGAAAGAACACTCAGTCCGTGAGGCGACTTCGGTCCCACGACTATCAGTGAGTGCGGTCAAGACAAAGTATCAGAAAGCGCCGAGACGTCTCATAATCCTGGACTATGAAGGCACGCTGGCGTCATGGGGCTCTCCCACTGACATCATCTTGACCACTCCCAAGCGTTCGGTCGATGTATTGAATGACCTTACTGAGGACAAGAAAAACATTGTCTACGTCATGAGCTCCAGGATGCCTGAGGAGTTGGAACGATTGTTCAGTCCGGTCACTGGGCTCGGAATGATTGCCGAGAATGGTGCCTATGTCAAGGCACCCGATACGGACGAATGGGAGGAGCTCGCAAATTCAGACCATGCCAAAGAATGGAAGAAGGGCGTTCGCAGCATCCTCCAATACTACGTGGACAGAATCGAAGGCAGTCGAATAGAGGAACGGCATTCGGCTTTGGTCTTTGATTATGCAGAAGCTGAAGACTTGGCTGGGGCTTTCAAACAAGCTGGCGAGTGTGCTAACCACATCAACGATGCTTGTCAAGGCCAGGGCGTGGGTGCGGTACCGATCGAGGAGGGTTTGTATATTTCCGAAATCGGTATCAACAAAGGATTGGCTGCACAGATGATCAGCGACACTCTTGAGAAGTCGAGTCACGCTATGCCCGACTTTCTGATGGTGGTCGGCGATTCCAGAGAAGATGAATATGTGTTTAACTGGGCGCACAAACTGGAAAAGGCAGGCAAGATTCGGGATGTGGTGACTATCACACTGGGAGGAAGAAATACCGAGGCTTCAGCCACGCTAACGCAAGGCGTGACCGGTAAGTCTGCTGCTTGTTTTGTTTGATCTGTTTCTAACATTCTCCTAGGTGTGTTGTCGATCCTTGAAAAGTTGGTCAGGATCTCGCAATCCTAAGGGTGTGGTCAGACTATCTGTTGGTTGGAGGTGCTTTTGAGCTCTCGGCTTCGAAAAGAACAGCTTGACGTGCGAGCAGAGCATGAGCAGGTTGACGGTATGAATGAATAGACGGTCTTGTATCTCTTAAGATACCCTTTGCATTAGAGCAGCGAGAACTAGCATTGTATGTGTTTAGTGTACTTTTCGTTGTCCTTTTCCCTGGTATGCATCGTACTCGAGTCAAGTTTCAAAACTTTTCTTTCGCAGGCCTCATGTCAAATTCATGAATCCACAAATCGCACGGTTGATTCATGCACTGGAGATACAATTTGCCGACACTCTCTGCTCGGATCTTTTCGCCTAGATTGACCTTGGCCAACTTCTCTTTGACATCAGCATCCTCGGCCGTGGTGTCGACGTCGACAATGCTTCCGTTGGCGATGGCGTGCACTACATGCACGCCCTTGGCACTGTACTCGCGCGCCAGACTCTGTGCAAGCATTCGTACCCCAGATCGTCCGGCGCCGTATGCTGCGTAGCCCGCATTCGTGCGTAGCGCGCCCAATGTACCCGTAAAAATGATGGTGCCCTTTTTGATCATGAATTCGCCGCCGTCGCTGCCGCTTGAGGAGTTTGTTGTGGTGTCGTTGGGGTTTTGGGCTAACATCCACTTCAGGGAGAGCTGGCTGAAGACCATGGCCCCAGTGACGTACGTTTGCAGGCTGTCGCCGAATTTGGCGGGTGACTCGTCCTCAAAGGGGACTTTGTGCGAGTGCTTGATGTTCCAGATTGCTAGTTTGAGTGGGAGCTGTTGCTGGTGGGATTTGGCCCATGATTTGATCTCCTCAAAGACGGATGTGAGGCTGGATTCAGTGGTGTCGGTTTTGAAGGCACGGAGCGTGCCCCCTTGCGACTCGCGTGAGAGACGCTCAGCCAGGCCGGCGTCGGCGCTGCGTGAGAGCAGAGCGACAGCAAGGTTGCCGTGGGATGGATGTGCCAGAATGCGTGCTATGCCGGAGGCTGTCGTCGGGCCGGCGCCCATGAGGATTGCTAGGCCCGAGGGAGCCATGGTGGATGGTGGTGTGAATGTGAGTCTTTTGATATAGTCGTCAAACTGTGCTTTGGTCTGCAGGATTGATGATCACGCGTCGTAAATGCTTAATAACATACGAGAAACAAACTGCATGCCGGCAGGTTCACTACTGGTAACTGTGCGTCTTATGTAGGTATGATCTCAAGAGATGATGTCCTGACGACGTCATCGAAGGTACACGAATTGGCAGACTGGAATCTCAGCGCTAGCGACCTGGAGGTCGACATCTAGGCCATCAATCGAGATCTCCAGAGCGCGAATATGAGTGAGCTCGCATGATATCCCGTCTTTACTGGCAATAGCAGTGGTCATAATGCCTGTCCTAGCCTGAAATCCTCTGGCGTCATCTTGACTGTGGTCGAGCGAGCTATGGCTTGCATTCCGTCTTTCACTCCCACCACCTGGCCCGTTTGAGCCAGACAGTGTGATGCTGTTCAGAAGATGAAGGAGCGACTATGTAGCACCCGGCAATTATCCTGGCGTCTCTTCGAACTTGATCAACCTCAAATCCCATGCACCTTGTTGGAACGGATCATGTCCTAAGTCTCGAGCAGGCTGCTCAGTAGCATTTTGGCTGGCATTCGCAACGCGGCACCCATTCTTCCATGTTCAGACACGGCTTTGGATGCCCGTTCTCGTGAGTAAAGAAGCATTTGGTTGTGTTCTCGCCATGTCCAGGACACAGTACTCGAGCCGAAACCAATCCGCATACTTTTGCAGATTCATTCTCCTCCTTAGTCGCGAAATGCCCATGCTCGAGGCCATTTATGCAACGCATCGTGCCATTGTCTTGATTATTGTACGCAGGCCCACGATGGCAACGATGATTGAAAGGGTGGTCAATGGCTCGACTTCCAACTTGTGATGAGTCGGCCTTGAAATTCCTCCAGTTGCTGTCCGATGAGTCGGCTAAAAAGGCGATCAAGCGAACGGTATTGAATGACCGGTACGCAATACCGTTCATGCTGATTTGATACCTCATGATTGAGGATTTGGTCGTCATCCAGCAAGATCCAGCCGGAACTTGAGCACCCATTGTGTCTCGGACTGCCCGTCCAATTCTTCTGGCACATTGTTCCCAGCAACAGCCATTGGCACGCGTGCTTGTCTTTGGCATCTTGATTTGCCCTGCTACCGGTGGGCCCAACATTGCGTGTGTCTCTGGCAATGTCTGGATTTGACCCCAGATCCACACAAATATGTGTTCCCCAATATCTGGAATTGCACCTTGAACAGCCGACACAGCGAGTTCGTCCGTCGAGGTGGCCACATCAATATTATAGCGCGGTTCAGACAGAGGGGAAGGGCTGATGGCTGAGGAAGAAGAAGATTCGAAGACCTCCTGAACTCTCTGTCCGGAAGTGGGTGGTGTTTGCTCTACCGTCGCTGCGTAGCGAAGTCAGTACATGTTCCGGATGTATAAAGATGTGATGGCCTCACTCCACACGGACGGAAGCGGTTCTGGCAAGTTTGAAGGATCGAAATGCATGTACTGGATTCCACTGAAACTGGAAGGCATGCTGATGGTGATGGTCGTGGTGGTGGTCTTTGAGGGTTGTCTTGTGTAAAGCATTGCAGGACTTTGAACAAACAGTTCCGACGCGGCCACTTTCTCATCAAATGCTACGACGACATCACGATGCGAACTCCTCCTTGATGCTGTCCTCTGCTGGGCCCCCTACATGAGTCGCTGCAGGTCCTTTGTCAAGAACTGCTCAGTATTGGCTTGCACATCATGCAATGCTCTCTCCTGGATCTCGGTCTGATTGAACACTCGTGCCATCCAAACGAAGACAGTTAACGACTTTATTCATCAATCCAACAAGGATTATCAACGTCTAACGTTGATTGAAGACACAGAATCACAGTGCTGAAGCCCGACTACCTGGGACGTTAAGCTGAAGCCAGCCCGAGTGCCTTCTCGCCCATTTCAACGTCAGTCTCGGTGTTCAATCATTACATTGCTTTCGTACCTATGATGCTACGAAGGGAAACTTCCTCGTAATTCATCCGTCAGAAAACAAATGCTCTTGTGTCGTTAGTAGCTAGCTACCCGCTTAAGGCATTGTCAAACTATATGACCATTGTACAAATATCTGTTTGTCGAACATCGGAAACAAAACCATACCTTCGGCAGACAACCAGAGCACAATACTACAGTATCGTTGGGGCGATGAGGTGCGTAACCTGTCTACCCTGGGAGGTTTCAGGTCTGATCGTTAGAAATACACCAAATGTGCCAACAGGACTTGGTTTGTGTTGTATATAGCCACAGCTCCGAGCGCTTACTCAGAGGCACCGCGATTGGAGACACAATGACACAGTACAGGTATGGCCTGTAGCCTAGGTACCAAGCAAAGCACCTACATCATCGACATCTAGGTAAGAAAGATGTGGTTGTTCCTCCACGCTCTTGCTTCCCGTCGCTTGATAGCTTTCCAAGGACAAAACAAATCATGTAATCACTACCAAAAGACCATGTTGAGGTGACCTGACTGAAGAAAGGGAAAACATCAAAGCTATTCCGGCGACGATTTGAGGAGAGGTTGAACTGCGTGAACACGGAGTCTACGGTTACAAAGTTTTGTCTCTTCTCTCCCACAATTACCTATTCTCGAGACTAAGATGATGACCGAAGTTCACGTATAGAACTGGAGTCTGTGCAAGTTTGCTGCGTACGTTGTCAAGAAACGACGAGCGCGTCGATCCACACCGCTTGATCCGTACTCTGATACATCGTGACCACGTTCCCGCCGGCCAGGAAATCCATCTGTATCGTAGCATTCCCACCTTGAGTTGCTGGCATTGTCACTGTTTGATTGTGCAGGTAGTTCAGTCCAAGGATGATCGGTCCTCCATAACCAATGATGGAGAGATTTGCGATTCCCGAACTTCCGCCTAGAGTCTGCGTCCTCACGTCCGCGATTTCCAAGATACCTCCATCGCCGCCCTGTCCAGTCAACCGGACCTCGCCGTCAACCACTGTACCATTGGTGCCGATACTTCCGCCACCGCTGCTAAAACCAATGATTCCATCCTCTGCTTCGTACCGCGGACCGAGGGTCGCAGGGACCCAGATTTCGACCTCGACGATACCGACAGCATAATGGATTGCATTCACGAGGTACAATGACAAGGTGTCCGCAATGACAGTCGAATTGAATGCTATGGTATTGCGTGAATAAGGCAGACATGTTGTCCAAGGTGTGCGTTGTGCAATCAGACTGTCTTGGGTAGGTGAATTTGTGCTCGCAATCAGCCCCTGTCCCGTAGTGGTGTTTGATACGTATACGTACAGCCCGGCAGGGCAAGCTAGGGCGCCGTTCCGTAGGCTATCATCGTAGACTGCAATGGTAACTGAGGAGAAGTTCCGCGCCCGAGAGAGGGTGAAGTTGAGCCAACTAGCCGGGTTGTAGGTTTGATTGTTTGAGTAGAAATTGTCGGGTGGATTGTCATAGAATACCAGGCCATCGTTGGCTTTGTATGCTGAATCCGCCGGGCCGAGATTGTTACCAAGCACGTAGAACGTGTCGGTAGAGTCGGCGTAGGGTAGTGATGTGGGTGAAACCAGGCTGTTGGGGTTGGAAAGGATGTTGGCGTATCTAGGTGCAGATGCCAGCTGGGCGACAGATGAATTGGTAGAGATGGACAGGGATGTTGAGAAAGGTGAAAGGGATGGCTGACTATACAGCAAGGCGCCGTTTGCGTAGATTGAAAGACCAGGTGAGTGGTTGAAGCCGGTGTAGGCAGATCCATTGACATCCCACAGGATTGAGAGTAGGTTACCATGATAGGGCAAATTCTCCACCGCGAAGCTGGTCCAGTTTGGAGGGATGAGAGGTTGCATCTCAAAGGTGTCGACTAGTGACGGCACTATGCCGAGCAGATTAGTGAAGACATTGTCGATGTAGGTAGAGTGAAGATAATGTTCGCTGTGGTTCTTAGTGTATCCACTCCAGGCGTCTCTGGTGGGATAGTGAGATTCGAAAATCGCGGGTTACCCATGATCGTAATGCGTTCGAGTATATGTCAAGAATGCGTCCTGGAAGAACTCTGGTGTCACCACGCTGCTCCTGTTGTCTCTGGCAAGTCTCGCCAGCGTTCCGAGGTAGACACATGTTGAGAAAGGCCATGACTGTCCATTCCACAAGCAGCAATACCTTTTTAAGTATGCCGTCGAGCCGCGAGTTCATTTACAGGAGTGGCGCGAGTTTTGTGAGGTGCGAGACCACCACAGGTATGTAGCGAATGCATGAGGCGCCCTCTGCTTTGGCAGATCAGCAGACGTGGGCAATGAGCCTGCAAAAGAACGGAACACCGGAATTCTGCCTAAAGAAGCACGATCGTCCATCATCCATGAGTGAGGAGATGGACTGAAGAAAAGGTGATTTACAGTAAGTGTGAGAAGGTGATGGTGTTGGGGAGTCGGAATAGGAAGGTCAAAGGACGAGATCCTCCAAACGGAGGTGAAAGGGGAGTAGGTCACCGCAGTCAGTAATATGAACCTTGTGTCTCTGTTTCTTGGATTGTGAAAAGATTCATCGTGGTAAGATGAGTTGCGCGGTAAGCTCCACGAAAAGGATTTGTCAGCTGTCAACACGCGTGTGCGCAGCGGCGAAAATGTCGGTCGACGACATGTCGCATTTATCCTGTCGGTGAAGCTGCTAGATTTCAGATCACCAAAATCTTGCACTGGTATTACATCATTGAACTCATCGATTGGGATATGGATCCGACCAATTTAATACAAAATCAACTCCACGATTCGTCTTCGGCCTCGGCGGTGTACTTTTGCTCCATCTGTGACAAGCCTTTCACCAATGGTACGCATATATCTCCTCTTGTGACTTTTGAAAGGCTCATTCGGTGGTCATGCAGGACAGTCACGCAATCGTCATCTTCGATACTGTGGCAGTCGTCAACGCAAGCGGCCTCGATCTTGCCGAGCCTGCAACGCCGCCAAGACCAAATGTACCTTCGGACTACCTTGTTCGCGTTGCACGAAGAAAGGGTTGGAGTGCACGTATGATGGCTCGGCGCTAATGAGGGAGAGGTCGAGCCCAAAGCCGTCAATCGAGAACCACGGAGTGCGAACAGCCGCTCGGAGGGCGTCGAGGAGCTCACCTGCTCAAAGCTCTTACTTCGACAGTTATACCTGGTCAACTCTAGATTTCACTTTTACCAATGATGCCACAGCAAGCGACTCTCAGCCGGGGAGTACCGGCGGCGATGACCCTCCGTCGATTAATTCAATCACGCAACGTCCTGACCTCGACGAGTTTCTCACGATTGATGGACTACTCGCCTTTGATGAGACTATTCCAATTCAGCAATCAGACGTGACGGAGGTTGCTATAGCTCCATACGAGACCCTGGATATTCAATCACAGTCCTGGTGTGGATGGATGCGCCGTGGTGTAGCGCTCTTAGGCTTGACTGAGAATACACTGTTGCCGTCAAGACTAAATCATGCAGCGATCTGTCAACCCGAGCGCCCTTTTGCCCATCATAACGCCAATCTCGTTGTTCAATCGATACGCGCTTTCCCCGCTATGATGCTGAGGAGGGAAACCTTCCCCTGGTACATCCATCAACAGTCCCAAATGTTCTCTCTGTCATCGCCAGCTGCTCTGCCCGAGGCATTGTCGACCTGCATGAGCATTGCGCAGATGTTTGCCTTGCGAACACCCGAAACAAAGCCAGTCCTTTGGAAGACCGTCAGAGCACAGTACCGTCGCTGGGCCAATGAGGTACCCTACTTATTGACCCTTGATTTAGTTGATTCTGATTGGCAACAGATGTATCAAATGTCCCAATACGAACTGCTTGCGGCTGCGCAAGCTTGCATGATATATCTGATCATGTGCATCATCGACCCGTCGCCTGGAAGCGAAGAAAATAGCCCGGGGCTTCTTCTGACGATACATGTAGGTTTCAGTCTTCTAGCCTGACTTCAGCAACTAAATCTCGGAGGACATCTACCTCTTGTTCAAACAGACGTCCTGCACGACTGGGAGTGAAGGTACGCTTCAAAAGACGAGCGCGAGCTGGAAAGACTGGATATTCGCCGAATCACAACTGAGGTACTTTTTACGCACTACCCTCGTTATTGCCAGAGTTCTACTGACTGGGGCCATGGAGGCTTGCACATCTATGGTTTCTCATAGGCTGTGTTGTGTGCATCAAGACGGGAAATATTTATGATGCATCTCAAAGCTACCGGAGTCTGCGAATCCCCAGCCCAAAATCTGTCTGGGAGGCAAACACGGAAACTACATGGGCACTGGAATGTGACGCGATGCGCACTCGCCAAATGAGCGGATTGGCAACACTAGGAGATCTCATTGATGCCCAGAAGTCCACTGACGAAATGCACAGCGCCAAGAAGTTGGACGAATGGAATGCAGGAGCTGATAAACTTGGTTCTCTATTGAATCTGGTTGGAGGTATGGTATGAAAAGAGCGACATGATGAGAAACTGTTGCTCCAATACTCTGAGTTTGAGCCCTTTGACTACCAAGGAATTACACCATCTCTGTCAGTAAAAGTTGCTGTGGGACCTCCCTTCGACGCCGTGGCCAACTGGACGATACGCTGCGCTCCCAATTCAGGCGACGTTCCGTAGGGATGGTCGTCGATGAGCTTGGTTTTCACCAGTCCAGGACACACCACATTCACCATGGCACCAACATCATCGAGGATTCTTGCATAGTTCAAAGCCAACATATTGAGGGCGGCTTTACTGCAGTCGTATGCCCTGTAGTCCAGGTTATAGTACATTGTCGACTTATTTGTCGTTTCGGAAACCGATCCCATGCGCGACGAGACGAACAGAACGCGCGGCGACTCGGATTTGCGAAGCAGCGGCAGACAGGCCTCGGTCAAGCAGGCCGCTCCAATGGTGTTGGTGCTGAAGGTCTCCGTGAAGAGTTCCCGGGTTGAACGACCATCGCGGCGGGTGTCCAGCATGATTCCAGCATTGTTTATCAGGACGTCCAACACACCAAACTCGTGCTCGATCCACCCAGCTGCCGCCATAATTGACTCGTCGGAGGAGATGTCAAGCTGAACCGAGGAAGCTGAATACCCATCCGCCACCAGCGAAGCAGCGACCCTTTTTCCGGCATCTTCGTTTCGCGAGCCCACGATGACATGGTATCCATGGTCCCTGGCAAGCAGGGTAGCCGCAGCAAGACCAATGCCCGAGTTGGCACCAGAGATGAGCGCAATTGTTTTTGTCGCAGACATGATGTAAATTTCTTGGGTAGAATGGAGGGTGTTGAGAGTGAAATACAGGGGGCAAGCAGTTGCTGAGATGAGAGGGTTCGTTCGACCATGGCAGGATACTGCTCTCGTTGATATAGGCGACACACCATGGCCAAAGTGGCCGTCCAGTGATGAGAAACGTCTCCACGGCCAATCTCGCCGGTGTCGAAATGGAGAGTCAACGGCCAATTTCGCCGTTACCCATTTTGCTCCGTTGTCCTAGGAGAGCGTTGGCCCGGCAGATGAGGCCATCAGAGCAGGTTGCTGCCATGTGGAGCCGATGTTCCACGGGCTCGTTCGGAGCCCTGTAACCACAAACACAAGGAAGCAATAAAGACACGTCTAAGCAGTCTCTCTCAGGGTTTTAGGATAACCCCACAAAATTGAGCCTTGTAGCCAAGTGGACCTCCCGGGTCAGATTCAACGCAGAACTCGGAGGCAGGGATTGTTAAGGTAAGTCAATGACCGGCCGATGATCCTGTGGCTGTACGTTCACATTCTCGCTTCCTGCTTTTAGATGGGTAGCTGTTCGAGGACAGAACAAATCATGTAAGGTTTATTGAAGCGACTATCCTGACCTGACCTTACCAAAAAAGGGGAAATATAAAACCTTTTTTTCATAGCGACGATTGACCTTTTATGGATTTGCAAGTCAGAAACTCTGAACAGCCATGCCTTCAGATGCACTGCCCGGGCCACGGTACACCCCTTGGGCCTGCCATCCAATTGTCGTTTCTTCCATCAAAATACTGAATCTTGACCTTGCTCAAGTCCAACCCTTCTTGCGGTTGATCGAGTGTCAAGATATTGACTGAGAAGAGCGGATACTTCTTGCCCTCGTACACAAATTCTCCTTCGCTCCAGACGTGGATCCCGCATGTACCACAAAAGTACTTGTGAATGTCCTTAGATTTCATCTGATAGTCTTTGACCTGCGAAGCCGACTCTGGCGAAAGCAGGGTGAAGTCTTCCGGAGTAATGCGAATGCTGGTGTATCCTTGCTTCAAGCAAATTGTGCAGTTGCAGCGGCTTGCTGTCGGGGAGTCGGTGAGTGCGACGGCTGCAGTATACTTGATGAAACCACAGTGACAGGATCCGGTGAAGGTGTGCTTGGCTGGAGTAGGAGCAGCCATTTTTCAAATCTGAATATATTTCGCTAGGACAGGGAGGTAGATGATAATGAGCGATCAGGACATCTGGTCGACGTCCAAGGCCTTGCTTTATGGTGTTGATGTGTTGTAGGATCCTAGTGCCAATTCTTTGACTAACACGCAACACGCTATAATAGGTGTAGTGGTAGGCAGCAACTGGGGGTTAGCGCTTGGTGCCTGGAGTTAATTTGGTTTCCGAACTTTTGTGGCTTCCGACTCCAGAAGTCTTCAAAGAGACGATTGGGTTTGCCTAGTTTGGCTTTACAACTGACACAGAGAGCACACCCTTACTATGCCCATCTCTTCCACTGCGATGTTGTTGGCTGATCGCCACCAACTCAATAACGTAAACTACGGTTCTACACAGGGAATCTCAACCACCCATCTTTCCTGTGTCAATTTATGCGGTAGGGTCAACGGCCAAATTCGCTTCCTTGGTGTGCTATGCGTCGCACTAACCCGCCATGATTTTGTCATGCACCGTGTCGAAGCCTACCGATCTCGACTGAGTGAGACTACAAAAATCCAACATGCATTTCTCATCGAAATGGCGGGGTGAAGCTGCCCAAGACGGCTCGGAGCACTGGTTCGAGTTTTGAATGTGTGCGTGTCAATCCGTCGAGCACCACCAGCCAGGTGCTTCAGCATATTGCGAATGCAGAGCCTTGTACGGACGGAGGCACCCCTGGTCTGAATCCTGTCGAGAACGGCACTTTGGCTTGTATAATTCCTGATGTTCAATCCGAATCGGAAAAGGGTCATCTCAATTCTGGGCATAGGACTGGTTTGACGACAGCGTCTCAGAAGATAGCTCCTTCGACTCACCAACGTATATTCATTTGTTACCACCACGACAAACAAAAAAAACATATTCTTCCTCGAATGGCAAACATGGCCTCTCGCTGGGATCCAGTGACAGCTGCGTTGTGTATGTGAGAGGCACCCATGCAGTCGGCACTGAAGATGAGGTCAAGCGAGAGTGACGGGTCGGGGCATGTCCTCGGATTCACTCCCTTGGTTTTCCGCAGCATCAATCTTCACTGAAACCCATGCACAGCGATCAAGTAAATGACTGCCGGCAGATTCAAATCTCACAACATCTCTCTTCTGACCAAACACCTACTGCGACCCGAGCGTGCTTGCTATCAGCAGAGAGCTCACAGCCACCATGATGCTGCTCACACTCCTTTTCACCATCTTGCTGAATCTTACGTCGTGCTTCGCAGTCGGGCCATCTCTGGTCTTCCCGCCCGGCACCACGGCGAAAACAAGAGGCCAGATCCTGCAGGGTTTCAATGACGCCTTGACACTGGCGAGAGTCGTAGTGGTGATTGGCAAGCCTTGTGATCCAGTGAGATCAGTCGATAGATAAAATCTGGTAAAGCACATTAATCTGACATCTCTCCAGGCGTTTCTTCGCTATTTCCAACCACAAGACTGGCCTCTCGTTCAAGGAATGTTCAGACAAATTGCAAACATACCCCTGAACCTTGGTATCGACCAGAACAGTATCGACAGCTTGCTCCAATCGTTCAACACGCCTGCCACATACAACCCTCTCTTTGAAGGGCTGAGCATCGCTGCTGGAGACAACCCCTTCCTCAGAATCCCGCCGAAATGCGGCACCCCCCTACCACCCAATGCGTATCTTGCCTTTGATAACACCCCGGGTGCGCAATTCTCTGGACTGATGGCCATTTGCCCCGGAGCAGAGGTTCTCACGGAGCGTCTTGACCTTGCTGGCACGGAGAACCCGCCCGCTTGGGCGAGGGTCAATGACGATCCAAACGGGCAGACTTTGCCTGGTTGGGGCTGCGATGGATTGGGAGACCATGACAACAGTTTCATGACGGTGACCGGATCAACGGTTCTACACGAGTTTTTCCACTGGCCGATCATACTGCAAGACGTTCCCGGGTACAACACTTTCATTCCGCCAGATTCGCACGGTAATCACCAAATTGGCGACAACACTGGGACTGCCATCGGCTTGTCTCATTCATACGGGCCGTACAATACCAGACTCATCAACCTGCTGGCGCCAAATCCGGTGACAGGCAAGTCGCAGTCGATCCAGAATGCGGACAACTATGTTTGGTATGCATTGTCCTTGTACTGGTCTTGGAAATGCGGAAGACCCTTTGGTCCAGGCCAGTCGGACGCCGATAAGAACAATATCCTAGAGAGAAAGCCGCCACCAGCATGAACACATTAGAAAAGCGAGAAAAAGAGTTACTCGCGGCATTGGCATTCTGCAGATAGTCTGTCTTTAAAGAACGATGCTGCTTGATGGTGTACTCATATTAAACATAAGGAGAATACTGAATTCCTGCAGCCAGTCTTAGGCGTTCCCAGTTTCCCCTCCGGTCGTGCTTTATTTATCTCAACACCTGATCAAGATGTCTCCGCAAAAGCTGCCAACCGCTATCCGAGCTTTCTTCTCTTTCATCCTTCGAATCACCTTTGGCTGACTTCAAGCCTCGCTTGTCTACTATTCGCCGCAGACAACATCCGTCTCTAGGCTAGAACATTGGGCGTTCCTGAGAGACCAGCCGTTCTGTTCTGCCAAAACCTCGTATTCAGCAAAACCGTGGCTTGTTAATTGTCGGCTGAAGCTGCAAGACTATCACCAGTCCGACCATCTCAGCCGTCGCCCTGTCTTCGCTTCCCCTTGTCACTCGCCAAATGCTTTCCTCATGCAGCCATCGCGACCAGATGTGGCAGTTGAAAGCACAGCCGATTGAACGCACCTCGCATGGCGCTCCCAATAAGACGGCAGATGTCAGGCCTTCTGGCCAATTGATCAAGAGGTTTGCAGAAAAAGCTATAAACCTGGAAGGATGCCATGAAGCTCTTCCCAACTTTCTCCTCTTCTCGTATCGAGCCCTCTCCCAGCTACACGGCAGTGTCTCCTTCACATTCGTTCTTGCAAAATCGGCTACCGGCAGCATACCATCTACAATCGTTTGAACAAGTTTCAATCAGGAAACACTGACACCCCCAGTCACAATGCGCCTTATCACTCTTATCTCGGCCGGCCTCTTCGCGCTCTTCAATGTCGCTGCGTCGCAAGATCTTTCTGGCCTGCCATCTTGTGCTGTATGTTTCTGCTTGCAGACAAAGTCGACGTCCCCAATTACTGACATTGGCAATCAGGTGAACTGCGCGGTAGGCGCCATTGGTACGACCGGCTGTGCCCTCACCGATTTCCACTGTATCTGTTCCGCGACCACCTTCCTTAGTGGTGTAGAGACCTGCATCCAGGGCGCCTGCAACGCTACTGATCAACAAGGTAAAACATGTCCTGCTTACATCAAACACTTTCGGGAGCTGCGTGTTGACTCCCTCTTCTTTGAACTAGCCACCATACAATTCGCCGAGAAGTTTTGCCTCAGTGGTAATGTCACCATCACTGTTCCAGCTGGTACTGCCACTACAAGCTCTGCCCCGATGACCTCGGTCGCTGTGTCCACCACCGCGGTCGTGACAACGACATCTAGCAGTACTGCGGCCCCTGCGGCGACATATACTGGCGCTGCTGCACAGATTCGGAAACAAGAATGGGCAGCAGGCCTGTTAGGTGTCCTTGGGCTTGGGGCTGCTGCTCTGTTCTAGAGTCTGCTTGACTGAAGAGTCGGCAAGGTGCTTGCTTGGTCTTGCAATTGGAGTGGGCTTTGTCCGAGAAGTTGGGCTCAATGGCGACGGCCATTATGATCTGAATTTGTACATACAACAACATGCCCCTAATACAATATGGCTAACCTAGCTGCATCAAGATCTATCATATCTAAGTAGTCTTACCTCTTAGTCAAGGACGTTAGCACCTCCTTCATCAAGTTCATACGCGGCCCGGTATCATGACTATAGCTTGCCAGTCTTCGGCTTCCTCGTCATATTCCTTGACGAATCTACGATCAGACTGGCATGAGAACTAGTCGCTACTAGCTCCCCTTGCTCGTCCAAAACCTCAACATCCAAGTCAAACCGTCCATTCCGTATGGCCTTAGCTTTGACTCTGACAAACAGCCATGCAACACCCTCTTCCGGTAGAAGTTTCTTGACGTCCAGATTCAGTACCAGCGTTGGGTACCAGAACTTTGCACGTGGCTCGCTCGATTCGAGAAACTGTTTGAGTTCTGCCTGGGAGTGCTCGCCTCTCGCGGCCTCCTCGACGAAGGGATTGACGTAACTTTCGACAATCTGGGGGAACATGTCCACCAGAAACCCTAGGGCGTCATTTGTCCATCGGCCATTCGGCACGCGGTTGGGCGTAAACCGGACCCATTGATCGTTTATAGACTTGGGGTGGTTCTCTGGTCTTTGTTCCCGCCGGATGAGAAACATCTGGATATTCTGCGCAGCACGGCGAAACTGCGGGAACGGGTCGTTGGCACGGATCGCGTAATTCTTGTCGCGGCCTTCTGATAATTGCCTAAGATCGACTGGCAGAGGAGGAGGATAGAGCTGATAATTCGTGTCGAGGCTCAGGCCTGATTCGGTCGCGATGTTGCTCATCGTGATGTATCCTTCTGCTTCATCCTGGAATTGGTCGTTGTGAGACTGTCTCTGGGACAGGACGATGTGCAGGTTGCTGATCCTTGAGCCGAGCTTGATGTCTTTGACCGTAAACAGGGCTTGACCAACCGATGTGCGTCGGAGGAACTCGAGGTGTAGGTTTACAGGGTGTGGTTCGGAGCGGACGCGGTGGGTGAGGGACATGTGCGTCCTAGCAACGACGAGGAAGGATGAGGTCACATAGCCGCCATTGGGGACTGTTGCAGGATTAGTTGATCACATGTGAGACTGTGTACGTGCATGACTTACCTGTTCCTATGCAGTATTCGTCCGCGAGGTCGAGAGTGTATTGATGTGAGGAGATCTGCTTAATGGGGACCACATCTGCAAAAGTCGGCGCCATCGGTGATACGGGATAGAAGTCTACCTGGATTGGGGTGCTGTTAATTGGTCTTTGTCAAGGATGCATGGTAGTGGGATGGTTGGTAGGACAAGAACATTGGGTGCGCAAGACAAGAGAAAGGATGGCTATCGTCGGCCAATCTGTGCCAGAAAATGAATCCTGGGGTTTGGATAACTTATGGACCTCGGCTTCAGAGGATTTGGTATCGTATGTCAACGGACAAAGTGGATGTGGATGATGGGCTTCACCGCTATCGAATCCCTAGCCGGATGATTGGTATCGGATCAATTCTGGTGGATGGCGACATGCCTGGCACCCAAGTCAATGGTGATCACAAGTTACAATGAGGACTGCATCTGCCACTGACTCCCACAGACACTCCAAGCCACAAATGAATTGGCCATCGCAGCTTGATACGAGTGCTGGAGATTAATCATGAATTGGTAGGTATCTGCAAAGTGGCGGTGCATCGACACTGGGACCCGGGCCCCGGGAAACAATGCACAATGACGACGGAAGTTTTATGCGCAAACCCCAAGAATTGTACCTAGCGAGGCTAGTTCGTATCTTTTCCAGGCTTCTGATTTCTTGGTATGCATGGGTGCAATCATCACCAAACTACTATCAAGTCGACGCATCATTTCGCTCTCTTTCGCTCACACTTTACGGCCAACCCCTTGACATGGACGTCTCTCTTTTCGTTGGCAGGATATCTCTAGCTTAAAACCAACACATCTCTCATCCAGTATGAGTTGCCGTCAGTTCGAATGGCTTTCCTATACCGTCCCGCCCGCAGACGCCCGTTGCGACAACACGGCCGCACCTTTTACACCGCCGTTCTAATACTCACGCTTCTCGCATGCTATAGCTATTTGAAGGGGCTGCAACATGATGGAGTACATCAGAGACAGAAGATTGCGGCTCGATCACTCGAGGCACGCGACTTGGAGGTATGCGCTGCTCTTTCACTGCAAACTGCGACCTTATCTAACTGCGCCCGTCCATGATAGTGTCGGCTTGTCAACGAGTCCAAAGACAAATGTGCCTTTGTAAAGGATAACTGCCCCGACGAAGAAGCTGGCTTGATCTCATACCTGCAATTCTATTATTGCTCCCTAGCCCATGCACAGCCCTTTGCCTTCGCCGTCCTAGTGCTATGGCTCAGTTTGCTATTCAGTACGATCGGCATAGCGGCCTCCGACTTCCTCTGCATCAATCTGAGTACAATAGCGAGCATACTGGGCATGAGTGAAAGTCTGACTGGTGTGACATTCCTTGCCTTTGGAAATGGCAGTCCCGATGTCTTTTCGACATTTGCAGCTATGAGCAGCAACAGTGGCAGTCTGGCGGTAGGCGAGTTGATGGGTGCCGCAGGCTTCATCACCGCCGTGGTCGCAGGAAGCATGGCACTGGTTGCCCCTTTTCAGGTGGCACGGAAGAGCTTCATTCGAGATGTTGGGTTCTTCGCTGTTGCTGCAAGCTTCAGTTTGGTATTTCTCGCCGACGGAAGTCTACGTTTTTGGGAGTGTGCTGCCATGGTTGGCTTTTACGTCTTCTATGTGATCTTCGTGGTGACATGGCATTGGTGGCTCACAAGACGTCGAAGGGTGAAGCTGGCCGAGACCACTGCAAGGTTACACCATCACATTCCGGATACCCAAGAATTGGAGGTGCCCGAGATTGAGGACGACGAAGAGGCCCGTCCCGCGAGCGAACAAACGAACCTTCTAAGGACTCAGTCTGGCGGCAGTATTCCGACCATTCGCACTCCTGCTACTCCGGCATGGAAAATCGAAGACGAAGAGGATGATGAGACTCGAGATCGATATCTGGCAGAACTACAGAGTCAAATGAGAATTGGCCGACCCGTACGGGGCGAAAGGCGAAACACCATAACTCCGATCCGGCCCAGCTTGATCGGTGCTTTGGAGTTCAGGTCTCTCATGACCTCCCTGGAACGAAAGGGTACAGGTGGCAGCACACAGCCAATCGGTCTACGACGGTATTCAGAAGAGACCCTATCGGGACCAGGACCAGCTCCACTCAGTGCTCCTCCGGAGCCTTCGCATGCCCGACTCCATAACGTCAGCTACCTTGATATCGACAGGAATGCTATGGCCCATGGTGCACGTGAACGAGCTGTGTCCGCCAACGATGCTTCCAAACTCAAAATTGATACGAATTTTCTGTCGGATCGAGTCTCTGAGAGTGCCATTAGCATCAATTCCGCCTCACAGGCATCTTCCGGTCAGTCATCGAGGCCGAGTGCGGCCATCCTCCAAACCCTGAACGAGCCATCCACTCAGAGACCGCCTTCACCAAAACTCGTCATATCTCCATCTACGTCGTCGAGACGAGTGAGTACAAGCACTCGACCCACCGAACTTCCCAAGTCACCAAACTTCCTCGCTCCTCCAAGCACGATATTCCGCCGCCCTGACTATAGTGAAGACCAGCAGCAAGATGATCGAAGCCCTCTGTATTCACCCAGAGCAGGTCCGACGTTACAGGTTCCGCTCTTGCATACACCACATCCCGAGCACAAGCGTTCGGTGCTCCAACCTGAAGAATTTCCCACCTTTACAGACGAGCCAATGCTTCTGACTCCTATGAGCTCCAGACCACCTAGCATTCACCTTCCGGAGCCCAGTGCATCTCCACAATCCGCACGGCATCTTGGCCTACTGACGGACGACGATGAGGAAGATAACATGCGACGATTTGCCTGGTGGCCATACAAACACCTTCCTGCACCGCAGGAGATGGTCGCCAAGTTGTTTCCCACGGTTTACGGCTGGCGAGATAAATCCTTTGTCGATCGGGCGCTTGGCCTTATTACTGCGCCGAGCATTTTCCTGCTCACAATCACTCTCCCTGTCGTCGAACCTAGAGTGGATGGTGCCACTATGCCAGATCCAGAGCTAGTAACTCCTGGCGGTCCCAAAAGTCGCTCGCAAAGTCTCATAGAGCTTCCACCAGATACTCCACCATTGGCACCCAAGTCGAGCTCTTTTGACAGAATCAGTATCTCAGGACCAATCTCAGACTACCAACAAAATGTCATGACGAGTGAAGATGAAATTCCTGAGCCCAAAGGATGGAATCGATGGCTGGTATTTTTGCAGGTCTTTACTGCACCTATGTTCATGGTCACTATATTCTGGGCTAATATGGACGACGGTTACGGTTTCAAAGTCTATATCCGCATGGTTCTTGGGTCTCTGGTATTCTCACTGGTCTTGGTTCTCGTCCTCCTTGCTCTAACGAATCCCGACCGCGAACCGAAATATCGACCTCTCTTCTGTTTCCTGGGCTTTGCTGTGGCTGTTGGCTGGATCGCCACAATTGCTAATGAAGTGGTGGGAGTGCTCAAGGCTTTTGGTGTCATACTGGGTATATCAGACGCCATTCTTGGTCTTACGATTTTTGCGGTGGGAAATTCACTAGGCGACTTGGTGGCAGACATTACCGTGGCCAAGCTGGGATATCCAGTCATGGCGTTATCTGCGTGTTTCGGAGGCCCCATGCTCAACATCTTGCTCGGAATCGGCATCGGAGGCATGTACATGACCGTCCACAATGCCACGCATAAACACGCCAAACATCCTCAGAAGCCAATCAAGTACAAACCATACCAGCTTGATGTGAGCACGACGTTGATGATTTCGGGGATTACTTTGTTGGTGACGTTGGTGGGACTACTTGTGGTAGTACCATTGAATGGGTGGAGGATGGACCGTAAGATCGGACTGGGCTTGATTGTGGTATGGACTGTGTCGACTGTGGCCAACGTGGGTGTGGAAGTCCTTGGATACGGAGGAGACACGGTCTGACCGGCGTTGAATGACGATTGCGATGAAATTGCATAGCGAATGGCGTTTGGCAAATTGTGTTCAATTACTATGCATATACGAACATCATTTAATAGTACACATACAGTCCTTCTGTGAAATCCGATCTTGGCCGAATTTTGGCAAAAGTCCTGGAAGCCAGAAGATATGGTGCTTGTGCAAAGAGTGCCTGCGCATACCCTAAAATAAGTTACTGTGGTAAGCACATTTAACTCGGGGTTATTCGAGGCTATTCTCCGGGTATCTGGCCCCAGAGGCGAATTCATTACCAGCCTGGGCAAGCTTGTGATTGGTCAGCCTTCCCAGAGGCCTCGGCAAGTCTGCTGCAGCGTGTCATTATTAGCGACTAGTTCAAATGCTCCTGCCCCAATACGATGTCATCTTACCCCGTTCAAATCTCCGTGTCTTATTCATTCATTATCATTATCACTCTTCATCTCTGGCATTGATAACTTGCTTGCCTAGCGCACTTTGTATTGCTGTGAAGGTGCGCGAGTGCATCTCAAAGGAAAAGAGCATACGATCCGATTCTTCCACCCATTATTGGGCTGATGTGTTTGTCTTCATCATGCCTATCTCTTCCAACTGGCCAGATGTGAATCTGTCGGTCACCGACATCTTCTCTCTACTTTTCAAACGCAAGAATACACCTTTTCCTGAAAATCAAGGTATGCGTCACCCAACCCCTGCTCAAAACAGCCGACTCTCGTTGTGGGAAAGCCAAAGCTATAGTTCCACACAGGAGAACGCTTCGTAGCTTCATCTTGCTGATATAGATGACTTGTAGTGATCTTCCAGGATGCCGACCAACTAGAACGGAAATACACCTACGCGCAGATAAAACAGCTCAGCATCGACTTTGGTAAAGGGTTATATGCAAATTATGACTTCCATAAGGGCGATGTACTGGGTCTCTACGTTCCCAATGACATCGACGTTGCTCCGGTCGTGTTTGGCACTCTCTGGACTGGAGGCGTTGTGTCTCCAGCCAACCCGGGCTACACTGTGTCTGAGCTGGTTTACCAGTTGAAAGACTCTGGTGCGAAACTCCTGGTGACCCACCTCAGCGTCTTGGACAATGCGAGAAAAGCGGCCAAAGAAGCTGGTATTCCAGATTCAAATATATTCTTACTGGGCAAGGATAGCGATCCCAACCGGAAAGCGAAACACTGGACTCTTGTCCGCAATCTTTCCGGCTCCTCTCGTTACAGAAGCCCCAAATTCTCTCCCAAGACCGACTTGGCCTTTCTGGTATACTCGTCGGGTACGACAGGACGCCCGAAAGGTGTCAGATTGAGCCATCACAATATGACATCCAACATCGAACAGTGTTACCAGTCTGAACCGCACCTAAGTTGGGACGGCTCAAAACACGTGCCTGGACTTCCCGATGCGCCGAAGGGAAAAGGGGACAAGATTCTTGCGTGTCTGCCTTTCTTCCACATTTACGGACTGAACTTACTAGTTCACTCACCAATCTATACGGGCGTGCACACCCTCGTGCTACAGCGGTTTGACTTGGAGAAGTGGTGTAGCCTCGTACAGGACCACCAAGTCACCTTCAGCTACATTGTCCCACCGATTGTACTGTTACTCTGCAAGCACCCTGTTGTCGACAAGTACGACCTCAGCTCACTACGAATGACCAACTCGGGCGCGGCGCCTCTCACCCGTGATCTTGTCGAATCGCTTTACAAACGAAAGGGTCTACGCGTGAAGCAAGGTTACGGCTTAAGTGAGACAAGCCCCACAATCTTCATCCAGCGTTGGCAAGATTGGCATTCAGCCGTTGGAACGACCGGATGGATTGTTCCTAACGTACAGGCCAAATTTTGTGCCGTGCCTGGCGCAGGCGAAGAGTCTGACGGGAAGAAAGAACTTCCTCGCGGCGAGATTGGCGAGTTGTACGTCAAAGGACCTAACATTTTCATGGGGTATCACAACAATCAAGCCGCCACGGCCGAGTGTTTGGAAGATGGTTGGTTTCGCACAGGCGACGTGGGCTTCCTTGACAAGGACGGCAACCTTACGATCACCGATCGTGTCAAGGAATTGATCAAGTATAAGGGATTTCAAGTGCCTCCGGCCGAACTCGAGGGATATCTTGCCGCACACGACCTGGTCGACGATGTTGCTGTAGTTGGTGTGGACAGTGCTGAGCTCGGCACCGAGGTGCCCCGTGCATATATCGTGCGCAAAGGCGGGCTCAGCGCAATCCAACCAAATGACGCCCAGGATATTATCAAGTGGTTGAACGGGAAAGTGGCGAACCATAAAAAGTTGCGTGGTGGGATCAAGTTTGTGGACGCTGTGCCAAAGAGTGTCTCGGGTAAGATTCTACGAAGGGTACTGAAAGAGCAGGCCAAAGGTGAATTCAAGGCAGAAGAGGAAGAGAAATCAAGAGCGACGCGGGCGGGCAAGCCGAAGTTGTAGTCGGAGTCGGATTCAGAAGTTTGCACGCAAAGGCGCACGAATTGGCTCGTGATAGGGAGGACATAATGTAGAGTATCCTGATTGTGTGACATGCAATTTGATCGTGTAGGTTATCGACACGTCGGTACATTTCCAGAGACGATTAGGGACCGGCTTGGATTACCTCCTCGACGGCAGGCTTCGGCAAACGCAGCCTTGTCCAAACGTCCTAGCCTTGCGCTCCCGTGTCAGTGCTTACTAATGATGGTCGTAGCATGGCCTGACCTCTTTCAACTCCCTCCCCTTCTCTTCGCACTATCTTTTCACGCTGGTCGCGTCATCTCGCAAATCCGGAAGCTAAATGTCTTGGGATCTCGTTCTCCTTGAATCGACTTGATCCGAACAACCATTACGGAGAAGCGAGGGTCAACTTGGGGAGACTTAACCATCATACGAGGCCATGTTACATCTACATGAGAGCTACTTCCAACCGACATGCTCCCGAACGACAAGAAGGCGATGGCACTCCCACAATTTGAGTCGGGACAGCAAGATTTATTCCGGTGCGTCAGATATGGGCATTGGCGCACAAACTGTTGTGGTATCCCCAAGCCTTTTCCTTGCCGGCACAGTCTGGCATGCTATCGAGCTGTGCATCTCTTAATGGGACTTACAGCTTCCTTCGACTACGGAGTACCTTGTCCTTTTGATGGAGTGTGGTGATGGAAAAGAACGTCCTCCAAGACCAAGCGCCAAGCCAGGCAAGGCTGCGCGTGATAGGGGCTCAGTGAATTGTGAACTACTCCTTCGGACAACCCTACGCCGTCTGGCAGACCATGCAACCTCGATTGAGGCGATCTCCCCGCAGCCAATGCATTCTCGACGAACATAATCACAGTCTAGTACCTATCCGTCCAGGCTTTTGTAGTGCCGCGACGACTTCAGCCGCCCCACGCTCGCCACTTCTTACAGCACCTTCCATGTACCCTTTCCAGATGATACTGGTCTCGGTTCCTACGAAATGGATGTTTCCAAAAGGTTCGCGAATGGCGTGCCCGACACTGCTCAACACTCCGGGTGCCGTCACAGGACATGGGCAACCCTTGCTGAACTCTTCTTTGCTCCATTCCTGCTCGAATACTTCGACAGGCGCATAGATCTGCTTGGGATCCACGTCGGCATAGATCTGCACGACTTGCTCCAGAACCTCTTTTCGACGCTGTGCGGCCGGAAGTTCCGACCATTGTCGGCCGACGTTGGCGAGGACGAAACATGTCAATGCGTGGACACCGCTTTCGGGGTCGGAAGTGTCGCGGATCAATGTGATTGGCCCTGCGCCGTTGCCAGCCTTACCGTCCTCTGAAGTGTTGAACGAGTGTGCAAGACCGGCCAGTCCAGCTTTTGTCCACCATGGCTCCGCGTACAGGAGTATCACCTTGGCGAAGTAGCCCAGCCGTGTGGACGACGACAGAGCCAATTTCGCTCCAGAAAGGGGCGGGCTGAAGCCAATGTCGCGGTATAGCGGCGTGGGAACGGAGACTATGACCTTTTTGCCGCGAAAGATGAGGTTGTTGTTTGTGCTGACGACGACGCCAGCGGCATTTTGCTTTATACTGGCGACTGGGCTGGAGAGGATGACAGACCCCGGAGTCAGTGAGGCGGCTAGTCCCTCTGAATATGGTTGGGAACCTGAAGGGGGTCAGTAACGGCACTTGAAGGATACCTATAATGCTCACCAGTTTTGCTTCGCAGATGCTGTCCCCCGTGCTTTCCATCGGATCTCATTTGCACGAAGCCGCCACCACTCTTGCAGTAATGCAGAAAATAGAGCGCACTGATCTCGTTGCCATCGATGCCCAGCATTGCGCGGATCCATAGATTCGCATATTCTAGAGTCTTGGGCAGGGCACCGGACTGCTTTGCAAACTCCTCAAACGTCATGGTGTCGTAGTGCTCTCCTCCAATCCATGGCTTTTCAATATCAATGGTCTGACAACAAGTTTCGACCAGATCTCGGAATCTGACGAAGTTGTCTCGATCCTCGGCGTTGTCGAACTGGGGCCCTTTCTTAGCGATTGTTATTAACATGTGAAGGATGGTCTTACTGGTGGTAATTGTCCAAATGGGAACCGCCCGTAATCTTGCAACGCACAATCGCCCTCGGTGACTTGGACTGTATATTCCATCCCAAACCGTTGCCCCAACGCCCACATCTTTGACTGGTTCGTGTCGTTGATCCAGGCTCCACCAAGGTCTATGGCACCCGTGCCATTAGCAGTTGGGACCGTCCAGGTCTTGCCGCCTACACGGTCTCGTGCTTCTAGCACGACTGTCTTCAAGCCTGCTTTCTGGAGATCGTAAGCGGCTTGTAAACCGCTCAATCCGGCCCCAACGACAACAACATCGACCGTTTCAACTTTCCCTGGCACGGGGTTTGAAATGGGAGTATCCAATGAAGGATCTCGGACTGCTGCGACAGCTTCAATCTCAAACAAGAACTTCGGGTTTGCCAAGTAGGGCACTGGAACTAGGGCTGTCGCAGGTCTGTGGCCCTCCAGCCATTCAAAAATCAAATCGGCGTGCGGCCTGTTGTTGGGGTCGTATTTGGCAATATAGTATGTCAATTTCAGAACGTCCTTGACTGTTGCTCCAGAGGCTTCCAAGCAGTGACCGAGGTTCACAAGACTCTGCTTGATTTGCTCGACGTATGAATCAGATATACTTCCATCTTGATACTGGCCAACCATGCCAGATGTGTAGACCACCCTGGCGGGACCGACAGTATGCCCGACATGAGCAAAATGTCCCGTACTAGGAACCGTTGTCGGCTTGAGCGTTCGAATTGCTGATTTCTTATAGCCCATCTTGGTATGATGAGTCTCCTGGGAACCTAAAAGCAAGATCGTAGGCAAAAGACCAGCAGCAATAGAAAGAGAGTGTGTCAATTTTCCTCGTATGTAGGGCATTTAAACCAGGGAGTTTTCCGCAATATTGTTGCTCATGTCTCCGTGACAAGGTCCACTTTGTGCCAATTAGCTGATCAGGGTGGTATGCTTCCACCACAACAAGTAATGGCTAGCATGAGTCTTCGCAATGTTCTCCGAGATGTTATCTTCTCGGTCGTTCGGATATGAACGGCAGCCTTGAACGCCGAGAGACGATTTGCTGTGCAAAAAAGGAGAAAATCGGTGTTTCGGAAGAGGTTTGACGGAATCTCTGGACGTGTCTTGGAGGCACTTAAGTCCGTGGGGCGCCATGTCCCCAGAAGTGGACATGTGGCACAGCACTGGGATTACGATTACTGACAAGGGATTTCGGTCCCAGGGTTACCATATAGGTTTGTCGAAGATCTTATGGTCTTCAAAATTGGAACTGGGACGTTGTCACCGTGACAAATGGGTGTAGATGAAATCATACGAGTCGAAAGGGATTGATTATGTATGACTAGTTAGCGATGAAGACTACTCGTCTTTCAATGCTAAGTAGCAACTTTGCCGCCTTCTGCCTCACCCTCCACGCTGTTTACTTCGTCAAGCAGCAAGCTCTTGCGCTACTTCTCCCTCAGTTCATCTGGGCACTGATCGATGGGTGAATGGGGCGCCAGCCCATTGCTCCGACTTTCTAATAGATATACCTGACTTTCTCCAGTCTCCCCTCAGTGATAGCAGCCTCTCCACCCCGAGCAAGTTCCTTCTCGTCTAATTTCCTGTTTTCTCTCTTGAGGATCGTCCGGAAAACAAGGGTCGTAACAATAGCGCATACAATAGCCACTCCCTCAACGGTGCATGCCATCCAGTATCGTGGAGATTGGTTGTCAGGATAGATGTAGCCTGCAATAATATTCCTGGAGAACGGATTAATTTACGTCGGAATTTTCGCAACACTGGCAGGACCTACCCGAGCTGAGAAAGCATGTTGACCAGAGCAATTGCTGCGGCACGCTTTGGTGCTGGCCGGGGAATACAGTTCGAGATCCTGCACACGTCAGACTCTGAGTTGACGCATGTTAGTGGTGTGCTGCTTACCAAGCCAAGTTGCAGTCGAACGCTATATAGACCGAACAAGTTACCAGAAATAGTGAGAAGTATCGAGCTCCAGTGTTGAGAGAGCTGGCCAGTATGATCAACCCGACCAGGGTAACACATAGGGAACCAATCATGTGCCAAGTGCGTTCTTTCTTGATGTCGGCGTGATGGCAACCATAGACACTTGTGCAAAAGGCAAGCATATATGGTGGAACGATCAGAAGATATGTGATCTCTATTTCCATAATGTCAGTTTTCCTCCAAAAGGTAACCATTGAAGTGCGCAAATAGCCAGGAGCTGCGCATAGATGCACTTACTTCGTGAGAAACCCAGTGTGCCAACGACAGTCGGGTAGAAGACCACTATTCCAGCTCCAACAGTGAGGAAGATATGGTTCCAGACAAGAAACCAGACTTTGTAGTCCCTGATGGCTAACAAGAAGCCTTGCCAAATACTGACATCGTCAGACTGTGTGTCATCCGCTTCACCGACGTCGTCGATCAACCGCCACATGGCAATCGTGCGCTCTTCACCCTTGAACCAACGAGTGTTGTGTGGATAGTTCGGCAGTAGGAAGACAGCACAGATAGCGAAGCCCACCGTCATACAGGCCTCAATTATGAAAAGCCAACGCCACGATTCCAACCCGTGTACGCCGTCCAAGTTCTGCGTGACTCCCAAGGCGATCAGACTACCGAAAGCTGGACATCGATCAGTCATGACATAAGCAAGCTTACTGGCGGATTACGTACCGTTACTGAGCATGTTGCCGCCGAATAGAATAGCACACCTCGTCGCCATCTCTTTGCGCGTATACCAGCTAGATATCAAGAAAATGGCGCCTGCAAAGAATGGCGCCTCCACGATGCCGAGAAAGAATCGGACGGCAACCAAGCCGTGGTAGCTTTGAACGGCAGCAGTACATCCAGAGACAACACCCCAGACACCCATCCAGGAAGGCTAAAGCAGTCAGCAGGTTCATGAGACACAACATGGTCCGACTGTGACCCACGAGATAAAGCGACGGCTTAGACTTCGACAGCATGAGGTTGGACGGGACTTGAAACTGTTGTGATTCTGTCAGCAGCGGTTGGGGAATAAGGGGCCTCAAAAAGACCTACAAGACAGTATCCGACATAGAGAATAGAGAGACATGTCGCACTTTGGACATGTTAGTCGTAGCTCCTCTTTCCACAAGAGTAGAACCAACAATTCAATACTAGAAAGGTTGAGGTCTTTCTGTATCCCAACAATTTTCGCGAAACTGAGAGCGTTGCGGTCCTTCAAGGAAAGGCTGATATTAGCCAATTATTGCAATGCCAGTGACAGCAAAGGCAGGAGATGGCAGGACATACAATGTAGTTGAGGATGTAGAAGGCCAGCAGTGTCGGAAATAGAACGAGGTCTAGCTTTCGCCTCACCCTTTTCTCGATCTCAGCACGCCGTTCGGGAGGAATCTGAGAGATGGCTGTCGCGAGCTCGGGGTCAAGGCCACGTGGAGCCCAGGCGCTCCCGAACTCGGAATCATGCATACTGGCTTGCTGTGGATCGGCTGATTTCATGGCCATGTCCATGTTTGGTTGCGTGCCCGTCTCGACCTTGGCTTCAGCTGACATTCTGGACTTCAAGCAATGATTTTCTGCAAAGAGAAAAAACAGAAGAAGGGTAATCTGGCCGGCTAGCAGACATGGTAGAGCGACGAAGATATACAATTTCGTATAGACCGAAAGGTGCTCTCGGCATTATCGCCTGTGGTAAGGTTGATGATTCCAAGTCAGAAGAAGGTGTACGAGGAGGTTCGGAACCTTATCTGCACCTTTATCAAAGCTCATGGTTTTGTGGAACTGCAGGGACCCATCCGTATCATCGCTTGTGCCGCTAATCCCGGGTCACGATTTCCATGAAGTTGAGGCCTGTGCATCGGTATCTCGGTCAATCAATGTTCATGACCCACAAAGATAGCTTCAGATAAAGTCCTTTATTATGCTGTTGACAATGACCATCCAAGGAACACCGAGGACTAGTTAATCTGAAAGCCGAAAGTTACAAATGGTGGGACCAGAAGAGTATCAACCATGTAAGAAGCTACTGTGATTGTGCCTTCGGTCCTACTGAAACCCCTCGATCTCGAAATTGCCAAATGCATCATCCAGGTTGATGTTGGTAAGGGGATCACTCCAGTACAAAGACTGCCATTGGCTTGAATTAAATTGCCATCTGTTCGGCTCCAAGTTCAGGATGTTGCCGTCGTCAGGTGCTGCAAGCGATGGTGGCTGGACCCACTCCATTTCTGGATGCTCTTCTACAAGAGCTTGATACGGATCTGGATGCAAAGCCTGGGAAGCGTTGCTAGGCCTGGTATCTCTCGGCGAGACCGTCGATACTGTAGAAGCTTCGTCAAAGTTGAATGTATCGACAGTCGAAGCGGGGCCTCTTGTCTGAAATGGTATACTCCGTGAAGGCTTATTTGTATGAGACTGAAAAAGTCGGAAGATCGAGGCTGCATAGAGCCAGTATCGTGCCAACTTCCGCAGACTTTGTAAACCAGAATCAAGTTTGTCTCTAGCACGTAGGGCGAGTATCGAGTTTTGGCTCTTGAGCTCTCCATTGACCTGGAGCATCGCTGCGAAGAGGGCGCTGGAAGCCCAGAACCAGCAATGACGGAGACCTGATTGTGGGCAAAGCTGTTGGAAGATTCGTATGATGTTTGAGGCAGCATCCGCACAAATCTCAGCATCATTTTGTATATCGTGGTGGGTAAGATTGTCCGCAGCGTGCCCTTGTGATCTGTGAAACTGGATTAGGACTGTGAAATAAGTCAAGTGGAGTAATGAAGACCACGGGTCAGTATGCGCGGTAGTGTGTATCGAGCCATCACGTAGACTCGACGGTAGGCTCCCGAACCATTCTGCCAATGCTCCGTCAATCTTCTCTAGGGCATCCTTTCTGCTGGTACCAGAGCTTCTCGCCTTCAGCGACAAATGTGAGCGCACAAGGTCTGTCACAATAGCGCAGAGTCTCGCATGATGCATTACGAAACTTGTCTCCTGGCTTTTCATCGAAGTGTCGAAATCATCTGCACAAAGGGGTGGCACGTCGCTGTCGTCAAGGTTACTTTGCCGTAAGCATTCATCCAAGCGACACTGGTAAATCAACTCACATATACTGTGGTCGACCAAAACACAAGGAGACTAGGCAGTCAAATTGTACCAGACACCACCAGATCATCCGCCATATACGCTTGTCCCCCTCTGGCATCTTGCTAGGGCCGACATCTCGATGCACTAGTCGCGCGCCGCGGTAAGCATGGCGATGGGAGGCAATCGGAGAAGAGGAGGTGACTGTGCTTACTTCCTAGACCAATGGCTGTTCTTGCGGCAACCCCAATCCACCACCAGGCATTTGCACAGATATCATCACCGCCATCGGAGAACCACGTTAGCAACAAAGCAGCCTGCACGACATGCATCCTATCTTCCTCATATCGTCCGTCAACCAAGGCTTTCGCGCGTCGGAAGAATGCAGCTTTCAGATCTTGGTTGTTTTTGAATGTCGTTGTGACGTGACTGCCCGCAAGACAGATGGCCTGCAATAGGAGGATAGAAGGAGCTGACGTTGAGTCATGATATTCCCGTAGAAACTTATTCTTGTCAATGATTGGAAACCCAGGATGTATGTAACTGAAGTAGTCCTCAATCAAAACATCAGAGACGTGTGTGGGTGGTAGTACAAAGGCGTCCTTTGGGATAAGGTTCGGTGTAGCAGGACCTTGAGACTTTCGGAAAACCCGTGGAACATAGATGTTGGAGCAAGGATAGTGATGAACATGCTGACTGAGCGATCTTTGACGAGTCAAGTAGTGCAAGTTTGAAAGCTCGCTCCCAACGTACGTCGATCTGGCTTTGATGGGGTTGTCCTGTAGGTCTTGATTGAAGAACTCCACAAGATGTTGCTTCGCCAATTCTGCTTCATTGGCGGCGCATTCAACAGTTATCGTGTCAATTTGCTCGTTGTTCTCCTGGTTCTCAGTGACAGCAACTCGGTCAGTTCTGCTCCTTTTCTCAGGCGGTGGCCCCGTCGCTGACGACTTCGCTCTCCGCTTGCGTCGTTCAGCAATCGTGCACTCAATCTGTGCTGATTTGCAATTGCTACACGGGAACCCGTTCGTGGCACCATCGCATTTCACTTTGCGTCTATGGCAATCCAAACATGCCTTCTTGACAGGTCGCAGATACGGTGGACGTATTGAGCCATTGGACCGGGAGTCGGTTAAATGATCCATCTCGTTGCGCGGTGTGAACTCGGACGTTGCAATGTAGACCTGGTGAGATGATTATGAGAAGAGCACCAGCCAAAGTAAAGTATGTCGCCGAAACTCCTCGGTGCAAGGCAAGCCTGTTCCTTGAAAAAGTGGCACGGTCTGACCTCGGGGGCCCGCCCAGAGCAAACGGATACAAGTACTCAATCTCTCTCCGAAGTCCTTCGCGTCAGCGTCAAACAAGCAGCGCTTAGAGTGCAGGTGGCCGTCGGGTCCAATGGCCTAGAGATTTCAGAATAAAGGCCGAGTCGCCGCCGTCAATATTCTCGGAATTCCAGATTACGAGGTAGATGTACTCGCTGTCTGACGGTGCCACTTTTCTGGGAACCGGCTTGAGAAACAAAAAAATGTTGTTGTTACCACCGAATTGCCGATTCGTCACGGACAACGCCGTCATGGGTCGTTGCTTGCCGGCCACCCATGATTCCGCGTGGATCATTTTCAGCCACTGTTGTTAGTTGCTTCAGCTCAAGGTATCGGCATTCATGACAGCCAGGTCACAGATGATATCGGTTGCTGCATTTAAGACGGTAGTAGTGCCAGGGATGACATAGTACATGCTTTTTGAGTGACCATAACGACCCGTCACTCCATAGAGGCAGTCGAAGGCGAACAGATCACCAAGAAGGGCTCTTGAGCATGGCGTCCAAATCCGATTGGAAGCAGATAGCAGAAGTAAGCAGCATCAACAGTTACCACATATCGTGACAGATAATTGAGACATAGCTCGACAGAAGACGCAAGGGGCCTTGAAAACAAAAATCCCTGAAGCGTGGCGGCTACCAGAAGATCTTGTCCAAGCAGACCAAAGGGATGTGTCGCACGTACCGGCCTCGTGTGGTATTCTATCGGATCGGGAACTCAGCATAACCTCATGTGATGCTACTGCGGTCCTGCAAAAGATTCACAACGGCGACTGGAGCGCCGAGCAAGTCTGTTTGGCATTTTGCAAGCGTGCAGCTATCGCACAGCAGCTGGTAGACGTTTCAATCATTGAGATCTGTGGACTGGTGTACTGACGGTCTATTACAGGTCAATTGTCTCACCGAAATATGCTTCGACGAAGCTCTAAATGCCGCCAGGAAGTTGGATCAGTCTTTCAAGGCCACTGGGAAGCTGAAAGGTCCTCTACATGGGCTCCCAATCAGCGTCAAAGACCACGTCAATGTGGCAGGTCTGCGGTCAACTTTAGGATATTGCTGCTTGGCCGATAATGTCCCCAACGAAGATGCCGTATTTGTCAAGGCTTTGAAGAGTGCTGGTGCCATTATCTTCGTGAAAACCACCATGCCTGTCACAGGTATGGCTATTGAGACGGTTAGTCAGCTCTGGGGTCGCACCACTAACGGCTTCAATCGAGCTTTGGTATCCGGTGGAAGTTCGGGCGGCGAGGGAGCACTTGTTGGTCTGTACGGTTCTCCATTGGGCGTCGGAACCGACATAGCTGGGTCAATTCGTGTACCATGTGCTTTCAACGGGCTGTACGGTATCAGACCCTCAACTCGTCGCTTGAGCTATGAAGGAATGACCTCGAATGTAAGTGGCGGGAGGGCTATCGCAGCAGCTATAGGGCCTATGTGTCACTCCATTCGAGATGTCGAATTGATCTGCCAAATTGTAACGAAAGCGACACCGTGGGAAGAAGATCCAGGCGTAGTCCAGAAAGAATGGACGACAAGGCCGAACGTCCCCGAGAAGTTGACTATTGGTCTGATGAAATTCGATGGCGTGGTGATGCCACACCCACCAATATTGAGAGGTCTGGAAGAGGCTGCAGCCAAGCTCAAAGCTGCAGGGCACGAGGTCGTGGAGTTCAAGCCATACCAACATCAGCGAGCATGGGATATCGCCGTAAGTGAGATCATATCACTGCGTTCGAAATATGGACTGACGGTCCATAACAGTATCCCCTGTACTATGCGACTGGTGGGAAGGAAATGCAAGCTCTTCTTGATGTCACAGGAGAGCCATGGCCACCCGCCGCTGCCAAGTTGAGCGCGAATCCTGAGCTTCGGGAGTTGTCGGCGAGAGAATTGTACAAGGTATACTATCATCATAAGCTTGGAGACCAAAGTCAGCTTACGCAATTGTAGCTTTTCAATCAACAGGACACCTACAAGAAGGAGTACTTGAAGTACTGGAACGACACATCGAAATCGACGTCGTCTGGAAGGCCGATTGACGCACTGTTATGTCCCATCAATCCGTGCGCCAGTTATCCCCATGACTTCCTTACGTGAGTCAAATTCCTCCCTTCATAAATAAGTGGACGTGGTTAATGCTCATGCCTGTAACAGATGGTGGGGTTATGCAGCCCAATGGAACCTTCTTGACTATCCTGGGGTGATCATACCTGTGGGATTTGTTGACAATGCCCGAGATCTTCAGAATGCCAGCTACAAGCCAATCAGTGACACTGATAAAACACACCATGACCTGTGTAAGTACCCTTCTCCACCCATCTCGGGTTGATCCGATGTTGATGAGCCGGACGTCAGATGAACCCAGCCTTTGGCACAATGCGCCAATCTCGCTGCAGCTCGTGGGGCGCCAATTCGAGGACGAAAGGCTTCTCGCTGTCGGTGCGGTTGTTGACAAGGTTGTGAATGGTGTATCAGGTTGAGTAGGGTCAGCTTGGGCGAAACATGTCGAAGTCCCGGATCAGAGTCATGTGTCAGGATGTCTCAACTTGTCCGCCGTATCCAAGATGCGTCCTTCTGATCATAGTCTTGGACGTTCAACCACCTGAACTAGCTGGAAGATAGTCGCCCGCAGTTCGTTCGACCTTCTTCTCCACCTTCAGATCCGCCACTCGCTCCTCTTCGACTTGCTTCACGACCAAATATTCCGAACCTTGCTCTTCCACGACAACACCGCCATCACGAGCCATTGCCATCATGTCCTCGCTTGCCTTTGTTCTGTGCCCAGTCTCCTTGTTCCAGACCCAACCTTCTTTCATCCACATCCAAGTAAGCCACGCTCGCAACTCCTTATCCAACGGCACAACTCGTTTCCACTCTGGCTCAAAGTTCTGGTTGTCTGCACTGCCCTCTCCGTTCCAGCTTTCCGCCATTCCTCTCAACTTATCACGGCAGAACATCCGCCAGCTATCATGGGAGTAAGGACCCAAGCCAGGCAAATGAGAGATTTCCCAAGCAACCCGTGCATCATCATCATCGACGAACTCATCATTTCCAACGTCTTTACCATCACCTTTCGATGGATAATTGAGTTTCTTATACCTCTTGCCTCGCTGTGGGGGCCTCTCTATCCAACATTTCGCCATGGCAACACATTTTCTTGCCCGTTGATTCTGGAATCCAAGACCGTATATGATGATTGTGATATCGCTGACTTCTGCGTTCGACAGGTCCAATGGGGTAGGATAGCGAGACATTAGCTGATAGAATACCGGCATGGCGCGCTCACCAGGGGTCTTGTTCAAGAATATTGTGGCAATGAGCAGACGAAAAGGATCATGAGCTAGTCGCTCTTGCATTAACCCAAAATAGTCGTGGGAAAGGGGTGGAAATGGCAAGGTCGATAGAAATGTCGGTCGATGCTTGTGGGGATGGGGAAAGTAAGGTGATTTTGTAGGTCGGCGATTCTTGGTCGACTTGACTTTGATGGCCTGGACCTTTTCAGATAATGGCTCTTCGTCCGGGAAAAACGGATCACATCCAATGTCGTCTGGGACGTCGGTGAGATCTGAGTCGGAGGACAGGTTATCGATGTTGATGCCATAATAAATTCGTGCGTGAGGTCGAGCTGGTGTGTGTGGTGGTGTAACCGGCAGTAGATCTTCAGCTGCGCTGGGATCTAAGCTGTTGGCATTGGCATTGCGTGCGATAAAACGCCGGCCGACCGTCTCATCCTGAGTCGTGCCACCGCCGTCGTCCGCAAAGTGTCGTGAAATATATGTGATCTGCCGTCTCTTGGGTTTGGCCTTATTCTTGACTTTCGTAGCTACCTGAGTTGAGGTAGCTTTTGTTGAAGTACTTTCATCGTCGGCGATCATGCCCAACTCGTCGGTAGGTATCACTGGCCACTCTGAGTCAGAGAATGGAGAAGGTGGCGGTGAAAGAGAGCCATCTGGAGTGGGAGACTGAAATTCATGGGTTGATGAGGTCATCGCTGCAACTGGCCATAGAAATAAATTGTCCGGACACGACGCAGCAAGACGTTGGAGGCATAAGGTATACACCGCATCTTAAGCTGTTTATCACATCATTTAATTGAATGTTCTAGTGCTATAAAAGGTTGAGAAGGATATCACCCCCCGTCACCCTGGCCTGGGCAACGCAATTCACTTGCCCTAGGTACGTGAAGAGATATTGTCGCATCACGGGTAGCAACATATCGCCCTTCACTGCCATGCCGTTCCACTCACAGATTTGTGCTATGAGGCACAATCTTATCCTGTGTCATACAACGAACGACAAGTTCCTGGCCGAATCCAGCCTATGAATTTGGGAGCAAGCCGCGCTCCTTTCCAGAAATCCGGGGTGAGATGTAAGTCAACCAATCATAGCAACCCTACAGAGAGTGAGACAAACCACCCCCATGCAAGTGCAATTTCCTCCTCGCTACGGACACAATGTAACAATTCGCGTCTCTAATGTAGCGCCCGAGTCAGCGCCAGATGGCGGCATGCAACTGCGAAGAGCTGAATATGCAGACATCTCGAATACATACCACGAATGTTCCGTGTCAATGAAAACTTGAACTTGCGGGCTTCATCCCTTGATCTTGCGTTGCGATCATCGCCATCTATACGAGCTGAGCATATATGGGCCAACAAGAGGAAGCGCTGAGCGCGGCCAAGTCGGCGACGGTTCACCGCAAGCCCGTATCTACGCCGCAGCGATCTGCGCACCCTGCCACACAGCATAACCGACTCGTTTGGTGGAAGCATCTCTCGCGACGAACCCGCCTCGCCCTTTTCGCAGCCCTTCTGGCAAGCATAGCACTGATCATCGGCCTTGCCGCCGGGCTCTCGGCACGAAAACATTCTCGGAACCTCCCTCTGCCTTCAGGACAAGGCGGTCCCTTTACGGGCGATCTCACATACTATGCGCCCGGTCTAGGCGCATGCGGAGTTACTTCTACCAATAGCGACAAGATTGTGGCAATATCACATTTGGTGTTCGATGCGGCGAGCACAGGAAGCGATCCAAACGCTAATCCCTTGTGTGGAAAAAAGATAAGAGCGAGCAGAGACAACAAGAGCGTGGACCTAAGTGTAGTGGACAGGTGTACGGGGTGCCAGGCGAAAGATCTCGATGTCACTGTTGACTCGTTTGCGATGCTGGCCGATGCCAACTTAGGGAGGGTGTCTGTGGAATGGAATTGGTTGGAAGATATACCGGCAAGCGCGCAAGGTTGATGGCAGTTTTCGAACATGCCAGACACAATGGCATCGTTATTAAAGCACAGGATCTTTGGGTGGTGAAGCTCAAACAACCGTTTACGGTTACGACTATCGAACACCGCGTCCTTCCACTTCGGGACGAAAGAATCCAGTAATGGGAAGCGTGGGGATGGAGATGGTCGGTCTACATCATCGGAGATGTGCGTCGGTGAGCTGCGTTTCTTCACCTCAATAAGTTTCCTAACTATGCACGCCGAAACTTCTGCGCCTACGTTTAGGACGATCCCTAAGAGAAACTTGACACGGGACTACCTTCGCCATGTCGATTGTGGCTCTGGCCGAGAGCGGACAGTATGTAAAGGTCCTTCAGGCGCGCAAAAATACTGATAGTCTTCCAGATCGAGTGTCACCGTCAATGTCCTCCACGATGTGGCAGCGAGAAACAACATTCGGATTGCGTCCAAGTCAGACGAAGATGCCTACCTACTCGTTCTGCAATCGGCGGATGTGACCACTGGCAGCGTTTTTAGTCTTCCTGACTACATCGATCCCCGCCTGGCCGCGGTTCCCACAGGCGGAGGAAGAGAGTACTGGAAATCCAAGAGTAACAGTCATAATGCATGGAGTCATCAAGCGCACCTGGTTGCCGAGAAGCCTGTGTCTGATACACTCAAAGGCCGAAAAATCGTTATGAAGGATAACATGTCCGTGGCTGGACTGCCGTACACATGCGGAACGTTCCCTCAGCTTGTGTCCAAAGATGGGAAATATCCTCTTGCAACCATTGATGCATCCATCACCAGACGTCTTTTGGAAGCCGGGGCCACAATCGTCGGCACTTCGACCTGCGAGAATTACTCCTTGACACCAATGTCATACACATCCGCGAACGGACCGGTACATAATCCATGGCTGCGCGACCACAACACTGGAGGAAGTACGAGCGGTGGTGCCTGTCTTGTGGGTTTGGGCAATGCTCGTGCGGCTGGTGTCCCTGGTCTCGAAGCAGCAGGTGATGATGTTGAGTTAGCTATGGGGGGCGACCAGGCTGGGAGCATTCGCCTACCCTCCTCATATTGCGGGATATACGGCCTGAAGCCAACTCATGGACTCGTTCCATATACTGGCATTGCGGGACTGCATCCAATGATTGACTATGCCGGGCCGATGGCACGCAAGCTAGGAGATATTGCAGCGCTGCTGAGTATTGTTGCAGGCTATGACGGACTTGATCCACGGATGAGTCCTGAGTCGCCATTGAGGCAGAATGTGGTTGACTATGCAGGTGAACTGTCTTCAGCAAGCAATCCTGGCAAGGGCTTGAAAGTCGGCATCATAAAGGAATCTTTTACCTCGCCGGGAACTCAGGCAGAGGTTGCAGAAGTTGTCAAGGCTGCTGCTGTGAAGCACTTCGAAGCCAGTGGAGCAACCGTGTCCGAGGTGTCAATACCAATGCACCTTCTTGGTCCCGCGATCTGGACTGCAGCAACTCGTCCCCATATGGCTAGCCATGCTGTGGGCGGCCGGACTCCTGACATACTCAACCACAACATGCCACACCTGGCACTCAGATGGCCACCGGACCAGGAAATGTATAACTTACTGAACGTTGCCAACCCTGCGGTCGTCAATGTCATATTCTCGGAGACATTTTTGGAGGATAAGTATGGGCCTGAGGTACAAGCCAAAGCACATCGCCACGTCTTTGAACTCAGGGCTGCTTACGACAAGGCCCTTGAAGACTTTGATATTCTCATCACGCCTACTACACCGAGTGTCGCTCCACCACATCCAGATTTGCGGCCCGAAGCTGAGGGTGGAAGCACAGTCATGGACAAGATCAAATTATCTGTTGGTGCAACAAGTCATACAGCGCCATTCAATGCTTCGGGCCATCCAGCCCTGACCGTTCCTTGTGGGTGGGCAAAGTCACTGACTGGGGAAGGCGTGCTGCCTGTTGGGATGCAAATCATTGCCAGGAGATGGGAGGACCTTACAGTCTTGAAGGCTGCGAAAGCATTTGAGCAGGGTGGAGGTAAACTGGGTCCTTGGCCTGGTGCAAATAACGCTTAAATCAAAAAGGACGGGTTCGGCCAACAACAGGTTGATGTGGACGTAGAGCGAACCGTCAGGTTCGGGCATCTAGACGCTTCGGCTCACAGAGTAGCTGTAGCCTGTGTCGGTATCGACCACAAATGTCATGCCCGCAGCATCGAACGCACGTTGGGGTTATTTTAGTGTCTGTGCCCTGGCCAAGGGTACCGTAAAGGGACGGCCCTTGCTTAGAACTTCGGTGTGGGGGAAAAATGCAGCCACTATCGTTCCTGTCCTGGGGAAGCGAGTGTTGTAAACAATGTCGAATATCATCACTCTGAGATCTTTCATGTACAAGTCAAATCAATAGAACACTCACAGCTTCTATTCCTGGCTTCACTGAACATGTCTGCGAATATCGATCTCTTCTGCAAATACCAGTGCGAGAAGTAGCAAAGCATTTCACTTGAACCAATGGAAGTCCTGCCCGTTCATGATTTCCTGCCACCGACTTTGGGCACACTAGAGACGACTGCGCCTCGACACGCCAACTACATCATACCATCTTTTCGGTGGTGACACGACATCTTGATTCCCATAAAATCGACCACTCTAATACTGACTGCACTCACTGCCTGCTTCTCACAGAAGCATACCCGCTGTCGCCATCCTAACTTCACGGTGGTGACATACGCAAATCATCATCCACCTAAGCGCCGTTCCACCATCCCATCCGCAAATGAGACCTACAACATAAGCGCCTGGACAGTCTTCCAAGCAGGTCGCATCATGCAACCTACCGTCCATCATGCCTTCCAAAGTCCGAGATAACAGTGCCGAGCGGCGGCGCGAGAAGAAAGAGTCGTCAAGATCAGAAAAAGAAAGAGACAAGAAGGACAGAGATCGTGATCGCGAGCGAGACAGAGACAAGGATAGACATCGCTCCCACCGTAAGCCATCGTCAAAAGCGTCTCTGTCTCCTACAGACGATAAGAGGAGATCCTCGATGCCTGGCAAAATCGAAGATGCCAATCCGCTCAAGTCTGACTCGAAATCGAGCCTGCCATATCCTTCTTTTTCAAAAGAACACAGTCGTGAGGCTGTTGCAGCTGAATGTCGGCCGGTCCTGAACCTCTTCACGCCGCCCGCGACGGACTTGAATGCATCGAAAGATAGATTATCCGCACCGAAGCATACTCCGACATCGAATCATGCGCCTCCCAGCCCTCCTCTGACCGACCAGAACGCAGGATCTGGAAAGTGGAAGTCCAATGCGGGCAAACCAGTATCCGTGGAAACCATTGCAGAGGAGGATAGAGCTTCAAATGGTGGTAAAGATGCCAAAGTCAAGATCCGCTTACGGCCGCTTTCATCCAGGTCAAACGGCCATTTGCGAAGCACTTCAGAATTGGGTACAGACAGCTCTCCTACACGAAAATCTCGTGACGCATCGGGCGTACTACCCAAGATATCTACACCTCTCCGTGCCAGCTCGCAGAGATCTGTCAGTCAACCAACCAGAACAGACTCTCCGGTCACACCATCGACGTCGAGCGAGCTCCGTACGAATATCAGCTCCGAAGCAACCTCCATAGCTCCTGAGCAACCGGACATTCAGCGGCCCGGCTCCAAGATTCCCCCTGCTGAATCTTTCCGCAGAGGTCACTACGAGCATGTCCCAGATACGCTCTACCCTCAGTCTCGAGGGGGCACTCCTTTAGAAGTGTTTGTGGAGAATGAAACCTTGTCCACTAGAGGAACTCCAGCTGCTTTTTCTGCAACTCCTGGCCCTCCGCCTCCTCCGCCTGCGCCAGTACCTGTTACAATTCCCAAGGTCGATTACCTCCTACAACATGGTGGATTACATCAACCTGTATCGAAGAACCTTCTTCTCGCCGGAAAGCCTATGGCGATTCAGCAGGCCCAATCTCCTGCACAGCCTCCTATAGTGGTTGCGAATCTGTTCGAGCCATACACTGCGCTCCTCGACGACTTTGAAAAGGTCATGACCAAGAATGGCTCGCTGGCGGTTGCCACTGGTTATCGGTCTGTGGCACGACGGTTGCTTGATAGACTTGAGGCGGTGTTTGCACGCGATATTTCATCGGAATCATGCCAGTGCCCGATGTGTCACGACGAGTATGGCCAAGACGTAAGAGGCGTCAGTTGGGGCGAAGTCCTCGAGTTGGTGTCGGGGAGGAAGGAGCTCCCAGCTTGGCCCCCGTTTGCATTCACCCAGTCACCTATTGGGTTGGGCATCTCACTGGAGTTTCATGTGCCAATGCAGAAGCTTGACATCGATGTTCCGGACGAATACAGGGAACACTACATTCGACAATCACGTAAGACGAAGCAGAGTGTGGACAAATGGCTGAACCGCCAGAATGACAATCCCAGCTCCCCACCCGAAGAAGTGGATGAAGAGACACTTACATTCGCGATATTGACGCATCTACCCTTGGAGCAGCGCCTCGTGTTCAAAGACCTGCTGGGTATTGTGGACAGGCCAATTGAGCCCCCGAGGAGGATCCCAACGCCAGAATGGCACAATGGTTCGATCCGTCCTCCACAACCCACACCTACACCTTCACTCGCAACAAGAGCTCGACCAGCATACCTGACTCTTGCGTCGTCAGCAATTCAGCGTCTATACCGGCTACCTGTCCCACCTCGAGACTCTGAAGCAGGACTGTTTCTGCTGAACAATCCCACTCTCCACAACGCCCTGGCGACCCTTGCTGCAATTTCAGACGACGAATGGGAGATTTTGACATCAGGTCGATTTGACGGGTTTCTTCGTAGTGGAGCTGATGATATACCACCTCCAACGCATGGAACGCCCTCCTCACGAGGTCCAACTCCACATCGACCTGCCACGAGAGGCGCCACCCCAGGCTATCCTCATCCAGGCTCTTTGCCGACTGCAAGTGCCAGCGCCAATGGCTACCGCTCACGACAAGGCAGCTACAGCAATACCTTTGCCAATGGAAATGCACAATACGGCGCACCAATTGCCTTCGACGAAGAGACTGAGCTCGCCACGCTCGCCGAAATCGAGCGCGACATTTACGCTGGCATGGAAGCGTTGGAGGACGCCTTTGAGACTCTGCACAACAAAGCCGAAATTGTACGCCTTGCGCTGCGCGAACGATCCGCTGGTCTGGCGGCGGCTGCTCAGCGCCGGCGAGGCACAATGAGCGGTGGGATTGAAGTGCGCATGGACACGCCAGCAAACGGAACAGGCCCTTTCAACGAGAACAATGGACGCCCATGGGATGCAGAGACAGATGACGGGCTCGGCGAGTGGGACGGACTGAGTGAAATTGCGCCCGATGATTCCGCGAGCAACATTTCGAGTGCACGGCGGAGGAGGCCTAAGCGGCGGAACGAGCGACGAACACCGGCGCTGATCGAGGAGGAAGACGAGTTTGATGATATGAGTGAAGGTACAGAGAGTCCTAGGAAGAGATAACACCTTCGCATGCTGCATTCTGCATCTCTTGGAGTTGATCACAGGCATGGGAATTAAGAGACTTGAGACCAGATCAAATTAGTTGTGTTACCAAAGCATTATAAGCGGGTTTATTGGTTCAGCACTTAATCTTTCCTCTTGGGAAGTACAAAGGTAGTTGAGCCACACTAGGCATATTGAGCATGGTTGGCCTCCAATATCCAAAGATGGAAGCCAGCATACGCGTTTCGGCTTGTATGATTTCTTCTTCAAGTTTATAGGCGTGTCTGTTTTGGAGCACTTCCTTGCATTGTCTTGGCTATACTTGACATTTGTAGCGTTCCAGAGTACACCCATTCTGACTGAGAGGGTTTCTTTTCAACCGGGCAGCCACTCCTGTTGAATGTGCATGTCGCCTCGCTGCCTCCAGCGACAGTGCTTGTTCTATATGAGGTTCGAAGACATTGTCGACAGGGTTGAACTGCCTGCACGAACACTCCAGGTGGACATGTCCACTCCACGGTGATGTATTTGGGCTTGTGGACTTGCCCCTGGGATACCGGACTTGTTGCTTTGTGGTCGCTTCTGTCACTATCGTGGTCTACGGTCGGCCGAAGCGCTCCCCGCAACGAAGCTCGCTGGGTGTTTTGCTGGATCGACGGAATTGATATCCGTTGTGATCCCTGCTTGGATCTGCAAACAAACAGATCCACACGGAAGCCGTAGGCACAAGCACTGCTGTGCGATGCTGCTATATCCGGTGTGCTCCCAGATGAACACTTCTGGCAGGGCCGGGGTGGACGTCCAGGATGTGCATTCGGTATTTTGAAGGACGTGATGCCTACGCTCGATCTCGAGCGATTTAGTGCCACTTTTCTGGAACACCAGGCTTTAAAATGAGGTTGTCTGAGATTGCATGGTCTTCAGATATATCTCAGCCAGGCAGTTCATGTACCACAGCCTTCTCTTGCTTGACACTCAATTCCGTAGGATGCCTTCTGTCACCCAATGCCTCGTGCAGGCCGGATATTTGCTTGATGACTGGAAGTGTGCTAGGTGTCGTGGGTGATGTGCCTTCAGAGTGTTCTGGGATAATGCCTTGGGAATGCTGGTTAGATGCGGCCTTGACGCGTCGATATAGCCTCAAGACCACAAACAACAGTGCCAGGATGATCAAGAACACAGCCGCTGCACCAACACCAATACCGGCTTTGGCTCCTGCACTGAGAGTCGGTTTCGATGGCGGACGTGGCGTGGATGAAGACGATGTTGACGAAGACGAGGAGATCGTCGTAGTAGTTTGCGATGATGCAGTAGAAGTCGAGGTTGCCGAAGCTGTCGACGTACTCGCAGTCGTGGCTGGAAGTGTCTGACCCTGCTGTAGAATGAGGAAGGCAGGGCTCGGAAACTGGTCAGTTTGGAAAGGGAAGATATCCGTTCCGGTGAGTACGAATCTCAGACAAAAGCGGTCATCAATGTCGATCTGGGTGTCATTGACTGTGATTGTCCAAGGCAGAGTTCCAGGTCCGGTGATGTTGATGTTCGCAGCCACGCGTAGAGCATATGAGAGTGTGGGATCATAGCTAGTCAACCATAGATCCGACAGGGAATGATTCATACCCTGCCATGACCAGGTGATACTGTTGCCGTTATTGTAGACATCGGTGAAGTTGGCCTCGGCACTGTTAGGAATGATCCATTGACCAGCATCTTGAGCGAATGCTGCGTTGAACAGAAAGGCAGTGAGCGAAATGCCAAAAAAGACCCGAGTCAGCATCTCTGGGCCGGCAAACAGAGCATAGCAAAGGTAGCGAATGGACTGGAAGCGCGAAGATGAACGACCAGACAATAATGAGCACGAACGAAGGTGAGATCGCCAGATGAAGGAAAAGATGGGAGACCTAGCAGGCGGAGGAGTGTGCAAGACAGAAAGTACGATATTTACCTGTCAGGCACGAGAAGGTCGAAGAGTCCAATGGCAGCTTCCTTCTGCAGGCATGGTCATTGGTGAATGGGATGTGGTCCGGACTCTTCCGTTGACTTGCAGTTGGTCTAGCATGACTTGTAGCTAATGAAGTTGCATCGTTTGAGACAGGAACAAGATGAGACGTGACTATGGAGGGCCGGGAATGGTGGAGACGAGCATGGGCTATGGCATCGTTCGGCATACAAGATGACGCGTTCGAAAGCGGCAGAGAGCCTTGTGTTGCGGGCATTTCCCTTCATGAAAAGGGTCGTGTTCTCGAGCATCAATATACTGCAAATCCAGCCATTAAAGAATCTTCTCGTTGGTGATAGTCGTGGTGAGGCAGATCTGGATGAAGAGTCAAAGCAAGAAGATTGCCTTTTGCAAGAAGAAAAGTTCAACTAACGTTTTACGACTTTGAGTTCGTCGAGAGAAACAATCAAAAAAGGAATTGACGCGAAGACGACGTCGGAAGAGACGGAACAATAATAATGACAATTCAGTCCCACCGAGTGCACAGTGAGTGCTCCATGCTTGCTGAGTCACTTTTGACTAAGCACTCCTAAGTGTATATATCGCTCTTACGTGCGAAATACGAGTACGGAATAATTTGGAGGAGAACTCTATGAGTAATGACGTCGAGGCTGGGGAAAGTCCATTGCTGGTACGGAGTACTCGTGCTAGTTACCTCTGGTTGTCGGTTTCGCGAAGACAGCCCTTTTAGGACTACCTCAATCCTCCTCACAGCCTCTCTCCAACAGGGCTGTGATTGATCGTCCCCGGGCTGTCCTCTGCGTGCACTGCCAATCCTCGTGGGTTTAACCTCTTTGAGCCTGTGCTGTCTATCTCGAAACCAGTACTCGCACGTTAGACGGCCAAATGTTAGCCCAACCTACAGTCATCGGCGCTCGTATAGTCTTGAAACGACAGCGTATATATTCAGGTCGTTCCGTGACTCAAACGTAGGTCTCTACTAACCAGTTCCTCCAATACACCGTAACTATTCAAGCGTTTCCACATCTCCTCAAGCATACCGCTGCCCCAGATCACCCAATAGCACAGATCTCCAGTACCAAGTCTTCCGTTCAATATGTGCAGGCAAAGTCGCAACAACTACGGTGGTCGCAGAGGCCTCGTCGGCACCTTGATGGACCCGCAACAGGGTCAGCCAGGAGGGTACGCTGATCCATACTGCGACGACTACTCAAAAAGGGGCTCCCGCCGCAGGGGACATCGAGGTGGTCCCTTGACCGGAGGCCTAATGGGCTTGAGGGGAGAAGGTCAGAACAACTACCATGACCAGCGTCGACGAAATGGCCCAGTCGGTCTCTTGATCGGAGGTGTGATGGCCTTGATGAATGGACGAGAAAGCAAGACCTACGACCAACGCCAGAGTGGACATTATGACCAGCGGCCCGTGGATGCTCGCAGTCCGAGGGATGCTGATCTAAGAGACCATGACATCCAGCCCGATGTTCGAAGTGTTCCTGCAAGGCACAGCCCAAGGGAACCAGACTCCAAGATTAAAGATGAAAGCTTCGGCAACAGAGGTCACAGTGACGACGAATCGGATGATGATGAACGCGCCGAGCGGAAATATGAGCGGCACATCCAGAGTACAGTCGCACAGCAAAGCCAGGGGAAGCAATTCGCTCCGCCGCCGGGACCTCCGCCTTCCTACCAGGCTGCGATCCGGGGAAACTAAATAGGTAGAAAGGAGAGATGGCACCACGTTGAGGACGGCAAATCTGCAATCTTGTTTGGTCGTTGAGACAGCCATGATCAGTGGCGTGCGTTTTTGAGTGTTTGTCTAAGTGTGCGACGGCTGCCATAGAGGATTTTGGCCCTCATATGTAGCAATGGCATTTGGCTTCCTCAATTCGACAAACGCGAGACTGCTTGTAATATGCTGCCGTCCAAATAAGTAACCGGCCGTTTGTGTCATGCGGGTTTGGAAGTCTATCGTGAATCCTTCATCCTGGCTTCATGACAACGCACGTCACCTAGACTGCAGAACCGGGTCGTAGGTCTGAGACAGACTTACGCAGGCCAGTGCAGATAACCGCATCTTGGACCATGGCTGAGAGAGGATCTCTGGTCAACAACAATGCGCTCAATACTGTGCAGTCGTTTGACCTTCATTCCGTTCCACCAAATCTCCGACACCAAGTCCTCGGCCAACCTTGACCTTGACCATCTTCTCCTTCTTCCCATTTTCGCCATTCACAGCTGCGCCGTCCTCGTCTTTCTTGCCCAAAGAGCCGACGGCATCGCCCTCATCTTCGTCATCCTCCTCAATAGCCTTGAGTTGCATGCTCGTCAAGTCCATCCTCATCGCATATGCATCCTCCCCGTCGGCGTAGTACTTGCTCTCAATCTTGTCGACCTGGAAGCCCAGCGTGTCCCGGTACAGATGCAACGCGGCCGAATTGGACATTCTGACGTGCAGACTGACGTAGGCTCCATTAAATACTTCCGCCATCGCCCGTTGACTCATTCGCATCAGTTTCTCTGCGATACCCAGCCTGCGGTGTGTGCGCATCACCGATAAACTCGTTATGTGTCCATGTTGGACACCGTCGGGCGGGTCTTCCTCCATTTTTGCCAGGACGTAGCCAACGACCTTGGGATATGCTGGAGGCTTACCGCCCGGTCCCCGAACGACAGCAACGAAAGATAGTTGAGGCCATGTCAGGGCGTGGTATAGGTAGTATTTGAGGAAATAGTTCTCGGGCAAATTGGTCAGGTTGCACTGTTGTATGGCGGGTAGCAGTGAGATATGTGAAGGGTATGACGAGACCGGGACGATGTCCACCATGGCTACGGCTGCTGCTGAAAGAGGCAGAACGTAGATTGTTGCGGCCGTGGAGAGGATTCAATGAGCACGAGGCTCAACTGGAGAAGGAAAATGCGGCCGGCAAAACTGCGGCAGTCGAGGGATGACATACAGTACACCAAACTTACTAACTTAGTAGAGGTCAAAGAGGCCAACTGCGCTGCGCAGCCTTGTCAAGTCTGTACTTTCTTATTCTCTTCTACTTGGACTGTAGCGTACATCACTTTATTCGATATCAAGCTATGGACATCTTCATGCCGCCATTGGCACTGATGACGCTACCAGTCGTCCACCCACTCTCTTCCGAGCACAGCATTCCTACCACGCCCGCAATCTCATCTGTAAACCCCGGCCTCCGTCCGCCCATACCCTTCATCACAATGTTGTCAAATTCTTCCGGATCACCCCCTGCGCGGGATCTGATGGCTTCATCACCCCCAGAGTAGCTCATCAGAGGAGCAGCATCAGCATACTTCTGGTTGACCTTCCAGAAACTCTCCCCTGCTTGAGCATACATGTCTCCCCAGACTGGTCCCGGGTTGATGGCATTGACCGTGCAGTTCTCCGCCAACTCACGAGCCCATACACGGGTCATCGCCTCGAGTGCAGCCTTGGTTCCCGCGTATATGGATTGTGACTCATAGCCAATGGACGACGAGACACTGGATACATTGACTATCCGACCTGACCGATCCTTTGGCAGATATGACTGACAGCTTTGTACGAGTAGTAACGGCGCCAAAACATTGATATTGTACTGTTTGCCAAACTTCGTCACATCGATCGGCCCCTTCTCCGGATCATTGAGCAGGTTGTTGTCAGAGACTCCTGCATTGTTGATGATAATGTCAATCTGGAATGCTCCTGTCCGAGGATGCGAGAAATGATTTTTGGCTGTGGACATTATATGCGGAGCAGCTCGGGCAGGATCCGCGAGGTCGGCTTGGACTGGAAAACAGACAATGCCATATTCGTTGGAGAGTACTTCGCACAGGGTTTTGGTAGGTTCGGTGGACGAGTCGGAGGTGTAGACGAGGAGCAGAGAACATCCTTTCGAGGCGAGATTGCGAGCGATAGCTGCACCGATACCTGAAAAGCGTCAAAAAAGCACCTCGCACTCTGCTCATAGTTGTATTTACCTCGTGAGCCGCCCGTGACTATACCAAATTTGCCCTCGTGCGGTCTGTAAACTGCATCTCTCGGCACATTTGTAGACGAGACAGTCCTTTTGGCGCTCATACGGCCCGACATGATGCCAATTGTTCAGAAACTAAGTATGCAAGAGGTATCTGTGTGGCTTTTGTCTGGATCGCTGGACAAGTCATAGGTGGGATGCATGGCGGAGACATCGCGGGGAAGCATTTTGAGACGCGCCTGATGCTTCGGACAAAGATGGGCCGTGGTCAACATTTCATGGACAACTGTGCAACAGTTGTTCGAATGTTGTACCAGTATCTTCAGTCGCAGTCGTCTTCTACCCTTTTCGTGCACTTGCATTGCCTTTTGGAGTGAAGGGCCATTCATGGACTTTTTGAAATCAGCAGTCGCGTCTGCCATCGCAAAATCTAGTTCATTCCCAGTGATCATTGGAGACCGAGTCGATGCAGGGGAGTCGATTTTTGCTTTGCATAACGGCACGAAGAAGGTATGGTAGCCGTTGCTTGAACGAGGTACACTGCTGAAGTCTCTCAAGGATGACAATACTTCCTGCTCCCTGTTCACCTTCGACGTGAACACGAACAAGTCCCGATTACCGTTAGCAAAGAATGCTGCACGAAAGTTGCGAACATTGCGCCATCCCGGAGTCATTCGAGTCATCGATGTGATTGAGACCGAAACGAACGTCTACATCATTACAGAAAGACTCACACCCTTAAGCTGGCACATTAAGCGCAGGAGTTTGAGTGAGGAGACAATAAAATGGGGTCTTTATGGCATATCCTCAACTTTGAAGTTCATCAATAATGAGGCTTCCGCCGTACATGGAGCCGTTCGGGTACCCTCGATCTTCACGAGCGAGAGCGGAGAATGGAAGCTTGGAGGGTTTGAAGTTCTGAGCTCGATGAACGAGGATGATGCCATTATTTACACATATGGGAGCCTATTACCGGACTCGAATCGATACGCGCCTCCTGAGGTTGTGAACGGCGGCTGGTCTGCGATCAAGAAGAATCCCCTGGGGGCGCCGGATGCGTATGGATTGGGCACATTGATATACGAGGCGTTTAATGGGAGCTTTCTGGGGAATGACCAGCTAAGCCAACCCGGAGGCATCCCTGGAAACATGGTACAAAGCTATCGAAGATTGATAAATGCGAATCCGAAGCTCAGGCTGACTGCGGGTCATTTCGTGGACCTAGGAAAGAAAGCAAATGGCTTCTTCGAGACTCCATTGATTCATATAACCGAAGGCGCAGATAATCTGGGGCTCAAAAGCGAAGATGAGCGGGATCAGTTCCTTGCAGAGCTCGATGAACTCACAGACGACTTCCCTGAGGACTTCTTCAAGATGAAGATCTTGCCGGAACTGCTGAAGTCGGTCGAATTTGGTGGCGGGGGCCCCAGCGTATTTGGGGCCATCATGAAAATAGGACTCAAGATGTCGGATGATGAATTCGAAACTCGGCTTGGTCCTACCATCCTCCGCTTGTTTGCCAGCCCTGATCGTGCCATGAGAGTCTGTTTACTCGACAACCTACCGATCATGGTAGATCGAATACCTCAGAAAGATATCAACGGGAAGGTCTGGCCGGCCATGACCACTGGATTCACCGATGCCGCGCCCATCGTACGAGAACAGACCGTCAAGGGCGTCCTTTCGGTCATATCCAAGCTATCTGATCGTATCATAAACGGCGAGCTCCTTCGCCACCTTGCGAAAACTGCTAACGATGAGCAACCTGGAATCCGTACAAACACCACCATTTGTCTGGGCAAAATTGCGAGGAATCTGGGCGTCGGGTCAAGGTCCAAGGTCCTCATTGCAGCTTTTACTCGAGCTCTTCGAGATCCTTTTGTCCATGGTCGGAATGCGGCTTTGATGGCTCTTTCTGCCACAATTGACGTCTTTAGCGACGACGACTGTGCCACCAAAATCCTTCCTGTGATCTGCATCAGTCTTATTGACAAGGAGAAATTGGTTCGCGATCAAGCCAGTAAAGCGCTGGACGCATATCTAGGAAGAGTGAGAAAATATGCAGCGACTTTGCCAGACACGGTGCTGCCGCCTGAGACCGCTGCAGCCACGCCCGACACTGGCGCAGCTGCTGCCCCAGCCAGGATGGGAAATCAAAATGACACTAGTTGGGCTGGTTGGGCAATCTCGTCTTTTACAAACAAGATGGCTGGAGCTCGAGGTGAAATGGCTTCATCAGGCGCGACAAATGGTGCAAGCCTGACGCAGACTCAGTCACTGCCCGCATCTGGACGTGCAACGCCGACCGTCAACGTGATCGGCGAAAGGCCCGTTGCATCCTCGCGACCACCCGTACCAACCACCGCCCGAAGCTCGACTTCACTACCTCCAGAACCCGAGGATATCTTCGAAGACGATAACACCAATGCTTGGGGCACAATGGACGATGATGGCGACAACTTCTTCGATGCGTCGGTAAATCAACATGCTAAGACATCGAACGCAGCACCGCTTGCAGCCTTTGATGATGGTGGAGAGCCGGACTTTGCAGGATGGCTCGCTGCCCAGTCCAAAACGAAAACTCCGAAACCGCTGCCCAAAGGACTAGGAAAGCCCGGATCGACAAGTGGAGGTCTGAGCGTGCGACCCACAGCTCCGTCTAGAAGTATATCGGCTGGTCCAGCTGCGGGCGCCAGCACCGTTAAACGACCTACGGTCCCAGCAGCAAGGACGACAGCAACCATCTCTCCAAAGAAAGAGACTAAACCAGAAAAGCCAAAACCTAGCCAGCCGGAGCCAACTGACGATGACTGGGGAGCCGACTGGGATTGAAGATATCAAAAGTGCTTTATTATGGAGTGCTAATATTCCAGGGCATGATTCCCGGGCATATATCCTGGACACGCCATTATCAAGCGAGGAGTTTGGCGTATTGAGACAGCATCGTCGTTTGCTTCCTATACATGACGCCTACTTTGGTGGATCTTCGGCTCGATTTGCTGGCCGCCCTCGCGTGTTCGAAGTACAAGCGGAAGCCGTGCTAGCTGCTTGAAGAGACCAACGGGAAGCTGGTGTATACTCATGCGGGCTCTATAGCATTCAAATGAGGCCCAAGAAATCGAAGGCCATGATGCAGGATCTCTATCAGCATGTGAGTGAATCACAGAGTGAAATCGCCCTTAGTGACGATGGTTCTGTTCACTCATGTCAACACGACTGTTCAGCATCACTGTCAACAGGCTGCCCTGACACTCTAGGTCGCTTTCCAAGCTTGCAGGATCAACCAAGGACTGAGTCGATGAGCACACCAGCCAATCCAGCCAAACCTGAGAAACTCAAACAATCACTACAGCAAGTCTCAGCTGCCAGGGTCCAGCAGGAAGCTGCCATTGCCCAACCAAGAAGGGCCTCGACAGGAGAATGTTGGAGATCAAGAAAAAAGGCAAGCACCGTGGTCCTGCGAAGGTTTAACTCTATATCAAGGGAAGAATTGGTGTAGGACTAGCTCGAAGAACCAAGACCACCAGACAGTATTTGGAAGCGATGAACAACGGAAGGGACCTTGCATAAGCGTAGCCCAATAACGAAGGGTCGTCCATCACACAAGGCGTATCTATGGAAAATCAGTGCCTGAACAGCAGCAGAGCAAGTTGTGGTTGCACACTCTACATCGAGCTCCTTTGCAGCATGCGTAACCCACCATGCGTTTTTGGCACGCTTCCGGATGGCTGGGTGATCCATGCAGTCAATCCGTAGCATGGGAACATTGGGAGCTCCGAAGGTAGACTCGAGGGGAGGAAGGGCTGAATGACGACAAGATTGACCTCTTGATCGAGATCGATCGTGAAGATGCCTTGCAGCGTTGGAAATAACTGGAATCCGGTCTCTGCCTCATGTGAGCTCCTCTCCGGGGCACCTAAGACGACCGATGTACAAGCCTGAGATTCGCATGATAACTTGGGATTGCTCCCACATGGGTCGATTTATCCCGGTCGGGTCCTCGCCAAGATTTCCATGATCTGATTGAATGTCTTATTTTGTTCTGGTTCACGTTCATTTAATTCTTCCATCCTTGACCATCTCCCTTATGGTCTCGATGGACTTATTGACAGCCATCTTTGCGACGCTGAATTCTTTATCCTTTGCTGCGGCCAGACCGGACTCGTCTCCCTCGAGCTCCGGATGTAGCCACTCAAAAGTATATGTCATGTGAAGGTTTCCGTCCCCATCTTCGCTGACCACGTTTTGGACTGTGCTGCCGTTGGGTTGATGAAACTCGACTTTCATCGGTGGGAAGGCGATGCACTCTTCGCGCACACGGCGGCCGCCGTCGCGGAAGACGACTTCCCGCACTGTGACGTCGTTACCGTGTTTGGTCTTCGATGTTGAGATCACATCGGTTGAGGTAATGGCGCCGCCCACGAAGTCTTGACCTGCGCGAACCTTCTTCTCAAGGCCCTGCCAGATCTGAGCGTATGTCAGGACTGGGGATGCGCCGGATGGGTTGATGGGCGCCGTGAAGGCGATGTTGTTGGCTGCTGGCATTTTGTGGTTTGGATCTGGACGTAAAGGCAAGTCGGGGTACGTCGTGGTGGACAGATTATGCTGAGCACTATATACCACTTTTGAAGACGCTAGAGTCCGTACACAATGTGTAACTACTCTCAGTCGGAGATGTAGGAGGTCGAATCGCGATACATACCTAGATGGGGGCCCTGAGGGATGATGCGCAGGCGGGGAAAGCTGACCGTGGCAGGCCTTGGCTAGCCTATCGATAAGGATCAGCCACATGTGCTTTGGGGCGATCTCGGGACACCTCAAGCCGTCAAGCCGGCCTTCAGAAAAAATGGCATCGTCTGACCGCTATTGCTCTTCAGCCTCAAATGGATATCATTACTCATTATCGCTTCAGAAAACTTCTTACACACTTTCCAGTATTGATAGGCAAGAAGTCATCGAATCTATCACATTCACCTACTTGCTGTCAATGCAACTGTTGGAACCTGCTGAACTCCGAATCTAGGCCGTCGATGTTCACAAGAAGATTTCGCTTTTATTCACTACTATTAAGCATTGATTCCATTCAATCTCTGCGATCAATTCTTGAGCGCTTCACTGCACAACTCGAGGATCTCATACATTGCCATCATGAAGCCTCTAGCCGTTCATCATTCCGTCGCAAGTCAGGCCAATGGATCATCCCAAATCTCATCGGAGTCCGAAGACGACTTTACAATGTCTGATGTCGTGAGGCAAATTGGATGAGAAGAGGTGAGTTCAGGCTCTATTCACGATCTTAACATTCCCAACTTCTACGAGCATCGTTCATGGACAACTTTGCTTGTATCGACATGATCGATCCTCTTAACAGAATAGCAGCTGCTTGGTGCATCCATTCAGTCCATAGTATATATCTATATAGCAATGCCGAGTTGCCTGGTCGAGACTTTCGAGACTTTATCCTACCCTCAACACTACTGACATGGTCATATTTGTCTGATAATCAATGTCTGGCTTATCGATATGTGATCTCTGCCTTCTCATTCTGTCGTGGTTTGAGGTCGAGCTTTATCAGTTCAGATGTGAACGAGCCGTGCATTGCTCAAAACGAGATCGTTTGTGGAGAGCTTGACGAGATTCACAACAAGATCAGGATGCGATGCCTGAAAGTACTCCAACGACCAATCGCACCCAGATTCAAGGCGTGATGACCGTCGGCACGGATGCTACAATAGGCTGGGAGCTATGTCTGACAACGTGATCCGATTGCTCACGGGCCCGTGCTGCCTGCACCTTATTATGCTATCCCAGGGCTCCAGCTTTCTGTCAGCAACGGCCGTGACGTTTTCTATACGCGCGAGCCAACAGCACAGCGGGGTCATTCTTATTCAGCATTCTCCATTGCTCTTAAACTCACCAGTGGAACCATACGAAGATGGAAGGGCGCAATCCATTGTCGACAGGCCAGTACAACATTCATTAGTTGTGTGGTTCTTCCGATTGTGTCATCTATACGCACCCACCGAACCATCCATCGCTATGTCCTCAACAGTAGTGATTGAAGACCTTCCTGTGCTGGAGCAGCCCAAGCGGACTCGCAAAACTCACAACAAGGTTAGGACGGGATGCCTTACTTGCAAGTAAGTGGCAGGTGTTTCAGTACGAAAACAATTGACTGACGATCCATAGGATTCGACGAAAGAAGTGCGATGAAGAAAAGCCTCATTGTCGCCGGTGTACGAGTACTGGTCGCAAGTGCGATGGGTACCCGCGACAGTCGCCGCCGCCGTCCACTTCTTCAGCAGAGTCACCTACTCAAGTCTCAGAGCCTGATCCGAAACGCCAGAAGACCAACACTGTCTGCAAAATAGTTATTCCACCACTACCGCAAGCCAACGATAAAGTGAGCACCACTTCAGAGGCTCTTCAACTTCACCGACCTCCATCAAATGTCATGTTCAATACCGACAATGACTTTTACTGCTTCGACTTCTTCCGCTCACGTACGGGACCCGAATTTGCCGCCTACTTTGATAGTTCTATCTGGCGGACCTATGCTGTGCGAGCATGCCTCCAGCATCCGACCGTCCTGGCTGCAGCCGCCGCTGTAGGAGCTGTGCATCGGAGATTCGAGCTAGGAATATCAAAGGAAGCGTTCGAATACTGCGACCTCTCGGACAAATTGTACCAAAAGGCGATGCGAATGCTGTCAAACGATATGGCATCGGACCATCCCAGCGTCGCGGAGATCAATATGATGACGATGAAGCTGTTCAGCGTGTTTGAGACCTTTCAAGGAAATTACGATATGGCGCAGATGCACATGACAGCCGGGCTGAAGGGACTGTTGAGTCAGAACCTGCGCACAACATACAAAGATACACAGTACCGCACTGTGGATCTAACGTACGAGAGTCTCCGCAGACTCTTCCTCAAACTCGAACTGGAATCTGTTCGATTGTTTGGTAAAGTAGCCAAGATTCTGAGCGACCCTGAAGAATCAACACCGGATCCATCCTTGAACCCCTTCGCACCCGAATCCAACTCTTACCTAGCCGACCCAAACCCTTATCCTATCCCACGAGCTTTCACGTCGCTCTCACAGGCGCGCGACGTTTTGTTCACCGAGGCGAAGTGGATATGGCACACCTGGACGCTCTTGGAACAGGGCATGTTGATCGGATCGGGCTTCTCCCGGCATCAGACACACATATCCCGGCTGCTGCAGTGGTCCATGGCCTACGCCGAGTGGTCGAAGAAGGAAGACACTAAACGCAGCTCGCAAGACCGACACGGGGCACATTTGCTCAAGGCGTACCGCGAGGCAGCATACCTCTTGCTGTTGACGCAGATGGCCTTTCACTCGCCGGAGACAGGCGAGGTGATTGTGCCGCTGTGTGATCCTCCCGAAACGTGCGACTGCCACAAATCATGTCGCACGTATGCGGAGAGGAAGGAGGCGTTGAACGCGCATTTCGCTAGGCTATTGGTGCTCAGTGAGAGTATATTCAACAGCTCGTCGTTCTTTGCGTACGAGCAACACTCGATCAGCATGGATAGTGGGATCGGTCCGCCGCTGTATCTCGGGAGTTCGCGGTGTCGGTCGACCAAGGTCCGGCACCAAGTCACGAGTTTGCTTGAAGAGAGCGAAATCCAGAGACGTGTGTGGGATACCTTGGGCGTGTACTCGATTGCGGAAAAGTTGTCGAGCATCGAGGAGCATGCTGTTGTTGGGTGTGGAGCTGTGCCGCACGAGTTAGAGCCCAAGTGGGTGGACATTACTTTCTTTCTGGACGAGAGAAGGGCGTTGCTGAGGTACTGTACGCCCGATAGGGAGGGACAAGCTGCGAAGATCAGAGGGACTGGATTGGTGACAGAGCGGTTTACTGGGAGTGGGAGCGGTGGGTTGGTGTGGACTCAGGAATGGATTGCATTTTAATGCAGTGATAGAGACGGAAGGCATACAAGGTGCTGTATATCATGTTGTTATTGGTTGTTTAGGTGAGGGTTGAAAGCCCAGAAGCCACGAAAGATTTACTTTCCTCTTCTCCTGAAGCCAAACGAACCAGGAGACCTGCTCGAGGCCGCACTCTGCTTCTCTGACATGTTCGGCGCATTAGCCCTGCGACTCCTTCTTTCAGCCTTTCTCCGTCCCGTACAGCAGCACACGCCACAACAAGTGCCAATCTGCATCAGGAAGCCTATCAAATTGAATCCGGTAGCCGTCCACATGAACGCCAGCATTGGCCTGCCCAGGTACGCTTCAATATTAAGATCGGCGGCTGCGGTCGAAACCTTTTGCTGGAAAATGACGAACATGACTGTGGCAATGACTGACCCTGCCGCCGTGAACAGCAGCGCGCCAAATGATAGCAGCGTAATGGGAAACTGTCGGAAGAAGACCCTCCGCGCTTTGTGCTCCCATCGTGGTTTCTGTGAGAATCCCAGTGGAGTAAGGAAGATGCATAGGAACGTCAGGACCGTGCCGACCAGGAAGCAAGAGAACATCCATGCGCTGGCAAGTTTGACTAGATTGAGAATGTTGACAATCTCGGTGGGCAAGGTGATGCTAGCACCGGCGAGAAGCTCATTGAGGATGATCTCGACGGGATTGAACCAGTAAAGGGACGTTGGATGGGAACAGTGCGTGATGCCTTGGCCATTGTAGCCCTCGCAGAAGTCCCAGAGACCGACTTGATAGAAGTCGTGCAGGCCAATAGACTGGGCTATAGAGTTGATGAAGACGGCGTTGGGGACCGAGGCCGGGATGATATTGGCGAGATTGATTTGGAGAAACCAGGTTGACCGGATGACGGCCTTGTTGTTGATGTTGCCGATCTCGACGAGGATCAAGAAGACTGTCGCCAGGAGGTAGGAGATTGCTGTTAGGAGGCGGAGGCCTGTAGGACGGGGGTTGTGGTAGGCTGGAGGAGGGTCATCTTTGGTCGTGGAGATGGGCGTGGATGGACCTGGGCCTTCGGACTGGCGTTTCGAGCGTGAGAATATCCCCATCTTGGCTGAGGCTCACGAGGCCTTCAGTCGAGTCGGAAGGAAGAAATGAGGAGCTCTTAGGGGAGCAGGAAAGGCGTGTAGAGAAGGATAAGAGCCAAGAACGACTGAGGGAGTAGTATTTTTGCACTCAAGTATGATGCGTCATGATGCCGTGCGCTGTGGGTGTAGCATGTGAGGATATGGTAAATTATTAGACTGCCGGCAAGGTCACCATCTCCATGCGCTCGGATGTTTCAGACTCGATTCTTCCTCGTACATAGTGATGTAGTATTTTCTCCAAGATATAATCAACCCAACAATTCGTGGATGGTTTGTCACTGCATTGTGGCGGATTGCAACAGTGGAGCTCAATGACATAATGAGTAGCTTCAAGGAAGACACTAAGCCATATGCAGCTTAAACCTTTGAGGATTGCCGACTTCCCGAAACCTTGTTTGCCCCTCCATATTCATAACATTTTTTCAACATACAGGCATCAGCCATCAACATCAAACTCATTTGTATCGTTCCGCTTTTGCCGGTCCCAGCATCAATACTGCCTTTATTATTCACCAGATATGATTAGGTCAAGAGTCGAGTTGCATAGTAGAGCGGACTGAGGTTAGGATTTGACCATGACGTCTTGATAACGTTGCAGCTTATACGCAGTTGGTGCTCGTATCGCCGACAATATGTCCGAGCGTCCCTCTGCTGCTATTTTATGAGATGATCCCCCAAGAAATCTACGCGCGTCACTTTGTGGACTCGAGGCAAAGGACGAGTTTCTTTTCCTTTCCTTTCCTTTTCCGTCTCCACCTGTCACACTCTGACTTAATCCTCGTACTGTCTTTCAATGTTCCCGGTGATCGCGGTCGATCGTCACTCCAACTCATAAGATAGCATTTCTTTTTTCTCCCATGGCTCAGAGGTTCCAACAATGCTTTCACTCACTCATATGAGTACTCATCCATACACCATACCCCACACCCGGCCTTACTGATGAGGATTCAATACCAATTATTTATCTCTCCACCCAGTAGCCGTGCTGAAGACAGCCGTATATCAACATGAAGTGCTGCCACTTTCTCAGCCTTGTCGGGCTCTCCAGCCTTGCGCTTCAAATATCGGCCCAGTCAACCAGCCAGTCTGAGTCGTCAACAAACTCCAGTGCCGCCACATCCACTGCAGCTGACTATGCTACGAGTGGCATCACCTATATTGACGGCAGCACCACGATCACCTTTGGAACAACCTCAGATTATGCTACAATATCAGATCTATCCAGTGCCATGGCCACCGCCAATGGAACCACCACAGCTTCTTCAGGCAACTCTACTGTCACATCCACGTCCTCTGCCACCGCAACAACTCTCCACGGTACAGCACAGATGACCACGTCTCTCAACGGCACAGCCACAAGAAACTTAACGGCGTCAAGCACTTCCTCTGCAGCAACCGCAACAAACACTGTCCCCTGCAATGGCTATGCCGAGTTCTGTCAGCGCAAATTCAGCAACATCACCCACGTTGCTGCCCACAACAGTCCCTTCATCCGTTCGGGCAATCTTGCTGCAAACCAGCAGCTAGATGTAACCACCCAGCTCAATGACGGTATCAGAATGTGTATGTTGGCTACCCTTCACCGGACTGTGAAACAATACTAATCAGGCTCAAGTACAATTCCAAGCCCACCTTCTGAACGGTACAATGTACCTATGTCACACGTCCTGCGACCTCCTCAACGTCGGCACTCTAGAAGCGTACCTGACCACAGTAACGGCATGGTTGAAGACACACACGACCGACGTCATTACCATCCTCATCGGCAACTACGATGTTGTCAATCCGAACAACTTCACCGCGCCCGTTGTCAACTCAGGCCTGATAGACTACGTCTACACGCCACCCACGATGCCGATGCCCTTGGAGTCGTGGCCCACACTGGGCGCAATGATCCTCAAGCAGCAACGCGCCGTTGTCATGCTCGACTATGAGGCAAACCAGACGGCTATCCCCTGGCTTCTTGATGAATTTTCACAGATGTGGGAGACACCCTTCTCGCCTACCGACCGTGCCTTTCCGTGCACTGTGCAACGACCACCTCAGCAGGCTCCAAACATCAGCGCGCACAGGATGTACATGGCCAACCACAACTTGAATCTCGATGTCGACTTGGCGGGCATCAGTCTACTTGTGCCCTTTTTCTCGTTGCTGAACGAGACCAATGCCGTTACTGGGTATGGGTCCGCAGGTCTAACGTCGACAAATTGTACCGCTCGATGGAATAGGCCGCCGAATTTCTTGCTCGTCGATTATTACAACATTGGCAGTTACAACGGCAGCGTCTTTCAAGTCGCCGCTGACGCGAATAACGTGACTTATAATAAGGCGTCATGCTGCGGGACGTCAGGGACGAGTGCTGCAGGCAAGGCCGGCATTGATGGAAGGCTGTTGACGCTGACTCTGTTGGCGATTGTTGTTTTGGCGGCTCTTTGAGCCCTTCTTGCCCCTTTTGAGACATTATGCAGCAAATCAGTGCTAGTGTACTGTCTCTTGGAGATCTTTGCATAGCCGGTCTGGTTCTGAGGAACTGGTTCTGAGGAATACGGCATAGCGATAGGTGTTGGTTGGAGTTTGTCAATGCTTTTTAAATATCAATAATGTTGATTGTCTTCAGACATCCAATCACACGCTCCTATACTTTGCTAAGTGCCGAGAGTGACGGACAGGAACACATCCATACCACGAAAGTTGGCTAACACCGATGTGGTTGATGCCGATGTACAGGGTACTGGATGGGCATCAATTTCCCGTGCTCAATGTCACGGATTCATACTCGGAAAGCCTGTGGATACCCGAGCCACGACAAGGGAAGTTCCATTGGCCTGTTTCGTAGCATGCATATGCTGAGCCGAAACATGTCGCTAAGTCACATTGGCATCCAGCGAGACACTTTCAGCATAGTCCTGGTCTTCACGCTGCAACAAGCGTGCAAAGATCTCCGAGGCTTTGGATGCCATTTTCCACACCTGCAGCCTTCTCGTCATGTTCACACACAACGTCAAGATCCTCTTCGGCGCATCCGGCGATCTCACGTCTCCTACACCTTCGAGGTAAGTTTTGCCACCCTTCTCGATCCAATCCTTGATAGCCTGTCGAGCTTCCGGCGGGCTGCAGAACGACGGCTCATCCAATTGTACCGAAATGCCAGACTGTGCATCACCGCTCTCGGGATCGAAATATTTGAGGAAAGCCCAGAGCGAAAGACCGGCAAGGAACACCGAGAGTGGCTCGTGCGGCGTGTTGAAAGGATGTCGACGTTGGAGGTAAATGACCTGAGATGCGTGCCACATCAACTCGCGGATGCTTCGAGGATCCTCGCAAAAAGCCGCTTTGATAAACTCGTCGTCATGGGGCGTGGTCCTACCACTGTTGGCGGGGTTGGGTAAGACTCGAGTGGCGTTGTATTCGCCGGCTCTCTTGCGTGCAACCCGTGTGGTGAGCCCAGTCAGCCTTCCAGCCGCGAATATGTGACTGTAGTGCGCGGCAATGGCGATTCGTAGCGCCACACGCAGACTCGTTCCTTGTGAGATTTCCTCCCAACTGCTTTGATAGACTGACATGACCGACATTGAAATTCGCGCTCTCGTTGCGGCCATAACTGCTCGACCTGCACTGTCTTCCCAAAGGACGTTATATACACCGCTCTCCATTTGCTCTTGTATCGACTCAAGGCATCGTCCAAGGCACCGGAGCAGCAGGCGCTTGCTGAGATGGTCAAAGGGCTTAAGGGAGAAGACTATATCCGCGTCTCTGCTCAGCAGGGCACGAAGAGTCTGCATTGTTGGTAGACCTCGAGGCGGTGCTTGGTACGGGCACGAAGCCCAGGCGTAAGCAGTCGGTGCGTCCCAGTGTAACTCTTCGCAGGTGGAGTCGGAAGGAAGTTCCTCAAATTTGATGCACGGCGGCTGTTTCGAGAAGGCGGTGTAGAAACAGTCAAACTCCTATTGAGGTTTCTGGTTAACATTCCAACTCCGATTCTGCGATTGGAGATTCTACACTCACGAAAATGAACCAAATAAGTCTTTTGATTTGCTCGCGCTTGATCCATTCCAGCCAATTGTCATACCTATCCCCAGTTCGTGTGGATGATTCTGGACGAGAAGCGTGCAGACCAGCACTGAAAAGGTTCATATGACGCCCAATCGAAACAAGGCGGGAGCGCGACGAATCGGTCATCTCGAACAGCCGCCTCGACCCCGAGCCGATTGCATGGATATGTTGCAGAAGAAGAGAGATCCCATAGGATGGCGAGCGAAGGAAGCGTGGGTCACGTTCAGCCATCCACGAGGACGTGCGACGGCATAGCTCTGCGAGGTTATCGGCAAAATCCAGCGAACTGTCTAGCCCAGAGTAGCATGCACCGATGTATGCCATAGAGAGGATTTGAATGGTGGGTACTTTGGAGACGTTGAACGTTGGTTGATGAATGATCGGCCACAGCTCGTGAAAGTGTAGAAAGTACAGATCGATCAAATGATGCAGAATATCTGGACTTGGAAGGTTTCCCAGGATACTCACATCCTCTTGCCATGGTATTCGCGTCAGAGGGAGACTTAGCAGTTGAATTATATCTGCTCGTTTGGCGACATCAAGCGTGTCCTTGGCGCCGAAGAATTGTAAGTCTCGCTGTGTTGTATCAGAACCTGTGAGTTGTGTGCTGTTTCGTGCTCTCTGGGAGTCAGTCGAACGTAGTTCAGGTAGGACAATCTTCTGGTCATCCTTGGTTGCATGCCACTCGAATGGCCATGGATTGGAGTCAACGTCCCTTTCCACAGGCACAGGGTCCGCAACCTCTTCCAATGGAGCTGGGTCAGTGGCCTGGCATATCAATGGTGTGGGAAGTGATTCTCCTGGAACTGCTTGGACGTTGGTTGGATCAGGCGCCGTATATACAGGGCCTGTTGGCATGAACGGGACATTCAGTATATCCTGTCCGGACAGCAATCGAAATTGATCGTCGAAGCCTTGCATGTAACTCTCTGTCATACTGAGGCCTGGGATATTCGTGGAGGAGTAGTTCTGACCATCCTCGTTCATCCAGCCGAGAAGCGATACATTACCTGCAAAACCGGGCCATGCTTTCCAAGTCAATGTGACGTCTGCTGGTGCTCGCGAATTGGTACAACTCATAATCCATCGAAAGAAGGCCACTGTTCACGGGAGGACCTCTGGCAAACAATGAAATGCCGTCGGTGCTAACTGGGGCGTTGTTCATAAGGGTCGTGTCGCTGCCATTGCCTGTCATAGGCCAGGTATTGCCGACGTTCATCCCATGCTGAAAAGAGGTTGCTGGTTGGCGCGATGCCGTTGGCTGCGAGGTCCCTGTTGTGAACAAAGGACCCGTTCCCACAGTGTCCTCAAGAGGATCGTCATTCCGACTGGCATTTTGATCATCGTTGTTATCTTCGGGGACAACGGCAGCAACCTCAGAAATTGGTTCTCTGGTTTCTGGTGCCGACTTCTTGGGACGGCCTTTTGGCCTCGGTCTGCTAGTGATTGCATGAATCACACGGAGATGCCGTATGAGCACGTCTCTGTACTTAGCGTTAGCGGCCCCCTAGTGAGACGAGTAAAGAGCAGATGTGAGCAGTGTTTTACCTACCTTCTAGTAAAACGTCGCCCACATTCTGTACATTGATCCTGCCCGCTGTCTCTCTGAGTGTGGGCCGTCAATCGATGTCGCTCCAAATGGTCTTGCCGAGATAAGACCTGCCCGCACTCGTTGCAGACATACGACTTCTTGGTCTTCCCTCTCGCTGAAGTCATTTCCTCGCTGTCAGGCAAGAGTGGAGGTGTAGAAAGGGCGGGGAATTTAAATCTTTGGATCGGTTGAGTCCGCCAGAACATGGTAAAATTATCCTGGTCTGACATTCAAACCTTTCTACGGGACATGTGAGTAGCGTGTTGAGTGCAGTGCCTCCAAAGACATAGCGTAGCCAGACCGTCCTCTTTTCTCGCGGGGTCTTGGTGATGGCCCCTCATATTCTCATCCCCCAGAGACGAGCCGGACCTCCACAATGATGAATGGGAGGAAAGTGTCTCATGCGCTGCGAGCCTTTTTCCACCAAAAGTGGCACTGTCTGACCAGTGATGCTCCTCAATTCGATTGGACACGATTACTCATTGTGATTCTCGAGTCCTTCACACTCAACAATACAGCGTCAGCCTTTCACAGGGTGAAGTCTATCATTCATACCATAGGTTTTCATTTGGCTTTACATCGCGGAAGCCACCATCGGAAACCCTGCTGGACGATGAACATCTGTCGTCAACTTACTCCATGTCAGACGGTGCCACTTTTTCTGCAAACAGGCCTGGCGGATCTAGGGGCATTTGAGGAGCCCTAAGAGTCGCCGGTGAACCTATCTCAGGATTCGGATTGAACTCTCCGATGGGGTTTCTCACTGTCACCGACAAAAACCGTGCCCATCTCCGGCCGAATTGCAATCCCCTTTCTTGCTTGAAGATCTATGCCAGACCATTCTCAGCATCGAGAATTTCTCCAGACTTACAAGTGTACGTGTCCGGAAGAACGCAGAATTTTCGTTGTCAGAGAACGTACGGTCTGGAAACTCCATGAGATAATGGCGCTTGAAGTGGTGTACCAGCCACCCACAGGCATTCGCACGCGACTCGATATCTATCGAGAACATGTGAACAAGCAACATGGCTTGGATTTGCAAAGTTACGATGACTTGCAGGCCTTTTCTGTCGAACGTTCCAATGACTTCTGGATGTCTTTATGGGAATATCTCCCTTTAAAGGCATCAATCCAGCCTACTAGGGCTATCGACGAGTCTTTAACGATCGATCAATTCCCGCAGTTCTTCGAAGGCGCCCGGCTGAACTATGCCGAGAATATGCTGGCGAAGGATGACAACAGCATCGCTCTCAAATGCATCTCTGAAGAGAACTTGATCCCGCAAGAGGTCACCTGGGTCGAACTCAGGCAAATGGTGCAGCGACTAGCGGATGCAATGAGGTCCTCGCACATCTCAATAGGAGATGTTGTTTGCGTGATTGGAGGCTCCACAGCCTTGTCGCTGGCACTTCTGTTGGCAACTGCCTCTGTGGGCGCAACTTTCTCTTCATTTGCGACAGATGCTGGAGAAAGAGTCCTGCTAGATCGTATGGGTCAGCTTGGACCTAAGCTGGTATTCTCGGATTCCACGTACGGATATAACGGCAAGCGCCACGATATATCACAACGCATCGCAAAGGTATACTCTCTGATAGACAAGGCACCCGGTCATTCCCTGGTTTGCACCTCAGAGGGGACACCCGAAGGATGGATTTCACTCGAAGCTTTCCACCAGCGCGGTAAGGGCAGACCGCTAAAGTTCGAGCAAGTACCATTCTCGCATCCACTATTTGTTGGTTTCTCATCTGGTACAACGGGAACACCGAAGGGTATTGTTCACTGTCATGGAGGAGTCGTCATCAATGGGATGAAAGAGGCTTTCCTGCATCGAGACTTTGGCTCAACGAAGGATATCTACTACCATTACTCTGGGATTGGCTGGGTATTGTGGAACATCATGATAGGAGCCCTCATGGCAGGGACCACTCTTGTCCTCTACGATGGCTCGCCATTCTACCCTTCGCCCCAACGATGCCTTGACGCTGTCTTGGAAGCTGGAACTACTGCTTTCGGTGCCGGACCTCGATACTTCTCCGAGTTGCAAAAAGCTAATGTCAATTCACAATGTACGGCCAATAATGTGAAGATGATCCTTTCATCCGGTGCCATACTTACAGAATCACAATCGAAATGGCTGGTATCAGCCTTCGGTCCCGTTTGCCAGATATCGTTCAGTGGAGGGACCGAATTATGCGGCAACTTCACCGACGGTACACTCAATCTCCCTGCATACGCTGGAGAAATGACCTGCAAAGCGCTTGGCATGGATGTTGATATCTTTGACTCACAAGGCAAGCCGATGGCACCTGGCCAAAGTGGCGAACTTGTATGTAAGAAGGCGTTCCCAAACATGCCGTGTGCGTTCTGGAACGATCCAGACAGGAAAAGATACTACGACACATACTTTTCGACGTTCCCCAAGGTGTGGAGGCACGGAGATTTCATTCGACAGAACGCGCAGACGAAGACATTGGTCATTTTGGGTCGCAGTGATGGTGTATTGAATCCTTCTGGTATTCGCTTCGGCACTGCGGAGATCTACTCGATCATCGAGCGGAATTTTGCGGACCAAATACAAGACAGTATCTGCGTGTCGCAGCAGAGACCCCAGGACGAGGTCGAGCGGGTGTTCCTTTTCGTCCGTCTGAAGCAAGGTGATCGCTTGTCTCCTACCCTTGACAGAGCCATCCGGGATCAGATTACCAAGGATCTGAGCCGGCGTCATGTACCTCAATATATCGCTGCGATGCCAGAGCTGCCGTACAATGTCAACGGGAAGAAGCTCGAAATTCCGCTGAAGGGCGTCCTATCCTCAGGCAAGGAATATCTCGCGAAAAGTAGGAGTCCAGCGGAGGAGAAGGCAGTCTTGGAATCGTATTTGCCATACCATGAAGTTGAGAAGTTGTTGGGCCAAGGCAGTGGATCTGTAAAGGCCAAGCTGTAGTCTTGAACATAGCTCAAATCCAGGACAGTGACTGTTCGTGCTCACCGACTTCAGGTAGTGCAATCGAGGCTTCGAGCCAAGCGCTTCTTTTCTATGCAATATAGTCCCTCTTATACGTGACCAGGATCAACCGTTTCCAAACGGTCACACTCAACCGGCCGAAGCGCATGAACTCCATACCCTATGAATTGCACTGGCAATTAGATGCTCTCTGGTCGTGGTTTGACGATGAGCCGTCTCTGCGCGTTGCTATTATCACCGGCGCCGGGACAAAGTCCTTCTGCGCTGGCTCCGACCTCATCGAGATCGACAAGGTCAATACTGCCAAACAATCCGGCCAAGCTGACGCCGAGCCATGGAAACATAGTCATCCGAAATCCGGCTTTGCAGGTCTGAGTCGACGAGACGGCCGAAAGCCGATCATCGCAGCTGTCAATGGCTTTGCTCTAGGTGGTGGGATGGAGATTGTACTGAATTGGTAAAGTGCACCGAGCTCGCGAAAGGTGTGGTGCAGTTGTTAACGACGTCTTGATAGCGACATGGTAATTGCTTCTCCCACTGCATCGTTCGGTCTGCCGGAAGCCCAACGAGGACTGTATGCTAGTGGTGGCGGGCTTCCTCGCCTGCTCCGTACTGTCGGCCTCCCTGTTGCTAGCGATATGGCGTTGACTGGACGGCTGTTCAGTGTTGAGGAGGCTCGAGAATGTCATTTGATCAACCGGATAGCGGCGTCGGCAGAGTCTCTGCTCAGTGAGGCAGTAGAGATCGCTGATAGCATTGCAGCAATTTCTCCTGGTGCAATCGTCGTGACGAGAGCGGCGTTGAGGGAGGCGTGGGAAACTGCTAGCGTAGAGCGAGCGTTCCAACTCACGCACGAGAGGTATGATTCAAAGCTGATGAAAGGCTTCAATGCAAAGGAGGGTCTGGCAGCGTTCAAAGAGAAAAGATCGCCGCGGTGGCAGGGGTCGAAGTTATGAACGAACGGGTTTCACAGAGCCATTGTCAAGATGTGGTTTTTGGGACTACTTTTGACGATCCTGACAACTTTGGGCTCTTCAGTAAACGCCTCAGCAAAATCTCCAGACAGTTGGAGTACGTTCCTCGGCACGGTCGTGTTACCCAAATCGTCTGGACTGCAATATCGCCTGGTCAGGACATTGAGGATAATATCCCTTCTCTCAGTAAATTCTCGAGACAGCTGGACACTGGACACTGGCCAGCCGTCGGTCAAGGTCGACTACTTCGGCTAACGGTCGCCAGTACCATGGCCTCACCCTTGCCGCGTCCGACCAGATGTGGTTGGTCCAGCTGAACGTTGACTTGACTGTGGTCGGCCATTAATATCTGAACATAGTAGCCTAACCTGGCTACGACAGAAAGGCTTACTTTGTAAGTTTGTCATCTACGTTTGCAACAAATAGTGCACCGATGATTGCAAGTCCTAGTATCAAAATTAGCTTCGATCTGAATGGAAGACAAAATCTCCCATTGTGACTCGCCTCCAAAGGCCACAGTGACGCAGTAAATCAGTCTGAAGGCATTCACGTAGACACTCTTCTGGGCTTCCAATGCGAGTTTGATAATGGCTGAAGTGGCACCAGGTACCGAACCAAAGTTTCCTAGTGGTAGTGCCGCTATGAATTGTTAGCTGGACCTAGGAAGGGACGCGAGGATATACACACCTAGAAACGCTGCAAGTGAAGTAGCTGGTAGGCCAGCCTGTAGTAGTGTGCGCCCAATGTCTCTAGCCCATGTGCTTGTTACTCGGTCTGCCAGCAAGCTCGAAAAGATGGCGACGCCAACTGCCCCTCCAGCCGACCGGACAGAGTTCACCAGACCAGTTGCCAAACCAATGTCCTCGTCCCTGGCACCAAGCTGCACGATGAGGATACTCATGCAGTTCGTAGCACCAATCATAGCAGAGGCGAGAGAGACAAGCACAATACCACGGAAGGGAGTGTGCTGGTCAACTGTTGCGATCGTTCCCAGAAAGACGGTCATCATGACCACAACGGAGATGTACTGGTATCTAGTCTTCCGAATGGTCGCGAAAGTCTGGCCGGCCAGCATAAGGCCAGCTTTGTACCAGCTTGTCAGCATCGCTTGAGAGGGAAGGGGGCAGAGCGTTCTTACCGGTTGCAGCAGCGTTAGTAGCCAGACCATACCAGCCCACCGTTCGTGGGACTGTGGTGAAAAGGCGTTGAATCTGCTGTGGCCACAGAACAATCGTACTGGTCAAAGCCATACCACCAGTGAAAGAGACTCCTAGTGGTACGACGACGGCTCTTACGTTGGACATAAGTCGAGGTGGACATAGCTTCGCTATAGTACTGGGGCTGAAGACCTCCCACAGAGGAAATGCCACAAAGACCGAGAGGCCGCCGATGATTGTTGGAGCAAGAACAACGGCGCTGGTCCACGGGTACGGGTTGCCACCAAACCCGATTCCAACGAGGAATACGGTCAATCCACCACCGAAGAGCAGCAATCCCACGAAATCCAATTCGAGAAACTGTTCGCGCTGGGTTTTGCCTCGGGGGTGTAGACCCAGAAAGTCCGGGGGCCAATAGAAGACCAGGATCAGAATCAAGGCCACGACATTGAGGATCAGAGAAGCATAGTATGTCCATCGCCACGAGCCTTGAGCGACAAGATGATACGCTGGGAAGGACGGTCAGTCATGGAGCGAGTGGATTCCCGAAGAGGCCTGAATGCTACGTACCGATTGGTGCGCCAAAAGAACTTCCCGGTAGCGAGACGAGGCTCATAAATGCTATGGTCTGCCCACGATTTTTCTTTGGGACAATCTCGTTGGCCGCTGCAAAGCCGAGTTGCTGGCAGCCGGTGGCAAGTCCCTATCAAATGGTCAATTAGTTCAGTGGCAAACCTTCGAAGCGGCCTACAGCTCACCAAGAAGGAGCTCCCGAGTATGATCATAGATGTATTCGTTGCTCTGAACCATCAACTGGCTATCCAACAGAAATATTGTCAATACAGACCTGCAGGCAACCGCGCAACCAACGATACCCAAGAGATTCCCAGTGACAAAAAAGTTCCTTCGTCCGAAGATATCGCTGCATCGGCCGGCGATGGTCATCACGACAGCACTCGCAAGTGACCATGAGGTGGCCGCCCAGGCGATGTTGCTCGATGGCCCGACTTCTTCGTTGATAGTAAGGAGAATTGCTGCAGGCAGTGCAAAGGAGAATAAGCAGGCTTCATAAGTGACGGCGAGGGCCTGTTCTACTTCAGTCGCTGGAATTGAGTGATCAACAGATACGAACCAGTATGCCCATGACCGTCCGCAGGTCGATGCTTCGGGTCTCATAGGCATGTAAACTATCGTTGCCGACACTGTCTTCTCGGTGATTGACATCGATTTTTTCTTCGTGTGCGGTTGCAACTCCAGGCTCAGCAGCCTTTGAATCGATAATCTCAATCGCCATACTGAGATATAGGCACGCCGATCGAGTATGGGCAGCAGAAAGCAGAAAACATGAGCTGAAGCACAGAATCGCCCACCTTATAAGCACCGGTTTCCCATCATCCCCGCAAGTACGCCTCCGGCAGAACTGGATGCACTACCCCATGGGGAACGTAAGATTTCAAGAGGCCAGACCACGAACGGACTGGTCTCGTGTAGTGCGGCAACAAAAGATCAGAGAGCCGTCCTACCTTGTCTAGGAGGTTACAGGTGTGTCCCTGAAGGGCATGGCGTAAGCCGACAGCAGCTGCGGCAGCTTACTCATCTCTTCGGCTAGATACCGCATTGAGTGGTATGCCGAAAGTAGGCGAAAGCTGGGCTTGCTTCGTGAACTTCGGAGTTGCCTATTCAGCGCCCTTGCCGAGACGCATTATCAATGTAGGATTGCTTACCCATGGCGATGGTGGCGATACGTGCGCACAAGAAGAATAGAGGTCCACGTGAGGTACTCGAATGAAGAAGTAAGTTTAATGCATTGCACAGGTCAAGTCAGCAGAGTGCATTATACGTGTGCCTATATACGATGTTGTGTTGTTAAAAGGAGACTCTGCTGGCACTATGCCGCGCTCTTTCACACACCGTTCTCATCGGTAAATTCAACACCACTACGTTTTATTACGGCAACAACGCTATTGAGCCATGGCCCCGAAACCTGCAATCGTTTTGATCCCTGGATCTTTCACTACTGCAGCCATGTACTATCCTCTCCAGGACATACTTTTGGCTCAGGGGTACGACGTTTACATCAACGCCTTGCCATCAGCGACGAGGAATCCACCAGAACCACCGGCAAGCTTGAGTGACGACGCAAGCTTCTTCGGCAACATCATTGGGACGATTGCAGACCAAGGAAAGGACATTATAGTGCTCGGTCATTCGTTTGGTGGTATGGTCGCCTGTGAATCAGCCAAGGGCCAGGGCAAGGCGGAGCGGGAAGCGAGAGGTCAGCCTGGTGGCATCATCAGGATCATCTTTCTGACTGCTATCGTCTTGCCGGAAGGCCAATCGGTGACTGATCACCAAGGTCAACCGCCAACATCCATTATAGCAACAGACGAGGTGAGTCCTACTTTTCCTCTGCCAGGAACGCGATGCTGACTCTGATAGCATGGATTCATGCGACTCACCGATCCCGCATTTTCCGCGTCGCGCGTGTATGATACCTGGCCAGAAGAACGAGCTCTTGCTTGGGCCAAAGCCGCGCCGAAACATTCAGCTCTCAGCTTTGCAAGTCCTCTCACTTATGCCGCCTACAAGGACATCCCTTCGTCCTACATCTTTTGCGAGCAAGATCAAATCCTGCCCCCTCCCGTGCAGGAACATTATATCAACAACATCAAGGCTGCAACTGGTAAAGAGGTGGACATTCACAAGCTGAGCACAAATCATGCTCCAAATCTGACCGCCACAGAAGACTTGGTGGAGGTCATCCTGAAGATTGCCATTGCTTCTTAGACGAGAGATAGAGGCCAAATCCCTGTTCCATAGACTCAAATAAACACACTCGTTGCGGTGTTCACAGATGTTTTTCACGACTTAAATTGCCATGGCTTCGGCGTAAGACAGATCCATACTTGCCCAGTCAATATCGCTGGCGTCAAAGGGTGCCGACATTAGCACTTCGGAAATGGCCTCGATATTGGATTCCGTAGGATAAAGCATGCTGTCCCCTACGTTTGCAGAGAAAATGTCGACTATGTTGTTGACGCTCCGTCCATTATTCCTTTGCATGACAGTCTGCATAGTGTGCAGCGATGAGATGTTTCCTGTGCTTGTACCTACGGTACTGCCGGATTCCGGCTGAGCCTGGGAGGTGGTTGCTACGTTCCCATGACGGAGTCTTTCAGATTGAGCCCTGTCTTCCCACTCGAAGGACTGATACGGGAGCCCACCACTTGTGACGCGTTCGATGAAGTTCATTGCACAATCCGCAGAATTGTACCTTTTCCGTAATTCTGCCAATGCCTGGAGAGTCTGACTGAGATAGAGTCTTCCGGTGGCCCGTAACTCCGCATCCGTAGATAAAGCGTCTTTGAGGTGCTGTATGGAGGCTGCAATGAAAGCACCCACTCCAACAGGTGACAGACGATGTATTAGGAGCCCCTCGTGCAGATGTCTCCCAATTTCAGAAATTCGTCTGGCGGCAGAGCGGAGTGTGAGCCTGGCGAAATTTTTCAGCGCGCCAGCAGCAGAGTCCTCAGGTTGGGGTTGCAGAAGTAGTGGTCGATGAACGGTGCAAAGAGCAGTATAGTATAGTAACTCCAGGGTGGCGGAATGCACGCCCAACACCGGCCCATTGCAGCGATGATCCCGCCCAAAAGCAGCAGCTCTGATTGAAAATGTCTCAGCATACCAATCCCGAAGCTCCTGGTCGCGAACTACTGCCTCTGAATGAGCAGCTTCAAGCTTTGGTATCAATACCATGAAAGTCTCGCTCGAATCAATTCGTCGAACGCCACACAGCTCGTATTGCGAATCGAGAATGCGTCCAATGATCAGACACAATTTAACTTTTTGAGCAAATAATTGACCTAGGCTCTGTACCTCAAGGTCACACCCAGGCATGTAGTACTTATACAATGCTGGAGCCAAGCCCGCGGTGAGGTCGTCTGTCGATGGACCTGGAAAGACCAGACTGTCGCCCTCGTGGGCATTCTGTCGTCGCTCCGTGACAGAAAGCAGCTTGTCTCTAACGAGACAGCAGTACCACAGGTTTCGCCCCAGTCGCTGTCTCTCCGGCAGGTCCGAAAGGTGATGCTCATTGTCCAAACCTATATCGGTGGCTAGAGACAGGGCAATTCTTAGCCAATAAAATCGTCCCTTTGTATCGTTTTGCCGGCCATACCAAAAAGTCATTAGAAGCAGCACCTGAACCATCGTCGTTGGATTAGACTCCACGTCCATCTCGTAGAGTAGCTTCACACGGTCGAAGAAGGTTTTCCTCGCGTCTTTGTGACTCTGAAACCCCTCATTCTGCAAGTGGCCTACATCTGCAAAGGTGGAACCTGCAAATAATACTGCCTGAAATAAAACCAGGCTTATAGTATCCCTGCTTGTGCCGTCGATAGAGCCGAGGAAACTACCCAGATCCAGGAGTGGCAGCATGGGATACATGTAACAGACAAAACTTCTCAACAGCTCCTGGATCATTCCTTGACTAGGGAGCATGAGTGCACCTCGCCGTCGTAGTAGCTGCAGAATGTCATGATCAAGATCTTCGGGAAGAGGGGTGATGTAGGGTGGCAGCTGATCTTCGTCAAGTGACGGATGCACGTCCGACACATTGCCTTCTCCGGGTTCAGGAAAATGGATCTGCGTAGCATTGGTAAGGATGTTGTCCGGCGTGACTGGCTCGAGGTCGGTTGCACCAGTATCGATAGTCTCGTCATTGATCGCATCGCTTGTGTCAGGCAAGTCGATCCGGAATGTGTGCAAATTCGCTGGGGGCAGGCTGTGCTCACTAGGGCGCTGCTCTAGCCTTCGTTTTCGTGCACTGTCCACGCAGCAGATGGCAGAGGCTCTGGAGCAGTTCGAACATGGAGTTCCTGTCCGGGTCACATCGCAGCGTACTTTTCGATTCCGACAAAGAGTACACGCTTTCGGCGCTCTTCTCTTCAGCATAGCAACAGCGGCTCGACAATTGCCAGAGGGCATCTGAGTGCCAAAGAAGGAGAGAGGGAAGGGAATCTCGGGCCGGCGTTCGGGAAAGGCTGACACGGATTCAGCCTGGAAAGCGACTGCAAGAATGTGTTCATGGTAAATCTTGGAAGCTGTTAGCAACGTCGGATGGGACCGCTCATTGCGTTGGAATTTGGAAATGGTTTTATGTTTGGTTGGAGCCCTGAGCTCTCAAATTTTGTGGTACTCCGATGATCATCTCCATATGGACCAGGCAGCGAGAAACGAAAAGGACGAAGTGTAAACAGTTCTACTTCGTAATCCAGCCTACTCCCTTACAAATGGGTTCATGGACCTCGGGAGTGAAGCCGTTCCAGCCGTTTGGAGACCGCGCTTCGGCGCAATGTTAGAACACAATCCAGCCAAAATGCGGGGTCGGCCAATGTTTGCCGGTCAGTGGTCCCTTATCGTCCCATGGAGAAGATGTGATGCGATCCGCCCCAACATCATTACCTCTCGAGTAGTTAGACATTACTCCAGCGGGGAAGCACAGTGCAGTGACACCAGTACAAATTCGAAAGAGACATCAACTTCTCAACTGACACTACCAATATGGCATCCTCAAAAAGGTTTGCAGTACCGGAAGGTGCAGTCGCGCAGGTGCGTATCATCGATTCAACCACCAGCATCAAGGGCATTGAAACAGAGCACCTCATGGGCCCTGCAATGCCTGGAATGCCTGCCATGCCGGAGATCCCAACATGGTCATTCTTGGTCGAGAGCAAGACAGGACGCAAAGCACTCTTCGATCTGGGAGTTCCACCCAACTGGCGCGATTTCTCACCCGCTGTCACGGAGCGTTTGTTTGAAGCCAAATGGGAAATCTCTGGCGAGAAACACGTCGCAGATATACTGCGAGACGAAGGCGTAGATCTTTCATCCATCAACAGTATTGTTTGGAGGTAAGTTAGAGAACCTCAAGAGGCTGAACCGGGTTTGAGCATGGAAGCTGACACAATCTGTGCTTCAAGTCATTGGCATTGGGACCATCTGGGTGACCCGTCAACGTTCCCTGGGTCTACAGAAGTGGTCGTTGGTCCAGGTTTCAAGGAAGCTTTCTTCCCTGGTTACCCTGCAAAGCAAGACTCTCCTGTGCGTGAGAGTGATTTCGCGTAAGTCATACTTGCTCCGGCTGCTAGACTTTCTTGAGCTCATTCGATCTCTTGCAGAGGACGCGATGTGCGGGAGATCAGCTTCGAGGGAAAAGAGGTTTTACAATTCGGACAGCTTCGGGCAGTCGACTTCTTCGGCGACGGATCCTTTTACTTGGTCGACACGCCCGGTCATGCTGTCGGTCATCTTGCGGGCCTGGCTCGAACCACTCGGGACACATTTATAATGATGGGCGGTGACCTGTGCCATCATGGTGGTGAGATTCGTCCATCAGAATTGCTCCCTCTGCCGACCGAGATCCATTTGTCTTCGCTGAAACACTACCAAAACGGCATCTGTCCTGGTGCAGCGTTCGAGGCAATCCAGAAGAGTCGTTCCAGGGCGCCGAACGAGCCATTTTTCGAGCCGACGATGGGACTTGATATTCCATTGGCGATTCGTACCATCAAGAAAGTACAAGAGGCCGATGCACAGGATGATGTGCTGTTCATTTATGCACATGACACCAGCATGAGAGGAATTGTCGATTTGTTTCCCAAGCCGGCCAATGACTGGAAGGCAAAGGGATGGCGGGAGATGGTCTATTGGAAGTTTCTGGAGGATTTCGAGGGAGCGCTGCAGGAACAGCAGTAGTGATGGTAGAAGCTAGAGAAATTTGCATAATACCCTTCAGCCCATGTAGGCCTTGCCTGTGGCATGTCGATTGCTCACTAGACTGCGCCTCATTAAGTTTCTAATGCCAGGGAGCTTGAGAATCTCGTTATGCTGTTGAAGAGCGCGGTTTGCGAAGCTTTTCTTGCCAGATGAAGGTTGCTACACCATAGTATCCAGATCTCGCCGGAAAGATGAACCGATAGTCCAAACGGTGTGATCCTTGTCGAAGCATGGCTCGTATCCAAAATGCACTGCCCTGTCATGTCAAGGACCTGATCATCCTCGTTCATGTTTCGTGCTTCGCAGCAAAGGCTTTGTTTCTAAGGTTTGTGAGATGAACCCCCTGAGTGCCGCCCATCGTTCAGTCGTCGACGGGACTGCTGTTCCGACGCCCTTTGCGTCACCTTCGTTCTCCTTGTCAGCACCGCCTGCTGGCCGCGGAGCAGCAAGTTGCGCCATGTTTTTGGCAAATCGATCTCTTTCGCCCTTGTCGAGCTTTTCCCGTCTTTTCAGGGCACCCGGCTTGGACTTCATGCTATTTCGCTTGATGAAGTTGACTTGATCTTGTGCCCTTTCGCCTGCTGCGCCTGGTGCTGTTGTGTCGTCGTCACCGTCACCTGTAGGCAAGGCGTCAGCCAAGGAATCAAGAGTTGCAACCAACTTCTTGTCCGGCCTCCTGCGTCTGGGCTTCTTCGACGATGATTTGGTGACCTTATTCAATAGCTGTTCATGTTTGATGCGCCGCTTGTCCTTTTTCGAGGACGGGAAGAGGGATTCTTGTGGAGTGGCAGAAGTCGATGACTTTTTGAGGATGGACTTTGGAGGGTTCGCAGTCCGTGTTGGAGGCGCCTGGAGGAATCAGCGACATGACAGGCACTTGTGTCTTCACTCTTACCATGACTATAGAGAAAGGATGAGTACTGAACCGGCCACGACTGGTCGCGTCGTTCTCGAGCGGTCAACTTTTTTTTTAATTAAAAAAAATATCCAGAAATGCTTGCTTATCGATAACGAGTCCTCTAGCTCTAAGTTACCCTTGCCCCCTCAGGCTAGTGTAGTGCCTTGCAGTTTTTACCCCAAACTCTGGGGGCGCTGAGTACGAGTACGAAGAACGCAGCCCAGGGTGTTTAGGAACCTCCTTTATTCAAGGTGGACCAAGGTAAATACGATAAAAGTGGTTGGGGAATTTGAAATGTGTCAAAATTGCGGAGACCACTAGTATTACATACGGTACAAGGGCAGTCATGATGACCAGGCCACTACTGTCATGCTACCTCAAGCCGTAGCATCAGTTTTTGAGTCAACCTCAGCCTTTAGATCATGCAACCTCAATCTCAACCCGCCATGCGGCTTGATAGTGAGACTTCCTCCAATCTCGACCTTTGCATCTGGATCCGCGACTTCGAACCGGAACCTCTTTATCAACGTTGCTAGCAAACACTTCATTTCCAGACGCGCGAATTCTCGTCCAATGCAGCTTCGCGGTCCGTGAATGAAGGTCATCAGATGCAATGGACTCTGGGCTCCGCCATTTGCGGCATTTGGCCCGTTCAACCACCTGTCCGGGTTGTACTCGTGGGCGTCGTCACCCCAGAGAGCAGGGTCGCGATTGATGGCCCAAGGAGCAATCAAAGCAGGTGTGCCAGCAGGAATGTGGTAGGGTCCGATCATGGTTGGTCTGACAGAATTGCGGACCGTTGCGGTTACGGACGGATGGTGGCGTAGAGTTTCGTTGCAAACTGCTGTGAGATAGGGCATTGTCTCGGAGTCGAACGTCGTGGCGTCAACTTCTGAAGCGGGCTTGTCGGCCAGATGGGCGTTGCATTCAGCTCGCAAGCGTTCTTGTATCTCAGGATGCATACAGAGCAACCAGATCGTCCACGTCAACGCGGATGCAGTTGTATCGTGACTAGAAGTGTTAGTTTGAAGATATGGGAACTCCGGAAGGGGGCAAGATTTTCCAAGGAAGGGGGCCAAACTCACCCTGCAGCAAGGAAAGTGAGCAGTTGATCAACGAGATAATCATCTGAAAAGTCGCCAGACCTCATAATGGTAGCAATAATGTCTTTCTGCTGCTCTGGCTTGTCCAGCATCATCTGCTTCTTTTCTCTCATCAAGGCACGAGCATCCTCCCGTAGTCGGATACGCGCTTCGTCGAACCTCGCGTATACTGTCCCTCTCAAGCGCCGAATGAACCATGCTGGCATCCATGCCGTAATGAAATAGAACAGCAGAACCGGGCCTCGGTTCTCGTCCGTCAGAGTAGCATATAACTTGGCCAGCGGATCCTGGTCGTTCTCAATCGTCTTGAAGTCTTTACCTACACCCGCCGCACCGATAATGTCGAGCGTGACATGAGACATTTGGCCCATAATTTCCACCGAGCCGTCGGCAGACTGTTTGGTTTGACGGGCTAGCGAGTCTGCAAAGTCCGAGCCCTTAGTGTAAAACAGGGGGACGAGATCACGTATATGTCGCCCGGAAAAGGCTGGGGCGACGGCCTTTCGCATGGCTTTGTGTTTATCGCCTTCGGCGACGATGAGTCCTTCGCCTATCGTTCGCCCAATGAATTTGTTCATTTCTGCCGGTTTCTCCCAGTCGTAGTTATGCGTGTTTAGGAGGTCCATTAGTGTGTCTGGTCGCGTTGGCATAACCTGAGCCCAGAGGTAGAATGGAAGCCACGCCACAATGAGACCATCATTGGGGGTGTTTTTGAAGAGGTTGGTGATGATATCCGTTGGCGGCCTTCCTCCGTTGGTATCGAGATGGCATAATGGGAAGTTCTCGCCTGGTGGTGATGGTACATAACGAAGAGGGTTGGTGAAGAAAGGGATGGTGATGCGAGTGATTATCCAGTACCACGACACGGCGGTAACAGCAAACCACGCTGGATGCACCCGCCTGAAGTATTGATGGTCGATCAGATACCGCACAGCCAGGTACGTAGGTTGGGCAAGTGCGATGGTTGAGTGTGTGAAAAAGGCTCTCCAGGGATGTCGCATGTTGGTGACAGTGCTAGGGTTTTTACCTGTTGCCGTTCAAGATTCCAATCTTGTAGTCCTTTTCAGCTCAATGAAGGCGGTCCTGTTGTTGAAGCTGGACTGTGCAAGATCAATCATATCAAGGGGTTTTATCATCAGAGTCCTTGTATAATCGGACGTTGTCGGGCAACTAAGAGGTGCTCGAGGGATGCCTGATATTGTGGCACGGGGCACTTACTGTCTGTGAAATACGAGTACGATGTCGTTCCTAACTTAGGCGTGCAGTCCTGAGGACAGGCCAATTAATAATGGCTGGCCCAAGATATTCCGCAACATTTTCGATTCCTGATTTCTGGTTGCTGCTCTTTGCTGTGACTCATGACGGCGGGAATACGAATAATACCTCATCAGGGCGATAGGGACGGCCAGGCTAAAGCCCAGCTATATCACGTTCAATATTACTGTTTTCCTGTCGTCCAAAAGCTGAACACCTTATCATTCCGATGCGTCAAGGATCTTCCTCGGCTACTGTTTGTGCGGGAAATTCGACTCAGCCGGGTAGTTTCGAGACCTTCAAAAGATGCAACGGCTTCCGCCTAACTTACCTGGAAAGGTCTATCGCCAGCGAGCCAGATGGTGACAACCCAGTGGGCAGGAAGATAATGATAGAACACTTGAACATGACATGGGTACGTACAGGTTAGCGAGGTTTCTCTACCGAGTATAGTCGTTCAAAAGCAAAACCGATGATGTCAAACAACCCTCAACAATCTCACGGTGAGTCTCGGCAGACAGAGGTGAGCACCATCATGATGAGCTCTCCGGTCGGAGTATCTTTCTCGGTACATGTCTTCGCCATTTGAGGATGATATTTGAGGCTGCTGCGCATAATCCGGCCGCATCAAGCTGACGAAAGATAGACCGAGGGTTTATGAGCTTAGGCTGGCTGAACAGCTGACAGAGAGGTCACATTCAGACTGTCAAGTACAAGCTACCCGTCGACAAACAGCGCTTACAGTACTTACCTAGGTAGTGAGTGGAATGAGCCTAGTCGAGCGTTCAGGCTTCAGCTAGGTAAAACGCCTACCAGTTTGGGATCATCCTTTTCTCCAGCCTGCCAGGCCTCATGAACCGGATTTGACGTCGTTCTCGGCGAGTCAATGCCGCGGCCCGTAGTGGGAAGAGGAGCTCCAACCAGCTGGAAAGCTGATCCTTCCAAGGCCAATTCCCGGACCTGAAACTCTGTCTGCCCCGCACCGACTGGCGGGGAGACAACAAGAAAGTGCCCTCTAGTACGAGTACTCGATGTACATATAGCCACTCACTGGTCCATCTGCGACCTTCCACTCCCTCTTCTTCCTTAGCCGTACCACACAAGACACAGAAAGTACAAACACGACAGCAAGCACAACGAGCAAGTCAACCCAGTCCAACACCGCGACAATGACAGTCCACGCAACAGTTCTCTACCCCAATGAAGCCGACACCAAGTTCGACATGGACTACTACCTAAACAAGCACATGCCGCTTGTTATGGAGAAGTTCGGCAAGCACGGCCTCAAAGGGTACCAAGTGACCGAGTACAAGCCCGGCGATGACGGGGCTAAACCTCCTTACTGCACCGGATGCACTTTGATTGTAAGCATCTCTCTTCTTTGCCCACTGCCACGACGCTTCACTCTAACATGACCGGGACAGTGGGACGAAGCCGACCATCTCAAGGCCGCCCTGACCTCCGAGGAAGCCGGGCCAGTTTTCGGCGACATCACGAATTTCTCGAACAAGCAGCCCGTCTTTCTGGGCGGTGAGGTCGTGGGACAAAAGTAAGCACACAAATGCAGATGAACTATGGCCAAGAGCAGCGGAAGAACATAGCCAGTGGCAGAACATGATGCAAGAACACACAATATTTCATATCTCTAACCAATATATGAGCCATGAGGTGGACTCCAAGAAGTAACATGTCTTGATACACAAAATATACCTACCCTGATGAGTAGACGAATTCGAAGGTGACTTGGTTCAGTTCTCCTTCGCTCCCCAAGCACCACCGCCAGGCGTCATGATCACGACGCGATCCCCTCTCTTAGTCTTGACCGTATTCTTCCCACCCAGATTCACTCTCCTCTCCTCCCCCGTCTCTTCATCCACGGTGACCCACAGATTCAGACCCTCTTTCGCAGGCCCTCCGCCCTCCATGCCATAAGGTCTGTGTACCCTCCGCTCACTCAGGATCGAACACTGTACAGGCTCAAGGAACTCGATCTCCCGCACAACGCCATCACCACCAGGTCGTGCCCCTACACCGCCTGAACCATGCCGTATCGAGAACTGTCGCAAGATACAAGGGTATCTCTTCTCCAGAATCTCCGGGTCGGTAATGCACGTGTTCGTCATGTGCGTGTGCACACCACTCTGGCCATTCCAGGTAGGCCCTGCTCCTGCTCCGCCGGCAATGGTTTCGTAGTATCCAAACCCATTCACGTGTGTGCCATCAGCTTCGGACTTTCCGCCCGTCCCGAAAGTGAGGTTATTGGTGTCGCCCTGTGACGCGGCACAGGCGCGGAACGCTTTGAACACGACGTCAGTGATGCGCTGGGACGTGAGCACATTCCCACCGACGACGGCGGCAGTGCGGGACGGAGAAAGTAGAGACCGAGGTGGGACTTTGATGGTAATGGGAGCCAGACAGCCTTGGTTGAGAGGGATGTCGGAGTTGATCATACATCGAAGGCAATATATGATTGCCGAGTGCGTGATGGCCACAGGCGCATTGGTGTTGCCGTAGACTTCCGGGCCCGTGCCTTCAAAGTCGAATGTAGCTAAGCCAGTCTCTTTATCGGTCTGGATTCTGAGCTTGATTGGTGTGCCATCATCCATGTAGTCGACCGCTTCCAAAGCTTGACCACCGAAACGGGCGTGCATCTCGCGAAGAAGATTGCGAACAGCTGTTTCGGCGGTGACTTGGATGGCGTACATGTACGCCTGGACACACGTAAGACCATACTCGGCAATCAGGTTCTGGATGAGTTGAATGCCACGAGTGTTTGCTGCGATCTGGGCCTTGAGATCCGACAGGTTATCATCGAGACACCTCGTTCCCGAGCAGCCTTCGTACTTGCTGGGTTCGTGGAGCAGGAGTTCCGTCATCCTTGCCTCGTCGAAGACACCGTCCTTGACGATCTTGTCAGCCTCAATAGCGGCACCTTCTTGCCATAGTTCCGTGGATTTTGGAGGCATAGATCCGGGCAGCAGACCACCGATGTCCGCATGGTGACCTCTGGACGCAACGTAGAAAACGATCTCGGATCCTTCCGGACGATCGAAAACAGGCGTAATAACAGTGATATCAGGAAGGTGAGTGCCGCCGCAGCTTGGGTGATTCGATACGAGGACGTCGCCGTCTTTCAACTGTCCTTTCCAGCGATCATGCTGATATCGTACTGCAAATTGCATAGACCCCAAATGGACTGGCACGTGTGGAGCGTTGGCCACGAGGCCCCCATCAGGTGAAAACAGTGCACAAGAAAAGTCAAGACGCTCTTTGATGTTTGTCGACACGGAGGTCTTTTGTAAGGTTCTGCCCATCTGTTCGGCGATGGACATAAACCTGTGCCCGAAGATCGACAACCGAACAGGATCGATCGGTATGTCATTGGTAGACTGCGCAGCGATGGATGATTGTCGTTGTCGAGAGTTCCCGCCCTCCAAGTCAAGCACGATGCACGTTTCCAAAACGCTTGCGAGCGCATTGGGTGCCACCACAATTGTCTGCGTCTCATCGATGATGATTGCCGGGCCACTGACTTGGGTGCTCTTTTCGATGCTTTTGAGCAGATATACCGGTGTATCGACATAGCCTGTCGACTCGAAATAGACTTGGTTGATTTCCTGAGGAGACTGTTGAATTGCTTTCATACTAGCATCTTTGAGCTGCTTGGCTGGGCTCTTCTCAGCATGTCCATTCGAGGATGCAGTTGAACGAACACGAACATCATCCACAAGGAGCGGCTTCTCAAAGGTGAATCCAAATTCCCGGCGATGCCTCTCCTTAAATTCTGCAGCGAAATCCCAGGTGTCTTCCGGCTTGACGATCATCAGGTTAGTATCTGAGCCTTCGTAGCGCATGTTGAGGTAGAGTTGATGACGAATCTGGTCCAGTTGGAAGCCTTGAGCAATAAGATCCGTTGTCGATTGGGCAATCAAGCCTTCAAATTTCTTGCGTAAGCGTGATTGAGATGAGATATACTCGACTGAGACAGGCTCCTGAGCTTCCTTGACCACGTCTGCCAGCGCAAGTCCGTAAGCAGATAGCACCGACGAATATTTGTGGATAATGATGCGGGAGATCCCCAAGGTCGCAGCGACTGAGCAAGCATGTTGTCCACCAGCACCGCCGAACGATGCAAGATAGTGCGACGAGGTCTCAAATCCGCGAGCCTCAGTCAGATTGCGCACAGGGCGCGCCATAGACTCATCGGCAACCTTCAGAAATCCCGACGCCACCTCTTCTGCAGTAAATTGAGCTCGACCTTTCTGGGTCTGTTCGTCGTTGATGGCATTAGTGAGCGCTTGGAACTTGCTGGCAGTGACATCCCGATCGAGGGGCTCATTTTCATGAGGTCCGAAGATCTTTGGGAAATATTCAGGGAGTAGACGGCCAAGGAACAAGTTCGCATCCGTGACGGTAAGAGGGCCACCTTTTCGATAGCAAGCAGGACCTGGGTGAGCCGAGGCCGACTCAGGCCCTACCAAGAAGAGACCGTTGCGCCAAGAAAGTATAGATCCGCCACCAGCAGCGACTGTGTTGATATCAAGCTGAGGTGACTGAATCGAAACGCCAGCAATAGTGGCTCCGAAAACGTGTTCGAAATCCCCACCGAACCGGCATACATCGGTCGAGGTACCACCCATATCAAAGCCTATGACCGGGACTCGTTCATTCTCGTCCCAGCTTGTCGCAGCAAATCCAACCACTCCTGCGGCTGGTCCAGAGAGAATGGCTTTCAGTCCACTGAAGTTTCGGAAGTCAACCAATCCACCGTCAGACTGCATGAACTCGAACCGACAGCCTTGTGAATTGTCGAGTCCACCCTCAAAGTTCGCATCGATAGAGTCAATGTAACTTTTGATCACAGGTGTCAGGTACGCGTCCGCTGATGCCGACATACCTCGGGGTACGACCTTGATCATGGGCTGTAGACGTGCTGATAATGCGACCGAGAATCCCATAGATAGGGCAAGTTGGCCAATTTTCACTTCGTGCTCAGGGTATGCATAGGAATGCAATAGTGCCACGGCAATTGATCGGAAACCGTCGTCCCAAAGCTGCTGAAGCTGATCACCAACTTCTTCTGTGTTAAGCTCCCTAAGCACCCGGAAGTGCTCGCCGGTCGTGCCTTGTACTAGGCGGCATTGAGGGTATCGGTACGATCGGCTATCTTGAGGGCATGGAATAATACGCTCGTCGACTTCGACGACCTTGTCATACAGAACTCCAGGCTTTGCAGCGGATAGGTCAAATATCTTGGGCCTGGATTGATTTCCGATTTGCAACAAGTCTCCGAAGCCTTTCGTGGTGACCAACGCAGACTTTGCACCTTTTCTTTCGAGGAGTGCATTTGTCGCAACTGTCGTACCCATTCGGAGTCGCTCAATGTGCTTCAAGCTGAGAGGCTTGCCCCTAGGGAAGTTCTCCCCAGTCGCCAATTCGAGAACACGGCGAATACCTTCAGTAGGGGCATCTTGATAGTTGGCAGGATCGACTGATAGAAGCTTCAAGATGATATCTGACTTTCCAGGCACCGAAGCGTGAACATCAGTAAAGGTGCCACCTCGATCAATGGATACTCTGATTTTTGAGTCTCCTGCCATGGCTGTTGCGGTGAAAAGATGAATTCGGGCAGGCTACCATCCATACCGGCGGGGATGGCATCTCATATAGCTCCTTCATCGACATGGCGGGTGGAGAGAAGGCCGACATCTTCACTTGTAATATGCCAGCTAACAATTGCTTATGCTATCGTTCGAAGGGAACAGGCATCGGTGTCCGGTCTCTTTGAGCGACATACAAGTCGACCACGACAACGAGAAAGATAGGTTTTGAGGCTAGGCATGTGGAACCCGAAATGTGAGGGTTATTTGAATCGGGAGAGGCTCCCTAGCGTCGGCTGTCGATCGCTGTCGTCTGACGTGCTCCCACTGTCGCGATTGTGACCCGTCCCCGGAGAAGTGCGATAGGCCTTCATTGGTTGCCTTGACATATTGCAGGCCTCGCGGCATCGAAGTACTCCGCATGGGTACTCGACGAACTTCCATTCCCAATTGTTGCTTGAAGAGGCAGACAATCATCTGTCGTGCATCATATCACATTTCATTTGACACAGGTACAAGGCCAAACGCGGACTGCCTTAATCTAGCTTTCAGTCATGGCACCCACTGCCATCCATGAAACGCTGGGTGTGACGGCCTCGAAAAAGCGTCCAGATGCGGACTCGGCGACTCGAGAGACAGGCGAAAGCATCCGTCTCTCTGCGCGCTCAGCAGCCTACACCAAACAGACTTCCGGTGCAGCACCTACCTACATTCAGGCAAATCTGATCATCCTTCCGTCCAAATATGCTTCAGACTTCCGTATTCTTTGTCAAAGAAACCCCGTGCCATGTCCGCTACTTGCGGAGTCTGCGGCCGTTGGAAGCTGGGATGCTCTGCGATCTTGGATCCCTGGTGTGGAAGGCACGGATATCGCAGCAAACGTCGACCTCCGTCATGATTGTCCAAAATACATGGTCTATCAGGATGGCGTTCTGAAGACCTCTCACTGTCTGAACATCGAAGATAAATGGACTGAAGATCACGTTTGCTTCGTCATTGGTTGTTCCTTCAGTTTTGAGACCGCCCTTACCGCCGCAGGCCTGATGCCTACGCACACGGCACACGGGAGGAATGCTCCTATGTACCGAACAAGTTTACCGCTCTGCCCAGCCGGCGTTTTCATGGACGCCACATATATTGTATCAATGAGGCCGTATCGAAAGAGAGACATCGAGAAAGTACGAGACATTACCCGTCCATATGTTGCGACTCATGGCGAACCCATTGACTGGGGTTGGGAAGCTGTGGCCCGCCTCGGAATCAAGAACATCAGCTTGCCCGACTATGGCGAGGCCCCAGTCAATCCAAGTGGTACCGAGTTGTGCCCCGGAGAAGGCAGTGGTGACAAAGAACTCGTCCCTGTGTTCTGGGGATGTGGTGTCACACCACAAGAAGCCGTCCAGAGAGCTGGCCTCGAAGGCACAGTTTTTGGACATGCTCCCGGCTACATGCTTGTTTTGGATGTGAGAGATCGGGACATACTTCAACATTAATGGAATTTCGTATCTCTGGCTCCGCATTGAGACCATTGCACAGGACCTCTGCATCATGCCCAGACGAAGTTATGTGTCTTCGGTGTCCCAGCGTCAGAGTCCAGCGTTGTGATATGCTTCATGACGTAGGGCATTCTCAATCCAGCCAGTGTTCATGTCCACGTCGATATCCAAATTGCCAGACAACTCCTCCCAGAATTTCGGGTCTTCCTCTATGTCAAAATTGAAAGAAATATCTTGTAATGGTTGAAAACTATTGTCGAATTGTAAGGCATTACCCAGAGGTTGCGAAGGGACGTCCAGGGGTAGTGTCATCGTATTATAGGGATTGCACATACTCGATGCCTGCGCGCTACTCGACATGACAGATGTGGGCACGTTTGGTGGGTAAGGCGATGCTCGTGGTCCGATATTTGACCGAAGATTCATCAATAGCGATAGACGTGCTTCAATGTATTCATTGCCCTTTGCAGCCATGCCTTGGAGGACTGAAAGGGCGGTTTCCATGGCTGTTGCGTCCTTTTCACTGTGGGGAAATGCAACATTGACCATCACCAATGTCAGTGTGGCTGAGAAGGCATGCTCTCCATCCATGAAGCCATAAGTCGCTAGGTATGTCAGCAACCACTTCCAAGTTCACAAACAAGATACCAACTTACCAAACAAGTGTTGACTTGCCGCCGCGTTCATGACCAATGTACTCGCCCGGGCAGCTCTGATAGACGTCTCGATTATGGTGACGACATTTGGCGACAATCCTTCTTTCCAGTCGGAAGGAGCATTCCCTGTAGCAAGTGCTTGGAGTCTTCTTTGGCAGACATAGAGCAACATTGGCCGGGTCGTCATATTGATGCATTGATAATAGTGGAGGAATGTCGAGATGCCTTCACGGGAAAGGGGCCGGTCCAAGGCAGAAAAGTCGATCCTCAATTCAGCCGGTATCTTGCTCAACCATGCAGACAGGTCGTTCATGATACTCTGCACCGAGGCCAGCAGATTCGTGCCGGTTTTGTGCTTCTTTCTGTAGATACCTTCTCCGATCTTACCCAATATGCGGGACAATTGCGTATAGTGTGCCAATACTCGAGGCGGGGACAGGTTGGAGTCAATTCCAGGGATCGGACTTGGCCATGCCACGTCAATATCTTCATCGTGAATTGAGATCGGATTGCCGGATTTGACTGAGATGATGCGATCCATGCTGTATACTGACCACCATACTCTTCTGCGGTGTTCTCGTTCCGCAACGTCCATCATAGGATCGTCCACTTCTTGATGTAGTCCCAGTGAAATAGCCATTCTTATGGCCAACCCAATGTACAGGAAAGCGGCGTCTTTTCGGTTCAGATTTTGCATATAGGGAGCAATGAGACTCAAGACCTCGACGAAGAGGATGGAGCCTTCTTGGTGTATATCTGGAAGAAGCCATAGTGCATGCTTGAAGTATTGAAAACCTGGAGGTCCGTCATTACCTGACCACTGGTTGACCGAATACATCTGCCCATATGCAAAAATGAGCAGTATCTGGCAATACGCAAGACATTCTTCTCGATTCATCAGGTCCGGAGGACGAGAATACGCCTGTTGCAGCCTTTTCTCGAAGATGTCTGGTGGCAAGAATGAGAATATTGTCCCAATGTAGATATATTGTGCTCCATATAGACTCTTGGCAAATTCGTAAGGAGGGAGCTGCGGCATTATAGGCTTCTGCGGCCGTTGTAGAGATGATGGGTCTTTGTACATTGGGTGGACGTCCCAGGCCAAGTTCGTGTCCGTGGTTGGATTCAGCTTTTGAGCAAGGTATGTTGAAGATGCTGTGCCGACGTAGCGATGTTCTCCTGAACGGCTGAGGAGTAAAGTGTCCATGCCTTTGTACCACCAGTCGTCATCTTCTCTCGGTTGGTCATCTTCGGTTGTTGCAGGCGAAGCGGTGCTATTCTGCCTGGATCCGATAACTGCACATTGTCAGGACCAGCACCAACTTCGCGTATATGTGTGGATTCGCATGCTTTCACAAGAGAACTTGGTGCAGGAGGCCTTACATTGATCAGCTGCTTGTGCGCGTGCTTGAAGGTCTAGGAGGACGCTATGCCTATCAGTCTCTCTCTAACGTCAAGGACTCGAAGTTGAACGCACCTTTCAGGAACCGGGATGCGTTTTTCAGTTTCCGTATATGTGCATTCGGCGCCGACCTCCACACAAGCTGGACATTTCAAGGGCGGGTTTCCTTTACATTTCGTCTTCCTCCCTCGGCAGCGATTGCAGGCGAGTGCTGAACGTTTTGGGGTGTCATAAGAAGGCCTTCGCTCTCTGCTGCCTTGAATGCTGGTGGACTGCATCTTGCATACTCATGCCAGAGTCGAAGGTGGACTGTGTAATGGACCTAGGATGGAGCTCGGACAGACAACCATGGTCAGTGTCGCAATTTCGGGTCTTCGCTCGCCATGTTGTTGGTTGGAAGGAACTCAACGACCGAGCTGAATGTCGTGGGAGGCCGAATGAGGCGGTTTAGGGGACGAGCTCCCGAATCAACTTAATTCCAGGTCACGCGCGATAAGGCCGTGATCTTTAGCCTGAACCGGTGAGAGGCGGACTTCTACCCAGAGCAATGTTTGCGGGCAGCGCATCAAAGGCGTTGGATGTGGCCTTGATGGAAGAGCGCTGCGAAACCAGGCAGGCCACTAAACTCTGTCGCGAGAACGACCCGGAGAGAAGTGGTAAGGCAGTCAGATGCTGGTCCTGCTGTTAGGCTGATCGTAGTGGCTGAGGCGACAATCGATTGGCGATTAACCAATGTACAAAGGTTGAAGTCGCACAGCTCCGCGCAAACGTAAATTGATAGACACAATCAGTCACATGACAAGGACTTAGTTATACCTCGGTCTTTGATAGGCGGAAGCTTCCCGACGGCCAATGCAACTCAATGAGACCTTCTTATCAACAAACCCCTGTTTATCTCGGGTCCCCCATCCCGATGGCTACCAATGTGGTCAAACAATGACATTTGATGGAATGAGCGTTGTCCTAGTTATCTCCAGAAATCATATAAGAGAGGTAGGTGGGTATCGGTCTACCATGGATTTTCATCAGCAGGTTCCAACCTCTTTACGCAAATTCCTCTTCCTGTTTACGTCTCCAAATCATCGACCTTGTCAATATGGACGACATATCCAAGCAGCAGGCTTTGGATGAGAAAGCCATTGGTACCCCCAACGACGGTCATGGGCCAGCAACCGCCCTCAAGCAGGTCGGGATTGTCGAGCCCCAGATTGATCCCGCCAAAGAAAAGATTCTCCTGGCTAAATTGGACCTGTTTTTCGTTCCCATAATCATGCTGGTGTACCTGTCCTGCTTTCTTGACCGGTCAAACATTGTACGTGGCAACACTCAGATCTCTTGGGGCAGAACAATAACCCAATACTAGGGCAATGTGAAAGTTGCTGGAATGCCGGAGGATATTGGCGCATCTGCTCAGCAATTCTCGACAGCAGTTTCAATTTTTTATGGTCAGTGGAGCCACAGAAAGCCCACGCAGCGAGCTGACAGACTCACAGCGACTTACGTGACGTTTGAGACTCCGTTCGCGATTGCCCTCAAAAAGCTTACACCGCGCGTCCTGTTGACCACACTTTCCGTGATCTGGTCTTTGACCACAATCTTCTCCGGATTCATTCACAGTGTTGGCGGATTATATGCTAGTCGTCTCGTGCTTGGGGCCTGTGAGGCTGGATTGTTCCCGTCTCTGACACTCTATATAACCATGATATGGCGAAGAGAAGAACAAGCAAAGAGGGTCGCGTACCTCTTCAGCTGTACCGCCTTGTCTGGTGCTTTTGGAGGGCTGCTGGCCTATGCATTACTCCAGATGGACGGAGTTGCTGGATATGCGGGATGGCGGTGAGTAAGCCTTTCAGGTTGACCAACGATGCTGACCTTCGCAGCTGGGTATACATTATTGAAGGGATTTTTTCTATGCTCATTGCAGTTGCGGTTTGGTTCGGTCTGCCCACCAATCCTGCAGAAGCATGGTTCTTGAGTGACGAGCAAAAGCACATGATGAGGATTCGCAATGAACAAAGAATCCAGTACATGGGCAGCGATGAACTCGACTGGCAGGAGGTCCGGATTGCCTTCAAAGACCCCAAGCTTTATTTGAGCGGAGCCATACAGTTCTGCCAGGACATTTTGCTGTAAGTGGTATATTCCAGGTCACCGCAAGGCTATGCTAAACACTCATTCCAGATACGGGTTCAGCACGTTCTTACCGGCAATTCTGAAAGCTGCACACTATAATACCCTACAAAGCAATTATCTCACCATCCCAGTCTACATCTTTGGCGCCATTGCTTTCTTGGCCGCCGCCGTGGCATCGGACAGACTCAGGATGCGATCTCCGGTAAGTGAAGAGACATTTCTGGCCGAAGAGGTGATTTGTTGCTGACGTCCCTCGAACGCAGTTTATTCTCTTTGCCAACATTTTTGGAATAGTGGGATACATTGTGCTCCTTACGGTCTCGACTGATGGAGTTCGGTATTTCGCGACGTTCCTCTGCGCTGTGGCTGTGTACAACGGTCCTGGAATGAACGTTACGTGGATCAACGTGAACGTTGCTCCACACTATCGGCGAGCGACCACGATTGGGTTCCAGCAGACAATCGCGAATACTGCAGGGATTGTAAGTCTCGCCTCCGTCTCGAATTGTTCCTCACGTGCAGACCTATCAGCGTGGCTTCTCAATGCTCCAATAGCTCCTAAGTCCTCTGTGCTGACAATTCTGCGAACAACAGGTCGCTGGTCAAATATACAGGACGTCACCATACAAGCTTGGCCATAGCTTTTCACTGGGGGCGCTGTGTCTTGCTCAAGTACTGATTGTGGTGAAGATGTTTTATATCAAATGGTGGAACACGAGGAAGGAGAAGATTGCGAGAGGAGAGATCCCAGACACGCGCAAGTACAAGACAGGAGATAGGGAGCTCGACTTCAAGTATCATTTGTAGACATTTCTGCTATGGTTGGACAAGAAGATACCTCATGGTTTGAGAACCTTGTCAAAGGTCAAAATAACAGGCAAGAATTCCGGGGGAGTATTGAGCCTCAAAACGCGCGTCACTTTCTAGCTACGTCGAGGCATTGATGACGCGACCTGAAATTCAGTACGTCAATCAGGGGGCTTTTTTCCGTTTTCAAACTCGGTTTTTTCTTCATCGACTTTCTGGTACAACAAACTTATAATTCTCCTCGAATCCGAAGATGCAGCTCGGCTGAGTCGGACACCTCTGCCGATAACGCCGTTCCCCTCACCTAAGAAGGACGCCTATAGCCCGGGCCTTTCTATCTGTCATGGAGTACCGGAAACACCCTGCTGATCATTTAGCCTAAATGGCCATGACGGTGGGCTTCACTGCAAAAACCTCGAAAGAAGCAATGGCAAGATTGCCTCAATGACAAAAGTTGCTTGATTCTGCCAAAGGGGAACCTTGCTGTCGTCAACCATCATAACTGAAGTGTTTTAAGCGTGGTGCAATGGCGACTGGGATATTGAAAGTCAAAGACACGCAAGTCGTGGACAGCAAGGGTAAGCCTGTCATATTGCGAGGTGCTGCTATAGGAGGATGGCTCAAGTATGTATCACCATTCTCATCATCTTGCACCCTCAATTTTAACCCCACGCAGTATGGAGAACTTCATCACTGGCTATCCCGGTCATGAATCAAGTATTCGTGCTGCCATGCTGGAGGTCATGGGCGAAAAGAACTACGACTTCTTCTTCGACCGCTGGTTATACTACTTCTTCACTGAAGCAGACGCGAAGTTCTTCAAGTCCCTAGGACTCAACTGCATTCGAATCCCGTTCAACTACCGTCATTTCGAAGACGACATGAATCCTCGTGTACTCAAGGAGGGCGGGTTCAAGCATCTTGATCGAGTCATCGACCTTTGTGCCCAAGAGGGGATTTACACCATCCTCGACATGCATACGGTGCCCGGTGGACAAGGTCCTGGGTGGCACTCTGATAACACCACAAGCTATGCTGCGTTCTGGGATTATAAGGATCATCAAGACAGGACGGTTTGGCTCTGGGAGCAGTTTGCTCGACGATATAAAGACAATCCTTGGATCGCCGGCTACAATCCCATCAATGAACCTTGTGATCCTAAGCACGTACGATTACCAGCCTTCTATGCCAGATTTGAGAAAGCGATACGCGCTGTTGACCCCGACCATATTTTATGGCTCGATGGAAACACCTTCGCAGCGGAGTGGAAAGGGTTTGACACTGTGTTGCCCAACTGTGTCTACTCTCTTCATGACTACAGCATGATGGGCTTTCCGACCGGAAGACCGTACAAGGGCACTTCCGAACAAAAGGAGAGGCTGGAGGCACAGTTCCTTCGAAAGTCAGAATTTCAGCGCGAGCACAAGACCCCCATTTGGAATGGCGAGTTTGGTCCAGTCTATGCCAATCCTAAATGGGACGAAAACGCCGACGCGATCAACCAGGACCGATACAACTTGTTAGGTGAGCAACTGCAAATTTATGATCGCTTCCAGATTCCGTGGTCGATATGGCTGTTCAAAGATGTCGGTCTGCAGGGTATGGTGTATACTTCGCCAGATTCTGCTTGGAACAAACTGGTTGAGCCTATGCGTGAAAAGAAGAAGCAACTGCAACTGGATGCTTGGGGAACGTATCCGTCGAAAGAGGTAGAAGACGTTATGCAGCCGCTCATCAAGTGGGTTGATTCGGTCTCTCCAACGGCCAAGAACGTGTATCCGTCCACATGGAATACGGCAAGACACATTGAGCGAGCAGTGCTTCAGACTTTCCTGGCTGAGACGTTTCGTCAGGAATTTGCCGAGCTGTTTCGCGACAAAGATGAGGCTGCCTTGAAGGAGTTGGCAAAGAGCTTCAGCTTTGAAAACTGTCTTCAGAGAGAAGGTCTGAACAAGATCATGTCTGACTATGCTTCGGTTGCCTCGAAGGCTCATTGAGGCCGCTATAGGAAAACAAATCTGATCAGGCCCCTCGACTTTTCTGACATGTTGTTCATGACAGTGGCCAAAGTCCGGCAACTTGCCGGTCAGCCTCGCAGCTTAGGGAACCCCTCTTTCCCCAGACCTCAACTGCTCCCATATGACAATGTCTCTCCACCTCGCATGCATGCTTGGTCCAGCCATGACATGTTTCACAAGAGGACTTGCCCATGCCCCGAGGACGATGCAATGACAAGTCAGGTTGAACCACCTGAAGTTCGCATTTATCAGACCCGAGGGATAACATAAAATTTGCGGATACTTTGGTCATATTTGCCCCGACTCCGTGAACCTTCCCTAACCCTGGGGGTCCTCCACCTTCGAATGATCAGCGCCCCACGCCCCATCTTCACGCTCTGCATCCGAGGCAAGTCCCGCTCATGATGAGGCGAAGAGGGTCAGAGGACGTTGCTCGGCTGCATAGTCGCCTGTCAGAGGCATGGGTCTAACGAACTTCATCCCTAAAAGTTTTGAACTTTTCGTGTCCTCGCCACAATAAACATCACTAACTGAACCATAACCAAGCACACGGCAACAGGATGGGAAGCTACATTGAGGAACCAGAGTTCAAGACCATCACGGTCAAACCACTCCATCCAACGTTTGGCGCCGAAGTGGAAGGGGTCAACTTTCACCACCTGTCCGATGGACAATTCAATGAGATCCTCGCGGCCATGGCTAAAGTATGTCTCCAGCCAGCCACATCTCCCATGCTCTACATTCTACCATCGCGTCCTTGGAGAATGATCTCGATTAACATGGTCTTCTCGTACTATAGCACGGCTTCTGCATGTTTCGCAATACCGGCCTCGATGACGCCAACCACATCCAATTCTCTTACCGCATAGGCGACCTCGATACGATGAAAACGGTACATGACCGACGGCCGCAAACCACGGTACGGGCACTACGAGCTTTTCGCTGCGGGCAACATCGACGACCAAGGCAGCGTGCTCGACCCAAACAGCCCGCGAGCACACTATGGAAAGGTATGTCTCCGCATATCGTTACTAACAAGCCGCTCACTATTCCTCAGGGCAACGCTCTCTTCCACGTTGACTCATCCTTCAATCCACGGCGCGCCAGCTTCTCTCTTCTGCGAGCCGTGGAGATCCCGCCCCCCGGCAACGGTGGCAACACCGATTTCGCCGATTCGCGAACAGCCTGGGACGAGCTGGATCCAGCGCTGCAACAAGAACTCCTGGAGAACGATTACGTGGTGCACCACTCCGTCGCACAGTCCCGCAAACTCGGTTCCCCGGAATTCTTCAAGGACCTCGATCCGACGAACCAGGGTAAGATGGCGCGCCACCGACTAGTCCAGATTCATGAACCCAGCGGTCGGCGCAACATCTACATTGCTGCGCACTCGCACCACATCGAGGGTGTGTCCAAGGAGAAGTCGGACCAGCTGATGAAGACCCTGCTCGAGCATGTCACGCAGAAGAAGAACACAGTCAGCGTCGAGTGGAAGAACCCATCCGACATGATCATTTGGGACAACCGGTGCACGTTGCATAAGGCTAATGGTGGTGCTTTCGAGGGCAAGTACAGACGGGATCTGCGGAGGACGACGGTGCACGATGTTAGCAGTACGGCGTGGGGTTTGAATGAGGTGGAACCCGACACTGCGAAGTGGATTGTCAATCATGCGGCGACGAAGTCGGCCGGGGTGACTAAAGTCCAGGGCTAGGCATGTTGTCATGGATAGGCGAGGTGATTCTATGCAAAGAGTCATGGTTGTGTTAGTCTTATGTTATGTACATTTCAGCCATCACATCTCAATAAACCGAATACCAATTCGATAGTCTGGAATGCGGCGCTGTTACCAGAGATCACCACCTATCTGTGCCAGACACACATTCACATTACACGACACCCCATGCTGACAGCTTGCTTGATTCAGACCAGCATACAACATCGTTGCCTGCTGTAAATCGTTCCAAATTAGGTCCTGCACGCTTTCCAGTGTGCATGTCCTTTATCAGAATCGTATGTGCCGCTGAAGTGAACTGAAATGCTCCAAATCCAAGTCAAGGTCGATGACCGAGAGGAAGCTCAACAGAAATCACCAATATTGTCCGCCAATAGCGCAGCCCTCCTCGTCACCTTCGTCTTCTTTGTCCATCGACCACAGTTCGCGTTCTCTTTCGGCAATCTCGGCCTTCAATTGCTGCTTGCGCGCGAACCATTTGGCATTGGCGTTCACAAAGCATCGAGTACAGAGCTTTCCTGACAACATTCTTCCAGTCTGAGCATAGACACCAAAGGCTTCAAGGACATGAGGTGTCTCCCAACATGCGTGATCTCCAGTGCAATCACAGACTGTCGGAGGAGTGTGTTGTGAGTTCAGAAAGAACTCCCTCCTCGAGCACCCAGAACAAATGATCTGCCAGTGAGGCTCATAGATTTCCCGTATCCAGCCTATCTCTTGAGCTTCTCTGGTGGTTCGAAAACGGCACGGCAGACATACTCTTCTCTCGGGTTCCTTCACCGGCAGATGCGGGCCAAACGACTGTCTGAAAGTGACCCAGTCGAGGCTTCGTAGAAGTTCGTACATCGTCCCACCCGTTCCGAATTGGCTGAGGTCGAATTGCTCTGCCTCTTTGAGGAGTAGGCACTCGTCACATCGGGTCAGAGATAGGGATAGTCGTTTCTTCACAGCCACCAATGCATGGCAGCTTGGGATGCCCAGTGTTTTTGTCGACACCATCCAGTCTCCTAGAACCCTGTACTTATTCAAGTAATTAGGACTCAGACGATTGTCGGTCTCGATAACTCTGCCGTCAGGGTGATGAGTCTCTGCGAGACCTTGAAGGATCCGAGAAGAGATCTGGCTGTCAAAAGTAAAGAGTAGATGCCTACACTGCTCGAATTCTTTGTCGAACTCCACCAGTACACGGTGGATTTGCCTGGGCTTGGGTAACGTCCGGAAGTACCGAGATGTTGCTCGAAGGCTTGAAATATCCCAGAAGTCCAAGTAGTCGATGACTTTCAGGGACACCGCAGAGTCGAGGCTGATAAGAAGTGATATACCAGGGGGCGGTATCCAAGGCGTGTCGTCGAGCTGAAATGGTAGGTCTGCAAAAGCCTCTTGAAAATCAAAGGCTCTGACGGTACGTTCCATAGCAGCTGTGGACCATTGGTACGCTAGGTCAGCTTGCTGATCTTAAGAGGCTAAAGCCAAGACAGGGGTTCGAGAGGCATAGGGATGGTAAAGATGGACATGGAGTTGCAGGCGATAGCGGTCTCGACTCGATTGTTACTGACCTTGAATCAGTAACTCGCAGATTTAGGCGGGGCGTGCTGTGTACTGGTATGCTTAGATCAGAATGTTGTCGGCAAAGAAGCTCGAGAAACCTGTGGTTGCAGGTGAGCACCGAACAAGGTTGATGATCGTGGTAGTTGGAGAGAGCTTCATAGACTGGTACTTCTGGATGGAAGATTGACAGCATTATGAGGATGAAGCATCGAGACAGCTGTGTTTAAAAATGAGCTGCAAACAGAGACATCTAGAGAGTGAAGGGCGGGATATGAGAAGCAGGCAGTGATCCCACGTTGTCAACAGCTCTTGCTGATGGGGTGACATGTCTCCCGAGTTGCAAGACCACCGCTTACACTGTCCTAATGGTGGAATACCATGACCTGGCAAACGGGTACAACGTGGACCAGCATGGACCGCAGCTTTCATGGTAACATCTTGTATGACCCTTTGACCCGTGACTGGCGTGATAGTCGATATCGTGAATGGAGGTCTATTCGCTTACCCTCGAACACATTCAGTGATCCCACGGTATTGTCCACCTCAACAGGCAAACGGACTGCTGTAGACAATGGCATCTCGATTGAACCCTGTGAACACACAGTATGTTTGACGGTGACTAATGCGCTCGTCAGCGGCCCCCAAAGCAGAACTCCTGCTGTCCGTCTCGTACGTTGCAGGGCGATGCACTCAAGCGTTCGTACCTAAATCGTTGGCTGCAGGGAGCTCGCGCTGTTTGACACCCTGGAGGTAAAGGGCTTTTCTCTAGCATATCGGTCGAGAGGAACAGAGATGGACAGTCTCAACGCTGCGAATGTTGAATGGATGCTGCGTGGATCTCGATATCGGGCATTGTATCCGTTGCATACAGAATCATGATAGTGTCGCACAATTGTTGATTGATCGACTCACGAGCAAGTGCAATGCCGCCAACCTTGATATCCAAGAAGGAGTCTGAAGAGCAAAGGCAAATTCGAAGAGCACGTTCGATACTATTGGCATAGATCGGGGATTCCAGTCGTGGTCAAGGGATGAGATGATCAGGAATGTGGTTCGCCGCATGCAAAGCACATAGCGTATCCCTGCCGATCCCTTGTGGGTTTACGGGGAGTGTGAGATCGCGACAGTCCAGCATGTGGAGCTTGCTCGTCAGGAATGGTGTAGTCCGAGTTGCTGTTGCCGCACTTGATCAAAAGCTACCTTGGGGTTCTTCAGTAGGCACGCGCAAGCCAGCAGTCATGTCCTGCGTCGTTACCGCTGACAATGTGCTCATTGCCAGTCGTTGAAGGTTATTCGTCGGAAGGTGCTTTTCGACTCCTGTTCATTCATCTGGCCTCTACCAGCGACCACCGAGGTAACAATGCTATCATTTCTGATGCATTTGGGCTTGGAAGGCCGACACAATGAGGCCTGCTCTTTCTCGAGTTTGTTAGGCTGATATTTCGACTCGCTACATCAAGGCAAGGTTATTGCAAGATTGGCAACTTCAAATATCGTGAAAGGCAAGTATTGCGTAGGTCGAAGTCTTTGAATATACCATGACCAGAAGAGCTGTTGAGTTAGGTTAGGTAAAAGACAGGCCCAAAGGGGGAGAGCCGAGGTCGGCGTTGTTCAGATCGACGGATATTGAGAGATATCTCGCTTGTTTCGAAAACTGAAACATTCCCTGAAATTCTGGCTACCCAGCAGGATCATCACATTAGGCTGGCTTAGCTTACACGAGTCCGTCCCGACGGAGAGATCATTGTTTGCGGGTTGCATGTCACTCTAATCAGTATATTTACGAAGCACCCCAACCGTCACTTCCATGGCTCGCTCCCATGACCCAATGGAGCTAACAAGGTACGGACAAGTGGTAGGCGATCGTCTGTCACGCCTGCATCGCGAGAAGACGCAACTAGCCAATCCCTGTGATCACTCATCTACAACATGTTGTCGACCTAAACCTTTTGGGCAGGATCAGACAAGGAGCCGGCAAGATGATGTCGCGATTCGATGTCTTGGCCAATCGCATCTTTTATGGGGCATCCCACGTCGCGCTGCATCCTCAAGCTGGACAAGGCAGGAGTTTATACGAAGATGGGACGCCTGATGCTGTGCCCTTCGGCGCCCAAGGTTGTTATTTGCCGATCTAACATTTACAACATTCACTCCCGTTCATTGCTCCCAATGCTCTGTGCTTTCCGCTCCCACAATGTCCGAAAGGACTCATGTGAAGCGGTTGATCGTGTGTGTTGACGCAGAAGAGTCTGAGGGGGGCGCAACTTCAGGTGCGACCATTCTGCGCGAGATTCAGATTGCAATTGACCGTGAGTGAAGGCGACAGAAATCGCAGCAGCATCTTCCGGCTGCAAAGCATTATATCGGACGGAGTCTGCTACGATAGACAAGGCAAGGTCGTCGAGCAGATCGTGAGGTACTATCGCGCTACCGAAGATGGCCCAAAGATACTGGACAGGTTGAAGACTCGGGCGCAGCCTTACTTTGAACAGCAAATCCATGACATTGTGAAAGAGGTATGCGAGGTTCTCGAGGAGCCCAGGGACGAGTTATTCCTTTATGGCTTTGGTCGCGGGGCGTTCATTGTGCGCGCCGTGGCCGGCCTTCTCGACATCTTACATTTGCCGAAACGGACCTCCGTGAGATACTTTGAAAAGCTATACCAGAGTTGTCTGGATGTTTACAAAGCACGCCATGATGAAGACAACCGAAATGGTCCGAAGATTATTGAGTTTCTCAGATCGCACTCGACGCTCTCTGTCCAGATCCGGTTCGTGGGTGCATTCGACACTGTCAGGTACACGACGGAAGGACACAAGCACGACCTGTCTCTGGTGAGCTCAATTCATCACATGCGCCATGCACTTGCTCTGAATGAGTCGCGCTCTCAGTTGAGTCCCGAGTTCGTCGAGATTCCGAAGATTTCAGCCGACCTTCAGGGACGCACCTTGATTCAAGCCTGGTTCCTTGGCTCACACAAAGACCTGGGAGGCGGCACTGACCACGACGGCCTCTCCCTCTACGCACTGCAATGGATTCTAGTCGAAAGTATACGAGCCGGACTTGTTATACAATGGAACGAAAAAGAGGCACTGATCGACAAGGGAAATGTCTTGTCTTTAGTTTTCCCGCAGTACTCGGGCGATGCGCCAAAATTGGGAGGAGATGACGAAGCCGAGTGGCAGGTCAAACATAACAATGGTATCGAAGTCAGTTTGTTCGATCTTCAAACAGTTCACGGTAGTAGTGCCGAGGAGGATCACGTCCATGGTATTCAAATAACCCCTTCCAACGTGCTTTACAACAGCCACCGGACTGTCTTCGAGTCAAAGAGTGGCTTGGTTGGATATTGCACGAATGGTATGTGGGCTATTCTCGCAGGCAATCGAGCCCGGCTGACGTCCTAACAGGGAGCTATGGGACGATCATCCATCCCTCGGTTTCTGTCTTCTCGACAGATATCCTCGCTTCTACGAACAATCTCGCTTTAAGTCACTGAAGAAGAGCCTCGCCAACTATCGTGATCAGAATGTTCACGATCCCGAGGGAGGAATTCCACCATGGCTAGAAGGCATGCAGTTGCAGGCTAGTGGCGTGAAAGCCTTTCGTATCCTAGTATGCGGCAAGACTGGCGTTGGAAAGTCTACCTTGATCAACAAGGTCTTCGGCGTCGAACTGGTATGTTGTCCCTCTGGTATACTCGTATCAGGTATTTGCTTTACTGATTGTCTCACAGACCGAAGAATCCCAATCCTACTCACAGGGCGAACATGACATTAACCAAGCCTTCGCATCACCGAACCATCCTGGCTTATTGATTCACGACTCACGAGGGTGGCAAGCGGGAAGCGAGAACGAGTTGGATTTGATCGCCAAATTCTTACGGCATCGCGCATACCAGAAGGATCCCGGTGAAGCGCTCCATGTTATATGGTAGGTGGTAGTGCTTTTACGACGTCGCCTTTGCTTACTTTGGATGCGAACAGGTTTTGCGTCGATTCAGATGTCAGTCGCATTGAAGAAGCTGATAAGCGAACGTTCGATACTATTGCACAGTACTCGTGTAATGTGCCGGTCTTCGTTGTTGGAACCAAGAAAGACAAATTGATTGCATTTCGCAAGATCCAGCTCCTGGAGAAATTTATGGAAGAGAATGGCAACTATTCAGAGTCGAGTCGTCTGGCCAACGACGAGGCAAATCGATTGGCAGATGAGCAGTTCATGGCCCTCCGTGATGAATTGTCACGAATCAAACATTACAAGGCTGATGGCTTTTGTTGTGTTTCGAAAGGTCGGTCATTACTCCCAGTCCCCAAATTCGTCATACCAGACACGCTAATGTTGGATGTCACAGACGATACTCAAGGCATACGAAAGCTTCTGCACTCTACACTTGAGCTAATAGTCGATGACAGGGTTCGTGTCTTCGCTGTCGCGGCACAAGTGGTCGATGTCGAACAGAAGATTGACTCAGCCATCACAGAATGCATGCGTCTGGCCACGCACGCGGTCCGTACAGCGATGGTCCCACTACCGATGTCGGGGCTCGTAGGGACACCAACTGTGGCCCGGATCCTTTGCGAACACGTTCTGCAATGCTTTGGATTTCCCAAGGCATTACCAGAGGCCGTCGAGGAAATCATGACAAGAGTCGTTTTTTCGCACTTGAAAGCCTTCATGACCATTACTTTGATAGAGTTCCTGGCCGTTGGTACGGTCACTGCCGGTCTCGTAAGTATCCTTTTGGTGCGAGACGGTGCCATTGAAGCACGAGTCTTTTGCTGTATCTCAGTGTTCATCGACATAATTTTTCTGACGGTTTGTAGATGGTCGCAACCATGGGCATCGGAGGTCTTCTCGGCTTGACGTCGTGTATTTTGGCCGCGCAGCCCACGGCACGAATGTTGTTCAAGTGCGCCTGCGACATGATCCTGATCCTTGAACGGTCTTTTCGGTATCGCGGCAAGTACGTCTCTGTCAAACAGATCGAGGATGCCGCCATATATTACACGTCGGCGATGACCACGACATTTGGTGGCAAAGAAATGCTGCTGCAGAAGCACGTCCATGAGGAAGTCAATAAATTGATCCCATTACGCAAAGTGAATGCTGGGATCCAGCTTGGTAAATTGAGACCTGGTCTGGAGGATATCATCTACAAAAACCGATTTAACAAGCGAGACTCCATGCAGCCAGACCTCACGCCTCTATCTCCAGAGATTGGTGGACGGGAGATTTTGGAGCTGGACGGTGGATCGAGGCCAGTAGCGTCTCCAGTCGAACTGCCGGCGGAGAAGAGTGCGACCGCCGTAGAACTACCAGCCGAAGTACCAGCTGGAGCGACAGTACCACTTCGATCTTCCGGGAAGAAGGCAGGAATGCAGCTGTCTAGCGCCTCCGATACCACAACAACGATTGATGACTTACTGAGTTCGGATGAGACAACCAGCATGACGCAGACAATCAGTGGCCACGTGGAATCTGGAGCGCTCGACAGCTCATCGTTGCTCAAAGATGATGGCATAGAAAGGGTGAAGACCGACAGTCTTCTGTCAAAAAGCATGAAAGCCATGGGTACAAAGAAGATGTCGTCGAGATTTGGGTTGAAGAAGTCAAAGACCAGCAATTGACGAAGGGGTTTGTGACTCGGAGTTTCAGCGCCCGATGCCCACTGCAGCTGGCAGTAGATGATTGCTGTAGCATCAGTGTCACAGAACGATGTCCCACGCACTTGGCGGGTCTCTTCTTAGACGCGTCGTGTAGGGGGCAATGGTGCTTAATCACCTTTTGCACATGCTCAACGCACCCATAGAATGAATGGGTCCAACAACATTGAACCTCGGAACAGTGGTTGTCGATCTGTACCTCTCTGCTACCCCCAAGTTTTCGTTATCGATAAGCACGTGAAGATCGCCTAGATCAACTAATGACATAGCTCTCACGTAAGGGCAACAGGGATGCCTCGGGATTTCCTTTAGGGGGGAAAGGAAAAGCGATGCGGGAAAACCGAGTCTAGCCTTGATTTTTGGGGCATTGACGTTCATTTCCTTCTTACGACGGGTATCTCGTACCTGCATTAACGTCACGCGGACGCATTCAACATTTTGACCCAAAAGATCCTTTTGGGGTGTTTAGTGACACTCGCCAATTCTCTTCCGCTTGCCCTTGTCATTGCTTCCTCCTTTAGATGCTTCTGCCTTGCTGCGCAAGACTTTCTCTACGTCCCTCGACCTTGTCTATTCCTCTTTGGTCTCGCGCCTGTCTGCACCAGACCACTCAACCGACCGCCAGCATGGACGCGGTACGAGCCAAGATGTCAGCTCTAACACCTTTCGCAAAGAAGCACAAGGTTACGATAATAGGTTCTGGCAATTGGTACGTCCCATTACACTTGAGGGCCTGCTCAGACTGACTTTACCAGGGGTTCAACCATTGGCAAAATGGTCGCAGAAAACACCGCCGAACACACCGACCTCTTCGAACGAGATGTCCAGATGTGGGTGTATGAGGAAGACGAGGAGGTGGACAAGAAGTCCAAACACTACGACGAGTCGAACGAGCTGTGCAAAGGACCACAGAAGCTCACCACACTCATCAACACCTTCCATGAGAATGTCAAATACCTCCCTGGCATTGATCTACCTCACAACCTCGTCGCCAATCCTTCCCTGACAGACGCCGTCAAGAACTCCTCCATCCTCGTTTTCAACCTCCCTCACCAATTTATCCTAAACCTTTGCAAACAGCTACGGGGTCATATTCAACCTTTTGCCCGAGGCATCTCCTGCATAAAAGGAGTCAACGTCAAGGAATCGTCCATCAGCTTGTTCTCGGAGACGATTGGCGAAGAGCTGGGCATATATTGCGGTGCTCTATCAGGTGCCAACATTGCAAAAGAGGTTGCCGAAGAGAAATTCTCGGAAACCACGATTGCGTACGATCCTCCACCAATGGACTCAAGAGCGCCTACGCCTGCCACATCGCAAGGCCCTAGTCCAGCTTCGAGTCATGTAGACTTGACCAAGTTAGCCCACAAGGACGTCTCCGGCAAGCCGTCAAAAGTGAGACTTCATCCCCTACCTTCAGAATACCAGCCAATCGACCATGACACGATCAAGAGACTGTTTCACCGTCGATATTTCCATGTCCGTGTCGTTTCCGACGTTGCAGGCGTTTCGCTTGGTGGTGCTCTCAAGAACATCGTCGCGGTAGCTGCTGGGTGGGTCGATGGTCTAGGCTGGGGTGACAACGCTAAAGCCGCAATTATGCGAGTCGGTCTACTGGAGATGAGAGAATTTGGAAACAGGTTCTTCCCCAACACTGTCCAGCCAGACACATTCACTGTGGAATCAGCCGGTGTTGCAGATCTGATCACGACGTGTTCGGGAGGTCGAAATCATCGTTGCGCCAAATTGAGTATCCAGGAAGGAAAATCGATAGAAGAGATTGAGGCCAGGGAACTCAATGGTCAGAAACTACAAGGAGCCATGACAGCGCACGAGGTCGCTACTTTCCTCAAGAGCCAGAATGCGGAAAAAGACTTTCCACTACTTACTGCCGTACACAACATCCTTCAAGGTCGTGGCAAGGCGGAGGATCTTCCTGACCTGATCGAACCTGAGGATTCTGGCTAAGCGAGACATCTGCGCCGGCTATATCCTCGGACACACTCGCCACGATGCATGGATAGAGTTTGGCAAGCCATAGAGATTGAGACGACGTTTCGTAGACATCACAACATGATACCCAGGTTGAGGAACGACAGACTGATGACTAAGCGAGAAAAACTGGAGACGGGAGAGACAAAGACAGAATCAATGACTATGCCTAGCGATTGATATTGATTGAATCAGCACTTATCATGACATATATTTTGTCTCCCTCACTGCTGTCTTTGTATATTGTATAGCGTATCATTGCTAGAGGCCTAAGTTAATCCCCAGCCTCCGCGCAAGTCAAAGTTGAAGTATGTTGTTCCCTTAGATTTAAAATCCTTGCATGCCTCAATACCAGAGATGTCAGCCACTTCAGCACAAGAGACCATGAGCACCTATCTGACAATATCGCCATCTCGTGTCACGACTGCATCTCTGATCCCGGCCCCTGCGCTAGCATCAAGCAGATACAACCGCCAACTCCTCGTCCCTCAACTTCGCCTCAGTGGCCAGAATCATCTACTTCAATCCAAAGTCCTGATCATCGGCCTAGGCGGTCTAGGATGTCCCGCAGCATTGTACCTCGCCGGTGCGGGCGTCGGCAGATTGGGTCTCATGGACGGTGACACGGTCGAGCTGGGCAACCTCCACCGTCAAATCGCACATACGGAGTCCGCTGCACGACAAGGTCTATCTAAAGTGAAGTCCGCAGCAGCGCGGTGTCACGAAATCAATTCTACGATCGAGTTCGTGTTGTACGAGACGCGAGCGACCGCTGAGAATATTCTGGGTGTCGTCAAGGATTACGACATTGTTCTCGATTGCAGCGATAACCCAGCGACGCGGTATCTGGTATCAGATGCGTGTGTGGCGTCGGGTAAAGTTCTCGTCAGTGGAGCAGCGCAACGTGGAGAGGGAAGCCTGATCGTGCTGAACTCGCCGCCTACGGCCGACAAGGGCCCCTGTTATCGATGTGTGTTCCCGCGCCCACCACCGCCAGAGATGGTTCGTGGGTGTAGTGAGATTGGAATCCTAGGGCCGGTGGTCGGCACGATTGGCACGTTGATGGCGGGTGAGGCGATCAAGATTATTGCACGGGGAGGGCACCTTGTTGGTGGTGCAGGTCACGAGCAGGAGCAGAAGCGGAATGAAGGAAAGGCACCAACTCCGCATACGATGCTGTTGTACAATACCTACGCGGCTGATCCGAAAGGTATATTCCGGACTATTACGCTTAGAGGACGGCGGAGAGATTGTCTGGCGTGCGGCGACGGTGAGGCGTTGGCGAAGAAGGGGTTGAGTAAGATCACAGCTGAGATCATTGCGCAGGGCAGACTGGACTACCAGGCATTTTGTGGGGTGGTGGAGGATGTCAAGGTTCTTGATGATGAGAGGCGGATTGATGCAGCGGATCTTCTGCGTGGTGGTAAACCAGGACTCGTGGTCGATGTACGCGAGGAGCATGAGTATGAGCTTGGGACTAAGGTAGACGGAAGTGTGAATATCCCTATATCCAAGATTCTAAGATTGGGAGGTGGCGCGTTTGACGAATTGGAGAGGCTTCGAGGTGGGTGGGCTGGCCTTAATATGCAAGGCCCTGCTTCGACAATGGGACCAGATGGAGGGATGCTCAATGATGAGACACATATCTCTGTGGATGAGGCCGGTGGGCCAGTCAACGGACAATTAAAGCCAGAGCAACCCCAAAGGTCGGTCGAGGATAGTGTCCGCCCCAACGCAGGGAGGGTGAATTCAGAAGCTCATATCCCTTGGACGAACAGCGCCATCCACAACTCTACAGTCACAGAAGGCGGCATGGTTAACCAGGAAACACATAATTCTGTGTCTGAGAGTGTCGACCCAGACCGTGGAATGCTCAATCCAGAGACTCATATACCGGTGACCAGGCAGAGTGCGAGTGACTTTCCGGCACCACCACAAGAGATGCAGCCACGAGATGGCACAGAGCAGGAACGAGGTTCCATACCGGTGTACTTTGTCTGCCAGCGCGGGAATGACAGCCAGATTGCTGCGCAGAAATTGATCGAGCGAGTCAGGGCCGACAATGGGTCAGAATCAATGTCGAAATGGGGCTGGATAGGCGATGTCAAAGGCGGGTTTCTTGCGATGGAGAAGTTTGCGGTCTCAACTTCGTGAGCTTGTTCGAACACTCACCGTGCATTGCATGTTAAGCGACAGATTTTATTTCCGAATGGTTGATACCCAAGAGCACGTTCTATACTGTATTATATCCATCGTCCATTGCAAGAAAACGGGTCTGCCATGGTCAATTTGAAGCTATCATGCGAGGAGCAAGCGAGATGCTTTGACCTGGATTACAGAACCGGCTGTACTGTACTTGTCCTTAAACATCGTCAGCGTTTCATGTCTTCAATCAGACTGACAAAGTGAGACAAGGATGTGGTGTAAATTGAATATCAGAAGGGAAAAGAAAAATATGTTATTCGCAACGATCGGATTTGTACCGGTCTCGACCACAAAGATGAATGAGCGAATTTTTCTATCATCATGTAATTCGTTTGCAGTCGATAAGCAGATGCTCGACAGACAAATGGAGGCTTGCGCGGACGATATGCTGGAAGAGGTGTGTGATGGCACGAATGGAAGTGAACTGGGTTGGTACATAGGTACCTTCGTAGGAGCTTGAGAAGTGTATGAACTATCGAAACAAGGCCGTAGCTTGCACGAATCCATAGATCTGCTCGGCATGCACGCGGCGATCCAGTCAAGTTCCATATAATGAAGCTCTTCGAGCGAAACCGGACGAATATGTAGAAAAGGAAACAAGAACATTTTTGAGGTCGGAAAATCATTTCAAGATTGAGGTCAATCGACTGACACGTGACCGATATCCAGCCTTGCTCAGGTCATCGAGGCTCTGGTCTTCATGTCTTTAGTCGAGGCAATAGTCTGTCTGTCGTCAAGTCCATGAAGCTTAATCAGGACATTGAGCCATTTGGCTCGGTCCGTAGAATGAAACATTCCCATAGCGCCTTCGCCAAGTCTGCCTTCTCATCATACATCAACCTGGGGTGAATATCATAGAACACGTCAACACAATCATGACTCCCTGCTCCTCGGCGAATCTATCCTCGGTGGACTCCTCGACTTCCTTCCTGTATGGGGCGAGTGGCTGGTACTATAAAGTAGGATTTCTGATCAGCTTCGAACTACAAAGGGACTGGTAGATACTCACGACCTCCTCCGTTCCCCTTCTCGTCTAAAGTCGTCAATGATACGCAACATCTCTTTTCTTCCGGCACTCGCGTCCACAACTCTCCCTCCCAGACTCATACTGACTTTTGAATCCGTTCGAACCATCAACAATCTTTTGAGTAACAAATGCCGCATGTTAAGACAGACAAAGACTCCACAATCAGACGAGTTATCCTGTAGGGGACTGTCCTGTAATTGGATGAATCGAAGTGGTTTGTTGATCAGTTTGGAGAGTTTTTGAGTGACAAAGTGTGCTTCTTGTTGATTTCCAGGGGGCATCGAGTCGTAATGAAATGCAACGCCGTCGACGACTGAGACTAGGAGCAGTGACCAATGCGTGCCACCTTCAGCGACTGTCACGGAATGATTGTCGTTGATCGGAAGGAAGATGTGCGATACATTCGTAAAGTCAGGGAGAGCATCCTTCCACGTCAGTTTCGTGCGGTCTTATTCATGTTCAATGTGGCTTACCTTTATTGTCCGCGGATCGGGTGTTTGCATGAGCATGAAAGACATCGTGGGTCTAAGCAGGATAATGCGGGAATGTTTGAAGTTGGTGAGGTACTCATGTTCCAGGTACCTGTGGTCTCAAAGTCAGGTCTCCCTAGCACTGCAATTGGTTCAATATCACATACTCTTCCCAAAATGCAATGACCTATGCCACAGTCAGTCTACTCTTCTGCTCGAACCTTCGGTCTTCACAAACATACATTATCCGTCAACCAGTCATTTTTCAGCACAGATATATCTTCTCGTGTTACTATCCGAGGGTCAGCGGTCGATTCACTAAGTAGGGAGGAAGGGAGACCGACATCGAACATCATAGTCTGGAAAAGTGATTAGCTTGACTTCAATATGGTGGTCTTGATTGAACTTACAACTCAAGTAGGCGTCTTCCGGGGCCAGCTTCGGAGCCATGATTGTTAGCCACAGTATCTATCTCGTGTTCTGGTGTGTATGGGGGAAAATAAAGCCTCAAAAACAAGTCGCAGGTGAAGAGAGGTTACATGCAGAGAATGTAACACGCACGCACCGATCTCCCAAAGTGACGGCTCATACGACCACCAAAGGGATGCAGGTCAGGCATTGTTGTTTTGCAGAGTCTTGAAGGCCGAGCAGGAGGAACGCCGCATCAATTCGAGTGAGTGACGTGTGAATCTGGCTGCGAAACCTGGTTGAGGACCGGGAGGATCGAGCGTAATGGTGGACGCGCAGGTTACAGGACGAGCTGAGCAGAATTTGATCTCATCTTTGGGTTAACCTCTGAGCCACCATGTTTATCATATCCATGCTTCATGCAGAAAATTCCTATGGACCTTTGAAGATATCGAGGACTGAGGGTACTGTTACGCAGCCGCAATCATTTCCAGCCAATTATTCCGACGTCACTCACTTCTTAGATCTGCTCGCCTTTAGCCGCGTTCAGCCCGGAGAAGATGCGTCCAGGGAGCCCCACAGGAAGAAAGTCGATATCTGGGGTCTATTGCTCGCGGCTTTGCGGACACATTTTCATCTCAACAGTGGCTAAAGCATCTAGCTAGAATACCTGCTAGGTGCGCTTCAATGGCGCATGAACATCACGAATAATTTGTAGACGTCCCTTGACGCAGAGGATAGCGAACAATTATCTGCTGGTGCATGCACAAGCTATGTTGTCTGCTAAACCTTTGATAAGTCAACCTGCCTGATAAGGCAAATGTCTTGACTAGAGCCATCCGTTGCTTTGCACGCGCGTCCGCTTCTGACCGGTAAGGTACCGTGGCCATGGCTTCGGATAGCTACTGACAAGGTGGGTATCTCGCATCAGCTGGAGATCCTACTGCCTTCCCTCGAGTTGGGGTAAGAAAACCCAGAACAGAAGGGCATCTCGACCCTGCGCAAAGCGAAAAAGCCTCCGTGTTTGAGAAGGCACCCTTCCACCGACCCTCAAGATGCGAAGATTGGTTAGATTATGCTTGTTAAACCGCGCAGCACATACTCCTCTAAAGGAAGGCGCCTCTGGAGACGTGATCTACTTGGCGAGGCTGAATCTTCATCGGTTGCGGACTATTGGCAAATCGTAGTTCACGGCGAAGGCTACCGGTATGCTAAACACTCGTTGATATGCAACCGCCGGGAGAAAGAAGCCTGAGCCCGGTCTCTAACCTCCACTTTTGTCAATCAAACACACGACACTCATAATTGCTAACCCCCCTTGCTCAAGGCCTCGATTTTCATGTCAATCATCTCGACTTGATACAACAGACAATCCTCCTCAATCTTCCCCTTTTCTTATTCGCCCAGACAAGCCACGCCAGTGACGCAGGTCTACCACCTCGAGAACAACCCCGAAGAAATCTTTGACTACTCTCGAATCCGGCTTTTACGAGCATCCTCCTGCGTCCTAGCCATTCCGCTTGGGTCAATGTCGTGAGCAATCTGCGTAAATAGTACAAAGAGGCTGCACATGCCAAAGTCGGTCGGTTCTACCCCGACATATTCGGCCGTCAACATGCTGGTACAAGAGATGGTCCTTGACAATGACTCGAGTCAATCCCAAGATATCTACGAACGGCACTTTGCGCCAATGGCCAAATCGTCCCGATCAGACGTCCCTTTCCCTCTGTCTACTTCTCGGAAGCGCGCACCTTCAGTGGTCTCGATTGCTGACCTGGAACAGGACGGACAGTCGGTAGGAGTCCTGACCATCAGGGCGATGAATACACCCATGTCCGACGGTGGTCTGCTACAAGAAAAGACGCCGTCTATTCCAGAGTCACCAGAACCATGCGTCGCACCACGTCTGTCGCTACACGACCTGCCGCTAGAAGTTCACGGCAAAATACTCGACTTCATCTTTGGTGATATGCATTCTGTCTACGCCGGGTCCACATCTCTAAGGGGGAAAAGCGTCTCTTCTCTCATGCGACATCCAAGAAGAAAGGCTGTATCTGACCTGGCCTTGGTCTCAAATACCTGGCGTGACTTGGTCCAAGAGAGAATCTACCGGCACATCAAAATCAAGGGCACCCGAGCTGGCCTCGAAGAGTCTAGAGACTTCTTTTGTGAGCATATGCATCTGACCAAGTTCGTCAGGCATATTGAATTCTGGGTACCGGTCTGGGGCGACAAGGCGTCTTTCGATACTCGCACGTTCAATCCTCTGGCGGCAGACCGAAATGGACATTACCACCTCGCGAACCAGACAAATGAGAGTTTAATACCTGCCAATGACTTTTTGGGATTTAGCTTCAGACTCTCCTCGTACTCGGCGACTCTCTCGGAAATCTTTACTCATATTGGTTGTTTCTTTCCCAACTCTCGCGTCTTTACACTAGAAGGAGGGCATTGCAAGAAGTCCAACATGATTCAGCATTTTCCCAAGTTACTGTTTCCAGACCCGAGACAGTGCCTGGAAAAGCTTCCTAATATCCGCACTTTTGCCATGCGTGGAGCTTGGAACATCATGCGATCCTATAAAGACTGGAAGACGATCGAGTCAGCCCTACCGAACGTGGAAGAATGGCACTGTGGCTATGCGAAGCCTCGTATCGAAGCGGATGCCACGATCGAAGCGATTCTAAATCGCTTGCCTCTGGGTCTACGTCATGTCAACATTTCCCTCGACGGAATGTACAGCAAAGACCCATCAACCCTTGGTTCGAATTATAGCCCAGGTCAGCCGCACCTGTGTGAGCGTCTTGGACGGGTCCTTCCTCAATTGGAATCTCTGTCCTTCACTGGAAAACTTTGCGAATGTCTATGGACGTCTGCGTTTTTTGCACTCTCAAGCGCCAAAGAAGAGCCGCGGCTCAAAGCATTAGAACTTGTTGTCAAGTCATGTTGCCGCCAGCGCGTTACCGACGTTGACCCGCAGACGGGCGAGGCCATCGTGCACGAACTCGGCGGCGTGATGGCTGATGGAGCCGGGATTACGAACCTTGTTTTCATCCGTGCATTCGAACGATTAGTGCTCAAGACCGTTGAGGCATTGCCTTTATTCCCACACCTCGAATATGTGCGTATACGCTTTATTGATCTCGATTCTCCTTGCACGCTCCTCAATCCGTACTGGCTTTTGGAGAATGGGCGAGTGTATGGGATCTGGAATGAAGAAATTGTCGAGAGGCTAAACGATCTACGACCTGACGTTGGTTATGTCGAGCTTGGTGATGGTATCGAGCATACTGCTTGGTATAAGTCCAGTGACAGCTCGGATGAAGGTGTGGCCACCAGTCCGACCAGCGTTGTGCCGGTTGGGTCTGGCTGCAGTCTATATCCGAAGTGCAAGCCAAGGAGTATTAAGACCAGCAGTTACAGACTTGTCGCGGAAGCAAGGGGAAGTTAGCTCGAGACTTGCTGGTCGGAGTATTACGTCCTGCGCCTTGGAAGTGTCGAATATTGAGTGATGTTGTGCTTGCATTGAGGGATGGCTTATGGCAGCGATGTACTTGGTGTTGTGGGCTTCGATCTTTTGGAACCTTTACTGCATGGTGTTTGTGCTATCTTGTATCGATGTGCCGGACAAGAAAAGTCGTGCGATTTCATATGGTGAGGGAGTTCTAGAAGAATGGTCTGTCAAATTAGACATCTCCGGTGTTCTTGCAGCGGCCATGCCACAGAGCTTTGGATTGATTTAGCGACAATGCTGGCATTATGTGTTTTCCCATGCGATGCGAAAGTATTTGGCTGGTTGACTGTCACATGTTGATGCAGCATTGTCATGGCTCATGAATGAATTTCCAAATGTCGTGAAGACATTTTAGAAATCAGTAAATTGACCAGTTCACGTGTGTGGTGGTGTTGTTTCATGCCAGTGCTTCGAAGGACGAGTACGAGTACGAGTATCCCGCAGCAAACCAGATATGACACGAAGGCTTACCTAATTCCCGACCTAAGCCTTTTCCGACTTCAATACCTACTCCTCAGGCTGCGTTTCCTCTGTCGTGCATCTCTGCCACCATTCCGTCGTGAGAACGTTGGAGGATTACAGGAGTGCACCGGGATGTATCCTTTGCCATGTCGTCCCTCACTTTCTCTCTATTCTCCTCGCCTACATTAATCTTCCTATTGGCCTTCCTTCTTCGCACTGTTCTCCTAGTTTACGGGATCTACCAGGACTCGGTCTCAGCGCTAAAGTACACAGACATTGACTACTATGTCTTTACCGACGCGGCTCGAGCAGTCTCGAGAGGGTCATCTCCGTACGATCGCGCCACGTATCGGTACACGCCCTTGCTTGCCTGGATCTTGTTACCGACGAGCTGGGGTGGTCTATGGTTCAACTCCGGCAAGGCGCTGTTTGCTGTATCCGACTTGGTTGCTGGGGGACTCATAATGATACTGTTAAAGAGGAGGGGTCTACAAGAACACAAAGCTTTGAGATATGCATGCGTGTGGCTGCTCAACCCTATGGTCGCGAATATCAGTACTCGTGGAAGCAGTGAAGGCTTTCTCTGCGTTCTTGTCATGGCACTTCTTTGGGCGTTTGAGACGAGACAAATTGCACTGGCAGGAGCCCTGTTGGGCCTGAGTGTTCATTTCAAGATATACCCTTTCATCTACGGAGTCAGCATGTTATGGGCCTTGGAGTCCAATACCGCCCGTTCCTCCTCGAATACGATGCTTCAGAACGCATTGCGATTCCTCAATGCTGACCGCATCCTGCTTGTATCAACATCACTTCTTACTTTCATCGCGCTGAACGTCCTCATGTACAACATCTATGGTGCTCCATTCCTTCAACACACCTTCTTCCACCACGTTACGCGCATTGACCATCGGCACAATTTCTCGCCCTACAACACGTTATTATACCTCTCCTCGGCGCAAAAAGCGAACAAGGCAGTCCATGGTCTGGCCTCATCTTTCTCCTTCGAGGCGCTTGCCTTCGTCCCACAGCTACTATTGTCCACGATCTTGATTCCACTTGCAATCGCGAAGGAAGACTTGCCACGTACTCTACTTGCGCAAACCCTGGCCTTTGTTACCTTCAACAAGGTCTGCACGTCTCAATACTTCCTGTGGTACCTCATCTTCCTCCCACTGTACCTTCCGAACTCATCGCTGATTGCACAAACACGACTGGGCGCAACAGCGTTGGCACTTTGGTTGTTGGGTCAAGCGGTGTGGTTACAGCAAGGCTACGATCTTGAATTTCTGGGCAAAAGCACGTTCGTGCCTGGTTTGTTTGCATCCAGCCTGGCGTTCTTCGTTATCAATTGCTGGATTCTGGGTATAATTGTGGCGGACGTGACCAACACATCGGCGGGCACTCGTACAGACATTGCAACACTGTCGCAGCCATCGAAATCAGATCGCGTGTTGGTGATGCCGACCGCAAATGACAGGGCCAGCACGAGCTCTGAGGACAAGGGCAAGACTTCAGAAGGCAGATCGCGGGGAAAAAGCATAGTTGACATGAACCACATCTCCAATGTACATCTAGGGCCAAGAAACCGGGTGCTCAAGAGCAGTTGATGTGTTGAAATGGTTTTCAAGGATGGTGGAGCCGAGTTCGACTCGCTCGTGGGGTGTGCCAGGATTGACTTCTATCCTGCTCGAAGGCGTGTACTATATGAGCGATAGAAAGAAGAGACACCCTTCAAGTGCACACAAAACTTGTGAAACTAGTAGACATAAGAAACCGAAAGAAGGCCTTTATGGCCACCCGTACCTACGTAGGTAGCCTTGGTAGGTAGGTGGTGACAACCCCATACGAAGAACAGTAAATCCCACGCTAAAAGCGGCATGGACAGAAACCATCAATCTTCGACACGACTCACCTTCCGGTCTCTTCTAAACGGTAATAAATCGATTTACAGGTCCGACATGCCAGGCACGAAGCGATCACATGACGGAATGGAGATTGAAACCAAGCCCCCTACCGCTGCGGCCGACGCATCGCCGTATATTCCTGTATTTGAGACTTTCCGTTCCGAACTTGACGAGCATCATAACCGGAGAGAACGGATCATCAAGGCCTCTCGCGACGTAACCGCTCAGAGCAAGAAAATCATCTTTGCTCTCCAGAGGGTTCGCGAGCTCGAACGACCCATACACGCATCTATAGCCAAGCAGATTTCGCCCATGTACAATACTATCCGCGGACTATTGGAGGGCATCGTGCCCGATTTGCAAAGCATCAAAGCGTACCGGTACCAAGGCAACATCTCCGGTGGCATCCAGGAGTACATGGAAGCCGTTCTGTTTCAGCACTACCTCGAGACAAGGCGGTTAATGACCTACGAGGATGCGGCGAGGCAGGTTCCCCAGGGCATTATGCTCACGTACGAGGACTATGCGCTGGGTTTGTTCGATATGACTGGCGAACTGATGCGGTTTGCGATCACGTATATGGCTACAAACGGGCAGATGCCAGGCGGAGAGAAGTCGGTGTTGGCGGATTTGCAAATGCTTCGGGGAGAGCTGGAGGCATTAGATGCGTCGGGAAGTTATTCGCTGAATAGGGATTTCGCGCAGAAAATGAAGACGACGAGGAGCTCGGTGGAGAAGGTCGAGAACGGAGTGTATAGTATGATTGTGCGTGGGAAGGAGAGGCCGAAGGGGTGGAGGCCTGATACGTCGTTGGCAGATGGTCGGGAGGAGCGAGAACCTGTTGAAAGTTATTGAAAGAGTTGATTGTCTCTTGCACGTTTGAAAGACTGGAAGGTTTTGTCGACGTCGGACAAATGCTGGGCTATGTCATGAGCTACTGAAGCATTCGTTGGCTGTTGGCAGGGTATGTCAAGAGCTATAGCACGGTTCTCCTGTTTGCTCTCTCCACTACTCCAGATCATCACATCATGTCTTGAAAACTTAAGAGTACTTTTGTCTACTCTTTGACTGGGTCCTCGTCTGCTTCCAGGATTCCCTCTTTGACCAACTGCTCCGGCTTAGGTCTCTGTTGGATTTTCTGCTCGAGACTGTCGGCACGCATGTGTTTCTCGAGACTGCGTTGGCTGGCTAGCAGTGCAGGGGCAGCGTTTGATTCAGGCAGGATGTTCCCTGGCCGTTGTCAGGGAGAGTACCTGAGCATATGGTATACAGTCACTCACGTTCGACCAATTCCTCTTTCTCCGGGCGCTTCTCGAGTTGCCTTCTTAGACTATCGGTGTGTTGTTGTCGTTCGAGTTCTAGCTGTTTCGCCTGTAGTGCCCTTGACGACCACTGTCAATGCAACCATCCGATGCTGGGCCGGTGTTTAACTCACGGAGCAGCATTAGTGTCAAGTAAGATGTTCCGGTTCTTCAGGTCTTGAGCCTCCGGTCGTAATTGTAAGTGTTTCTCGAGAGAGTTACGGCGCTCAAGCGGAGAGATAGGATTATCGTCAACCTTAAGGTCGGGAGTCGTGCCTTCGTTTAGGTCGTTCGACATTGTGTACTGTGTTTCGTGGCAAGTATCGTATCAGTCTTGTAAGAGAGAGAGTGAATGCAGAATGGTAGACCCTGAAGACAAGTGCTCGTCTGACGTTGCAGTCTGTTGTTATCTGGAGTGTTCACAAGGACCACCCAGGCATGTTGATCGTTTTCGGCTCCCTGGCATCCTCGTTGCCCCGCACTTACCCATCGACATCACGGCTTGTGCCTAATGTGCCTTACCTGCGGGACCAACCTTTTACAGGCACCGAGGCCGCTAATTAAATTGAATTAGGCTTCCATCGTCGCCTCTCGAGGCGCTAAAAAGTCGTGTCCGTGTCACGCGTCACCGTAACGTTTCGTGTGTTCTTTTGCATCATTGCATGCGCCGAACTTGTGTATACAATTTTTACTTCGCCCCAACAACAGTTCCTGCCGACCCTCTGCACCTAACCATTTGGGATCAATCCATACGTCCACTGCAATGTCCTCATCATGTGGATCCTCGAGTCAAATGGCGACTTCCTCCAGGGCAAGCGGATGTGGCTTAAGCCTGGTCAAAGATACCTATTCGGACGAGTGAGAAAAGACGGAGTACTGTTTGCTATTGATCACAAGACGGTTTCGAGAAAACACTTTATCATCGAACTTGAGAATGTTAGCGAGGCTGACGTCGGACATATTCATGCACGCACGAAGCTCAAGATCGTGGACCAAAACTCCAAGGGCGGCACCTCCGTTAACGGCGAGCTCATACGGAATATCTCTAAGGAGTTGACCAGCATCGAGAACTCGATTCGACCGGGTACATGTCCCCACGAGATCATCATCAGATGGGATCCATGCGTGCTCACTTTCAACCTGCTGAAGAAGGAGATCAACGCAGGCGTACTCAAGACAAAGCAGGCTCGAGTCCAAACCCTTGATATCAAGGCAATTAGCAACTTCACCTCCGAACACACAACCCACGTGGTGGCAAACAAGAGAAATACGGCGAAAGGCCTGTTAGCCTTGATTACAGGCAAACATCTCGTGGCGGAATCGTACATCGATGCTCTCGAATACAGTGCAACTCCTCAAAATCTGAGTCAGGAGGAAAATCTGTCTCGACTGGAGACGGACTTTGATAGTGCCTGGCCGGATGAAAAAGACCATCTGCCGCCACCTGGAAAAGAACCAACAATAAGACCTGTCGAGTCATACCAGCCTGATGCATCGCGATTCAACATCTTTGAGGGCTATACGGTTGTATTCGGGGATCAGACCCAATATGACAATCTTATGCCTGTCATCACTAGCGGTCACGGCAAGGCAATACTGTTCAAAGTGTCCAATAACGAGACGACAGTCAATGAGCTCATACAATTTCTCCAAACTGCTGCAGGAAAAAAACCGCAAGGAGAGTTTCGAACGTTGGGTGACGCAAAAGTCATACTGGTTCGCTGGACGGGTAAGGATGATTTCCAGGAATGGACAAACAATCTTATCAATCAGACAGTGTTGAAGACGGATCAGCGGGCCATTGATCAGTCAGAGTTCTTGGATGCTATCCTAGCTAATGATGCCGCCCTACTCCAACAAAGCGTTCCCTTCGAAAGCACGACTGATGGAAAAGTTGCACCTCCACCTTCTGTTGCCAATTCCCTTGTTGCAACAGAGCCTAGTGAATCTCGCTCCGGCGGGCATGCCGTAAGTCAGAGATCCAACAGGGCAGAGCAGGAGCCGCGAGCCGCTTCTCAACCATCGCGAGCACAATGCGCGTCACAGGCGGCGAGCGGGCCTGTTGTGGAAGCGGCTCCCACACAGTCCGCTGCTCGAAATGTGTCACAAGCAAGTAGCAAGGCCGAGACTGTCCCTCATCCGTTCTCAGGACCTCGCTTTACGCAGAAGAGCGGTTTCAGAAATTTCGATGACGAATTTGATCCTGACGCTATCATTGACTATGAGGGTGATGAAAATGAAGACGACGATGAATCGAGTCCGGAAACCCAAATGAAGAGCCAGACACACCAGTCGAAAATCAAGGACGAACCACAGTCCGTTACGAAGAAACGTCGCCGTTCTTCCATTTCAGAAGACGAGAATGCGTTTGCCGATGAACTTGACGACCTCATCCCTGCTGCGGCTGCTTTCAAGCGACAAAAGCTTGGGGAAGGCCAGTCCACCGGGCAGAATGGAAGCATTGCAGCACAGACACGTAAGACCCAGGCTAGAAAGGGAAAGAAGGAAAAAGATATCGATGTTCGAGAAGTGGTCAAAGCACAACGAGAAGAAAAGGAGAAAGCTGCGCTGAAAGAACAGGAACAGCTTGAGGCATTGAATGAGGTCGAGGACAAGTCGCCTGCCAATTTGGTCACGGTTGTTACGATGGACATTCCGCACAGAGAGCGATGCAAGAACATCAACAGACCCAATGGCACTCATGGACCAGAATGGGACCCTAGCTGGAATGGCCGGAAAAACTTCAAGGGCTTTCGGCACAAGGGCGAGGCGCCGCAGCGTAGAGGACACGCCAACAAAGTCATCGTTCCACTCGTCCAGGTCCAAACGCAAACCCATGGCCTGGGTGAGCAGTACTGGCCGAAAGATGCCGAAGAAAAAGACCGCGAGAGAGAACGAAAGAGGAAGGACGAAGCCAGAAGCCAGAGGACTCAAAGCCAGACACAACGCTCAAGCGGAAGATCCAGAGTCCGGGTTCTCTCTGACGAAGAAGAAGATGATCCTGTTGGCGTCGAACCTCGTGACGATGCGGCAGAACAAGCTAGTCCGGCCACGAGCCGGCTTCAACGTGAAGCGGCGGAGATACTCGATCATGAAGTCAATCTTGATACACCAAGGAGGACCCGAGCCAATGACAAGAGCCAAGCCACGAGTTCTCGGGGAAGTGGAGGTGAAGCAACCCAACGCTCGCAAACGCAAACGGCAAAGACGCAGTCCTCGTCGAAGAGAGCAGCGACCTCGGGTGCGAGTACTCGGGAGACGAAGCGGCAGAAGACACTGCCTGTCACCGTTGTGCGTGGGACTGATGATGGGGACGAAGATAGCGATGACATGAAATTTCGGTTTGGAGCACGGAAGGGAAGGGCAGGCGCAAGAGGCAAAGGCTAAGGCTAAGGTGAGCCAAGGCACTGGGACATCGGCACTCCGGCCGCAAGAGAGCAAGTGTAGTAATAAAGACTCTTGTGCTCTCTAACTCTTTCATTGGGCGAGAAAGTTGCACAAGGCTGAACCCCCTGAAACGATCCTTTCATATCAGCGATTCAGCCTTCCACCATGACTGGACGGCAAAGGAAAACGTCTCGATGGTCGAGTTCCGACTTTGGTAGAGATCTTGGCGTAGCCAATCATCGAAAGTCTCGTACAGCCTCGTTGTCCTTGCTTCAGCCTCGTAAGCCCGCTAGGTAACTATGACTGTAGCAGCACACTGTTCACGACAGAGATCTGCAGCCATTTCGCGCCAACATTGATTACACCTACAGTTTGAATGACAAAAAAGCTCAGGCGGGAGTAGGCATGGGCCGGCATCGAGGCAGTTTCGTGACGCGTTTGCTTTAGAATCACGCAAAAGGGAAGTAGTGACAAGATTGATAAAATGTCGACGTCTAGGAAGCGAGAAGAGGCACGGAGACGCTTTCGTAGCTTCTTGTAGCTAACTTAAGCACAAACAGTACCATGTACCATTTGGACAAGTCTGACAATACATGATCGTCTCGACCTCCCAAGACATGCCGGTCGATCTCCGCCAGAGATACGGGCCGGGGCTGTGGTAAAGGCGTTTCGCCCCCTGGCATGTGAGAGATAAGTAACCGAAAGTGAACCTGGGCCTTCATATCTGTTGTGTCCTTCTTACACAGGGCTTCGCCTGGAATCTCGATCTCGATATGTGCCTGGAGTTTGGCATTTCTCTCGTCGACACACCTGCTTCACTCGTTTTCTTTCGGAAAATCCCGAGTGAGGATTTCATTTGAGGCCGGACCTCTGTTTCGTGATGACTCGTCTTGCTTATGCTGTGGCGTCACGGGAATTGGAGCCAAACAGGCCGTTGATATCGCTTCTCGAGACCGCCTCGAGATCCCTTGCATAATTTGTTTGAAGGCAGTCTAAAGACGTCGCCAATGGGCGCGGGGAAAATGGTTGTAAGCATCAAATCCACAACCGTATCCATCTGGTTACTGGATGCCACCACTGCCGCAATCACCAAATCTGGCACTGTAGTTCCGACTTCATTGAAGGAACAACAGAGAACAATTTGCTGCGCAAATAAGTCCTTGATCTCTCCCGGGGCCATGCAGTAAGAACGCATATCCAAAGCTCATAAATCGTGATGTAAATAGCCCTTGGATGGGGCCTCTCAGCTTGCGGCTAAAGGGTCATGACACGCGTTGCTTTTTGAAGACGTTGGCGCTAGGTTTGAAACCCTTCTCGTCGCGTTGCCGCTTTCGCTCGATTTCCTCCTTCATGATTCTTTCTGCTTCGCTCATAGGTCTTGAAGTGCTCGTAGTAAGAGGCTTTTTCGATCCTGCGAGAGGGTTTCTCTTGGAAGCTGCTGCAAAGACGTTCTTTGGCTTGGCTGAGGCAGCACCAAAAGACATCGAAATAGGCGCCTTAGGTTGTGCCGACTGAATGTTGGCTTCCGAAGGATCTGGCGAATTCGCGGCGTTTGGCCGAGGCGTCGCCGCGGCAGACCCGGCTTGAATCTTTTCTTGTTCGGAAATGGACTCCTCTTCGTCGGATAGTGGAGGCGTAGGAGGCTGAGTCGTCTCCGTAGTTGATTTCTTTGCACCAAAGCTGAGGACAATCTTTTCACCGTCTTTGCGTTTGATGCCACCACCTTCAGCATGGACTCCCACATCAGGCTCCTCTTCATCTCCCAATGTCTCGTCCACTGTTTCACGCCTGGCCCTTCGAATCTGCTCCTGTATCATTCTCTGTTCACGCTCCTCGTCACCACGATCCTGCGTTTCTCTTTTCCTTAATGCTTCCTGTCTTCGTAATGCATCCGGGCTATTATCGATCCAGCTAATTGTCAAACCGCTCGCGCCGGTTTTACCATCATTCTTGTCGTCCTCGTCCACTCGGCACAGTCCCTGCCTACCCAGATGTTTCGCGAATTCGGTCAAGCTGGGCCACTTCGTGGCATTCATATGGATATGTTCCTTATTGTGGATGTATTCCTGGTAGAAGTGGTTCACGTTCACTTTTTTCTCTCCATGTCCCGTTCGCAGCAACTGTAGAAAGTCTCTGTGGAACTGGTTCGAGAAATCATTTATGGCTTTCCGCGGATCTTCGCCGATGATCTGCATTTGTCGCACATGAGATTCTGCTGCGACATGGCACTTGAAGCCGTTCTCATCCCGCATTTGCCGTTGGCATGCCTGACAATACCATCGCAACCGCTGAAGTCCTTTCGACTTCATCTGGTTGGCGATGTGCTTCGTCGACCCAACTTCGGCTCGCGGCATGATTGCGGTGGTATACGAACGAACAGGTGGATAGTGATGGGAAGTAGATCTTGTGGACTGAGAGAGAGGGGCTCGGCGAGTGCGAAAGAGTGAGAAGTCGGTATGGCCAACTAAGTTGTAAGTCGCTGAAAGTTGGGTGACTTTCGTAGGCGCAGACTCACGCAGATCATGAAGTGGCGGACCGCCAAGATTGGCAAGGCTACCTCACGTGCTAGGACCGCGTCGCACGTGACTACGGCCTTGTGACGTACTTACCTACTCGATATACCTTAACCTACCAATATTCCGGAATGGAATGAATATACAATTTCACGTGTAGGTTGAGCCAATCCGCCTTCATTAGCCTTCATCTAGTGCCTGCCAGTCCAGTATCTGCCAAGCAGAGGAAAACCATAGCCCAAGATGAATGATGCTGTGGCAATGCAATACCACGAGATGTAGAACACCGGCCGCAGCTTCAGGTCCCAGTTACGCAGAAGCCATTCTTGTGGACCTACCCTTCAGTCTTCTGACTCGGAACTCGACGAGATGTACTTTTGCCCTTTTTTGCTGTTTTATGTGACATCGATTTGGGTTGGGTCAGTGGGTAACGGCCAGGTGGGTTTGGCAGAAAGTTGTGATTGTCACGGACTACCTAGTCCAGCATTGGCGACCCGCGGTGCATTCAATCGTGTACGTGTTCGACCTACGGAGAATTCAGTGCTAGCATGATAGCATTGCAAGCCTCCTTGTGGGAGCTGAAGAAGACAGGCCGAGATGCTTTGGAATTGCAAACGATGAGGCTGAGCCATCTCTACGCCAAGATCCAGGACTCTCAATTCGGCCGACAATACGAGAACTGACTTAGATGGCTGGATCTTACTTTCCCGATCTTTACAACCTAGACACTCTATCCGTAGGTTTCTCAAAGCAGGTTTTGGGGCTTGAAAAGCCTTTTTCTCTTTCCGAAAGGAAATACCTGCCTTATGAAGTGGCCGCTTGAGGGTTAGGAGAAGGCAGAATGCCTTATCCATGTTTCCAAGGTCAAATTCCGTGCAAAGGCCAGGCTCCTGATCATCCCAGTAAGCGAGGACTTTATTTTCCGACTTATCATTGTTCCTCTGCCAAGCTACCACTCGCTTGAGGTTCTTATCTCACTCCACCTGATTAACGAAGTACTTTAGTGGTGTGTTTCGAGCAGGCTCTCATCCAGGGGACAATTTCTCCTTATGGCAGTGTGCATAGGCGCTTGCAGAGACACGTGTGTGAGCCTTGCATGTGATTTGCCTTGCCCGGAGTGTGGTTGTCGTGAGAAGTAGCGGCCAACGAGAAGGCGGCGAGGCTGTTTACGGATGGCATGAAAGAAAGAGGAGCACTATTGCACTCTGCGGCACAGCCCACTGACTGTTTTGAATCGACGATTGTTTTGAGGAACACGAATTCAACACGAAGTCTGCCGTGGCTGCATGTTTTGGTCGAGACGGCACGTTGAGCAGTACCTTTTCCGGAAATAGGCTCACCCTCTGCTGCATAACCGGTCTAGAAGACATCAATCCCCGTGATTTTCAGGGTCAAAATTCACAACGTTCCCGTAAAGTCGATCATAATAAAGTCACAAACTGAGTTCGACCGTCACAATTATCGTTTTACGCTCTTGCCCACCCGTGTCTGATGCTGATCTCCCAACGGCCAGACGGGTCGACAGCCTCTACGAAAGAAGAGTAGAGTGGGTCGCCAATCCAACAATGAGGATGGCCCTTGCTAAGGGGTATTAAAGTTGTTAGTGACCACATGTCACGACAGTCATGAGGCTCGTTCCGAAGTGCGGCGTTTCTCGAGGACTTTGCCTTTGTAATGGTTGAGTATCTTTGCTATAATTAGCCCACTTGTAACCACGTTTAGATGACTCAACCACACAACGAGGCCGGAGCCTATTCTGGTGGGACGGTGTCACCGGAACGTAGGATCAAGTTCGCCGATGACCAATTTCCCGGGCCAAAGCCGTGAATGGAAAGTGTTTATGCGGTCCTAGGTCTTGACTGTTCAATGTCGAGATTTGTGATCACCAGCGTAATTCGCAGCAGGCCATAGGTGGATTTTGTGTTAGGGGATGACTGTGGGCACGGGACACGTTATAAAAAGCGGTTTTGTGTCCAAGTCATACAGCGGGAGTGCCGCCGCAGCCGTCAGAAACAGAGTGCTGGATCGTGGCACCTCTGGTTGGGTCGCCATGTGAGGCCATAACCCTTATAGTAAGCCACATGCTATGAGCAAGGATGAACTGAAGCAGGGTTGGCGCTGTAGTGGATCCTCGGGTACTTCGGGAGCATGGATATTCTGGCGCAGGTGGCGTCCAGGTGGCTGATGATAAGCGTGATGGTAAATCCTGACTCTTGGACTTTTTGGGTTATGTGACCAAAAGCCGGTTTCCAAAACCGGAAAGATGATTGTGTTTGGACAAACACGGCTGGTCTGGATGGGAATTGTTTGCTTGGTATTCCTTTTGTCTTTCGTGGCCAGGACATTGACTTTGACAACGCGGGTGAGATGTTTGAAATCATAAGTTAAACATCCCAGCAACAATTACTATCCATAGTATGACGCGCCCCCTGTCAGCATACGACATGGCATGTCAACATGTCACTTTTCTGGATACCAACAGAGGAGCCATGAGGGCCCTAGAGGGCAAATCTTCCAGGGATGGCGATAAGGAAAAGAAAATCACCCATGCAAACCCACAGGTAAAACGACCCTCAACGTAATGAAAAGGGCATAGTGTGAGCCAAGATCATGGCCGCCCGGTGACCCAGTCAGATGTTTGTTCCAACGTCCAACCATCAATTCCCCTTGGCTGTCCACCATCATGTCCCGAGATATCGTGTACCACATTTATGCACCCTTCTGTTCTCCAAGCCACTAAGGTGAGTTGCTGATCCCAGGCATTGTTTCCCTTGGGACGGAGCCTTGAGTCTCTTTTTCGCTCCGAATGCTACAGGCACCCGTACTCATACTGATTTGGACCAGTTCAGCCCCCTTGTGCTGCAGGAACACGCACAATCCTACGCGTGCGGCCCGCCAGCATGTAAGAAAGAGATTTTTCATCGCGCCTCATCACCAAGGACCCATGGCCTGCTCACCCGCTGGAGCCACTGTCAACCCTGCTGGGTTGCCATGTTTCGAACGCCTTGTCGTCATCATCCGCAAGGTACGCGAATGCACCCGTGTTCGCTAATCGGAAGCATTCTGTGCAGTATAATGTATGGCTGCGATAAGACCAGCGTATGATGTTTCAGAAGGTGAGTAATCCTCGAACTAACGTTGCTAATGGGCACTGCAGTGCTAGACTGTGAACAATTTTACGCCCTCTGGGAGACAGAGCATTGGTCTTGTCAGCGGAAACAGTCGCCGACACATGACGAATTGCTACTCAGGGACAATTTTCATCTCCACGTTCATGTACTGTAACCGCTCCATTGTCATATGCAGGTTTTAGCTTTTTATGGTATCATCCCTGTACCACGATTGGATGTTGCACAACCATGAAGTCCTGGCCTGAACCTGGCGATATCCGTTTTCGTGTTTCGTCGTCCGGGTCTGACCTGGTAAAAAACAACGATGTCTTGCCCAGGCCAAATGGCAAGCATCATATGAGTATTATCAGCCTTATCACTCGCCAATACAACCCTTGGCCTCCTAACACCGCAGCATCTATTACGCTCAAAGCCGATGGCGGATGCCACGCTGGCTCTTCTGAATCGATGTCACCATATCATAACCTTTTCCGGTACCCATTCGTGTGGCTCTTTGTTCACATATGAGGCACAGCCTTCTCAAAGTCACTCTCTTAGAAGGCTGTGGTTTGCTGACTGTGGATGGAGCAGCCTACGTATGGTTCCGAATCAAGACATGTCCACCGGCCAGGAGAACTGGGTAACTTGGATGCCGCTCCGGGTCTCTCCAACATGATTGTCGTTTTCTGGCAATTCCGCTTGGAGGAAACCTTGGTCCTTAGCTTGCAAGTATGCATAAGCCTCATGGTGGATGCTATCGATGTGGCAGAGCAAGGCTTATCGTGTCTCAACTATCCACCTAATAGGGGAATAGTGTGATGAGCGCTTCGCTTGCGCTGAGTCTCAACACCTCCTTCCTACCCTTGCGACTGACTTCATAGCCTCCATCGACAATCCGCTCATGAGGAGCCCGCCGAGGTTTCTGCACGCGGCGTCAGCGCTGGACACGAGAAGGTAGGGCACCCGTACTCAGGAGGGTGTGGCAAGTCCCCCAGATACTGTCGTATTTCTGCTTCTCATGCCATCCTCTCTTTTGCCATCTTGTCCCGTCTCTTTCACGGTCTAATCTTTCTTACAAACATCTTGCACCCTCGCGGCTGCGTACATTCGCTTTCGTTGTCTCAGTCAGTCGTTTTCGCCAGGTCTCTCGTTTTATATTCTGCTGCTTAACAATGATGTCTAATGTTTGGATTTTGAGTACATTTCTTCTCTTCACGATTTCCTATGCATACAGATACGATCCTGCTTACGTCCAGTGGAACCTAAATCAGAACAAGACAGCTGTCAACCCACTGGACTATTGGGGAGAGTGGTCTGGACATGACTATACGCCATCACCCTCAAACTGGAGATTTCCTTTTTACACACTCTTCCTCGACAGATTTGTGAACGGTGACCCTTCAAACGATAACATTAATGGAACTTCCTACGAGCATGACCTCAACTCAAACCAGATGCGCCACGGAGGCGATCTCCTGGGGTTGGTGGATACCTTGGACTATCTCCAGGGCATGGGTATCAAGGTACATCGTTCTATCATCGTCGACAAGGCTGGACTAATGTTGCTGTAGGGCATCTACATAGCAGGGTCTCCTTTCATCAACACTCCATGGGGCTACGATCAATACTCACCGCTCGACCTCTCCATCCTCGACCAGCATTTCGGCGACATTGAGATGTGGCGCACAGCTGTTCAAGAGATACACACACGGAATATGTATGTTGTCTTGGACAACACCTTTGCCACACTAGGAGACCTGATCGGGTTCGATAATTACCTCAACACCACGACTCCATTCACACTGGCCGAGCACCAAGTACAGTGGAAGACAGATCGTCACTATCACGATTTCAATATCGGCGATGACTATAACAAGACCTGTACCTATCCCAAATTCTGGCTGGAAACTGGATACCCTGTCGGCGACGATGTCACCAGCCAGATGGTCGGCTGCTATGATAGCGACGTACGTGATAACAGTCTCTGTTGTGCTGAGTGACAATGCTAATCGTACATATAGTTTGACCAGTATGGCGATACCGAAGCCTTCGGTGTCTTTCCAGATTGGCGGCGTCAACTCTCCAAGTTCGCGTCCGTTCAAGACCGTCTCCGTGAATGGCATGAACCTGTTCGCCAAAAGTTGGAAAACTTCTACTGCATGCTCATAGCGAATCTGGACATCGATGGTTATCGCTACGATAAGGCCACTCAGAGTACCATTGACGCCATGGGCGCCATGAACGATGCCATGCGTACGTGTGCCAGGAGGTTTGGCAAGCAAAACTTCTTCACACCGGGCGAAATCACTGGTGGCAACGTGTTCGGGTCACTTTACCTTGGCCGCGGTAGACAGCCAAATATGCAGCCGGACAACCTGACCGCTGCGGTGACCATGACCAACAACTCTGCAGACAAATACTTCCTCAGGGATCCAGAGCATAACGCACTCGACGCTGCTGCTTTTCATTACACAGTCTATCGTACTTTGACCAGGTTCCTTGGCATGGATGGAAATCTTGAGGCTGGCTACGACGCACCACCCAACTGGGTCGATATGTGGAACAGCTTCCTTATGACGAACGATTTCGTCAACCCAAACACTGGACTCTTCGATCCCAGACACATGTACGGCGTCACTAATCAAGACGTGTTTCGCTGGCCCTCCATTACCAATGGAGTCCATCGGCAACTTCTCGGCCACTTTGTTACTACCATTCAAATGCCTGGCGCGCCACTGCTCCTATGGGGTGAAGAGCAGGCCTTCTATGTCCTGGACAATACAGCGTCCAACTACATTTTCGGCCGACAAGCCATGTCTTCCGCGACTGCATGGCAAACTCATGGCTGCTATCACCTCGACAGCACTCAGTTCTTCAACATGCCCCTTAATTCCACACGACATGGCTGTCAAGACGACACCGTAAGCTATGATCATAGAGATCCTTCTCATCCTGTACGAAACATCATTCACCACATGAATATCTTGCGCGAACAATTTCCAGTCCTCCAGGATGGATTTTTCTTGCAGCAACTCTCAAACCAGACCGAGCAAATTCAATATCCTGGGTCGGGGACAGTGACAACAGAGACTGGTATGTGGTCCGTCATGCGATCAGGTTTCCCAGGTGTCCAGGATCTCAGCGGCACTGGAGCTGGCAATCTGCCCATCTGGCTCCTTTACTCGAATGCAAATGCCACTACCACCTACACTTTCGACTGCAACGACAACTCGACCGACCTCAATACTACGAGTTTGATTGCACCATATGATGCCGGTACTGTCGTCAAGAATCTCTTCTATCCATACGATGAGCATACTCTCAGTGACAGCATCCACAAACTGGGTATCAACGGTTCAACAAATCCTAATGGTTGTTTGAGCAGTCTGGACATGGCTGCGTACGACTTCCGAGCCTACGTTCCCATTGATGACTGGGTTGGTCCCAAGCCCATGATCACCAAATACAGCCCTGGACACGATATTCGCCTTCAATCCACCGCCAACGCAAGTGGGACTGAATCGGTCGATATCGAACTCGAATTTTCTGTGGAGATGGATTGCGACAGTGTCACGAATAGCATCACTTTCAATTCCACTACCGATTCTGGTACCACGCCCACAATCGATCAGAACAGCATCAAATGCGGCAATGTCAGTACCCCTGGAACAATGCCTTACGTGGGCAGCATTTTGTCGGCGTGGTCCTGGTCAGCCACGCTCAATGGCGTCTCGAATGGAATCCACGCCATAACCGTCAAAAACGCGACTTCCCAGACGGGTCAACATACGAATGCCGTGGACAGATTCTTGTTCCGAATAGGTCAGGCTGACAATCCTATGGTCTTCCCCAGAAGCGCCAATTATTCATCCAGTCTGCTCACTAAGAGCGAGAATGGATCCCTCATCGTGTCTCACTCTGCAGCTGGAGCAGACCAATGGCGGTACAGCACGAACTGGGGCTCGTCATTCTCTGCTTGGATGCCGTACCAAGGTGGAAAATCACAGATCGAGGAGCAGGCCTGGTCTGGCACTCGTGTACAAGCTTGGAAAGGTACCCATGTCCGCGTCGAGTACTTCAGTCGTCTGGCTGGCAGCAGCGACCACATACAAGAAAGTGACTTAAACTCCGACACTCCTCGACGGTTTCCTCATCTCTTCCTGAATGGCCCGTACAATCAATACGGCTATGATGCTGGCTTGAAAAACCAAATGACGCTGACCAGTAACGCTACCTGGGAACACCATTTCATGACGGAATGGAGTCTTTCTGGTGCACTGGCCCAAATCAACGTATGGGGCATCAACCCGGACGGCCAGCCAGATGAGACGATTGTGATGGGTGACGCAGATGGAGACTCTATTCTCGATCGCCTTCCTCCATCTTCACTTTCATCTGTCGTCCTGAACATTACGCAGCCGCCCCCCAAGCCACATCTGGGTTGGCGGGTCGTCATCAATGATGGCTCCCTTCGCTTCCAACTCGTACCGTCTGGAAATATGTGGAGCCAATTGATCCTATACATACTGCTATGGATTGTGCCCATCATTACCGCGGCATTTGGGGTCTGGTCGTTCATGCAAAGCTTCTACCAAGTCAAGTTCAACGAAGTTGGCATATCCGAAAAGGCTGGAATGATACCAGCCGCGTTGAAGAAACAATTCAAGAAGCTCCGAGACGAGGAAGACTCGCCTGGCTTTCTGGCGAAATTCAGTCGGAAACCCAAGTTCCTGCAGCAAGCAGGTACCGTGATCGACCAACAACGGCGCCGCACCGTCTTGATTGCAACGATGGAGTACGATATCGAAGATTGGGCGATCAAGATCAAAATTGGTGGCCTCGGTGTCATGGCCCAGCTAATGGGCAAGAATCTTGGTCACCAGGACCTAATCTGGGTTGTCCCTTGTGTCGGCGGTGTGGATTACCCTGCGGACAAGGAGGCTGATCCTATGACGGTGACTATCCTCGGCAAGCCGTACGAGGTGCAAGTACAGTACCACGTTCTGCGAAACATCACTTACGTCTTGCTCGATTCGCCTGTCTTCCGCCAACAAACAAAGTCTGAGCCATATCCACCTAGGATGGACGACCTGTCCTCGGCCATCTACTATTCGGCATGGAACCAGTGCATCGCTCAGGCCATCAAACGGTTCCCTGTTGACCTCTACCACATCAACGACTATCACGGCTCGGTCGCTCCTTTGTATCTTCTTCCCAGGACGATACCTACATGCTTGTCTCTGCATAATGCCGAGTTCCAGGGCCTCTGGCCCATGCGGACGAAGCAGGAACGCCAGGAGGTATGCTCAGTCTTCAATCTCTCTACGGAACTTGTTCAACGCTACGTCCAGTTCGGAGAAGTGTTCAACCTGCTTCATGCAGGAGCTTCGATCTTGAGAGTGCACCAGCAAGGTTTCGGCGCTGTCGGCGTGTCCAAGAAATACGGCAAGCGCTCGTACGCCCGATACCCCATATTCTGGGGCTTGAAAAAGGTTGGCAAGCTGCCCAATCCCGATCCTTCAGACACTGGCGAATGGGACAAGCAGCTCCCGAAAGAGTCAGACATCCGTATCGACCCTGAGTTCGAGGCGAGGCGTCCTGAATTGAAGCGTCAGGCACAAGAATGGGCCGGCCTAGACCAGAAGCCAGACGCCGAATTGTTCGTCTTTGTAGGCCGGTGGTCGATGCAGAAGGGTGTCGATCTGATTGCGGACGTCTTCCCGTCGATTCTCGAGTCTAATCCTAAGGTGCAACTTATCACGATCGGGCCAGTCATCGATCTATACGGTAAATTCGCTGCCCTCAAATTGGACCGGATGATGAAGCTTTATCCGGGCAGAGTGTTCTCCAAACCTGTCTTCACTGCACTCCCGCCATTCATCTTCTCTGGGGCGGAATTTGCGTTGATACCCTCACGAGACGAGCCTTTCGGATTGGTCGCCGTCGAGTTTGGTCGTAAAGGTGCGCTTGGTGTGGGTGCTAGAGTCGGTGGATTAGGACAAATGCCTGGCTGGTATGTATTTGTCCTTTACTCTTCGGAATGATGTTCTGATACTAACATGGTCATTTCAGGTGGTTCACGGTCGAATCGATGACAACCACACACTTACTCCACCAATTCAGACAAGCCATCGACGAGGCATTAAGCTCGAAGACTGAAGTCCGGGCGCTTATGAGAGCCCGCTCAGCCAAGCAACGTTTTCCTGTTGCGCAATGGGTGGAAGACCTGGAAATCCTCCAGTCGACAGCTATCCGCATTCATGACAAGGTTGAGGCTACGAAGCGGCACTCCGCCGCCGGCGAAATGATCTGGCCCAGTGCTGGGTGGATGACGCCTGGAGGAAGCACAGTCACTCCGTCTTTGGCACACTCGCGGACTTCAAGTTACTCCGCCATGCACTCTCTAACTGCACGTCTTCGAGGTCTCGCCCAAACCCGTGAGCCAAATCAGGAGGCAACCGAGCGAACAAGCCCAGGACTTTCGCGATCGGCTTCTCTCGGATCACGCCGTGGTCCTGGCCACATCAATGCCCGGGACGCTCACGACGGCTTAGAGTCTAACGTTCCCCAAATCCTGCCACCAGTGATTGATGTTGAAGGGGATGATACAGGCATTGGCACAGCGATCAGCCATTATAACGAGGACGAGGCGGCAGAATCAGACAGCGAGTACGACGAAGCCGACGAGCCGATCACCATGCCCTCACAGACTCGGGGTCGGTATGAAAGAGTACCCGTGAATGGAGATGAACCACTGTCACCTCCTCGAACTCCCGGCATGGAGTTGACACCAATGCCAAACCATAGGCTGCTCCCAGATGGTAGTCCTTCACTTCCGTCGTCTCCTATGCCAGGATCAGGCTTTCTTATCCCACCGCCACCAGTCATGGCCGAAGCAAACAACCGGATATCTGCGAGTCCTTCGTTACTTTCGATGAATTCGATCATCGGCGAGAAGACAGACTTCAAGCTTCAGCAGGTTGATCCTTTCTTCACTGACAGCCAAGGCGAGTTCGCGCGAGCTTTTGAGAAGAAGTTGGAAAATCTCAATGCCAGTAACTCTGAGGGAAACGTCTGTATCGAAGAGTTCCTTGTCAAGTCCGAGAAGCAATGGTTCGATACCTTCCGCAACGTCAAATTGGGTCGACACCACGTCTTTTCCTCCAACTCAAGCTTTATGGGTGCGCGTGAGTCACGTCCAACCTCAAGCTACGCGCCCAGCGAGCCTGGCTCATCGGAGCAGGACGCGAACAATCTGAATGAGGAGTTCTTGCTCGGAAAGGACTACAAACCACCTACCGGTCTAAGGAATTGGATGCAGCTACGCGTCGGTGACTGGCCTGTGTATGCCTTCTTCATGGGTTTTGGGCAGATCATCGCGGCCAACTCGTATCAGATCACCCTGTTGACAGGTGAAGTCGGTCAGAAAGCAGACAAGCTGTACGCCATCGCCGGCATCTACGCCGCCACATCGCTCTGTTGGTGGTTCCTATACCGGCGCTTTGCCTCGCTGCTCTGCCTTTCGCTACCATTCTTCTTCTACGGCTTAGCATTCATCTTGATCGGAACCGCGCACTACGCTTCGAGTGCCGGCGGACGAGGCTGGATTCAAAACGTCGGCACTGGCATGTACGCGGCAGCGTCCTCTTCGGGCTCCATCTTCTTCGCCCTGAACTTCGGTGACGAAGGCGGTGCACAGGTCAAAGCATGGGTCTTCCGAGCTTGTGTGATCCAAGGCACTCAGCAAATCTACGTCGTCGCGCTATGGTACTGGGGCTCTTACCTCAACAAAAGCACCTCGAATGGTCTCGAGACAGCCAGTGACTCGATATCTTCGACATGGAAGATCACCGCCATCACACTGCCTGTTGCCATGTTGCTCTGGGCCGTCGGCCTGGTCATGTGGTTTGGCCTGCCGACCTATTACCGGCAAGCACCCGGCAGAATGCCTAGTTTCTACAAGAGTCTGGCCCGTCGCAAGATCGTGCTGTGGTTCTTCTTCACCGTGGTCATCCAGAATTTCTTCCTGTCCGCGCCTTACGGTCGCAACTGGTCCTTCCTATGGAGTAGCTCGCATGCCCAGGCGTGGCAGGTCTTGCTCCTGGTTGTGTTGTTCTTCATTGGTGTGTGGGCAGGCTTCCTGTGGCTGTTTGCCATTCTCTCGAAATCTCACAGCTGGATTCTGCCACTGTTTGCCATCGGCCTTGGTGCACCCCGGTGGGCTCAGATCTGGTGGGGCACGAGCAACATTGGTCTCTACTTGCCTTGGGCTGGTGGCTACACCGCGTCGGCACTGTTGTCGCGCTCTTTGTGGCTGTGGCTTGGCACGCTGGATTCGATCCAAGGTGTCGGACTGGGCATGATTCTGCTAGCGACACTCACCCGTGTTCATGTCGCTTTCACGTTAGTCACGGCACAAGTTCTCGGTTCTGTTGCGACGATGGTGGCAAGAGCCTGCGCACCGAACAAGATTGGTCCTGGTCCTATCAGTCCTGACATCAGCGGGAGTGTGTCAGAGATCTGGACTGCCTGGTTCTGGATTGGGCTTGCATTGAATTTGAGCGTCTGCTTTGGCTATTTCATGTTTTACCGCAAGGAGCAACTCAGCAAGCCTTAAGCGGGAGACGGATTGGAGGTAAAAGTTCTGTAATTTCTTTTCGACTCCTCAAGAGGAGAACGATACATAATAGGGATGGAATTGGACATTCAAATATATCAATGAGCCAAATCGCGAACCAAGCTCGTATCTAGCTTTGGAAGGTGGTTCGTTCACGCCTTCAGAAGCTATATGGCATACAATTTCGTTATGTCTTCTCACCTGGTGCAAGGAGAATGCAGCCTCCTCATGTGAGGGGTCTCTGCTTCGCCGGTGCTACTGCAGAGCAAAATAGCACGAAGCGCGATCGATATCGATAAGGCCGTCGCTGAGATATTAACGCAGCATCTTCAACCCACCTTCCCACCCATGGCTGGTGGTGAGGATGAGGACGAGTAGCTTGAGCTCCAGCTCGAGGGCATTTTCTCCTCTTCCGAGATGTCGCGCATGCCGTCCAGGCTTCTTCCGGCCGCTTCAACCACAGAAAAGATCATTCCAGCGAGACAGCAAGCAGGCCATCCCGGACTTTGCATTCGCATTTGAGTGAGTAGTCAGCCAACACCGCCCACCTTGCTTCTCGGATTCCTCCTGACGACTTGTCACAGTATAGACGGAGTCCTCGTCCGCAGCGCCAAACCCATCCTCCACGCCTCCACGACCCTGCAATTCCTACAACGCAACTCCATTCCCTTCATACTCCTCACCAATGGCGGCGGCAAACATGAGTCCGAACGAGTCAAAGACCTCTCCGAGAAGCTCTCCCTATCCCTCGACACCTCAATGTTCGTCCAGTCGCACACGCCCTTCGCCGAGATGGTCCACGGCGAGGAGAACTTGCGAGACAAATGCATCCTGGTCGTAGGCGGCGAAGGCGGCCGGTGCAGGGGCGTCGCCGAGAAATACGGCTTCACCAACGTCGTAACGCCGGGCGATATCTACGCGGCTCATCCAGAAATTTCGCCATTCAGCGGACCCTTCAAGGACTACTATCGGTCTTTTGCACGGCCACTGCCCAAACCAATCAACCCATCCTCGCCGAAAGACAGTCTCAAGATCGACGCGGTATTCGTGTACAACGACGCGCGCGACTGGGGTCTAGATCTACAAGTGATCATGGACGTCATGCTATCCCACCGAGGCATCATGGGCACCGTCTCATCCAAAAACGGCGACACGTCGCTGCCCAACAGCGGGTTTCTCCAGGATGGCCAACCGCGGTTGTACTTTTCCAACCCGGATCTCCTGTGGGCAGCCGATTACCATCTCTCGCGGCTCGGACAGGGCGGTTTCTGCGCAGCAGTCGGTGGACTATGGCAGGCTCTGACGTCCAGCAAGAACCACCCAACTCCAAGATTGTATATGAAGGTCATCGGCAAACCGTACCGATTGACGTACCAGTTCGCCGAGAAGCAATTGATCCGACACCGCGACGAACTTTTCCACGAAAAAGCCCCGCCGCTGAAGAAAGTATACATGGTGGGCGACAATCCCGAGAGCGACATTAAAGGCGCCAATAGCTACGTATCGCCTCACAAGGTCGAATGGGTGAGTCTGTTGACGCGCACGGGAGTATTTCAGGATCGAGAGGGACACCGACCTAATCATGAACCTCGTGCGATTGTCGACGACGTCAAGGCTGCTGTCCAGTACGCGTTGAAAGATAGCAATTGGCATGAGAGCTTGGAATAACTATAGCTTGCCTTACGACCTGGATTGGAATGGAATAGACGGATGGGGTACATATATCATGAGACACAGAAGACGACCTGTCTGCACAATTGCCCAACATCTACAAAATATTAGCTACACGAAGTTGAATGTATCTCCCGCGCGATCATGGATCAGTCTGCCCACCCTCTCCGTGCCAACGATACGCTCCAGCTTCAAGGCATCCCACTTCGAGAACAGCGCCCTTACGGCAGCACTTTTGAGATTAGCATTAGCATGTCCGCCTGGCTCTCCGATTCCCAATAACGCGATATTCTCGGTCCAGAAACTGGGGTTCTCAGGGACAGAGTAGAAGAAAATCTTCTTCACCCCTTTCAAGCGGTACCGGAAATGATGGTGCGCGCGCTCCGAGTACAAGAGCAAAGCGTGGCGACCGGACAAGAAGTGCGAGCGCGCACGCAACACGTCCCGCTTAGGCGTGTACTCTGACACGGATCCGAAGGAGAGACTCGTCGCGTCCGGCGATGTCGAAAGGTGATTCCGTAGACGAACGAAATCAGCGTAACTCGTCGCATAGAGCAGTATGCCATTGTTTCGTCGCGAGTCGCGCACCAAGTTCGGCAGGATGGTCGTGGTGAAGAACTTGAACCGCGCGTCCGCATCGGCGAGCGGGTTGGGTGACGGAACTCTCAGAAATGTCTGTGAGACGCTGCTCGGGAGGACCGACGACACGGAGAGCATGGCGCCAGGGTATATGGGCTGGAACTTGGCGCGACCTGCGACATTGAACATATGACCTGATGCGAGGGCGTTGATCTCGGGCGTCAAAAACTCAGAGAAGATGATGGTTTGGCGCAAGTACTTTGCCTGGCCGTCGAGGGACCAGTGGCGCACGCGCGAGAAGTCGCAGCCGTGCGAGTCCTTGGGTAGTAGATTGAGTTGGGAAAAGACATAGTCGACGTGCTGCCAGTTTTGCATTTGTAGGGCGTTGGCGTGGTCCACGATCACGACTTCAATGGATGACAAGAAGTCCGCGTCGTGAGCTTTCTTTTTGTCGTTCTTGCTTGTTCCACCGCCTGTGGTGATCGTGCGCATCAGCCCCAGCGGAGAGCCGAAGATGATGTCTGAGTTGTAGAAGCCGGAGAAGTATTTGATGGTTTTCCTCGTGAATTTCAATCCGACTCGGAAGTCTTCCTCGTGGTTGCCGCCGAATAGTTGCCGAAAGTCCTCAGGCTTGTCTTGCCACTCGTCTGGATCTTCGTGAGAATATGTCTCGAGGAAACGGGCTTTGTTTTCTTGCTGTTCTGGCTCGCTGAGTTTGACGATACTGTCGACGAAGCGGACACATGCTTGTTTCGTGGGGACGACGATGAGGACTTTCGGCCGGGTGAAGCCTTGATCTCGCAGATCTAGAGTGTCTGCATTGGACTGTGTGCGAAGCTTCTCATTGTTCTTGAGAACGCGGTCCCGTGTCTTGAACACATGGTTCAAGGCGTGTAGGCAGGACAGATCGCGAAGCCGGCTCGAGTTTCTGATGCTGCGATTTCCGTAAATGATGTCGGAGTAATTGAACACGGCGCCGGCCAGACTTTTCTCTTCCACGGTCAGGGATGCCGCGAGTCTCGTGCCGGTCTCAGTAAGTCTGCGTTTCAGGGATAGCTCCTTTACGCTCTTCACTGAGGTAGTGAGAGCAGAACTACCTGTCAGCGACATGGTTGTTTTTCGGACGTCATTGTCCAATGTTGCGGTTTGTGTCTGCCATTCTTTTTCGTCGACTTGTTTAGCGGCATTCTTGAGATCTTCTTCCGCCACGGCAGAATAGTGTTTCTCGAAAGGGTCTTTGAGAAGTTCACCCTCATCTTCCGAGTCCGCATCCGCTGGGGCTACGTCGGTATGCTCTCCCTCCTCTTCGATCTCTTCGTCCAGCACTTCCAGCTGATCCTCCGCTTCAGCACCCTGGTGTTGTTGGTCTGCACCCGAGTCTTCTTGTGTGTGTCCCTCGTCCAATACAGCTTCTCTCCGCGTCTGATTTTTTGCAATCCTTCTCTTTTTTCGAGCAGGTTCATCTGTGTCTCTGGCTGCATTGAGCGATTGCAGGAGTGTGGCGTAGGAATCTGCTGCAGGAGCCTCGTCTTCGCTGGCGGATTGAATGTCTTCTTCGCCTTCGACATCGTCTCCTTCCACCTCACCGCCTTCGTCTGCGGACACTGCATCATTCTGTGCATCATCGTCATCGTCCCTGTAAGCGTTAGACAAGTGAACATTTTCTTCGGGCGTACTGCAACTCAACTCACTCTTCTTTTAGCCGCGAAGCCCTGAAGGCATCTCGGTTCTGTGTTGTGTGACCACCACGACCCCGACCTCTACCACGTCCGTTTCCACGACCGCTTCCACGGCCTCTCCCAGCAGGCCTCCCGCCTCTGTGCGAACCTCTGAAGCCAGGCATCTTGTCGCAGTCGTGCCGTGGTGTGTAGGACGGACGCAGCCAGAAATTTTGTCGCATGCGGAGAAAATCTCCAACCCAGGCATCTTTAAGCTTAATTATGTTAGCGGCGATCGTCAATGCCGCGCCGGACGGAGCATGCCGAGGACCCCTATTAATTACTTCCAGGGAAGCAATGGGTTAGAAAACGATGGTGTGAGAAACAACTTTCATTCGAGCAGCGTATCTTTTGTATGCCCTTTGTGGTATCACTCAATCGATGCTATTAAAGTGTGCCAATTCATGCTATCACACCCCGAGGCAGGTCGGTTGGACATCTTTATGTCACCAACTAATCATCAGCACACTAAGCTTCATGTGCAGATCCTCCGATCTCTGACCTTCTGTTCGCCATGAAACCTTTGTTAACCACCATAGTCGTCTAAGTTCATTGCCGGTTCCGATGACTTCTATCAACGTCGTCGAGAACGTGTTGGACTCGAAGCAAGAAGATGAGATCTTAAATATCGTCTTCCTCCTTCACGTCTTCATCATCGTCCTCCGCCTCGACCTCTTCTTCCTCTTCCTTACCCTTGGGAGCGGACTTTGGTGCAGCCTTCTTGCGCTTGGTAACCGTCTTTGACTCCTCCTCGGCATCATCGCCATCTTCCTTCTTGGTTGTGACCTTACGCTTGCGCGGCGCAGTAGATTTGGAGGCGACCATAGCAGGGAGAGTGCGGGCAGGAGCAGGTGTATCATCCAGCGGAGTGATGATGTTGCCTTCGAATTTGAAACCCTGCTTCTTGACGACGGTCTTAAACTTGGACGACCTGGAATTGCAATATTTAGTAAGTCTCGAACAGTATTTGGAATGATTGAACGAACGCATTCTTTCCGTATCCGATGCCATTGTCCTCCGCAACTTTGTCCCAGTTCATCTTGATTTCACCCGCATGCCGAAGTGCGCTGAGGACGAACGCGAAGTTTGGATCGGTAGACTCGCCGTTAGCAGACTTGGCTGCTTTGGGTGGCATGGTGAGCAGGGGAGAAGAAGATTGTTTTTCGAGTAAGAGAACAGTGTTAGAGCAGACTGCTGGAAGGAAACAATAGTCTAACGATCTCACCAGCTGGGGGAAGATATGTTTGTGGGAGAGTACGAAAGTAGGATGGAAGGTCGAATTTATCACTTTGCCGAGCCTTGCTGGTTAGTGTCGCGCGCTGGCTGCATGGAAGTTCTTCAAATGTGAAGTGAAACTGAGCTTCCATTCTGTCGTCCTGCTTTACACTGAATTTCAGGATCGTGAAAGTACTTGCATGCTCGCCTGGAAAGACCCTTCCTTCGGCTTTTTTAGAACATGAAAAGCCTGACTACACTATGAAACTCCTCCTCAACCCCTGTATCCAGCTTTTAATTATCGTGAGGCTTATCGATGTCCCTTCTGCAGGGTGTTATGTGAACATCCGCTCGGCGAGGCTCGCTGAATAGGGGCGAGGCTGGAACCACGTGACCTCACTTCCCTGAAGCTGACCATCTGGACGCATTTCAGAAGGCCAGAACAATGCGAACAGTCTGGAATATCACGTGCGACCAAAGGACCAACGTGGACAAAAAGCCCTTGATGCCATATTGGTAGCACTGCCGCCGCTCCTTTGTGAGAGGAGCATAATCTGAATAAATAGTCATGACCTGTTTATGCTTGGGAACGATTTCGCGGAATGAAAAGAACGTGGCTTTCAGCAACAGTGTGAGCCGGTCCTCTGCAGGAAGTCGTGAAGGAGAAGACCTTTTAGGCGGTCATTGTTTGATGCAAAGAAAGGAGACAGTTTTGGCAAAGTCAAGGCAAGCTCAATATCATTCTTGTGTTCATGTTTGATGACCTTTCAATCTGTCTTTCGTTCCAATGCGCATCATGGTTATGTCAAGAGATGCTTCAACTCGGCCGTCATGTTGGGACCCAGTCTTCTAGGTCTCCAGTCATCATCTATCTTCTACACTGCCACCAAGGCTCTCGTCATTTCCCGGCGTCTTCCTCTTCCGCTTCCACGTCTGCCTCCTTCTTGATCGCCTCTGCAGCTTGTGCCTTGCTGTTACGTGGCTTCTTCTTCGGGCTCAGTTCCTCACTGCCATTCTCCTCGCCATTAGCTTTCTTGGCTGGTGCTGCTGCTTTGCGCTTCAGGCCAGGGGATGACTTTGGTACACCAGCTTTGTTGCTGTTACCGGCCAGACCCCAGTCCTTCTTAATACGCCAAAGACGGTGGTAGCTAGATCTGCTATCAGTATAGGTGCAAAAAGGCATTGCTGCAAGACGTATGGAAAAGACAGTCCCTTACCATGCGTTACCACTCTTAGCACCGACGTCTTCGGCCACTTTCTCGAGGTTTGGTTTGAAGTCGCCCCCCAGATGCTTGACACAAGTCATGATGAAGTTGAAGTCGTCTGACACGTCTCCGCGCGGCGCCATGGTTGCTGAATTAGGTTTGGATTTGGATTTATTGAACGATAGTGATTAGTTGTCCTGATCGAGGGTTAGTCAGTGTGAACTGTGTCCTGAGTTTTGAAGAATTGAAAAAGCCAAGTAGGGAGACAAGCGGTACAAAGGGAATATAGGATGGGGCTCAGTCATACCAGTGTTTGGGTGTTTCGAAAAAGACTGTAAGGTGGAAGAAGAGGAATCAAAGGATGAGAGAGGAAGACTGTTAATATGCCTCCCTCAAGTCGAAATAGCATGTGCGCTTCGAGAACGAGAAGGCATCGGACGAGTTTCTGAGGTGAGAAGTCTTGATCTTGAACTCACTTTGTCAGCGTCACTTCGGCGGTAATAGGCAGGAACAACTCTAAAACTGAAGACGAATGTGAGGAGAAACAAGTTCAATTTGCATTTGCAAGATCGCTGCAAGGGAGAATTGTGCTTGCTATTGTTGGGGCGCTGTTGTGTCACTGTTCGCCATCGCAGCCTCTGTTGAAAAGAAAAGCCCTGTGAAAACTCTTCACCCGAACGAGATCGACTGTCCACCATCGACAAGATCCAACTCGTAGCCGTGTCCAATCATGAGTCCTGATCACCGATACTGAAAGAACACCAAGAGACAGTGGAAGGGCGCAAGACAGCAGCTGTGCCTGCCGAGTCAGTCTTCCTTGTCCTCTTCGCCAGCATCAGCATCGGCATCGCCGGCCTCTGTTTCCACGATATCAGTATCACCAGCGGCAGCTTCTTCGACATCGGCCTCCTTCTGAGAACCTTCTTTCTCACCATCAGCCGCTGCATCGGACTTCTCTTCCTCTTCTTCAGAGCCATCCTTGCCTTCCGCAGTTGCCTTCTTGCCACCTTCATCGACTGCAGCACCATTGGTAGTAGCTTTAGCCTTGCCAGCCTTGCCCTTAGTAGGTTTCTTGTCAGCGGCAGCAACCTTGGCCTTGTCATCTCCTTCGTCCTGGTCACCAGCTGGAGCAGGCTTAGCCTTTGGCTTGCGTGGGGCGCGTTTCTTCTTTGGGGTTTCCTCAGTGGCACCGTCCTCGACAGTGTCCTTCTCTCCGGCTTCAGCGTCATCACCGTTCGCAGCAGGCTTAGCCTTGGGCTTGCGTGGCGCACGTTTCTTCTTTGGTGATTCTTCCCCAGTAGCAGCCTCGGCATCGTCACCATTGGCAGCGTCATCACCGGCAGGAGTCTGGGTGTCTTTGGCAGTGTCCTTCTCTGCTGCTTCAGCATCGTCATCTTCCGCAGCAGGCTTAGCCTTTGGCTTGCGTGGGGCACGCTTCTTCTTCGGTGGCGGCTCCTCAGCAGCGACGTCGTCATCATCATGCTTAGTGGCATCATCACCGGCAGCAGTGGTATCGTCTTCGGCAGCTCCGTTTTTGACTGGTGTCTTACGCTTGCGCGGAGTGGTAGCCTTCTTCGGAGTGACAGGGTCACCAGTAGCATCTTTCTGTACCCATGCAGCGCCGTCGGCTTCGAATTTCTGCATCATCGCACGGAATTTGTTGCTTGATTGAGAGTCAGTAACTCGCAACAGCAACAGATGAGTCGTAAAGATGGGAGGCGATGGTGCAGATATGAACATGTAGGTTGAGAGATTAGATGGGCGAAGAGTAAGACTTACGCAGCACCGCCTTTGCTCATGCCAGTGTCCTCAGCGACTTTCTCGAAATCGACGGCCAGTTTGTCTTTGGCATATTTGATGCAGGATGCTAGGAACGCGTCGTTACTCATGATAGGCTTGGCCGTGGCTGGCGAAGCACTGTCAGCTGGAGCCATGTCGACGCTAGAACGTGTTTGGTGGTTATGTGGGAACTGTTTTGCAGTCAACGGATCTGTATGAGGCGAGGTATGGTATTAGTAATTGTAGTAGACCATGAAACTGTGTTGATGGAGGCACATACCGTTGACGATTGATAGCAGAAGGTGTTAGAGAAGCAGGAAGATGTGGTGGAGGAGTTGTTGTTGTTGAATGGAGATGGAAGTGTTGTGTTGTAAGGATGGTGAAAGGAAGAAAGGCGGATGTCAACAAAGGAAGTGAAAATGTAGGTTCATGGGCTGTGATGTGAAAGTGAATCGAAACCGCGCGGAAAAATCGTCAAGTGACACGCGGTCACATAAAGATCAATAGCAAAAAGCTAGGGAAGCATTTCAATGCGATGTGACGGCCCAAATTGATCGATCAGTGTCGCCATCAGCAGTGAATGATATCCAATTAAGTCGGCCCTCAGCCTCGTCATAACTTCATATAGCGGCTTCACCAGCGGCCACCTTGAGAGCACAACGTCCAAAATCGTCCTTGTTGTTGCAGTCCTCCTCGCCGCGATCGCCCTTGACATTACTGCTAGCGGTGGGGGACTCTGGCAAAGTCTTAGCCTTCTCTGAGATGTTTCGCTCGAGAGCTTTCAGCACACGCCGGCGAGCGAAGAAAGAAGGCGTGCGAGAGATTTACTAGAGATGAGAAGGATCTCGAACTTGACTTCGACCAGCTGGTTATTGCCAATGACAAGATCGGACCGGCAGCAAGGGGGGAAAGACCTACTTGATGGCCACGCAAAGATTATCCCGGCCATTCTTTGCGTTTATTGAAACCCTAGCATGGTGAGAGGCCGGCCAGATTTGTCTCTTTCCTGGGACGTGGGCATGTCGACGATCAGCATGAGATCGTCAGAATGAGCAATCGATGCGCATGTGTGGCATGGACCCAGAAACAGACAGAACGTAGCACCATCAGCCGTCAATTCAATGGTGGCTTGAAAGGAAGGCCTGCCCCCATGTTGAGGTCGTTCGCCAGGTCCGCAGCAGCATTTCGTCTTGATATCCGCATACACTGTAAGGAGTATTTCCAATCTTTGATCTGTATCTTGGGCGTAGCGACGGCCCGGGCCAGCCCTCCAACGGTCCTGTTTTGACATGCAAGAAATTGCTATAACGATTTTGATGACATCTGTCAGTGCACAATGGTATGCATGATTGTCTCTGAAGGGCGACACCTAGCTATTACTAGAGCTCAACAGTCCCCGAGGCTATGTCGACGATGGAGAAGATAGGAGGCGGCTAGAATGACACTCCGTCCCCGTGCCAGCGCATCATTATGCTGACGCTCGATGGTGGACAATGACCCTTTGTGTGATGATGTCGTGCATGTCACCAGTCAATAGGTACTGTCATGATCGAAAAAACGCTCAGACCATGCATTAGGCGCTGCCTAGACCTGTCAAATGGAGTACTCTTCTAGAAGGAGTTGCTGAAGGCCCAGTGAGAGCATGGTCTTCTCCTCGGTATCGTATTTGTCCATGATCATCATGGTGACGATGTCTCTTTGCAACACCTACCGTGGAAGAAAGAGTCTAAGTGACAGGCACCTCCCGCTAATGTACGTGATATGGCACACATTCACCCCTAGCTTTGCAGCACCTAGTGGGCGTCAACACTACTACTGTACGGCCACGCAGGTCGGACTTTCGGGGATCATAATCTGAGGCTGCAGTTGCATTGCTGTGTCAAATAGCTATCGGTGAAGAAGACGTCAGTCGTCTTATGCGATCTAAGCGGTCTAAGCGATGTGACGATGGACTGTGAGCAAAGAGGCACGGAGAAAAGCGCGCTGGTCATCATCCCCACGGCTGAAACAACCCCGACATGTCTCACTACCCTTTCTGCTCAAGGCTGAGAGAAATGGGTTAAGTCCACAGGATCCATCGGGGTCTGCATTCTCACCATATACCCACAATGTTCTGCATTAAAAAGCCATGCAGGTCGAAGAGAAATGGATCCCTTGTTAACGAATACGAGAAAATGTGGTCTTCTTCGGTCGGAATCGACCCCGAGAAAGGTGCTGTCAAGGACGGCGCACCGACCTTTGACCGCAAATGTTGTCCTCTGATGACGGGCGTCGGAACGAGAGCGAGGTGAATATCCCTGTCAGCATCGTAAAGTTAGGACTTTTGTGTCCAGAAAAGGTCGGGCGCCGAGGATCGGTAAGGCCATAGCCGAGATACTTTCTGGAATAGGCCTTGTAAATAGGCGTCAGGGATCCGACGCCAAGGGCGGGCTTGGCCTCGCTAGCCTTTCCAGTCATCTTTGTAGGCTATTCGCCTCGCTTAGATGCAGCATGATTCCGATTTTTGTTCGTTGGACGAGATGCAAGCTTGAGCAATGATGTACGTGGTGTCGGCATGAACATAGTTCAGGCCGAAGTAGATGACGATTCAGTACGTAATAAGACGGTACAGGTGTTTGTTGGCAACTAGAAAGTGATGTGCTCGAAAGTGCAATGCTAGACCAAACCCAGTCGCCAAAAGCAACACCCATTCCATGCTTAATTGTGTCTGTGGAGATCGTGGTAAAGTAACTGATCTCGCTGTGTTCAGCGCCATCTTTTGGGTAGAAGAGAAGAATGGATGATCTACCGTCAAGAGGATCAAGAGGACGGCTGATTGACCTCCCTTTCCGCAATGCTTTCGGTGGCATCTGTCAAACATGCAGCCCACAGGAAAACGTCTTGGTTTCGAATCTGGCAAGGTTTTGCGCCAGGATTTCATTATTACCGTGTTGCTGGAAAAGGTGGCGTGACCTCGACATGATGTCTGAGATCGTGGGACACGGAATCTCGCTTGTAGCGTTTGCGGGCGCACGGGCTGCCGCGGTGTTACCAGGGCCCATTCTTTCCACGTGGGTGTGAGGATCAATCGATCAGATCGGGCATGCCGAGGGGCCACGTGGAAAAACATGTCCATCGATAGCGCCATTTTCTGGTCGAGAAACAACCCCTGGGCGGGTGAGCGACACGACTTGGCAATCTGCAACTTACTAGAGGATCGTGAATTGCTGTGCCGTGTGGGCCACGCCAGATGTTGGTGGAAAGAGCAAAAAAGAAGATTTGCGCCAGCCAGGTGCCGGGACCTGGAAGACAGCGACGATTACCGACCTGGTTCGACCAAGCCTCGACGGTCGAAATGAAGGTCTAGAAGTCTAGATTGTGGACCCCCATCGTTCATCTCCGATTGGTGTGGATTCGACCCTAGTCCATGCATTGCAGCATTCTGTGCAGAAATCACAAGCAGACCCATTTTGGATGCATCTTCGGTGCATGCCACATGGCCCTGTGCGTCTTTCTCAATTATGCGCCATAAACCCCTTCTTTCGGTGCCTTGTCATCATTCCCAGCGCAATGGAACTGAGGGGACGCACGTGGCGCCCCATGGCTGATAATTCCACTGCCCGACTTTTCTTCGTTGGACGCCCTTCTCAACGCCAAACAGGTGACAAAGATGCATGCGCCATGCCATGCCATGCCATGCAATACAACGCTGGACGGAAGCAAGTAAATAATGTACATTCCACCTCGTTAGCCTGGTTCACTCAATCTGAGACTGCGATACTCAATAGTGTACACTGTGACTCTTTCTGGGGTCAAAGCCACTAATTTCCTTCCACGACTGCAACTTTTCGCTCGATTTGTAATCGTTGAAACAAGTCTGCCGACAGGAATGCGGTGTGTAATGTTCATACAAGTGAGTATGATGGTTGCAACTGTTTGTGGCCAACTTTTCGTTTCTCGGACAGCCAGAAAGCTAACAAAAAAGAGCAGAAATGACACTCCCAATCCTTCGCCGTCGCTCTCTTCCCAAATCCAAACATCCATAGAACCTTACTCCATTCATGTCGTTTCGAGGCCGTTATCGAGGGAAACAAAAATGGTGGCTCGCTAGAGGACCACATGCTGCTTTCATGAAGACATAATAATGCCACAATCGTCGAGTTTTCCCAAATCTGATCGTGTCGAATGAAATCTGTAGACATTGACCACTTTACAAGGCAAGACCAGAAGAAACAGCGCCCTTCTATTATCGTTAGAAACGTTGATGCAGAAAGTGCACCGTTGCTGACCCCATTTTGCACACATCCATCAAATTTTCCGAGCTTTTGCTGTATAGGACCATGTTTTTTTTCTTCGAGTTTTTCAAAAAAGAGCCGTAATCGTTACCTGCTCGTCGCAGAGCTGTCCCCGTTGTTTATCGACCCTGACCCTGCGCCTGAGGCACTTTCGCCGCCATGGCATCCTCTTTCGTGTCTTTTCATGTTACTCCTGACGCTAAAACTTTTGCCGCATCCTGGGTATTTGCACACATAAGGCTTTTCGCCGCTATGCGAGTGCCCGTGAATCCTGAGCGAACTTGGTCGCGAGAATGGTTTTCTGCAGGTAGGACATATGTATCGTTCTTGTGCCTGTGGGTAAACGGGCGGATTGGCGGGCGGATAGAAGTGGTGGTGTTGCCACGTTGGTGGCATCTGAGGGTCCATGGGAGGTAAACTGGACCCGGGTAACATTCCTTCCAGTGGGGGCAAGCCCGCCCCTTGCATAGGTGGTGGAAAGCTGGGTGGCAGTGGCCGCTGTTGCGTAAGCCCGTTGAACCTTGCAGGATCGGCAGATACCTGTTCCTGCTGCATGGTATCAGTAACAGGCCGTGGAGGATGGGCCATAGTCCACGTATGTGAATCAGGGACTGGTGGATATGCCTGCGCGGGATCCGTGGTAATGGGCAGATATCCTGATGTTCGCTGCGCGTACAATCCAGGATTCGTACTTGTAGAGCTTGCCGGATAGTAGTCGCTGCGGCCAGGCGCAGTGACAGGTGATATGTTCGTAGGAGATGGTCGTGGAAGATCGAAATTGGACGCTGGAGGCAGTTCTGAAGTTGGTGGAGGAAAATGTCGGGGACTCGGAGCTATGTCTGGTCGATCGGGGCTTGTTGAATAACCTTGGGAGCTTCCAGATACCCGTCGCGGAGGGTCAAAGACGGGGGAGGGAGGTTTTCCCTTGCCTTTATCTAGATTTTGTTAGTTTCCATCGTCGTAACGGTCAAGAGAAACTCACCATTCTCAGCCTTTTCCGAAACCGACTCCATCAGTTCGCGAAAGGGAGGGAGGGATGGTTTGTAGCTTCCCATCGCGGCGGGCGCAAGTAGGAAGGCAGGCGAGGGGAGCGGT